CGCCCGCTTCTCGTCCCTTTTATTCCTGCTGCGTGGCAGCTGAGGAAGCCGGGGAGATGTAGATCTAGGGTAGACCGTGTGATTTTGTCTTGGCTGTGACTGTCATTGGGTATTCGTGGGGGCATTGTCTTTTGGAGTTTTTGCTCTTTGGCTTCCATTTTCCCTTCCCCGCCCGGCCCCGGGGCCTTCGTGTTCCTTTCCGTCGGTCTGCAGTACAGTCATACACGGGATCGAATTTCGATTGGGACTTTCTGTTTTTGCAGACTGCATCTTGACTACTGGTCTGTTTACCGACAGGATCGCATATCTCGGTCGGCACATTCAACAGGGCGAATAAGTTTCTCCGGAGGTTTAGGACCGGATGGGGCAAGGGCAGCAAGGGAAACGCAAAGCGAGGCGTTTTGTACACGGAATCTTACATGTTGTACAAAGGATACGCCAAGGGGGGCTCAGGGGGAGTTGATGCAAACATGGGAATGCTGGTGTTCTGACGGTTTGGACGGGCAACTCAGCTACTGATAGTCGGGCTGAATGGAGAATTGGGCTTAGTATGTACTATTGGTGAGGTCGTTCATCGTGATGGGGAGGAAACTTTTTGTAATTAGCTCTCTCTTTGATGCGCAATGCGCAGTGTGAGTGCGAGTGCGACTGCGAGTGCGATATACTGATACGTCCAAGGATGTCACCATTCCTGTTGTTCTGTTTACGCTGTACGGTGTGCCGGAAGTATACGGATAGGTAAACATACCAGTACAGGTCTATTCGAGAACCAAATGGTAGTAACCCAACAAACACCAAAGCTGAAACTCCAGATATGACAGTCTTTGCAGCAACAGCGGCTATGGATTGGCTGTACGAAGGTAAACACAGAGATAATCACATTGAAATATGTATAATTCTCGCATAGCCCACCACATCGCCTAATCACCAAAGCACCGATGGCCACTGTTCTTACGCCTCCACTGCGGTTGGCTTTTGTTTCCTTGACCGCTTGCGCTTCTTTTTCCTCTCGCCCTCAATAATATTGCTCGCGCCGGCGTTACCACTCTCAGGCTTTGCCGTGAGACCAGGCTTGACACTGTTGGCGCCGCTCGCAACAGCTCCAGCCCCAGTCCCGGCGCCGTCGGCGACAAGGGCCTCGAAGCCGAATGTCGGGCCGGTACGCTCATACTCCTTGCCAAACGTCTCGCGACGCCACTGCCGCAACCGTGCTTTCTTGCCGAGACGCTTTTTGTCCTTGCGCTTCTTCTCGGCATCGCGGAACGTGGCGAGTTTCTTGAGGCCGGCAAACTCATTGAGTGCCGCGTCTGAAGGCGCCAGGAGAATGTCGCGAGCCGTGAGGCCAAACGAGTTGGGTGACGTCTCGCGGTAGCGGAACGCCGGAGTCCCGCCGTTCTTCCGGGAGCTAGACCCGGCGAGGGCACGCGGGTTCTCGAGCTCCATCTTGGTATCGACGAGTGCCTCAATCTTGGCGAGATCGGCACGAGCTTGGCGTTTGGCTTCTATACGTTCCTTTTTGATGTCCTTTAATGTTTTTCGCTTCTTGGTGGGCCTGTCGGCGTCTGAGTCTTGTTCCGCGTCCTCTTCCTCCGCCAGGGGTTCCTGGGCATCTTCGTCGCTAAGGGTGATATTGGGCCTGGATTCATCGTCAAAGTCGGGAACTATGTCCTTGATATCGATGTCGTCATCCCATTTCGGCTTCTTGGGCTTCTTCTTCTTCTTCGCCTTGTGGTCCCCGCCCTCTTCGTCGTCATCTCCGCTCTCGTCGAGGGACATGTCGTCAGGTTCGGCATAGTATTCCTCGCCAAACCGCTTCTTCATTTCCTCCTCCCATTTGTCGTCATCCCATGCGTCTTCTAAGAACTTCATCCACTCCTCATCCTTGAGTGTCTTGCCCCTCAAGCCCGCAGCCTTTCTGATTTTGGCCAGTTTTTCAGAGGCTTCCTCAATCTTCAGGCGCCGCAGACGTGCTCGCTCAGCTTCGCGCTCTTTCTTTTCAGCCTCTTTCCTCTCCTTCTCGAGGGCTCTTTGCTTCTTCCTTCCAGTCAGCTCTTCTTTCCTAGCTGAGCGGGCCGCGGCCATGTTTCTCGAGTAGGTCTTCAAGAACTCGTTGCTCTTGGCGGGGTCTTCAAAACGCATGTTGTAGGCATGCTCAAACTCATCAGCAATATCGACGTCGTCTTCGCCGTCGTCGGATTCAAATGCTTGCCACTTAGAATCCTCCCCGGCAGCCCAAGCCTTAGAAGCCATGAATTTGGACAGGAACTCCTCGGGGTTCTTGTCGGCATTCGCGACATCGAGCTCTGAAAGCTGCACAGTGGCTGCCCGTGAAGGGTGCACACCATTCTCCGCCACGTGATCCTCCTTCTTGACCGGTTTGATGAAGGCATCGTCGTCGCTCCATTCTTCTTCCCCGTCAGCAGCGGCGGCGGCAGCGGCGTTAATTTCGGAGAGAATGGACTTTTTGAGATCGGCCTGCTCCTGCACGAATGTCCTTGGGGCGTCGGCAGCGACAGTACTCTCCTCTTCAGCGCCCACATCGCCGCTCAAGTACCGCTCACGGTGGTAGTCGCGCAAGAAGAGAGGCTTTTCCTCCTTTTTCTTGGGCGGCTCGGCATTGGGGTCGAAAGGCTTGTAGAAAACGGCATTCTTGTCGTATATCCTGGGATCTTTGGTCTTGATGGCCTGCAGGGTGGCTGAAATCTCGGCGTCGAGGTCCTCAGTGACCAGAACGGCCTCGTCGTCCTCTGATTCATCCTCCGATGAAGACTCGGACTCTAGATCCCCTCCATCTGCCGACTTGTACTTTTCTTGCAACCGATGGAGTTCCTCGCGCTTTTTGTTGTGCTCGAATCTCCGGGCATACTCCTCGTTAATCTTAAGCTGTGAGGGGCCAAGTGTTACACCACCCTCTTCTTGGTCGTCTTCGCTGCCAGAAGAGGAGTCGTCAAAGAGGGATTTCTTGGGGATAAAAGAACCATCTTTAGTTGCAGGCTCTGATTTTTTCAAAGCATCTGGTGCCATATCGAGCGACGGAAGACCTCCGATGTTCAATGCTTCAGAACAGATTGTACAAACCTGCAAGAATTTTGAGTTTTGCAGAGGTTACGAAGAGGGCGATGAACTTTTTAGTGGGGCAAGCCTTACCTTGCGTTACTAGTGTATTTATACCTTTCTAATTCTGGATATGGCGTAATTACATAGCGCTGTATCTATACGGATGAAGTACGGATACATACGAAGGCGACGCTGATATCAACGCCAAGCATACGAAGAAAGTAGACATCAGCCTATGATTGGTCGGTCCGCTTGAAATTCCGTCTGTCTGTGATCCGTGCACTACTTAGGTGGGGCACTGGGGTGGCACCTGAGTTCTTGGGTCCGAGACCAAAGGGTTAAGCCGATGCTGCCGATCTAGGCGTTGGTTCATCACTTCGTCGTCGCATGCATCCCGATCCCAGCTGCGTCTGCCTATCACGTCACTCCTGGAGAAACACCACCCAACGCTTTGAAAAGCTCATCGTCCTTCACCCGGGCATCCACACCGCGAGCCTCCGTTTTTGGCCACGTACCCGTGCAGCAGACTGCCAACAAGACGGTATCGCACAAAAATGGCCGATACAGGGAATGCCGTCAAGCCGAGCAGCAGCGTCAAGCTGGTGCTCCTCGGGGAAGCCGCCGTCGGCAAGGTTCGGCCGTCCCCATCGTTTCTTGCAGTCCTGCGTCGAGTGCTGACGGATTTGCTCTCTGCAGTCATCGCTCGTCCTTCGCTTCGTCAATAACGACTTTCAAGAAAACAAGGAGCCGACAATAGGAGGTACATCGCCCACCATCTCAACTTAATCGCTGACTTAAACCGCTTTGTTAACCAATGCTGTCCGCCCGTCGCAGCCGCCTTCCTGACTCAGAAATGCAACCTGCCAACTCGGACCATAAAGTTCGAAATCTGGGATACAGCAGGCCAGGAGCGGTTCGCGTCATTAGCTCCCATGTACTACCGCAACGCACAAGCCGCCCTGGTGGTCTACGATCTCACGAAACCGACGTCCCTCATCAAAGCGAAGCACTGGGTTGCCGAGCTACAGAGGCAAGCCTCCCCCGGTATCGTGATAGCCTTGGTCGGTAACAAGCTCGATCTGACGAACGACGGGATCGGAAACGGGGCCGACGGGGATGGTGCTGGAAGCGATGACTCGGGAGATGCGAGAAAGATAAGCACCGAGGAGGCTAAAACGTACGCCGAAGAAGAAGGACTGCTGTTTTTTGAGACCAGTGCCAAGACGGGTTACAACGTGACCGAAGTGTTTACGGCCATCGCCAACGCCATCCCAGAGACGTCTCTAAAGACTACCCGTGGGCCAGGAGCGTCGCATGCTGCAGGTCGCACTGAGGAGCAGAGGGTCAACCTTAACGGGCCTCGAGACCCGAACGCAAAAGAAGGTTGCGCTTGCTGATGTCTTGAATGATCTGACAGGCGAGCTGGAGCTTAGATGCGTCTCGTACCTTTACAGGTTAATCGGAGTGGTCTGGTCAATGGGCGGGTCATCAGGAGTAATTAGTGTTTTCGATTTTTCTGGGAATATTCAAATATCTTGCTGTTTCTTCCTTCCTTTGCGTCATATGAAGTGATTCGTCCAAAGTAGCATCTCTTTCAGTTGCCCCATGTCTTTGAAAGTGGTAGCTTCTCATACCGAACATCCATGAGATTTGAAAGAGCTAAAGCAGCTACCTTCAAAGTGCAATGGTTATCAACTTAGAGGATTTTGGTTCTTGTGTCTGCCTCTCGATTGCGGGCCCCTTCAAGAACCTGCCTTTCATGTTGTAACTAAAGGACTCAGCTTCGCGAGCCCAGTCTGAAGAGCGGTTACCTAACTTACCTTGGTTTGACGGAAACGAAGTACGGAGTACTGCCCGAAAAGCGCGCGCCAACTGCACCTCTCAACTCTCAAGCGTCAGTGGGGCCAGCGCGGGAGTACGTACTGCAGTGTACACAGTCACACAGTGTTCCTCAGCCTAGATTTTACTGTATTACTCTGCTGGCTCATTGCAGAAGACACCGTACAGAGATCTTAAGCCGCACTGTAAGCTCTCGTGCACGTGCCAGATCTCGCCGAATTTTCATTCCAGACCACGACAAGCGCGGGAAACGTAACAGCTTCCTACACCAGCTTTCGAGACTCTCCTACTCGCGCCAGCCTCGATTTGAGTATTTCGCCAAATACCACGGTTCCCCTTCAGTAAGCAGCCAAGACTATCGAATCTTTCTCTTAAGCCTTCGAGCCCGTCCGGCCGGGCGATTTCGACGATCTTCAAATTCCCGGCTCGGATTTGGCATTGTCGCTCTCCCTCCGATTGCTCCGTAGCTCCTCGCAACCTTATGAGCTCAGTTTTGTGATTCGATCTGTCCCTTTCCTGGGGTGCGGCACCGCGTCCATCGCGGACCGCAACGCAAGATGGCGGCAACATTGGCCATCACGGACGCGCAGGCCGAACTTATCAAGTAAGGACGGGAACATCAGTCTCCGACCGACGCGACAACCCCCCATGACAGTAGCTAATTGGTCGGATTCCAGCTCCCTATCTCAAGAAGATATTCCAGCGAAGCTCAGATGCGCTATTTGCAGCAAACTAGCCCTCAACGCGTTCCGCTTGCCCTGTTGCGAGCAGGCAATCTGCGAAAGCTGCCAGGCCACACTGCCTCCTTCGTGCCCGGTCTGCGAGCACTCCCCGTTGTCTGCCGACGACTGCAAGCCACACAAGGCGCTGCGGACGACTATCAAGGTATTCTTGCGGACCGAAGAAAAGAAGCGGGAGTCAAGTCGGCCCAAAGATGCTACGCCCGTCACGCCCGTCGAACCCAGCCCAGCGTCGGCAGCTGCACCGGTGATTCCAGAGCCAAACCTGTCAATGCCAGCCACAGAAAGAGCCGAGCCTGCCGCGGAGCAACAGCCCGCATCTGTAGAACCAGTCGCTGAGGGGACCCCCGCTCTCGCGGACCGTCGAGCAGGTGGGGAAACAGTGCCTGACCAGCAGGGTACGGATTCTACGGACCAGATCGGGGAAGACTCTGTAGGACTCTCCATGATCCCTTGCTCTCCGTAACCACGTTCTGCTGACACTGAGACTTAGGAACGGCTGCACGAAAATGCATTAGACGGGGAACCCCAATCTCATGCTTCAACCGGTCCTGCCCCGGCTCAACAGGGTTCCGAAATTCCCGACGGCAAGACTGGCGGCGAAGCAGGAGATGAAGACGAAACTGGCAACGACAAACAGCTAATCCCCGATGGCTCCGAGGCGACTCAGGCGGAAGGTGCGAATGGCGCATTTCCACAGCCGGGGTTTGGCCCTGGATTCGATCAGATGCAGATGATGATGGCCATGCAAAACGGATTCGGCAACTTTCCAATGATGGGTTGGTCTCCCCCAAAACTATTTCTCAACTGTTCTTGCCTACGACTAACGCATCCGTGTCTTAGGCATGCCGGGCATGAACATGGACCCAATGATGATGCAGATGTACATGAGCGGGGGTTTTCAGGGCATGGGCATGAACGGCATGAACATGAATATGGGGATGGGAGGCTATGGGACCGAAGCCGATAACTGGAGCGGACAGCAATCATGGAATGTCGGCCAAGATAATTACAATCATCCAAGCGCTTCTGGCATGGGCAATGGTGATTATGGCTCGTTTAACTCTGGCTTCCAGACAGGATACAATCAAGGTAATTATGGCCACCAGAACCAGTTCAATGACTATCGCCGGAATCAGTACGGGTTCCGCGGTAGGGGTCGAGGCCGCGGTTACGGATACGGATACGGCCGCGGAGCGGGCTACCACCACAGTCATGGCGGCGGAAATTTTAACGACCAGGGCTACGGCTACGGCTACGAAGGCCAGCACTTCCAGAACGGCATGCGAAACCCGGGCGGCTATTCCGGTAGCGTTGGTGGAACGAGTGAAGGGAATCCCGATGCAAATGTCGACGAGTTTGGGCGTTCTTTGCAAGGTGAGAATGGCCCAGGCGGCGAAGAAGGCGGTGGTCAAGGCCAAGGACCCGAATCCTCTGCCAACGGCAGCGCACAGCAGCAAGGAAGCGGTGCCATCCCAGAGGGCGCAAGCGAGGCCAATGCAGATGGTGTAACAGCCGGTATTCCCAGCGATGGCCAAGGTCCCCGCGCGATTAATCCCGACGTGCCTCTGAACGCGCCCAAGGGTCCGAAAGCCATGCTGCAGGGTCTGCCCAATACTAGTTATAAGCATCTCCAGGCCAGGGGCTGGGTTGATGATAATAACAACAAAGCACAGACGCCTACCAGCGCGGCTAACAGCCATGCGGGGTTTGAAACCCATCCGCCATCGAGGTCGCGCAGTGCTTCGTCCCCCCACGGCTCGGCTCGTGGGTACTACCAGGATAGAAGGAGAAGCAGGGAGCGTGATTCCTATTCTCGGAGTGGCCGCGACCGTGAACACCGGCGCCGTGGCAGGGAGCGGGAGCGGGATCGGGATCGGTCACGGTCACCGCCGCCCTCGTCGAACGGGAGCAGAAGTCGAAGCCGAAGCCGAAGCCGAAGCCGCGATTACGACAGGGAGCAACAACAGCAGTCGTTCCATAGGCGGAGTAGCCGACGGCAGCGATCATACTCGCCACCGGCCAAGGATGGTGCCGAAAGCGAAGACGAGCGACGCCACCACCGGTCACATCGCAGGAAGCACTCGTATGAAGGAGAGCCCGAGGGTTGGAAGTCAAAGTCTCGTTCCGGGGGTGGAAAAGAAGAGCAGAATAATGACGACGATGTCGGCGACGATGGGAGATCGAGATCGGCCTCGCCTATCGCTGATGATGAGGGGCGGCGGCCGGGCCATCGGAGCAGCCGGAAAGAGCGCCGGCAGCGAGAAAGGGAAAAGGACAAGGAAAGGGAGAAGGATCGAGACCGGAAGTCGAGCCATCGCTCCCATGGCGAGAGGGACTATGATCGGTCTGAGAGGGATCGGGATAGAGAGAAGGATCGCAATCGGAACCGGGAGCGGGACCGGGAGCGGGATAGGGAACGGGATAGGGACCGCAAGGAGCGTCGCGATCGTGACCGGGAACGTGATCGCGACCGGGATCGAGATCGAGATCGAGACAGAGAGAGGGACCGCGACCGTGACCGCGACCGTGATCGCGACCGGGGCAGAGACCGCAGTGATAAGGAGCATCGGCACCGAAGTAGCAAGACGTCGGCGGCAGCAACAAACGAGCAGGCTAGTGGAGAAGCCGACAAAGAATTCCAAGCCCCGACTGGGCCCAAGTCCTCAGGTAGTCGAGGACTCGAGATCAAGGGAGCGGGAATTGACAGCAGCCGGCGCTCCTCGCTGACGGCAGCCACCAGTTCGGGCCTGGGTCCGGCGGCCACGGACCCGCATGCCGCTGAGCGTGCCGCTCGGGACCGTGAACGGCTGCTTAAGGAGACGAGGCGGATGGCGAGTTTGACGGGACTAGCAGGGGCGAAGCGCGGGCGGGATCGTGATGAGGGCGGCGACGATTCCAGAAAAAGCCGCCGAAAGGGGCGGCGCGGGGAGATGGTCAGTATTGATGATGAGGAGGAGAGGATGAAACGGCTTGAGACGGAGAGGGAGCAGGCTAGATATGAATAAGTGTGAAACCCCAGTACAACGATCTGGGTCCTGTTTAAGCCGGCCAGTGGGCGGATGAATGTAAATTTTTTTTTCCCCCTTCAAATTTCGTTGCGCATGGGAAGTGCGTTCGGGGTCTTGAATTCTTCTGCACTGAGTGCCTCCTTGGCATCATGGAGCGGAAGGGTCACGGTATCATAACCTAGATAATGCCTAGATGCCTACTTAGGTATGTTACCTACCTTGTTGAACCAGGGATGTCACTGAATCCTGCATCAACCGCTCCGCATCTACTAGACCTCGTTCCGTTCAGAAATACAGGAGGCGAGATAACGGGAATATGCCAAGGAAAAGCGTCATTCAGGGTCGAACACCCACATACTTAAGTCGTTTCCTAATTGTTGTATTGCACGAACACAACCTGTCTTTGGTCCCTGCATTTACCAACTGCCAGTGGCTCCAGGTCCTTCTTCGGCACTGTCTGCAGGTTCCTGCACAGTGAAGCAGGTGATGGGTCTCATCAGCCAGCAACCTAGGTAGAAAAACGTATGTATGTCCATACCTAGGTAGGTACATACATATCTCACTTGGCCGCCCTTGTATCCCAACGGATCGTGGTTTGACTTCCCCCAAGTATTGGCCAGCTACTGGGCGGAACAATGGCCACGAGGACTATTCAGGGGGTGCTTTCGCAGCAGCATTGGACAACGGAAGGCACGCCACATAGTCAAGTCCACAAATCCAAGACCGTGTTTGGCTGCTTTGCACAGGGCTATTATGGGCCAAGGAGAAGGCGGGGTCAATATCGTCTGATAACTGTGCCGTTCAAGTATGCTCAATGCCATGCCATCACTGCAGTGGGTTGACAACAGTTTGACCATGCTCTATGCGGTTGCTGTACTGTAATAAAGGTACATACATCGGTACCTAAGCGAGCCAAGGTACTTAATTTAGTAGCACAGTGTCCCTATACTGTGCTGCCCCTCGCTGCGTCAGTGGAAAGCTTATCAGAGGGCAACGACGCTGCGGTGATGCCAGCTTTGTCCACATGCCCCTCTTTCCCAACCTACCTCTCCGTTGTACATATCCTCTTCTAGTAGATCGCACGAAGCGAGGATCAACCAATATACTTCACTGTTGTCTCCCGTATCTACCTTCTTCCCCTTGGCAAATACAGCACATTTGATATTATTTGCCTCGTTCCATGCGTTCCATGTAAGCCATCGAGACAATGCGACCACTTGCAGGCGACGACGCTCTCGGGCGTCCCCGCACCTCCAACATGGACGACCTTTCCTCCTTCAGCCTTCCCGCTGCCCCTCAAATGACCTACTTCCTTGCTGATGAGTCCGCCATCGGTTCGTCGACACAGCCGCCCCAAGCTGCCGTCCACCGTGCAAAAGAGAAGCGAAGAGTACCCGTGGCCGAAACCCCGGACGTTCCGAGGCCGCGCCCAACGTCACGCTATGACATTGAGCTGGACAACAGAGATAGCACCAGCCGGCCCTCGAGCTCTAAGGGCCCGCTTGACTCACTCAGGCACAACGATGGCGATTCTGCCCGGCCAATTTCTCCGTTCCCCAAGCCACTAGGCACCCCCAGCATGTCGCAGCCTCTAACCCCTGCCCTCGTTGGCGTCTCGGGCCCCGCATCCGCCATAAGTAGCGTCTCTTCCAGGAGAAACTCGTTCTGCCTGTCTGAGGATCTAGGCAGCCATACCCCGAGCATGCGCGACGGTGACGCCGGCCCGAGGGAGGAGGACGCCGAAGAGGAGCGGGAGCCTGTCACAAGCTCTGCCATGATGGATAGCGGCAGCGCCCCGCAGCTCATCATGCCCAGCATCAAGATGCCGAGCCGTCGGCCCTTCACCGATGAGGGCAAGCGCATGGGACGCCTGAAGGTGCTGATTGCGGGCGACAGCGGCGTGGGCAAGACGTCTCTGATCAAGGCCGTGGTTCAGTCTTGTGAGCATATTGTGCATGTGGATCCCATTACGCCGTCGTCAGTGCTGTCGTCGTCGGTGACGAGGTCGATGCCGACCATCGCCGCTTCTTCCACGACTAGGCAGAGAAGCAGCCGGCGGGGCTCCCCCAAAGAGAGCGCCGGCACGAGCCAGATTACCGAGATTTATGCGAGCACCAAACCGTACCCTGAATGGTGGTCTGAGATGGACGATCTTTGCGTCCTCCGTCGTAGAAAGAGCCTGGGAGATGCCGTGCTGGACCGCAACATTTGCTTCGTTGATACCCCTGGTTACGGGAGCGGATCATCTGTGTGTTTATGCCTGGAGCAATATGCTGAGGCCGCCGTGCTAACCGTTTGCAGTCTATGGACACGATAACACCTGTGGTACAGTACATTGAAGCCCACCTGCAGCGGATAAACCAGAATTCCCTCAGCGACGGAGACGTGCTGAACCTCTTGGGTGGAGAAGGCGGAATTCAGGTTGACCTCGTGTTTTACATGGTCTCAAACCGTATGAGAGACATCTATTCCAAAGTAGGATCACCCGCTAATTGCTTGAATCAGGTCTCCGTCCTGTTGATATACACTACTTACAGCAACTCGCCCCGTTAACCAACATAATCCTGCTCCTTGCTCAGGCAGACCTGATGTCGGCGGAACAGGTAGCCGCTAGCAAGGAGCAGATCCACAGCCAGCTGCATGAAGCAAACATCAACCTCTTTTCCTTCTCCGTGGCCTCTCAGAGCTGCCCGAGTGCCTTGGACGCCGACAGGCAGGGCGTATATGCGATATCTAGCGCCACAGGGTCCGATCATGACCTCATGGATGCCAGCCTACTAATGTCACCAGACTATGTCCAGCCGTTAATACCCACAGAGCTTGGCTCCCTGGTGGAGCAAGTCTTCAGCAGCAACGGCGTCTCTTGGCTACGCCACTCAGTCGCCCGCAAGTACGTCCAATGGCGAAAGGGAGAGAGTAATATCAACAACAGCACCAACCTCCTACCGAGGCAGCCTTCGTCATACAATCCAATTCCCTTCATAAGCCTGAATGGTCCCAGCCAGGTCCTCACTCTGCCCGTGGGCGCCGCGTCCTCGTATGCGCTGGCCCGCCTCGCAGACCACACCCAGCGGGAGGAGCGCTTGGCGCAGGTCCGCCTAGCAAACTGGGCGGCTGACCTGCAAAAGAGCCTAGCCAGGGAAAGGGAACAGTACGCGGCACTGGCGCGAGGGGAGCGAGCCATGTGGCTGGCCGAGAAGATCAACGAGTGTATAGAGGACGGTAGTCTCGTTCCCAGGGCACCGCCAGATACTGGTGATCTTGGGACCAGTCCACCTGGCAGGAGGCCACGGGCCTTTCCCCCTACTGATTGGAAGGTTCATTATGGGTATGGGCCCCTTGATGCTGCCTCTCCTCCAGGAGCGGACGGTGACCCCTCATCGTTGGCTTCATCCCCTCGTATGAGTGGGGAACGGCGGCACCGCCAACAGTACTATTACCAGCAGCACCGCCAGCGTCATGACCCGCTTGGACTGTTGGAGGTCGCCGACGAGTTGAAACATAAGGGCTTGATCGCACTGGAGGTGCTGGGGAGTTTGGGTGTGCTTGGAGGGCTCGCGCTGTGGGTGACCAGGCATTACCTTCATCTGCCAGCTTATGGGTGGTTGTTGGGCGAGTGGGAGAGATTCTGGTATGGTGTTGGCACCGGTGGTGGACGGTAAAGAAGGGTGTCGACTGTTCTCGATGGGGTTTTCAGAGCCCGGACCGCCCCTAAACTCCCGAGTCCCTTACCTACCCTACCCTATCCTAATCTTGTACCTACCGTGCATTCGGAAGAGGGGCACCCTTCATTTTGATTCTTTTGCTCTGGGAATGGTCCGCATCACACGTGCCTACCCTGTGGGCGTTGGTAAGTGGCACGTGTCTGTTTGCTTAAGAAGCGGTTATTTTGGATTGGGAATGGTACCTGAAGTGGACGATCACGGCTTAATTAATATAAGTATATTATACTTCTCGATGTGATGCGGAAGCAAGTCTGCCCTGACTGCTTACCTAGAGTAGGTACCTAGCCAAACTGTCCCAGTCTCAAGCACCTAGTGGAGGAAGGGGGGCGTCTCTGACCGTACGGTCTGTCTCATGACATCAAAGTCTAGCACTAGCAAATTGAACTGTAATGACAACATTATAATACCTAGCCGGTGCCATAATGTTCATATGAGATATACACCACATAATATCATAGATTCACCAAGTGGCAGACTTGAAAATCGCATAGAGTGTTTACACTACTAGGTAGTACTATGGTATTTATCTGAAATGACAGGCCGACAATGCTCATGTCCCCTCAATGTTCGATGCCAATGTCTTCCGATTAGCACTGGAAAAGGCGCTACCTTAGCAGTATGGCAAACTCGGATTCGAACAGCTTCCAGGGATGAACTTCTGGTCAACTTTTGGCAGATCTCGCTCAAAGATCTGAGCGGATGGGTCGAGGACGCGATCAATTATGTGGACGAGACCCTACCCACATCAGTTTCCGGTCTTGAGTTTTGAGAATGGCTGATAGGCACAGAACCTACATTTGTAACCTCGATGTTGGCTTCGCTGACGCTCGAGACATCGTTCAGTATAAGAACCCCGTTCACGATCCTAGTTCCAATGTACAGGAACGTCCCGGTCTGGAGTCTTTTTATGGTCCGTCGACAGGTATAAATAACATAACTAGGGAGTCAGCTTCGTCTCCCTTTTGATTTTCTCGGCCGCGGATTCCAGGGCAACCGACCCCCCGCCCGCTCCACGACAGAAGCTAGAACTGAGAGGTCCTCCCTCGACCGGATGAAATCGAGCAGGGCAGTCACATTGTATGGTTTGGGAGCAATATAAGTGCCATCTGGTATCGCCGCGAAGCTGAGGGGTTGACGATCAAGCACCTCATACTGGGCCACGAGTGCTGCCCCGAGGGTCAGGATGGTATGCAGAAGCATCATATGTGCTGCCTAGAGTTGAGATGGTTCCGATCGAAGAAAAGTCATTTGCAACTGGAGCTCCCCTCTGAGGTCCAAGCGATAATTGAGCTTTCAATAAGGTATCTAAAGACTCAAGAGGAATGAATTGGGAGTGTACCTATACTAGTGACATCAACTTCATCAAGTGTTAGACTGTTAGTGAGGTGGAGTGAGAGCATTCTGAATTTCTAAGCCAGAATTAACCAAAGATGATCACTATTAAAGAAGCCGCTATGCGATCCGGGCGCCAACAAGTATCAGGGATCACTTTGAAAGACCGGGGGAAGGCCCGGGGGAATGCTCTGGTAGTACTACTGGTACCAGATTGTCGGAATGCGGAGGAAGGCACGGCCCGCAGCCCGGACACACCTTCCGCTTCTAGGTCTCCCTTCAGTTTCAGTGAAAGCAGGTAGTACAGGTACCTACCTAAATATCTTGTTTTGTCAATGCAGTCGGATGACAAATGCAGGAACTCCGGGCTCCTCGTTTGTGCGCACCATGATTTGCAGACGGCAAGCTCAAGACTTCTTCAGGGGGTTTCCACCTTATTGTAGTGCGGCGTGCCCTATCTGTTCGGACGGTTCCAGGTTCCTCGGTACTCCCCACGCCGACTTACAGACAGGTTGATCTTCTCAAGTGCTACTTGTCCACACCAAGGTCGCCTACATGGAGCTCAAGGTGTTCAAATTTCTGTCCCTCCTCCTTCTTGCCACCCCGTCACTGGCGGGACGCCTGGCCAAGAAGCCTCAAATGGGTAGGTATTTCAATCTCCCTGCATGTTTCGGATAGATGATGTCTAATTCATTGAAACTGACGGCGAGACCAGGTTGGAATTCGTGGAATACGTTCAAGTATGCCGTGGACGAGAAACTCATCAAATCCACGGCTATGAGGTTGGTTGATACCGGCCTAGCGAGACTCGGTTACGATTATGTGAACATCGACGATGGCTGGCAGACGTATCAGCGAGACAGCAATGGCCATCAGCAAGCCAATGCTACAAAGTTTCCTAATGGCATCAAAGCTGTGGCCGACTACGTCCACAGCCTCGGATTGAAATTGGGCATTTACAGGTATACATACCTAATTCGTGTCACTTCATTATGTCTGGAGTACGTGTACATGTAGCTGACCTCCAGCACAGCGATGCCGGCATCTATGACTGCGGCTTCTATCCGGGCAGCCATGGCTATGAAGAGCTGGACGCCAGCTTGTACGCACAATGGGATGTGGACTATCTCAAGTATGACAACTGTGGCGGTTTCCAGATGAACACTCTCTCTGCTCAAGAGAGATTTCTCCGCATGTCGTACGCCTTGAAGAACTCGGGCCGCGAAATATTCTACTCCCTCTGCGAGTGGGGTCACCAGTTCCGCTGGCTTTGGGCCGACCAGTTCAGCGAGTCCTATCGCATGTCTGGCGACATTCACAGTGCCTACCGCGCCGACAAGTCCGGTGTGTGTACAACGGCATATTGCCTAAACACGGGCTACGCCGGTGTGAGTGACTTGACCATGATCCGAAAAATGCGTGAGCTTTCTCCTTTTCAGAAACCGGGAGCTTGGGGTAGGTGTAACCAATTCCTTCTTGCAATGTTATGGCAATCTGAGGAGGTACTGACGTTGACTCTGATATAGCTGATATGGACATGCTTGAGATTGGAACCGGAACCATGACCGAATACCAGGAGCAGACGCACTTCTCCTTCTGGGCAGCGCTGAAGTCCCCCCTCATTATCGGTGCTGATATCAACAATATCAGTGATTCTTCACTGGCAATTCTGAAGAATAAAGATATCATTTCTATCAGCCAGGACGACCTCGGTCGGGCCGCGAACTACCTCCCCGAGCTGTCCGAGGAAGGCGAATACCAGATCTGGGCCGGACCTCTGAGTTCTGGAAGGTCTCGCCATGTCATTCTCGTTCAGAACTACGGATCTAAGGCTATAAACGTCACACTTCCGCTCGCATCTGTTTCAGGGCTAGAAAAACGGGCTGACCGGACAGGATTGGTGATTCGGGATGTTTGGGCGAGCGTGGATTCAGGCAAGCTTGGCGAGACGATAGAACTCAAGAATGTCGAGGTCGACCAAGTCAAGGTCCTTGTATTGAAGAAGCGATAGATAATAGTTGATTATCGTATGCCAGATACACAATACCAGTTACTTCTCCTGACCCTTCTTCTGCTAGACCAAGCTCGGGAGTCAGAGGGGGTCCCTTACGATAGTATGAACCCGCTCACACCAAGGATAGTAGAAATTGAAAGCTGATAAACTAACAAACGCCAATTCGCCAACTTGCTCATATGTGTTTACTAGATCATCCAGACCCAACTGGATGGTGATTACTTAGGTATGTCCCGCAACAACTGAAGGGACCCGAGGGACTTCATTGTGCTCGGTGTCCGCGATTCAAGTTTTCGGCGTGACGGAACGACCGGCTAGTGACCGGGCAGCATCCCGACTATCAATGCTAGCTACCTACCTAAGCAGGAAAAGTTGGGGAAAGCGGGCAAACATGGTCACGCGGATAGGATGTAAGGACACGACCGAAAGACACTACCTACCGTGTACGGTTTTCGGAGCAAAGCCCGGCTACGTAAGTAAGTAAACCCTGTGCTAGTATGGGGCAGTCAAAGCACTAAACTTGAAGTATAATAGAAACTACTATATTTACCCACTTGTATGTACTTAGTACATACATAGTCTGACTGGAAGACTGAAGAATGTCAAGCTCAGCACTCAAGTCATCCGCAACTAAGCCAACTCGTTCAACTAGACGTTCCAGTCGCCATGTCCATGTTGGTGAAAGTGAAACTGCGATCTCTCTGGGTCCTGGCCGTGTTAGTCTTGACGTGTACCGGAGCTCAATCACGATGCAACCCCATCAGGACATATCCGATTCCAGACGGAGCACCGCAAAAGGACTCGTACGAAGTCAAAGTTCGGCCGCTCAACGGTACGTGGCAGGCTGTTGGGCCGGGACGTACGAAACCCACCAGGGGAAGCGCCATGGTCCACGCGGGCTCCATGGCGTACTTTGACTTCTCGGGGACTGTCGAGGTCTCGCTGACATACAAAGTGGGATCCGTGGTCGCAGCACGAGTCCGTCCAGACTCGCTCGGCATCGTGCCCGCGGTAGAAGGCAACACAATCAGCTTCACCCTGAATAAGCCGCGATGCATCGTACCTTCCCAAGACCCACATCCCCATGGCTCCATGTGACCCTGGGGTGCTGGGCCGGGGCATCTCTCGGGACGGTGACCGAGCACTACACGTTGTGAATCCTTGGAGCAGAGATCGTTGCTTCCTGGTGCAACACCTGCGGGACTACGTACCCGCTCCATGTCTGTCCGCCCAATGGAAATGGAGGTAAAAAACCTCAGTCAATATAAGGAGTTGGCTGTCACCAAGATGGCAATGAATGGGACGCTCCACCATGTTATTTCAAGATTCTCACATCTTCACTTGAGCTCTCTACAAGGCTGCGAAGCCAGGAATAATGGAAAAGGCAACTCACGCCCGGAGAGACGACCCAATCATGGTGGCAGAGCCCGTGGCAGGACCTGCCTGGGATCATCATGACCAAGACCACGAGGTTGGTACCTACTTATACAATCCAGAAGAATCGAATATGGCGTTGAAGAGGTGGACAAGGGGCTGACTGAATGCGCAGATTGCAGCCATCATTGGCGATGCTGCCAGGCACATCGACGAGGAAACCAGTAGAAAACTCTTCTGGACCGTCAACAAACGGATCCTCGCATGCATGCTAGGAACCTACTTCTGTCAGTCTCTCGACAAGGGAACTCTTGGCTTCGCATCTATCATGAACATCCAGAACGACGCCCATCTCGTCGGACAGCAATATTCGTAGGTTGGCTCGTATTCCTCCTGTCCCCGGCTCGTTGCTGACAATGAACGCCTTGACAGCTGGCTAGGAACAATCCTTTACATGGGCGTACTGGTGGGTGAATACCCTACCAACCTCTTACTCCAGAAGCTCCCGGTCGCCAAATATCTCGCCGTCAACGTCTTCTGTTGGGAGCAGTGGTCGCCTGCTCCGCTGCTGCCACCAACTTTGCTGGCTTAATGACCTGTCGATTCTTGCTTGGGATATTCGAATCTTGTGTTCAGCCCGTCTTCATCATCATGTATGTCTTGTCTGAAAGCTTCCGCTCAAACCGCCATGCCGCATGTTACTGATTTCCTCCGGGACCAGGACTTCCATGTGGTATACAAAGCGAGAGCAAGCTGTGCTCACCTCATTGTGGTACTGTATGACGGGTGTCCAGCTCATGGCAAGTGTTCGCTCAAGCCTGTAATAGTTCACACGGATGCTAACAATTCTGTCTCAATAGGTCGGTGGCATCATTGCTTGGGGAGTATCGGACTACACGAATGCCGTCATCTTCCCATGGCAGCTTCTATTTCTCGTCCTCGGCCTAGCCACCTGCGCCTGGGCTGTCTTTCTCGGCTGGTGGCTGCCCGATTCGCCCGTCAAGGCAAAGTGCTTCACTGAGGACCGAAGCGGCTGATGATTGAGCCGTGAGCGTGTCCGTGCCAATGAGACTGGTATCCAAAACAGGACTTACAAACGTTACTAGATGCTTGAGGCTGTTACTGACCCTGTTGTCTGGTGCTACGTTATGCTCCAGCTCACCTCCACCCTCATCATTGGCGGTCTAGGTGTTTTCTCCAACCTCATTATCGCCTCGTTCGGCTTCACCTACCTCCAGACCCAGCTGCTCAATATTGCCCAAGGCGTCGTCACCATCATAGTCATGGTCGGCAGTGCCAGCTTGGCAACGTGGACAAAGCAGACGGCTTGGGTGATGCATGCTTGGACAGTGTGAGTGCTAGCAAAGATCAAAAGGCACATCTGCCGCACGGAACTGACAAGCTCGGTAGTCCCGCCATCCTTGGAACGGCCATCATCTACACCATCCCCCCAAACGAGTCTAACCGTGTGGGATTGCTCATTGCTTTCTACTGCACCCAGTTCTACCTCGCCGAAGGAAATCTCATCTTCTCCCTCATCTCCCGAAACATTGCAGGACAGACCAAGAAGTCAACAACCCTAGCCATCGCCTTTGTCGCGTGGGCCGCGAGAAATATGGCCGCCCCTCAGGTACGTCTGTCTCGGTTCCAGGTGGTGAAGGTGAAATCACAGAGTGTAGATCCGGCTACTAACAGAAGTGACATGGCGTGCGTTACTACAGATCTTCCAGCAGTCCGACGCCCCCCGATACCAGAAGGGCTTCACGGCCCACTTTTGCCTCTACGTGCTGTTCAACCTCTTCCTCGTCGTGCTCCGGCTGCTGCTCGTCCGCCGGAACCAGGCCAAGCGGTTTGCCCACGCCGGTCTTGCTGCCAACGAGACAGGCGGCGACTTGGCCGAGGAGACGGGTGACGAGAAGATTCGGCACGAGCATGCCTTTGAGGACTTGACGGATAAGGAGAATCTGGACTTCCGGTATGATGTGTAGAGAGTACTTTGACTAAGTAGACAGACGTTGGATTAGTGCCTGGGGTCTTGGTTGTAGATAGTGCGCACAGTTCTGAATAGTCCAGACTTTTTGAGATCTGTGCCAGCTGCTCACGATACGCCGGCACGTCTCCGTTGCTTACATTTGGTTAGGTACCTTGCTTGACTTCATCCTCTACCTTATACGATCGCTGCGGTTGGCCCGGAGTAGATGTCCTCCAAATAGTGGGTATGGGTCACACGATAACCCAGTAACCCTCCTGCCAATAGCTCTATCATCAAGTAGGTAAGGTACCTTAAGCTGGCCTTCTCTCATCTGATCAGCTACCTAGGTATTTAGGTACCTTTTCCACATGCTAACCACTTAAACCAGACGCACATTAAATTTGAGACAATCGACATACTACGGCGAGTAGGCGACTGGAGAGTGGAAAATATTGCATCAAGGATGTGTCTAGCGCCGGCTGCCCGCCGGACGATACTCCGAAGCCCGGTGTCGCTGATGTATCTAAGTACAGTGCGGAGAAGGAGCTTACCCCTGACCGGGATCCAGGGGCCCCTCGGCGCAAGGCGGTTGACTTACCGCAGACATGGCACTACCGGTAGCATGGGCAGATCCTAGAGAAAGCCATGAGATGTTAGTTTAAGTTTTCGGGCATCATGGAAGGTTGTACTCCGCTATCAATCCTTTATATGGTGCGTCCTCGTTTCAGTTCGTTCCCTGCTTTGGTGGTGCTTCTGTGAATGGCTGCATCGACCCACGGCTGCTAAGTGGTCGTAATTCGTGAGCATAAGACTCTGAGCCATGCCGTCCCAGCCGTCGCCATAGTCCTCGGGCTCTTCAGTGGGATTGTCTGTGGCACCGGTGGACTCAATGGACTACCCATCCTCAATGGCCCAATCCCTGTTGTGCCGAATACCCCCGGTATGAAGAGATCCATGGGCGACTTCATCCATCCAGGTCTCTGGCACACCCACGACCATCTTGAACGCATCAGACTTGGTGTCAAGAACGGTGAAGAACCGTGGGCCTCGGCTTACGCCAATTTCAGCGCCAACACTTATTCTCAAGCCAATGTGGGTGAACTCGAAGAGAGAGCATTCTTTTCGTGAGCAACATAGCCGACTGACAACCGTTCCCAGTATCAAATCCAAGGACCGAAGTCGGTAATTTGCCGTGGGTCTTGCAGCAACTTCACCTCCTTCTCCAATGATGTGCGCGCCGCGTACCAAAACGCCCTGATGTGGTACATCACGAGGGACCAAGGCCACTGGGACAAGGCCACGACCATCTTGGACGATTGGGGTGGCAATCTGACCAACATCATCGGAACGGATACCTCGCTGCTGGTCGGACTCGAAGGCGATATGTTTGCCAACGCGGCCGAGATCATGCGGTGGGAGGGCAACTGGACCGAGCGTGGAGCCAAAGCATCGGGCACGAGTGGCTTCTCCAACCAGCTGTACTGGCTGTTTGCGAAGCAATCCATAAACGTCGGACAGGCCAACTATGGCATGGTCAGTATCAAGGCCATGCTGTCGTTTGCCGTTTACCTGGACGATGTGGCCCTGGTAAGTCCAGTCTCGGCCTGTGTACCTGTAAGGCAAGGTTAGTACGGTATGCTCAACGCCGCTGACTTACCTTACCTTACCCAAAAGTACAACTACGCGTTCTACCAGTACTCAAACGACCCCTGCGCCGGCATCTATGCCAACTTCCACACTGCAACGGGGCAAAGTGCCGAAACTGGTCGCGACCAGGGACACTCCAAGGGCGGGCTCGGCTGGGCGGCAGAGGCTGCCAGAGTCATCCAGTCTCAGGGCTTCGACGTGTACGGTTACGGCGAGAACCTGCTTCTCAAGGCCTCAGAGTACATCGCCAAGTACAACCTTGGGGAAGACAATGTCCCCTACGACCGCAAGTTCTACCGCTGCGAGGCAGTTCTTGTCAACGGACCGTGACCCTGGGACAGGCCGTCTAACATCAGCAGGGGCGTTCGCCAGAGCCCGGCCGTCTTTGACGTGAGTTGTTGCACATACCTTATTCCTGGATCCATCCTTGGCTAACGTGCAGTACCCTTGAGACAGATTGTCTACTACCAGTACGTCGTGAAGCGCGGCCTGCATGCCCCCTGGACTGTCAAGATGAAGAATGCTGTCGATCAGATCGGCGGCGAGGGTAAGATACCTTACTATGTACTTAATAAGGTCCCCGCGGCTGACATACTTTGGCGGAAGTCTCTGGTGGAAGCGATCACCCGGGATGGGGTGACCTGATCTGGTCGTACCCAGGCAAGGGACGCTTCAGAAACAACGACAGCAGGACTATCTGGGGCGGTGGCAGCATTGGACCAAACGGGCTGGGGAATATAAACGCCTAGGCATGCAGATGATACGAGTGTTGTGGGTCGATCGAGTCCGTAATTCTGTAAAATCAACGGTTTCCGGAGGGTCAACCACGGTTTCCATTCCTAAGGCACCTCAGCTTAGTTTCAGCAGACTCGTAAGAATAACGTCCGACATCTAGGTATTCCAGATATCCTCTACAAAACAGTTAGAGGTGGAGAATTTTTATTGTTTCCGTGAAGCCTCTTCTTCTGACTCGTATTCTTACCGTACTAATCGGCAGGTTAGACTCCACAGTAACACAGGGCTAGGAGAAGCCGAGTGTTCAACAGATGGTCAGATGCAGATGCAGGGACCATCGGCCAGGTTTCCCAGGCAGCACGATTTCCTCGAATTGCACCATTCACTTCGTCGTACTTCGTACTAATTAGCGGCCTTTCTACATACGAAGTACGGAGTACCATTGGCCGGCTTGCGAGCATGTTTGTCATCCATAGTGCTTCTGGCGTCGCGGGGAGACCCGGTACAGTCAGACCTACACATAACGATTAGAGGCATAACGATTACCTGCCTTTGGCGGTCAATATCCTGAGCCCATCGTTATTTGTATGGGAGATTGCAAAATCCTGCCTACTACGATAATCGTTAAGATCTCTGCTGAGTAATACATACAAATCGCTATAGTCAGGGGGTTCTCGGAGCTTTGGCCTCCCCCAAACGGTTAGCTAAGCAGCCTTGGGGCAGCACTGAACCTGCGATTTTAGTGGTCGGATTGAGATTCCCCACAAATTGCTATCTTGGGCAGGAAGAAGGTCAACTCCGGATGACGATAACCTGGAATCAACGGTCAAATTTCTATAACCGACCCAATCGTTATGTGCAGGTTAGCCTGTATACCGTACATACTGTACCTAGTATTCCCGATCGCGATCGGCGTGCTGAGGTAATTTATACCCTTCCCGGAAACATTTCGATGTGGCTTCCCAGTTGCTGTCCGCTGTGGTCGCGGGAGCGGAAAGAGAAGGAAAGCGGACTGAGTGCGCGGTGTCCCGAAATGCTACGAGATGCTACGCTAGGTTAACGTTGCTCCCAGGAAAGGACGGCCTTATTATGCAGTCAGACCAGCCCGGACATGATGGCTTCATGTCGTGCACCATACACGAGGTGCCTAATGTGGTCCCAGTGGTCCCAGTGGTCCCAGCAGAATGTTCGTGGCGCAGCCGCGCCCTTGCTGTTGATCGAGAGATGGAGCGGGCATCTCCATCAGGGGAAAAAACGCATTCGCGCCGCCATGTGGCTTCTTCGTTCCCGTGGTTACCCACTGCCTGTGGCATCAGGTAATCAGCCCTATGAGCGGAGTCGGCGAATCAGAGTCAGCCCGTGCCGAGCACACAATCCACGCAATTTCCCCCGCAGCGAGTGTCGGGCGGTGCAAATGCTGCCGTCAAACTCGGCGTCGCGGTCGCCGCCGAACCCGCAGGCGATTGATTGGTTTCCTGGACACTGACCGCATTGATCCCACACCGCCGGTAGCTCAAAGAGATTTTTCGCATTCGATAATCTCATCCGCAAGGGGGCGGTGCGGTTATTCGATCAATATGCCATGCATACCTACACTAATCACCACGAATGTCATGATGCGGAATGCAGTCTGCCCAAGGTAATTAACATTAACGTTACCTACCTAGTTACCAGCATCGAAATGGACGCGGGAATCCGGACGATTGCCCTTGGGTGTCCAGCAGATCCGTACCGCTGTCGCGTGCCAATGTGCGAAAACGACACCCAGCAAGGCATTGCTGCAATGAGATGATGTGTCCGTGACGCACCTCGCCGAAGACTCTTGACAAGTTGCTTGCGACGCTTGGTGCCCAAACGAGCTGATGAGCCAGATAAACTGCGCGCATTGGCAAGAGTAAAATTGCGCTTACCGCAACAAAATGACATATTTTCCAACCAATGCGGGAAATTAGAAATCAAGGGATGCATCAAGGACTGACACAATAGTAATCAGGGAGATGAGGACATTTCATCAATTGATGGTTGCAGGGCTGTTGCTTAGATAACCCTCCATGCGGACGGAAGCCCACAGAAGACGAAAGCGTGATATGGAGACTACTAGTACCGCTCCATGCCGCGACCATTTGGCCGGATACATATCTTCTACAGTTCGCTAGGGAATTTGTTGCTTAAAAATCCGGGCTGGAAGTCGGAGATTCCACGTCCTAAGGACCGAGCGGGTCCAAATCACTTTGCGTAGGACCGTAGGTACGTGTACTTTCGTAGTGTAGAGTCATTCGGAGAGTTCCCCGAGTCCAACCAATCAATCCGCCGACCGTGCTCATTTGTTAGCAACGGTGTTAGGCGAGAGAGCATAACTCCGCTCGGCTCAGAGGCTCAGGTACGGAGGACTGGCGACGTTGGCCGAAACAGGCTCGTAAATTTCGTGCCAACAATCAATCAGCAACGCAACAAGAGATGGCAGGCGTCGCACCAAAAATGATTCGACATGCGTTGCGTCAGGTAGATTTGGCATGGCAGCCATGGCTCGCAGAGGCGGCCTTGAACGGGCGATGGATGCGGTCGAATGCCTGGTAACAAGGCGGAAAAGTCTCCATGGTGCCTCACCGCCGCCGCGTCTCGAGTCCCGTCTGTTTTCGCAGTGAGAGGGGCGGCGCAGGGCGCGGTCAAAGACCTCGTTTCTCTAACCTGCAAGGGTAATTATGCAGAGGCCTAAGGGCGGGCCGGGGGTGGAGATCGGACTCTCGGTTTTTGTCAGCTGCTGCGGATGATACAGCAACCTTGTACTGGTGACCCGCGGTGTCTTGGACGGAGCCGAGAACGCCAACAAGACGGTCAAGGGATCAGTCCTAGTTACAAAAGGACTTGGGGCCGCCCTCTCCCGGGCATAAGCCATCCTTTTCGTCCTCGACCAGAATCAACCACCACTCGACCTTGTCTCCGCCAGTCTGGAGTTTTTCATCTTACACACAAATGCTATTTCCCTCTTGGTAACAAGAAGGAACTGTGGTCTTGCGCTGGGAACTGTAGCAGATTCTCACCCAAGCTCCCAACCCCGGTTTGATTTGGCCTACAGATCGCAAACCGCACCCCACTCCGTGTTGCATCCACACCCTCTGAGCCAGCCCAACCGGACTTTTCCGCGATCGGAATCGGTGCCTTGACTCACAGGCGCAAAAAGAAATTGTCAAAGCAAAAGGCAGCAAATATTTGGAAGCCTGCTGTCATCCGCCTCGCAAAAATGTCTTCTCCTCTCCCCATCACAACAACAAGAAGAACACAACAGCCGAGGCCATTGAGCTCCTCGCCGGCACCCTCCCCAGCTTCCGCTTCACCCTACGGGCTTAGACCAACCCGGAAGATGTCAATCGCGCAAACCTACTTCCTTGCACACAAGGCCCGGGCCAAGCTCTCCTCGGAGGCTTCCCGGCCCGACCATAACCTCCGCCTCCTGGTCGGGCACGCCAACCTGCTTGACTCGCTGATGCTGGAGCTCGCCGACGCCGAGAGGGAACAAGAATCATGGTTCAACCAATCGGTCCGCGGCGCTTCGCCCGCGACCGAGGAGCGGCACATCCAGTGGGCCGACACAATCGTCGAGGAGCCCGAGCAAGATTGGCAGGCCGAGGACGCCGAGTCCGACTCTGACGACTCGGATTCAGAAATGGACTTTGACGAGGAGGACGAGGACCTCGACATGGCCGATGCCGTTCCCTTGAGGAGGATACCTTCACATGGCCTGCTGCCTCCAACAGCGACCACAACCAAGGTTTACGGCTACGACGATGACTACGATATGGACGATGAGGAGGACTACGAGCACCTTGCGTTACAACGAAGCCCGTCGCACTCGGCGTCGGTGCTTGACTCGCCGCCCGAGCTGGAAGACGATTCGGATGGCTCTACAGAAGACGAGCCGATGCCCCCATCACCGCCTACAACACTCCTGCCGGCATTTGAGGAGAAGCAGATGGGGAGCAGTGCAACAAAAACAGCCACAGCAGACTTGGAAGACAAGACAGCCTTCTATGAAGAGGGATTCTACCTCCCACCACGAAATCCGGCAAGACTGCTTCCCGGGATATCAGTCTTCTAGAAGGGGCTTATCTCGACTGTTTTTGTTTCGCGATACTGCTCTTCCTTCTGCATGGGCGGCGTTTTCTGCTTTGAATGATACCAAGCGATTTGGCACTCTGGCAGCGAAAAAAAGTTTATCTTTTCCTTGGGTTGTATACGAAATATTCGGTGTCATTGCCCGGCTATCTATTCTACACATTTCCTTTTCCGTCACCGCTCAATACTGGAATATGATATCGCGGAGCGATACTCTAGAGGGAACTGGCCCTGGACCATGGGAGGAATGTAACAATTGGTCTTGTATCATGATACAATTTACCCAGCAAAGCTCCTTCGCTCCCTCGCACACACAGATGTGCGCAAGGTTGAGTGAGCAGCAGCTAGGGTGAGGGGGAAACTGAGGTAGCTAGTACCTTCCAAACAGGAAATGGAAATAACAAACATTGTTATCAACATAATCTTGCCATCCATCGTTGCTGATTCCTGGCTGATACTCCAGAGTCTCAATTGACATCATATGTCTTGCCTCGCTCGTTCGTGATGCCAATCACCCGAGACGGCCGAGGATCGGAAGGCGGGAGCTCGAAGGCTTGGCAAAATGGTGCAAGGAGATCGGTTCCGAGTGAGCGGTATGATTCACACACCAAAATCTGAGGACACCCACCCCGGGGTGCGAATATCAAGTTTAGGTACCTCTTTGGACCCAAAGACCTTTTCCTTCTCGCTCTGGTTTTCTTACTGTACCTGGCGACCAGGACAACGATATTGTGGGGGAAAGAAAGGAGTTCTCTTTCGTCCGTACGGCTGCCAGACTGACTACATAGATTGACCAAAGGAATGGCTTTGGCCGTAGAGGTTCCTTGTCGATTTGGTTCGCTCGCATCGCTTTCGCTTATTACGTGGATGACGGCGCGAAAGGGATCCCACGGGATTTTCGAAAGAACAGTCCACGTACTCATTTTCCCTTACGGACAGAGCGGCAGGGGGGAGGTGTTGTTGAGATTGCGACAGCATGTGTGTGTGTGTTGTGTGGCTGGCGCAGCATGACTTACTTTGAGTGTCTTGCCTTGGCTTGAATTGTCACTTTACGATGCCGCGTGCACGCCATGGTTCATCATCAGTAATTTCCCTTCATATTCTGGTGTTTATGTGGGGGAAGGGAAGGGGCCGTTTCTCTTTGCGGCGTCGGGGCCTCGATTGCGGCGGAGCTGGTTTGAGAGAAGAGGTCGAGGGCCGTTTCAACTCTTTTTTTTAACTTGTTGCACTCGGCAGTGGGCCAAGACTGAGTTGGCCATTTGTTGTTTCTTGTTGGGTGCAATCGCACATACATTCCTTGGAGACTTTTGATTCTCAGGCAGAAGGTAAGGTAGGCACAATAGGTACTGTACTGTTGGGTTCCGGCTTTGCATGAAATCGCTTTGTTGGCAGTCGAGCGGATCGTTGTTCTCACCGCAACCTAACACGATGACTGCGCAACTGCGTCCTGAGTGTCATGCCTGCATGAGAATTGCAGTGAGAAAATACTGGGGCCTAAATTTCTCTGGAGCGATTTGCTGGACGCCTTGGCATCTTCACTCTCACCCGCTTCTGGGCACTTGTCTGATGCAACTTCAGATGCTGCCTAAGGTGGCTGAGATATCGTTGCACGTCTTGACGAATGTCAGTGCAGGGGCCGTCAGCAACAGCCAACAACGCCTTGGTCCCAGATATCTGGAAATTGCAGTCAATGCCCATATCGGGAAATGGGGATAAGTTACACGTAATCCGCTGACGGAACTAAGTTACATCCTTCGATACTAGTATCGAGCCTGGCGATGCTGGGCCGGCACGATTTTGTAAGTTGAGGGGCAGCAGCAATAGCCTTAGATTTGCTGTAAATCATCCTACCGCTTGTTTCGAAACCACTGCAGACCGCCTCAGCCAAAATCGTGGCCATGCCTTAGATGTTCGGTAAAACGAGGCGATGCGGAGTTCGCGGCCTGGGTACTTCATGATATGGGAGCTACTCGCAGGTGTGCAATAGCATTACATGGATCACTGATCAGCAACACTCCTCGCAGCCTAACAAGTGCAGATGCCAGCAAATCCGTCTTCCACCAAGATTCATCAATTTGCTTGTGCGGGATTGACTTGTTGAAGAGCCAGTACGGGACTCAGAGAGAGCTCAATGACCTCCCACGTGGTACACGTCTTGGCCAACTGGGAGCTCGGCACTGGGGCCGGGAGGGTAGCACCGCCGGCACAAGCCCCCTTCCCCGGAGTTTCGTGTGCATCACCGGGACGCGGATACTGAGTTTTGGGTGAGACAGCAGGGCCGTCAGTTGACCGCCATCAGAGTATTCGTTATCTCGCTTTGTCTGAGAAGCAGATAAGGAAAACGAGGGTTAGAACATGAGCGCAGTATTCGTAGTATAGTAGGATAATCGTCAGTAAACCAAGCGTGGCCCGGTGCTCAGTGTCTCAGAGACCTGTGTCCCCCAAATCCCTGTTGGATGCGAAGTCTTCTCTGCGCGGCGTGTCATCGGCAGCGCTCCTCCAAGGAGGGAAACGGCCGGTATCTTCGGGCCCACCCAACCTGGTTTTCAAAGGTTCCCACCCAGTGTGGCTGTTAGTGCAGGCAAATTTTTGCACCCAAAAATCGGCCTCTGGACTACCCCTCTTAACAGATCGAGGCAGTGGTACATAGTGTACATACATACAACCACAACCGCATCCCTGAGGTGTCTACATCCAGGTGACTCTTGTCTGATTAATCCAGCCGGATTTTTCCTCAAGCACGGTCACGCTGATCGATGAGTTGCAAATTGGCGCACCCAAGTTTTTCTAACATCGGGTAGGCAAGTGGAAGTGCTAATGGCTCTTTGGTCTGAGTCAACTGACAAGGCGAGCCGGCCTCCGCCGGGTTGCGGAACTGTTCGGAGCAAAGGACCACGCAGTTTGTCTGCCATGTACCTTAGCTGGACCTCCCGGAGTTAGCGGGTGGAAAGTACTTTGGAGAATAGATAGGAACGATGATAATGGACTGGCATACCCAAGTTTTTTTGGCTATACACACTACTGATAGATGATAATGGTCACCTACCTAGCGGATCGCGGGTTGACATGGCCCCGTCGAAGCTCAGATGCCTCGCCTTCCGACTATAGGAAGAGGACTGCGAAATCAATATGTACCCCGTATCCGTAGGTATGTCGGGGTTGTGGTTAGAGCCGATATGAAAGAAGCTTTGCGCTAGTTAACTCCGTAGCGTAGTCGTACTGATGAAAGCTGGCCGCACAGATCATCTCGGCCCTACAAAGAACCGCTTTTTCCGATCGGCAAGACTGTTGCTGCCGAGACGGACTGATCGGAATGCAGCATCGACGTCACGGAGCACGAAATACGCAAATTCATCCCGGCATACGCGGCCGAAAGCAATCTTCCACCCAGCTCAAGCCAGGTCCAGGTCTCTTCAGATTGCGTACCGTCTCAATTCAATGCAGCCGGCACGGAGGCTTTTCAGACCGAGCGTATTCGTCTGCCGGAGGTGCTGTTTTACACAGCAGGGACCTCGGGCCCAAGCAGCTCAGCAGCAGCACCACACCCGCCGCGCCTTCTCCGGCTCCGTGACCCGCCATGCCGCTCCCACGGCGCCGTCCCGGTCCGGCCTCGCATCGCTCACGTCGCGCAAGCTAATTTCCATCTCGGGCCCGGATGCAGCAAAATATCTGCAGGGCGTGATCACGGCCAACGTCTTCACCAGCGGCTCCGACCAGCACGTGCGCACCGATGCGGGCTTCTACGCCGCCTTCCTGACCGCCCAGGGCCGCATCCTGCACGACGTCTTTGTCTACCCGGATGTTCGGAAGGACCCCCGCAGTAGCTTCCTCATCGAAGTGGACGCTTCCGAGGCGGAGCGCTTGCAGAAGCACATCAAGCGCTACAAGCTGCGCGCCAAGTTTGACGTGCGCGTGCTGGACGAGGCCGAGGGTAGCGTATGGCACGCATGGGACGATGACGCCAGCAACAGCAATACCCTCACCGCCACTACCACCACCAGCAACAGCAACAGCACCCACAACCCGGCCGTAATCATCATGCAAGACACCCGCGCTCCGGGCCTGGGCCATCGCATCATCAACCTGTCCCCCTCACAGAATCCCTCCCCAGATCTGCCTGGCCTTTCTCTCCTCCCCCCCCAAGTCCCCGAAGAAAGCTACCTCCTCCGACGCTACCTCTTTGGCGTGCCCGAGGGCCAAGCCGAGCTGCTCCGCGAGCAGGCGCTGCCACACGAGAGCAACGTCGACGTGATGGGCGGCGTCGACTTCCGCAAGGGGTGCTACGTCGGCCAGGAGCTGACCATCCGGACCGAGCACCGCGGCGTGGTGCGCAAGCGCGTCCTGCCCTGTCTTTTGTACGGCGGCGACGGCGACGGCGGGCCGCCCGACCGGTTGGAGTACCGCCCCGCCCCCGCCACGGGCAACAACAACGAGGTGACGGCCGAGATGGTACCCTGCGAGGCGAGCATCGGGCGGGTGGGGAAAAAGGGGCGGAGTGCTGGCAAGTGGTTGAAGGGCGTCGGGAATTTGGGGCTAGCGCTGTGTAGGTTGGAGATTATGACTGATCTTGTGCTGCCTGGGGAGCCGGGAGGAACGGGCTTTGATGCCGGCGATGAGTTTGTCGTAGCGCTAGGGGATGGAGAAGGGGAAGGGAAGCGGCGGGAGGTTAAGGTGAAGGCGTTTGTGCCTGACTGGTTGAGGGCAAGGTTGAGAGACAAGGAGGGCTCTCATTGAGCGACGCGCTTTCCAGGCCCAACTTGCCGTTGACCCCCGTGAAGTGCGACTTGTGCTGCGTGTACAAATATTTTGCGTAATACACCGTCGGGACTTCATGCCTATTCTCTGAGATGCGATAGGCATCTTCATGATGACAATTCGGGGACTGACTGAGAAGCCTAACTCATTGTGTGTCCAACTATTTATCTTGTATGCATCTTGGCCGGGAAACTGATCCTCTATTGCCGTCCCCCCTTAGATGCCATAATGACTACTGTGTAATGAAGCTGGCTTCTCAGGGTCGCAATATCATATAATGGATTGAATTCACTTGAGGTTGTCTGCTGGACGATCTACTGGACGATTCTATTAGTAGGGTATCATAGGTCTATCTGGCATGCACAACACAATCATGCTCCTGCTGTCGCAGCTTCTCCCGGTGCTTTTCTCCTCTTCTCCTCGTCTTTCTTCGCCTGGGCAGCGCGAAGTCTTGCCAAAGTAGACGCAAAACCGGCAGCCTTGGGGGGATTGTCTGCAGATTGTGCGGGCGTGGAGATCTTGTCTTCGTCAGCCTGAAGTCCTGTGGCAGTGGGAGGTGGTGGAGGATTGTTGGAGGTCTCCCTTTCTGGGGACGGGGCCGCCGGCGGCGTCCCAGCCTTCTTTGACTTCTTCTCTGCCTTGCGCTGTTCCTTCTCGGCCCTACGCTGCTGCTTCTCCTTGAGACGTTTCTCAAGCTCAGCAATGCGTTCATCGTAGTCCTCACTGGTCTGCGTAGATGTAATCTGGCCGTTTTGACCTTCCCCAACCTTTTTTGGTTCACCTCCTGATGTCACGGCGGCCTCCTTCTCCCTCGCGAGCCTTTCCCGCTTCTCAGCCTCCTCTCTCAGCCGCCTCATCTCTTCCAGCTTGGCCCTTCCCCTCGCGGCCATGGCAGCACGCTCCGGGTCAGGGGTCTGCGTGCTCATAGTCTTGGCGCGCTTGGCCATCTCTTCCCTCCGCTCTAGGTCTTCGACTAGCTGCCGCCTCTTGAGGGACATCTGCTCCAACTCCATCTTCTTTCGTAGAGCGGCGCGCATGCCATTGTCGTAGGCCTCGCGGGCTGCCGGGGTGAGAAGCACATCGCGTGCGCGCTCCAGACGCTCGTAAAGAGCCGGGTCGTAGGCGTCACCGGCCTTGTCAGGGTGCGCTGTGAGCGCCTTGCGCCGGAATGCTCTGCGGATGTCGGCTTCCGACGCTGTGGCATCGGTCGCGAGGAGCGCAAACAAGTCGTCGCCGCGACTTGCGGCGTCGCGGGCGTATTCGACAAGGTCTTGTTCAGGCATATCTTGTGTTTCTTTTTTGTTTTGTTGTGTTTGATGAAAGTTGGGAGATGGTTAACTCGCGAGAAAACGCTCAGTGAGCCGTGAATTGATATCGGGAGCCCCACTTCTGAGAGGGGCGTATCCGGCACCACTAACAGGATGCGCCGGAGTAAGCTACAGTATCCGTCTCTGGAATACTTGACGGCTTTACAATGTATTGTACAAGTACGGATTAGGTATGTACAATACAACCAGCGGTCGAAAGCCATGGTTCGAAAGGACAATACACATCCATAGGACTAGTCCGCTATAGACTTGTCTTGTGTGCTGTGAAAGGATATCACTCTGCGGTTGAGAACCTTGTCCGTCTTTGCTCATTGACCACAGAATCGTCGAGGAAAGGAGTACTGCGCCCTGAAAAGTTACTACAGTTGCTATCTCAGAGAACTCAAATCTGTGTAGACGTCCAGTGTAGACGTCCTGTGCCGGGTTTCGGTTGTCGATAACAACGGGCTCGGGGAACTGGGGAGATAAGATTGCACCACAACATAGTTAACAAAAGGAGGTTCGCCCAATCTTCAATACGTAGCCGTCAACCTCTGCACTAGGTAATCTCCGCTGTTGATACCGGCATACTTCTTGTCGGCCTCGGTAGCGTATGTCCCGGGGATGGCCTCAATGAAACTCTTGAAGTTAGGGTTGCAAAAGTACCTGTTTTGTGTCAGTTTTTCACCCAATATAAAGTTTTGAGAGAAGTGTTCTTCTTATGGCCACTCACGCAATACTGTATCTCGGAGGGTAAGTATCTCCGCCGTCTTCTTCCTTCCTGGGCGGCTCCACTACCCTATGCACCGTACTTTTGATAGTATCATTACTCCACCTGGCTAGCAAATCCCCAGCATTCACTACGCATGTGTTCTCAATAGGGGGGGCGTCGACAAAGCGGCCGTTAGGACTCTTGACCTGGAGCCCACCCTTCTCGTCCTGGAACAACAGGGTGATGGAGCCGTAGTCGGAATGCTCCCCAACGCGGGCTTGGCCCGGGTTGATCTGGAACACGTCTTTCCGTACGGCTGGGTAGTGCAGCAGACGCAACGTGTTGTCACCGTTGTCGACGAACGAATCAAAGAAGCTCTGCGGGAGCGACATGCCTACCGCAATCGCGCGCATAACCTCAACGTGCAGCGCCTTGCACTGGTCAAAAAAGTCCATCATGGTCTCTCGGAAGCCCGCTAGCCCGAGCCCCTCGGCTTCGGCGCCGGATTCGGACGGCCAGTTGTTGGGATGGGCTGGGTCATTGTCGCGTCCTATCTCAAATGACTCTTTGATGTCCGGAACTGAGCGGCGCTGAGCCTCGACCTCCTTGGGGTCAGTCAGCTGAGTGGCTTTCTCGCGACCTGGGGCTGAGTAGCCCCGGTTGGCCTCGGGGGTGGTCCAGGCGAGCGAGTTTTTGGATTCAGAAGGCAGTTTGAAGAACCTGGTCGAGACATCGAAGACATGGGCACGGGTGGACGGGGTGATCGGAATGTTACTGAGGTAGATGAAGCCGGCAGTTTGGAAGCCCGTGAGGATAGCTTTGGCCGTCTCAAGCTTCTGGGCTTCGTCGCCGTGGAGGAAATTTGAAAAGTCAATGAGCTGTGCGCGTCAGCTATTGGCTTACGACTCCTCGACTGAGTGAGGGTCCATACCGGAATAAGAAGCCCATCGCCCTCCACGGCTGACTTTTCCATCTTGCAGATATATTAGAGTGAGTCGTCCAGCAAGAGCAAGGAATGCTGGTATGGATTTGCGTAGCGTTCACCGGGACTCGCGCTGTGGCAGACCCAGCAACACTCTGAGATGGCCTGATATAATATCCATCGGGCGCACAGCACCCAATGACCAGCAGCCGCCTTGGAGAAGGTCGATAGCAAACCAGGTCGGGCTCTCACAGATCTCCCTATGATAGACCTTCCTATCGTGATACAACGACCCCACTCCCTCTGCGGTATCACCGATAACGACCCCGCCGGAGCGATAACTGTGGTGGGTCTGTGCAAGCGGCAAGTGGGAACTGTGGGGTGGATGCCGGCTTGGCACCAAACCTTCGATCCCTTCCCCTTGATTGTCCATTCTGTGACACCCAAGCAAGCAAGCACCGTGCAGCAGGTACCGGTATTCCACCCTCCCGTCTCACCTCTTCGAAAACCGACGGTCTGATCGATCCTGGAAGGCAATCGGACTTCAAGATGGCAACACCCAAGCCCCAGACGCCCGTGGTGGACATTCACACGCACATGTACCCTCCAGAGTACATCTCGATGCTCAGCTCACGGGCCTCGATCCCCCTTGTGCGAACGTTCCCATCCTCGCCAGATCCGCGCCTAGTCCTTCTCGAAGCTGAAGTACCCGCCCTTGAGAAAGCCACAGGCAGCGGCGACGCCAATGCCCCGGGAACGATTCTCCCTGGCCGGCCCCTGACCAGACACTTCACCTCCCTTTCCCAGAAGATCTCATTCATGGACACACACAACATCTCCATCTCTGTCCTCTCCCTGGCCAATCCCTGGCTGGACTTCCTCCCCGCCAACGAAGCCGTGTCGATTGCACGGTCCATCAACGCCAGTTTCGAAGAAATGTGCGGCGCCCACCCAGGACGACTGTATTTCTTCGCCTCGCTGCCACTGACCTCCCCACTGGAAGCCATCCTCTCCTTCATCACCACCGCTCTTCCTTCGTTCCGCCACTGCCGGGGCATCATTCTCGGCACCTCAGGCTTAGGCTCGGGGCTGGACGACCCGGCCATGCTCCCCATGTTCGCTGCCCTCGCAGATGCCAACCTGCCGGTCTTCTTGCACCCGCATTATGGCCTGCCAAACTCAGTCTTTGGAAAGGCAGACTATGGCCATGTCCTGCCCCTGGCGCTGGGTTTCCCTATGGAGACGACCATTGCCGTCGCAAGGATGTACCTGGCTGGTGTGTTCGACGCGGTGCCGGGGCTAAGAATGATTCTAGCCCATTCTGGCGGCACGCTGCCCTTCCTAGCCGGGAGGATCGAGAGTTGTCTTTTGCATGATGCCAAATTTGCTGGAGCTGTCAGAGAGCAAGGTGACCGGAGGCGGACGGTGTGGGATGTCTTGAGGGAGCAAGTCTATTTGGATGCTGTGGTGTATTCAGAGGTTGGATTGAAGGCGGCCATTGAAGCAAGTGGCGGGGGTAAGGAAGGGGCGGCGAGGTTGATGTTCGGCACCGACCACCCTTTCTTCCCGCCGCTCGGGGGCCCGAAAGGAGCCGAGGACGGTGAGTGGGAGAGTGTTAGACTGAATGCGGATGCGGTCGGGAGGGCTTTGGGGGAGGGCAGCGAGGAGGCCGAGATGGTCATGGGAGGTAATGCTGTCAGAGTCCTGAGGTTATACGAAGAGTAGAAGCTAGACTTTGCGGGCAATGTCTGTACATTGTGCCGGACGCCTCGGGTCGTTTGACACCATGTTCTATGATATGCACAAGAACAGGAACCACTGGAAAGTTAGTAACATTCATCTGTGGATGATGATGCGACGACACAGCCCGCAAGGACTTACCAAACACCTTTTGGGCACACATCACACCCTGAGCTTCTGCTTTCCCCTCTTCCTCTTCCCTCCTACTTCCCTCTGTTCTTCCACCTCCAATAACGCTTCCCGCTTCTTCTCTCCGACCAGTTTCAATGCGTCTCTCAGGACTCGTGCCTCCAGGTTGACTCCCTCCTCCGCCCAAGCCTCCATCTGCCTGCCCACACGCTGTTCGATAGCCAGCACGAGGTCGACGTCTCGCTGCCCCACAAAAGTGATGGCGTCTCCCTTGCGGCCTGCACGCGCCGTACGACCCACGCGGTGAATGTAATCGTCTGGGTCGCGGGGGATGTCGTAATTGATGACTAGTTTGACCTCAGGAATATCCAGACCTCTGGCGGCAACGTCGGTTGCCACCAAGATTCGCGCGGCCGAGGCACGGAAGCGGCCGAGGTTGTCTATCCTCTGGCGCTGAGGCAGCTTGGAATGCAGTGCCGTCACGCGGTGCTCGAGCAGGCGGAGGAGGTGGTGCAGAAAGTCGGCCGTCGATGTACGGTTGCAGAAGATGATGATGGACTTGTCGACGTTGGCCGGCGTGAGCAGCAACATGTGCAGATAGTGCTCACGGTGCGTGACGGGCACTTGGAGATGCATCTGGTTCAGCGTCGTTGGGATGGCCAGCTTCTCCGTGTCAACCTCACAAACAAAGACCGGTTCCCGCCCGGGCTGCCGGGGCATGCTCTTCAGTGCCATGACCTCAGGAGTGATGGTCGCCGTGAAGAGAAGCGTCTGCCGCTCGGCCGGGGGCGGCAGCGCACCCAGACACTCCTCCACGTCTGGGAGCATACTCCCAGGACCGTTTGCTGCCAGCAGCCTGTCGGCTTCGTCGAGGACAACAAAGCGGACCCGCTTGAGCCCGCATATCGTGTCTTCGCCCGATGTTCGGATATGGTCGGCTAGGCGGCCTGGAGTGGCGATGACAAGGTGCGGCCGCTGGGCCAGGGCGATGGCCTGTGGCCGCATATCCGAACCACCCGTAACCAGAATGGCTTTGAAGGAGTGTGGCGAAGATATAGCCTTGACTTGCTCATATATCTGGAGAGCAAGCTCGCTGCCGCATTCAACGTTAGCTTGCAGCACGCTGGCTGGGCTATTCCAAGGGCCGGTCACTCACCGAGTTGGGGTCAGGATCACTCCGAAGATGGCGGAAGGGTTTTCAGCCCACTTCTGGAGAATGGGGACGGTGAAAGCCACCGTCTTGCCGGAGCCAGTTCTGCTCCCGCCGATGCAGTCTCTTCCCTTCAGCAGCATGGGAATGCTCTCCCTCTGAATTGCTGTCGGCCGCTTGATGGCCATGTTGGCCAGCGACTGTACTAGCCATGGCCGGACGCCGAGCGAGTCGAACGTGGTATTGGCATCGGTAGGGGCCGTGACCCGTGATGCGGCCGCTGGGTCGGGCCTAGATTCGAGAGACCGGGCGGCCTCGGCCTTGTTTTCGGGTTGGAGCTTGGTGCGTTTGATGCGGGAGGGCACATTGAATGAAGACTTGATGATCTTGGGTCCCTCATCATCAGAAGCATTGGGTGGGGAGGCGCGGCGTCGCTTCCTAGGGCTCACACTGTCTAGTGAGTCTGAATCTGAGCCTGCATCTGTTGAGACTGAGACTGCATCTGACTGTGAGCTCTCATCTTGCACCAGCCCGTCTCCCAGCCTTGCCTTTGCAGGGGCGACTGATGGCATGGCTAACTTTGCTATTCTTTGGAAAGCCCCTACAGCTTGGCACAGATTTTCCCTGCAGTGAGAGTCCCCCTTCAGGTGTCGCTAGTTAACGGTTCGAGAGGCTCTCATCAGACAATTCCAATTCTGTTGCTCTGTCTGCTCTCGAAAATTTTAGAGGTGTTAGCGATGCCAAGCGGAAAAAGTGTGGGGTCAATCACTCAGTGTAAATTACGAAGTACAGTATCTCGGGTACGTTACAGGATACATACGAAGTACTGTATGTATGTACGTATGTAAGGTATGTACAAGGTGAAGGTGTAACGATTCCTGTAAGGTTTGTAATTTACAGCACCGAATCGGTTTAACAGCCGAGACCCACCGAGCTCAAACGGTGCTAGCGTCCTCTGGACTCCGACGAAAGCCGCAGGCCACAGCGCTTAACAGCAGTCGAAGCGCTAAACGGGCGCTTGGAAAATGTGTTCTCCCTCTCGGCCGTTTTCATAGGCGCTGGCTGTGTGAATCCGAGCAAAACTGCCAACATCAAAGTGATTGTCGCAGAGCTCGGTGGCACTGTGGCAACTTGCAGCACTAGGTTCCTCCACTCACATTCTGATCCTGCAATCATCGCATGAGGAAAGGGAGCAAAGCTACATAGAGTTGCTGTCAGTGGAACCAGTTCAGTCAAGCGTACCTCATCTGAGAACCTCCGATCTAGTGAGCTCGACTGGAGGTTCAACCGCTTAATCGCTCACATTAGTGGTGTACCGGGCCCTATACGTACTGTACATACACGGAGTAAGCCTTGTTGTCCACATCATGACCAACACACTCAACTCTTTAAGACCTCGAATGCCAGAGGTGCTGTTCTGCAGTCAGCAGAATCATGGCTCGGGTTTAGGCCGCCGGAGCCCGACACAGTACAGATGCTTTAGTGTAGATGCAACCTTAGAGACTGGATTATCTCAATTTCTGTGAAAGCTCACATCAGCCTAGCAAAAGGAAAGCTGGCCTGCCACTTCTAGTACTATGGCCATCAGTGGACATTGACAGTGCAGAGCCCGGCCTGCACAGTATTACCGGCCAAGGAGCAGTTGTGGCGCGAGTGTGTTAACCCCCCTCCACAGCGGCTCTCCAATCCCTTGCAGAGTTGCAGCAGCAAATGCCTCGGATCCTAGGAACCCCGAATCCTTTTAAACTTTGTCGCCATCAGAGCCTCCCTGTGCACTCTTGGATTTGCTTTCAAGTGAGATACCATTTGCGAAGTACACTCAGGCTGTCTGTTGGCTTGCTTGCCCGTGCTCGTAATTTGGCTCTCGAGCGTTCTATGTCGCAGCAGCCGCCCGTTCTCTGAGCTGTCCTATCATCCTGTTTCAACATAATAATTACACTACGGTAAACCACTCCCTCGTTCTGACAAGGGCACTCATCATTCGACTTGTTGTTTGCAGATTGATGTTGATCTGTTATTGCATCTGCTGCTCCGCAGAGGCCCACCAACCCAAGCTTGGGGAAAGCGATTCTCAGTTCGGGACCCGCCTTTCAGGGCCGCAGCAGGACCCCTGACTACTTGCCCCGTCCCATCGTATTGGCCGGTCCCGAAGCAATCGCTGGAGTGAGTGAGGTGGGGAACACAGAGAGGCCCTGGAACCGGCGCTTGGCCGATTGATTGAAAGGGCTGTTCCTCCCGCACCAGCGCCCGACCATTAACCTAAGGAGAAGTTGAGGAAGACCTTCGCCGGGCACGCACTTCAGCAAACCTAATCGACCTAATCGACCTCCTGACGCCGTTGCATCTGTCGCCGCTGCAAACCCAACGTTACTAAAGAGGCAGTTGGCTGGCATAGTACGACTCCAGTAGTCCAGTCCTGTCACGCAGAGAGCACAGAGCATATTACCATCAAACGTCGCACAGCACAGCCAGTTACTGCTCTTGCACCCGTCCTATTCTATTTCGACAGGTCCACTGCTTGTGCCTGGCTTCGGCTTGGTAGCTCAGCTTATCGCTTCGGTCCTATTATCCCAGTCAGCCTCGGACAGTCCACTGCATATCGCCCTGTTATCTGCAGGCCAGCCGAGTTTTGCTGTCTCCAGTCGCTGGCCGACAGCGAAGAAGCCCAAGCCCAATCACCAAGAGGCACAATGGCCGCCCCCGAAAACCAAAGCGGCGAGGGCGTTGCGCCGATGGTACGAGCCTCTTCTTTTGTTCTTTGATTCCGCTCAGGTTTTCTACTGCCAAGTCCTCCTTGTGCCCTTCTGCATTGTCTGTGCCAAACCTGCGCCGTGATCAAGGCTCCCATCCCGGCGACAAGCCGATCCATCAGTCAAGAGAGCACACATCAAGAAAGGGGATCTTAGCGGGGAAAAGCAGCCATTTCGAATTGTCATTCTTCAAGCATGCCGCTGACCGTCGCTTGTTGACCTTGATGCAGTCTCTGAACCCGAACCCCTCTCACGAGTTCCCGCAACAGTCACTATCGCCAGTCCCCACCATGTCGGCAGCTCCCCCGGCGCCCCTCCTCCGCCCTGCCATACCCGGCTCACGCCCCGGCGGTCGTGCACCCCGACTAGGACTCGCTATTCCCCCATCTCCTAATGTAAAGCCCGTTGGTAATGCGGGCGGGCCTCCTGGCCGTCCCGCTCTGCCTACGCTCCACCTAGCAACGCCCATGGGAAGCACCGTGGTGCCGCAAGAACAACCTATCAAGACGCTGAGCCAACAAAGTGCTAGCGGCGGGAGCGAAAGCAGCGCTGCTCACAGCAGAAGCGGGAGCTTCGGCCCCCTAGATGGCCGTGCCAGCAATCCCACTAGCGCGGGGTCGCAATTTAGCGCTCTCTCCTTTGCAAGTCAATACGGTATCGGATCGACAAGACAAACAGGCACTTCGGATCCCGTATCGGCCGTAGGGTCACTGTATTCGAATGCGAGCGAGGGAGTTGGGATGGAGCGTGAGGGCAGCTTGCACGGGCTAGAGTCTTTCGATAAGCTCGCTCTCGAGAAGGCGAGGACATCGGATGTTGAAGATCTAGACGACGAGGGCTGGAGGATCGTGAGCATGGAAAAAAGGATTATAGAGCTCGGAAGCCTGGGCGAGGGTGCGGGAGGTGCTGTGACGAAGTGCAAACTGAAGGGGGGCAATACCGTGTTTGCCCTGAAGGTGCGTAGACCCAGTATCCCCGAGCACCTGTTTGGGAACCAATCTGACCTAACTTAAATCCAGGTGATTACAACAAATCCCGACCCAGACGTCAAGCGGCAAATATTTCGCGAACTAGGCTTCAACAAAGGGTGTGCCTCAGAACATATCTGCCGATACTACGGTGCCTTCCCGGACCCCTCCACAGCCACCATCTCTATCGCCATGGAGTTCTGCGAGGGTGGCTCGCTGGACAGCATCTATAAGGAAGTCAAGCGCCTTGGTGGACGGACGGGCGAGAAAGTCTTGGGGAAGATCTCAGAAGGTGTTCTCCGCGGCTTGACATACTTGCACGGCAAGAAGATCATTCACCGCGACATCAAGCCCAGTAATATCCTTCTCTGCCGCAACGGTGAGGTGAAGCTCTGCGACTTCGGTGTGTCGGGCGAATTCGGCACTAAAGGCGACGCCAATACCTTCATCGGCACCAGCTATTACATGGCGCCAGAACGTATCACTGGCCAGTCCTACACTATTACATCCGATGTCTGGTCAACCGGCGTTACGCTACTCGAGGTTGCTCAGCATCGCTTCCCGTTCCCGGCTGACGGCACAGAGATGCAGCCTCGGGCTGGTCTCATCGACCTCCTAACCTATATTGTCCGCCAACCCATTCCCACGCTCAAGGACGAGCCAGAAGCCAACATTTTTTGGTCTGACTCGTTCAAGTATTTCATCGAGTGCTGGTATGTTCTATCTAGTGTCTACCTCCTTAAACTACATTAGGCTAACCGTCCCGTCAGCCTCGAAAAGGATCCTAACCGCCGAGCCACCCCTTGGCGTATGCTAGAGCATCCCTGGATGTTGGAGATGCGCTCCAAGCGTGTCAATATGGCCCGGTACCTCTCGCAGGTATGGGGTTGGGACGAGCAGGAACCGCAGGCCCAGAATCCACCACAGAAGGCATAGAGTCCGAAGGTGGTCAAGAGTTGAATGAGATCCGAATTTCCAAGCGCTAGTAAGCTGGGAATACGTGGTGGGTATTTTTGGATCCGCCATTGATCACGGGCTATCCCGCCGCCGTCGCAAGAGAACGAAAACAGCAGCCGCAACGGACGGCTTGGGGAAGGAGACTTCATTTGTGAAGAAGGCTTCATCATGATCATTGCCGTCGACTTGTTTTTCTTTTTGCTGAGTTGGGCAAGTTGTATAAGCCCGTATGTAGCTCAGTGGTCGAAGTCTTTACCACGCTTATTAGGGACAAGCGCTGGCTTGGGCATAATTTCGTTGATTGTATTATTCACCACAGTCAAGTCGATGAACTCTGACAGTATGGAACCGGCGCTGTGCTGTTGCTTTGGGGCATTGGTTATATATCACGCAGTGTGTATACAGACAGACAGACAAACGTTGGAGTTCCCAATCAACCCTGCCGTTACTTTAGTGGGAAATGATCAGGCGGAAAGCACTTGTTTCCAACCAAGAGCCTTCGAAATTGAGCCAGACTACGTACATCCGCCAACAAGCGGCCACCGAGTGGCCCGGTGGATGTCGTATGAGATATCGGACGTCAAAGGATATACGAGGCACTTTCAGAAGGTATATTCAATATCCAGCCTAGCCGCTGCTTAAGTACTGAGTAAGTCGAACATCCTAAGATCTTTGCATACCTTAAGCAAGCTTGGTATCATCGGCCATCCCCATAGCACCAGCACCATCCTCCGGTCTTCCGCGTAGAGTCTGTCACAACCAACCCATCTACAGTCTAATTGACCGATGCTCCCGCATGGATGAGATATTGGAACAGGAATGTATCCAAACATGCCGTACCCATAAAACTGACCGCACCCCATTCCTTTTCAAAGGAAGGGGTGATAGGATGGAAAAGCGCCACCAAAACGCCTCGCTATACCCTGAGAAAGCTGCCGTGCTAGGAGTCGAATGGGCAGCGGCAGCTAAAGGAAAGGTCTACATACGCGGCAGATGAACCGAGGTCTGAACCTGTGCAAACCATCTAGACCAGAACCGCATTCATCTATGTCCCTCTTTCTCCTCCAACTCACGCATGTACTTTGCAAAGGTCTTCTTGTGAGTCTGTCCCATAACCATCAGCAAGGGCCGTCACACACGCAACATGGTATTCTTGAAGCAGGGAGACTTACCATGCCAGCATACCGCCCATCTCGTAAAACACAAATATATCTCAACCCCAACTTGACGAAACACTCGTACACCAAATCCATGGGAGATCTAATGTCCAATGCAACCGGCGCCTATAGACACGGCCATTAGCGCCCATCAATCGTCGCGGCACATGTGATGGTGGAGAAAACGACTTACCGGATCAATATAAGGCGTAAAATCCGTCGGATCCCTCCCGTCCCCATCGCCGTCCCCGTCCGAATCCTCGATGGTCTGCACTTGAGCCATCAAGCACAGACTATTGGCCTCATCCGGCAGATTGTCTAGCGCATACTCGAGATCCGGGGCCGGGATCAGGCCGACCAGGATGCCGTCCCTAACAATCGGCAGCCCGCCATCCAGCTCACCTGCCTTGTGCAGTAGTTCCAACTTGGTCCGCAGGCTAGGCGCTGGGACCACGGGAGAATTGGTAATGTCGATGATGCGCTCCTTGCGGACACGAGGCACAATGTCGGCCAGGTCAGAGGTGAAGATGGGCTTGTGTTTGTTGTTGAGGAACGGGTACGAGTTCATCTCGGTCAGAAGGTCCTGCAAGAGGGTCAGTCGACATGTTCGGGATTCTTGAAGGGAGGCTAGCGTACGTAGATGCTTAAAGGCTCAATTGCATCCGCCGTCCACTTTGCAACCAAAATAGCCAGCGAGAACGGCAAGACATAGTCCAGGCTTCCAGTGAGCTCGAAGAGAATTACGGCGAGCGTGACGGACAATCGGGTCACGCCGCACATGGTGGAGCCGGCGGCGATGAGGCCGTACACACCGGGTTGGATGCATGTTGCGTTTGGCATCTTGCCGCAGGTACCCCAGACGCCCCAGTCTGGCGTGGCCATGACTATCCACTGGGCAACGTGCCCGATCAAGCGGCCCATGAGACCGCCAACAACCATGGACGGCACATAGATACCGGCTGGGACTTTCTGTCACTGGCGTCAGTAATATATTCTTTAAGGGGAGCAGGGGTCAGGCATACAATGCCGAATGTAATGATTGTCAACAGTCCCTTGATCAAAAACGCGGCAAAGAGATTGAGTAGAATAGGGGGGATATCATCGATCTTTTCTGGGCACAACCCCAGGTTTTCCAGGTTGTTATCCCGGTCATCGCAGGGAGCAGCAAGGTTGTACAGCAGTTTCGCCACGGGCAGCTTGGTAAAGACATTCCAATAGCCGAGGAGGCCCGTGACGAAGGCAACCAGGACAACTTCCAGGAGGGGATACGCCTTGATGGCCGGGATGCGGCGGAAGGTCTTGGCCCAGTACCGCGACGCCTTGATGAATAAGGCGCCGGCCGCGCCCCCGAAGACGCCGACAAGTATGAAGCTGACGATCTCGAAATATTCCCAATCGACGAGGTAGCGCACCTGAAACATGACAATCTTGTGAGTCCCGTAGGGGTTCAGAAACTTGAGGGTCAATGCAGCGGTGATACAGCAGAAGAAGGTGCGGAAGAGTGTCTTGGCCGGAAAGAAGTAGGCCACTTCCTCGAGGCCGAAGAGTACACCGCCGAGAGGCGCGCCAAAGGCCACGGCAACACCGGCGGCGGCGGCAGCCGAGAGGACCTCGCGCCTCTTGGCGTCGTTGCGGTCATATTTGGTGAAGAGACGGCAAGCGATGTTTCCAACGCATGTCGCGATGTGGACGTATGGGCCTTCTTTCCCTAGGCTCAGGCCGGAGGCGACGCTCAGAATCAGGCTAATGCTTTTGATGAAGAGCGTCTTGAGACCCAGGAAGCCGTGCAGCACAAAGCCGCTAAGAATAACACGGACTTCGGCCACGCCGCTGCCGGCAGCCGAGTAATAGACCATGGGTGCTGTCACCGGCTTCTCGCGCACTTGGCGAGGGCTGTTGGGTGAACCATCATCACCGGTTTCCGGCGCCGGGGCTGCCGCCTCGGCCGCCAGATTCTCATCTAGCGTCGTTAGGCGATACGCCGACGGCACAACCGTCTTGGTAAGCAGGGTAAGAAGACAAGATAGACTCGCTAGTGTAATGACGGAGGCAATGTAGACGATGTACTCTGTCCACATTGTGCCGAAAGGGAACCCATTCAGCACCTCTCCCCAGTCCCGCCAATCTGTGCAAGGGCCGTGAGGGCAGCATTTCTGCATGGATCGAAGTCAGTCCGAATCACATCGCACCGTCTCACTCACAAGGTTCCTTACCTTCTCATTGATCAGCCAACCCCGGACGCAATATCCATCCTTGTAATCGAAGACGGTCGACTCGCTCACATTGACAACGTAGGCAAGCACGGCGACGATGAAGCCGACCAGGGCGCTCAATATCCAGCCCTGGGCACCATCAAAAAGGACGTAGACCCGACCCCAAAAGTCCTTGCGGCTACGCAGGGCCTTGACGCGGTAGGCATCGGCAATGCTGTCGTGCACCCAATCGGTGGAGGTGAACTGGTCATACCAGACGCGGTCGTCGGGCAAGATGGAGCCCTTAGAATCAGCCAGAGACGACTCCTGCCGATCCGAGAGGGCGTCTATCAGGCGCTGGCCCCACGAGTGAGCGCGGCTGTGGTGGAGGGCGCTTTTTACACTGTCTGCAGGGGGCAAAGGTGATCAGCAGCGGGGAAACTTGATAAGGCTTGGATTCGAGACACACCGGCATAACTCTGATTCCTTGACAGGTTGGGCACGCGGGGGGAGCCGTGAGCACTGTGTATCCGGATCCGGGACGTCCGCGCCCCCGTTCCCAAGAGCGGAGATCGCTCGTCAGGGGGTTCTGCGTTGGATGGCCGTCTGCTGGCATATGTTGGCTGGCGTCGGAAGCTGGTGGGCGAGCTTGGAAGCGAGAGATATTGCCCGTGGCGTTCGGCGTCGCCGGCGTCATTACCGTTGCTATCAGAGGCAGCATCGCGAGGCTCGCGTAGGCGGGGGGTATGTCTCCTGCTCGCCATGTGGGGTAATGTGTTGGCGTGGTGGGACGCGAGGGTTGGTGAACGGGAACTCGGGGTTGGAACGCGGTGTCGGCACGTCGCCAGCTACTTTTGCTGTTCATCTGAGAAGTTAGCCTTGCCTCACGGCTCCTCATGGAGGCAAGATTCCTTACGTAGGTATGTGCGATGAACGATGCCTGAATCATTGACGACATGCAGCCGAGGCGCAGCTCCGATTCCGATTTCCCCGGGATCAAATCCGAACAAGATGCAAAAAAGAACAATACAGAAAGGAACCGAGGGGTCTGCAAACTGGGGAATGGAAAACGGAGGACAATACGCGGCGGCCTCGCCCGTGATCAGGCGGCCATAGTGTGAAGCCGGACCAGAGGGCTGGATGCCGAGAGGGTTTGGCAGTGGAAAAGGAAGTGGAGATTTGGAGAGCACCTAGTTGTTGGACGGGTGCAGTGTAACCCCCCACGTGTGCACTTCCTTGTCTCACTTGGCGTCATATTGCGCGGCGGCAGGGAGCACAGCAGCAGTCAGATGGTCCTGGTTGTTTCCATTTACTATCAACTGATTGTTAGTTAGCTCTTAGCGTACGAATAATGGATGCTCCGGTGAACTGGGATGAGACTCATTCGAGCTGAACTATAGAATTCATCCGAACTTTGGAGAAGCTGCAGCGGTTTAGTGGAGTATAGCAGAGATTCCTGTAGCTCCTTCTCATGGAAAAGGTTGCCCATTGAGGTGCATACAGTGTTATTATGTCATCGACCTTTGGCGTTTCGGCACCTAATTGGTGATGCTGTTTTAGGCGCTGCAGCCGCTACCAGTCGCTGAAGGATCGATCACCTACTGTAGGATTTGCCCGAGTTTCGCGAGTTTCGCACTGTTACCCACTGCTAATTAGGTAGCGCCATGCACCGCCGGGATGCACCAATGCACCGATTGGCAGCGCTCCTTGGTCACGGGCAGTCAATTGCAGTACTGCACAGCAGTGCACGCTGGAACTGACGGCTCTCGGCAACAGCACATGATGGTGCACCATTAATGATAGTTTGCAAGGTTACAGCGGTATCCGTGCTTCCATGACTCGGATGACCGAGAGATGCAAGGCTAAGCAAGGGATTGAGCCCAGGCACAAAATGATGATTTTGAGAGTCGGAATCGGATCCAAGTCGCACCATGGACAAGGAGAAACGGCAACGCGCCGTTCCCAAGTTTGGATCCTTCAGGCCGAAACCCACCCCCGAACATGACAGCAGTCCACACCCACAGCCGGTACCGGGGGAGACCAAGGCACAGAGAGACGGCGATGGCAGTGGAGCTGCGGAACGGCCATCTGATCGCCGAAGGGACGGGGAGCGGGATGGAGAGCGGGATGGAGAACGTCGCCGTCATGGCCGGGATCATGGCCGAGGTCGCGAACGGAAACGGGAATGGGATCGTGAGGTGGGCCACGACAGGGAGAAATGGGAGCAACCTCGCGGACAGCACCATCAAAGGCATTCACCACGAGCAGGCAGCCCCAAGCGTGCCTCCACCCAGGGAAGAGACCCCCGCAGACCCATCACTCATTTAGGTGACGATCTCTTCCTATTCGATACGCGTGGCGACCCCCTGATATTGCAATACGGCACCAACGACCGCTATAAGGTCCCATCCTATCGCCGTTCTGGCGCCGGTAGGATCATAGGCTCTCCCGGCTTCCTCACCATCCACCGCGATGGCGCGAACGAGCGGTTCAGCATCAACGACAACCGTGAAGGCAGCAGCGGTGCCGGCTCCGCCTTCCGGGACAAAGCTCTCGTCGCGGCCACCGCTCGTCTCAAACCGAAGCGCATCAAGCCTTCTTCGCCTGCTCCTACCTCAACCGCACCATCACAAGAGGACTTCATCCCGCTCTGTTTCTCCTCGTCCAGAAAACGCAAGCGCCTTTCCTCCGCTTCCCCTTCTCCATCAGACTCATCAGCTGAATCAGATTCGACCTCCCAATCGCCATCCCCAGACGGTCTGGAACAGGAGGAAATATCCACCGCAAAGCAGCGCTCAATTTCCCTCTCCCGCGCCGTAAAGGCTAACCCCTCCGACACAGCCTCGTGGTTAGAGCTGATTGGCCTGCAAGACTCGCTCTTCCCAACACCACCCACTAGCAGCTCCAGAACGGCGGACGAATCCAAGGCCGTTGCCCAGCTTAGACTTGCTTTGTATGAGGAGGCACTTCCGCACGCCGTCGGCACGGCTGATAGGGAACGCCTGCTTGTGGGGTTGATGCTTGAGGGGGCCAAGGTGTGGGATTTCAGGGTATTGGAGCGCAAGTGGGATGAGGTTGTCAAGTCTGAGGGACGCAGTTTCTGGTTATGGAAGGAGTGGTTGGCATTTAAGATGACGGGGGTGTCCGGCGCGAGATTAAGTGTCGACGAAGGGAGGGCGTTAATCCAACTGAAGTTGAAACAGATGGAGGAGGAGTTGCGCGACATGGCTCAGAATGTGGTGGCTGTCGAGGGCGGGAACGGAGAATGGGAAGGCATTGAGCTGCTCTGCAACAGGGTGGTTTACCTTTTCCTCCGGCTCACCCGGTTTCTGCAAGACACTGGCTTTGCGGAGCTTGCAGTAGCAGCATGGCAGGCTGTTTTGGAGATGACGTTCTCCCGGCCCGCAGATTACGGCAGCACTGACTCGGCTCCCGAGGCATTCGCCGACTTCTGGGAGAGCGAGGTTGCGCGGATTGGGGAGGACGGTGCCAAGGGTTGGCAGCACTTCGCCATGGGTCGCATGGATGATCCGCCTGAGGCGAAGAGAGATTCTCTCGGGGATATGCCTCCCACAGCAGAACCATTCAAGGCTTGGGCTGCTATTGAGCGGCAGAGAGCGGAAAATGCACGCATGCCGGCAAGAACGCTTGATCATGGGACCGAGGACGATCCGTTTAGAGTCGTCTTGTTCTCCGATATCAAGGATATTCTTGTCTGGTTTCCTTCGATTATTCTCTCGCTGGTCAAACCCAAGCTTGTGGATGCCTTCCTTGTGTTCTGCGGACTTCCTACGGCCAGCCTATCCGGGGAGGGGTTCGCTGACCTGCTAGGTGACCCGTTCGTCACTCCTCGGGAGGAGGCCCTAGATCTCGACCTTAACCGTCCAGAGACTGAGGTATTCTCAGATCTTTCGAGAAGGGCCCCTCAGTTTGAGCAGCAGGGCGGAAATATGGCCATCTCGCAAGAGATTCTCTTTGGCACCGGCTGGTTCAGATATCTTGGCCATTTGTCTAGCGCGACCAGTCGGGTGGACAGTGCTTGGGTGATTGGCACTCTCAAGTACCTCGTCCATAGCTGTCGAGTTGAGGAATTAGCAGAATACTACCTAGCGATGGCATGGTTGAATGAGCCAGCTGGGGCGAGAAAGATTGCAAAGGCGCTTCTGAGGGAGCACAGTTCCAACATCAAGCTCTACAATGCGTACGCCCTAGTTGAGTGGGCAAACCAGAATGTGGAGATTTCCAACAAAGTCTTGTCGTCGGCGACGGGCCTGGTACCGGTAAGTCGCCTGCCTTAGATCATCAGTAAGCGCCATTGTCGCTAACACATCGGGTAGGCATCCAATCTAAGCGGGAACCAGTTGCTTTGGAACACTTGGGCTTGGATCCATCTTGAGGCCGGGGACAAGAGCATGGCTCTTGTTCGTCTTTGCACTTCGGTGGACAGGTCATTTGATGGCCCATCAGTGTCTCGTGCCCTGCTCCTCAAAGCAAGGTCTCATTTCTGCAGCACTCGAGACTACGCTCTCTCCTCCTTGCAGCTAGAGAAGGCCACACAACATGCCGAGAGCCTGGCATTGCTGGAGTATCTTGCCAGCGGTGAGGCTAGCGGCACAACTTCTAAGACGCAGGGCAACATAATTGCCGCGCTGTCCAGCATCCTAGCCTTCTCTCAAGGATTGAAATCCCGCAACTTGAGCCAGTCTCCGCACCACGAGCGACTCCTACAATCTGCCGCGCGGCTCCTCTACTATCACGCAACACACGGGTAGGTCACATCACGTTGTAGCCTGATACCTAGTCATGACTTCTGACAATTCACAGCCCCTACAAACCCATCTATGTCAGGGAACAGCTTCTCGAAATCATCAACCTCTTTCCATCGAACGTCATGTTCCTTGAGCTATATGCATGGTCACAATCGAGCCTTCGTATCGATGACCCGGTTCGGGACGTTCTCCGAACCAAATCCCTCGTGGAACCACATGACAGCATCCATACCCGGCGTTTCGCGATTCGGCACGAAGCACGGGTCGGAACGGTACACTCGACCCGGGCCGCATTCGAGGCAGCGCTTAACAGCGACGCCTGCAGGGGCAGTGTCGAGCTGTGGATTCGCTACATCCGGTTCTCATACTCTACCAGAGAGCTCAAGAGCAGAGCCAAGGACGTCTTGTGCCGGGCTATGGCCGCCTGTCCCTGGGCCAAGGAAATCTACATGGAAGCATTTGGGGAATTGGCGGGGGCTATGAGTCCGTCCGAGTTGAGCGCTGTGTTTAACACCATGACGGCAAAGGGCTTGCGGGTGCATGTTGATTTTGAGGAATTCATGCACGGCTGGAAGAACAGGGAGGGCAAGACGAAATAAGGGGCGCAGGCATATGGCATAGGATTCCAACACAATGCATCGCGCCCCTAATACGAGTCTAATTCGTCGAGGAATTAGAAATTCATCACCATGAAATGTACCTTACTTGTATGTTCATACAATACATACGAAGTATATGTAACTGACAAGAGTTTCGACAGACGTGGCGTACCAATAACTAGCAAACGGAACAAGGTACCCCTCAGCTCAGAGGATCAGGGGACGTTGCACTCGGGATGTTGTTCCCGGATGCAGGGAAGTTCAAACGGTTTCCATAATTAGCTCTAAACACAGACCACCAGCGTACGTATTCCACGTGCAGTGGCTACCTTCAGCTCCCCCGCAGTGCTCCACAGAGTCGATCTCTTTATGATGATTGGTATGCCTTGCATTCAGCTGGTGCTCGAGGCTGAGCCTGCAGGCTCCACAGCGGCTTCAGCCGCCAAGCGACGATGTTTTGTTTCAGAACCCCTGAAACGAACGCACATGGGTTGCTGCTACTACATGCATCGAGTTTGTTGCGGTCCAATTGACATAATCTACAGTAGAACATCACACATGTAGGTACAGGCTATGCTAAGCTGTGTATCTCAAGGTACCTATCTCGAGATGCCTAGACGGGGGAACGTAACCAGGGTAGCAACGATATGCTGCAGGACTCAAGAGCTCAAGATCCACTTAACATTATCGCGAGGGGGCCAAGAATCTTCATTCTCTTTCCCCGTCCATGCCACTGTTTTCAAGACAGACCCTCGTTAGATCTAGGTAACAACCTGGAAACCACGAGGCATACAAGTAGGATTTCTCAAACATTGAAACTCGCATACCAAAAGGGAATCTGCCAGGAATACCATTGCAAGTCGTCTGCACATTGCAATGCGATTCATCCGAACTCTTTTTCCCAACACTACCCTTCATGAGTGTCGATACTACGGCCACACTGACAAGCCTTTCGCCCTCAAACTGCTGACTCGGAGGATCTAGCCCCTGGCCAAGCTAAGTAACCCGCTCGCTGCCCCATCACTCGCGAGGTCTCCCTCATGCCCTTCATCATCTACAGCACTCTGTCCCCCCGTTACTGCCTTAGTGTCAGCGCAGACGGAAGGTTCCCGGGATAGCTCAGAAAGCTCGGTCCCCGCCGAACCACTCTCCCTTCTATCACACCCCTCATCCTTCCCCTGTAGCTGCTTTTCCTCCAGTCCCCCCGCAAGTACCCTCCCAGTCCCACTCTCAACTGGCCCCACAGACGACAACAACGCAGCGGGCCCCCTCGCCTCGATGCTAGGCGTCCTTCTGGCAGGCGGCGAACTAGGCAAGGGCCTCCTCCGACTACTAGCCCCGACACTCCTGCCGTATGACCCCGAGGAAAACGACCTTCCCGAGACAGGAACCGGTCTCACCTGCAGCTCGTCAAGCGGAACGTCGGTCTGGTTGGTGCGGACTTTGTAACTGGCTAGTTCGAGACGGAGGCGGAGGATCTCTGCCTTCTGTTGAGTTTTTGCACGTTTCTCATCAGCCTTGCCTTCTCACGATTGCATCCATGTTATCTCATCGTGTCCATGAGTGGGGGACTTACCTCGCGGGCCTGTTCAAGCGTAAAGCGCGAGGATGCGGTACTTCTAGTTCCTGTCGCCGCCGTCGTTGGTGGTATTTGTCTCTGCGATATCTGTGACACTGGGGCTGTGGCAGGAGCGGTGGGAACAGGAAGTGGCAGGACCGAGCTCTGGCTATTGTCGTGATCCGACTCGGTCAGGGTCGTGTCGTTTGCTGCCGTGGAGGTGTCAAAGACTGATGGAGAGCCTGTGATGGAGGCTGTGGAAGCGATAGAGGGCGAGGGGGTGCGATTAGATCTGTCTATGCTTCTGCCTCTGCTCGGAGAGGGTCGAACTGTGATCCGGGGTAACTATGCGAAAAAGTCAGTCATCCTTGCACTGGCTAGGAATAAAAGACGGGGATGCAAGTTGACACAGCAATTGACCTACATCGGTATCAGGGTCGAGTTCCGACTGCCCGGTTTCACCCGCGTTCACCCTGCTGCCGTCACTACCGAGACATGGTCGCTTGAGAGGCGGCTCCTCGGTACTGCTATGGGCGCCGGGAGCCATCGACGGCCGTTTCCGTGTAGGGGAGTCTGGCTCCGGCGTGCGTGTAAGTGCACGAGTCAGCCCTGCAGCGGTACTTGCGGGTCTCGTCTTGATCGGACTTTGTGCTGGGCGCTGCTGCTTCAGGTCGTGGCGGACCTTTGGCGAGGACGCGTTTGGGTCCAGGGCGCCCAGGACGCGACGCTTGACTGGAGATGCTGCTTCCATTTTCAAGTTTGGCGGAGAAGAATGGAGCACTAATCAACTCGTTGACGTTAAGCCGAACAATACGGTGGCTGCAGCGAGAAAGCAAGGGAACAGACGTCCTCTCGAGGAAGAGACACGGTACAGGAACCAGTCAAACGGCTCACAATTTAAACCACAGCCGCAGACTCACAGACGCGTCGGTGTTGTCACGGTTGAATAAGGTGAGCTGGTGGAAACACGAAAAGCAATGGCCATGTCCCACATGCGAGAGTTTTAAATGGAGAACCGCGCCTAAAACGGCACTCTGTAAATAGTCACGCGCTTGTATGTAAGCTCCTTGTATTGTACTGTACTGTACCACATCTGACAGGGTGGCTCGGGTGGTAATTCTGTGGTTACATTAGTCACGTACGCGCACCATCATGAATGTTGTCAGGAAATGAAAAATGAATGATATAAAGAATCAAAATTAAATGTGCAACATGGACCATCGATAGAAATTCAATGTTGGACTTGGAGAAAGAATAATCGCATCTCATTCATCTTGGTAAGGGTAAAGTTTAGGCACTATCCGTACGTAGTTATGTGTAGTTATTACAAGCCCATGAAATCTCAGAGTATCCATAACGGTGGGCCCATTGCAAGGATCGCGAAGCGCGCTCTGTGCCCAGAGACACGCGCCTCACACCTTCTCTGATGTTGTGTAGTTAATCGGATCTTATCAACGCATTGCAAGGGCCTGTTGCAAGGCATACGAAGGTATACATAGCAATCCAGTGTTTCGCAGGAGCAGACATAGATCATACACCATGTTGCCGTTGGCCCTGTGGTCTCGTCGTCCCGTGGCCGTTCTTGAGTTCGGGCAGTCAACAACCCGGAATGCAATTATAGCAGAGCTCTGGGTATCACCTTGCCTGGCTACTACCTCCCAGTATAAGACACCATCCGACCTGCTAGAGAAAAAGGGGAAGGAACAAAAACACCTTGCCACGCCGCAACCACGAAATAAGCTGAACGACCAATCACCAAGGCCGCTCCTGTAAAAGCAAGGGAAACACGTTCACAGGCCACCCATGAGAAAGAACAACAGACCAGCACTCATTGCAATGCCGTGCTCAGAGGATAGATTAAGGAGATCAATCCGTATCGAGGCAGCCTCCTGTGCCTGCGCATCAAACCCCACCAATGCTCGAGTCATACATCATTAAAGCCCCCCTCAGCTCCAGCCGTATTTATGTTGGCCGTTACCCCGCTGTGATTGTTTTTGATGCAAATGCTGGAGAAACTGCTCTTGAAATACCGAGAATTTGCCCGTCCATATCTCCCCCGGCTGGTCCATCGTGTGGATGTCGAGCAACAGAAACCCGTCACGCTGTCGGGTCCATCGAATATAGTGACGAATCAAACTGGAAAGGCTTAGAGAAGTCCGTCACCATATCATCCAGGAGGTAGTCGAGGTTTTCGGCTCCAAACAAGTCACTATCCAATCCTTCAAGCCCTTCCATGTTTATCTTGTCCATATCCGGAAGCAAGTCGTTATCAAGTAGCAGACTCATGTCAATGTCCAACGTCGAACCTTCGGGGATGTCGCTGGTTGGCTCCGAAGTGCCGCTATCCTTGCTCGACTCGGGCGTGTCGTTGGGCGTCGACGATCGGTATGTCCCAAAATCGGCCATGACATTCCCATTGACATAATCCAGCGCCTTACCGAGAGGGGCAAAGAGGTTTTGGGGGTCTATCGTCGAATTCGACCAAGGATCTTCCGTCACAGTCGCTTGCGGAGCTGGTATCTCTTGTTTACCAGCCGGCGGCCTGCCGTTGCCGACGCGAGGTGTGGCGTTCCTGCCGGGCGTGCCGACGACTTCGCCCGCCTTGGCTCCTGCTGCACTGCCCTGCCGCCGCATGGATGCCTCCCGAGACATTGGTGTCGCCGCCGACTCCGGTTTGCTCCTCGGGGTCTGGCCCTGTTTGGAGACGCTAGCACTCATGGGTGGTGCTGCAAGAGCCGCCGGCTCCTGGCTATTGAGCTGCTGTGCCGGCTTCGGCTGACCTTGCGCGTCCAGCCCCAAAGCAGAGGTTATCTGCTCCTGCAAGAACCCGTATGGGTTCTCGTACGGCTTGACATGTTCCTCCTCGCGGTGAGCATTGAGCGCCTCCTCGCTCTGGAAGCCCATGGAGTTCATCTCGCAGCCGGGCTCGGGGCATACTAGCTTCGGCGGGGCCTTGACTGGTTCGGCTTTTTTACCAACTGTAGGAGACGGCGCCTTCGTTTGTGGGGATGAGGGCCCCGCCGCCTGAGTTTGAGTTACGGGAGGAGACTTCTGGGCTGCTGCAGTCTTTGCCTTCTTTCGGGGCGGGAGGACCAGGTTGGCGGGTGTGATACGTTGCTCGCTGAAGTATTCCGGGTTCCTGGCGGGTGTCTTGTGGGCGCCAAACTGGAACGGTGGTTGGGCTGTCGTCGGGGCTGCAGGGGGCTGCGCAGTCTTAGGAATCGTCCGGTTCTGAGCTTGCTTGAGAGCCTGTGTCTGCTTCTCCAAGTTTGCGGCGCTTAATGGGGCCGCAGCGGGAGCTGGCTGGGAGGGGCGTTGGTTTCCTGGCTGCGCACTCCCGGCCGCGCCTTGGTTCGCTTTCAAAGCAATGGGTAGCTCTCGGAGCATGCCGTCCGTCATGGAGATGAACTGATCTAGCTCGTCTTTGGAAATGGTCAAGGACGGCCGCATCTGTGTCATCTTCTCGCCATCGAGAAACTGGCTGACTATCTTGAAGCGCTATACATAGCGTGAGCACAGCTCAGAGGTCCAAGGCATAATAGGGGAGAATACATACCACTTTGAAGAACATGGTTGCTCGTGCGTCGTCCTTGGTGAGACGGTACCACTGGAGTATGCCTTGCCCGCGTAACATATCCATGTTCCCGCGCGCCTTCGCGATTCTGTGACGCGTCTCCTGTAGCTCCGAGCCAGACATTGCTATCTCCACACCGGGTTGCTGTTGGTGCCCCTGGAGCGCCTGCCGCTGGATCTCCTTTAACCGGCTGATCTCGTAGGCGTACTCCTGCTGGCCCTGCTGCACCTGCTTCCGCATCGCGGCAGCCTTCTGGTCAGGTGGAAGTTTTGCTATCTGCTCAGGACTCAGCTTCTGGGCGGCGGTCGGGGGCCGGACCTCAAGCTGCGAAGAGGCACGCTGCATAGCACTGCTTGGCTGGCTGGACGCCTCGTTCGAATCGTCGGGGCTCGGCCGCTTCAAACTCTTGGGTGCTGGAGCGGGGGAAGGGTTTGGCGGCGGTCGGACGTTGTTGGGGGTTGCCGAAGCCGCGGTCGTCACCGCGTCTGCCGCCGGGACACCGGGAGGCTTCATCTGAGCGGCTTGCTGCTGGGCGTTCTGGCGCAGGTTTTGCTGTTGAGTTGGCGTGACGCTCCCTGGCTGAGTGACCGGGATCTGGGGGATCTGTGGCGTCGTTTTTTGGCCCCCTGCGGGGGGATTGGCATTGCCCTGATTTTGAGCATTGTAGGCCTCCCAACTCCTCTTGTAGAAATTGTCCCTTTTCGCTCTCTTGATAAATTCGTACAACGACTCGTCGCTCATCGTCGCAACTTTCGGGTGCTTGCGGAATGCTTCCATGTCCTGCGGTGTTACTTGGAAAATCGGGTACGTGTACCCAGGGGGCAATCCTGGCTGATTCTGCTGGAGTTGCACTTGGGCGCCAGGAGCATTCGGAGGCTGAGGGACTCCGGCAATACCTGCTGATCTCTTCTTGTCCCATATGCTCTTGAACTGAGCCACCTGGAACGGCAAGAGGTTATTCAACAGTGAAGCCTGAGGGACGGTAGGATTGGCCTGTATGAATTGCTTGAAGTGTCCCCATTTCCGGATTTCGCCAGGTAGGGGACCGGTGGCGCGAAGCCGGTTCAGGATATCCGGGGGAATATCCATGCTGTTCATTGTGGCTTGACCTTGGGGAGACTGTATGTAGGCCATGAGGCGAGCTTTGTCAGCGGACTGCTGTGCCGTCGGCGGTATCATGACGTTGCCCTTTTGGATTGGATTCATCATGGCAGCTTGGTTTGGGCCGGTCATCGGTCCGGCCTGAAGCTGTCCCGGCGCCCCGGGAACTTGTCCCTGCTTAGGGGTCTGAAGTCCGAGATTCGCCGGCGGGCGATGCCGTTCCCATTTAGCCATCAGCTCCCTCATAGCATTGTCGGGTAATGATCCGGGCGTGATATTCTGCATTCCTGCCATGGCCGCGTTAGCCATGGTCCCGGATAACGATGGCGGCCGAGTGTTGTTTTGGTGGCTGAAATGCGGGTTGAGGTTCGCACCCATCTGCGGATTGCCTTGGTTAATAGGCTGCCCGTTGGGTTGGCCCATGGGGAGAGGGGGTTGCCGCAACGGTGTGTTTAATGAGCTCAATGCCGGGCTCTGTGAGGTAGCAGTAGGCGCAGCAATCGCGCCGGACTGGCCTTGCATAGTCCGACCAACGGCCCGGGCTGCGGACTGAGCTTGTGCTTGGGCAGTGGCAGGGTCCATCTTGGCAGGCGGTATGCCGAACGGAGGCTGCACCTGCGGAGGTCGCGGAGTCTGGTTTTGGCCCTGTTGACTCCCGGGTGTAGGCTGTGCCGGGAGGCCGGTCATCGCGCCCGGCGTCGCGTTTCGGCCAGGCGCGGCACTCGCAGGTACAACCATTTGCCCGGCTTCCTGCGCGAGGAAACCCATCTGCTGCTCGTTCCGGATGCTCTCCAAGTTTTGCGGGAACATCTGGCCGTCTTGCATAATCGCCTGCTGACCCAGAGCGTTGATAAAAGCCGGGTTTATCTGGCCCTGGGGCGGACCGGCGTGTGGCATCACGTTCGCGGGCATTCCTGACCGTTGCATCATGGCCGCCGCCCTCTGCGCCTGCGCACGCTTCTGAAGAGTTTCCATGGCCATGCTCTGGAAATAAATGAACGCCGGGTCCCTGCCCGAGGCGGTGAACTCGGCAAATTGAGCTGGATTCAGCTTCTGCTGCATCATCTGTCGGTATTGGTGTTTTGCCGGCTCGGGCGTCTGGTTCATGAGCCTCAGGGCCATCTCATTAACGAGCTGTTTTTCCTGTGGATTCAACTGGCTCATATCCTTAGGAATGACGCCTGGTGGTCGCGGTTGTCCCGTCTGCATGGGAAATTGGCGCTGTTCCGGGCGGTTCTGAAGCATTGCCGGGCCACCCATGCCCATACCCATGCCCATGCCCATGCCTGGGCTCATGGACATCTGTTGCGGTTGCTGAGGTATGGTAGAAAACTGGTTCGGTATGGGTTGGAAGCCGTGCTGAGCTGGCTGGCCCAAGCCTCTTGCGGCCATCTGATTTAGGAGCATCTGCTGTTGCTGGCGCTGCAGCTGAGCCTGTCGTGCGGCATCGGCGTCAACCTGCTTCTGAAGTTCCGCGGCGTTGTTTTGTCGCCGTTGAACGAGTTCTTGAACTTTTTGTGTTATCATGTGATCATATGTTTGCTGGAGATATCTTAGGTCAGATAATGTATTTGCAAGCATTGGTGCAGGGAAGAGCGGTAACCTACCCTATCTGGGGCCTGCAGAAAGTACGTCTTCTCAATCTCCAAAGCGGCGGCGCAAGCCTTCTGCACACTTTGGGGGTCTTGTGCGGCCAGTGACATGTTTGACAACCTATCTTGCGGTTAGCATGGGGGCCCCGAACCAGAGGCCTCGAATTGGGAGAAAGCGATGCTAGAAGGGGGAAATTTTCGTACAGGTTCATAACCTTCCCATATCGCTCGTTTGGGCTGTAGCTGCTCTGCCAAGAGCCCACGGGCGCCATAGCCATACTCTGAAGCAGGCTATGGTTGATAGCAGCTGTCATGCCCTGCATCCGGCCTGGCTGCTGTTGCTGCCGCTGCTGATGCTGCTGATGCTGCTGCTGCTGCTGCGCCTGTAGCATCATCATCTGGCCGTTGGGGACCATCTGCGACATGTTCGCGGCCATGGCGGCCGAAGTAAAGAAAATTCAACCACTCGCGTTGTTTGACGCACCCCCGGCAGCGGTCCGCAACGGTCCCAATAATGTCTAGGACGGGGAGGCGGAAGCCGCGACAATCAAAAGGTTTAATCCCCCGTGCCACAACACAAGACAAAGAGCCGTCAACAGACCGTCTCTTCCACAGTGTATCGGCAAACGTCCATATATCCCGCAAGGATAGGTTGACGACGTGGTACCTTGGTTGCTCGACCGAGTTGCGTCGGCCGTGCTAGACAGCACGCTCGCTGCTAAGCGCAAGTGCGGCCGCCGCTGTCAGCAATTCGCTTCGCTCCAAGGCTCGTGCGAGACAAGAGGACGTGGGCCGGAGGCGAGGGCATCGGTTACGGCGGGTACCAGGTAGACTAGTTCGGAAGACGGTTCGGAACAGAGCAGAGAGAACTCAGGCCAGCCAGAGGCTTCAAGGTTCGGCGCTCTTCCGACGCTGGTGATTCCCGGTTCCCGGCTGCAGCGCGGCCGACAATTTTCAACTCGCCCCGAATCGCAAGATTTGGCTTCGCTGCTGTGCTGCTGCCAAACGAAAGCAGCGGGATCAAAACAGCTGAGGACAAACCGACCCGGAGAATCCCAAGAATGAGTACCGTCTTGCCTCGCTGATTTCACGTATCTGCGAGGGCGCGCTTTGTGGCTCGAATAGAAGCGGTCGGCCTAGTCTCAAATGTTTTGTCCCGCGAGCTGAGTACACCTGGACGCAAGAAAATGTCGGCTGTCGCTGCCGATGTGCAGTGCGGGCGTGATCGCGGATAGCGGGCCACCTCAAAAATTGGTGGTGAGAGTCGGTTGCAGTAGGTAATTGGAGTGGTGCAGATTGCAGAACAGGGTAACCTGGGGGATAGGATCGTGGGGAGGAGCGGAAAGAAAAAGCGACCAAACACGCCAATGTTGAAAAAAATGGCACGCCACGCCAAATTCAGCAAGAAGAGGAGGAGAATGTCGAGCGGGGGGTAAGGTATCCTGAAGAAAGTCGAAGTCGGCAGGAGTGGACGTGGAGAGGGAGGGATGGAGGCGTGGTGTGGTGCCCAGGACGTAAGTGGGAAGGTGAGCAGGGGAGAAAAGAAACCGGGCAGGTTGATGTGGATGCGCTGCTCTGCCCAAACGCCAGCGCCCGGGCAAGTCAGTGTCAGATGGCTGCTGGCGGTGGAACCCAGCAAAAAAGCCAAGAGTAGCCTAGCTGAATCTATGTACCGGCCGGGGACCAATTGTACTGGATGGTACTTGAGGTCCGCACGGTTGCGGCTAGCGCTAAGCAGGGCGGGCGGCAAAGCTCCAAACCTTCTTCTCTTTCCTTGCAGGAACCGCAGTGTGTGCAGCAATACGAATACCTCACGGACATTTCCAGGTGCATCAAGGTACAGACATTTTTTTACTTCAGGTTCATTCTACCGGACATGGGACGCTTCTTTACGGAAGCCGCTTCATATAAGTGGTAGGTGGTTTGACAGCACAGGTCCTCTAATGTTATTTTGATATTCTCTGCAGCCGAACCTCCGCAATCGTGAGTCTCTCATCAAAGTTTAGACTGGCACATTCCCGTTGCACAAAGCGGTGGGGGGCCCGGCCCATGAGATGGTCGCAGCACCTTCTGAGCAGATATCAAGTAATATAAAAGTAACCCCTTATCCACCTCCATACCGACAGGTACTGTATGTACATACTGCACCTTGTTTCCACTTTCCGACCTGGAATGGGAACCTGGAAGGCTGGAGCTGAAACCTCTCCATAGTGTACAGAGCCATATCTTGTCTGACCTGAGCAGATTATCTGTATAGCGATTCTTGCTATGATTCCCGCGTCGTCATCGTTGGCGAACGAAGAACGTAGACGTTCGCTTGCTACATTGGTAAGTTTTATTGTTAGGGAAAGGAGGAGATTTTAAAGTTGAGGATTCGCCCGCTCGATCGATTTACTCTAACCGATCGACCGATCGTTACATTGAGCACATAGATACAAAAAGGTACTGCCCAATACACCGTCAATACTTGTTGCAATTGGTTGCTGTCCAGTTTAATACCCCTGCACCCCTACCTGAACTAGCTCAACAACCGTCGTTCAAGGGGGCTTCACGAGAAGAGGGCCCGAAATCTAACTGTGGCCGACTCCCTCGACGGACGAGGCAGACAGTCGCACCCCCAAGCAAGATTCTTGCAAAATTGTCTGTCCATTTCACCGAACTGGAAAACGATCCCGCAGGCGGCCGTAGGTGTGAAAGGGAGCGTCCGTTAATACCGTGTGATGCCACAAAGCTGGGCGAAACCTCTCAGCCAGCAGAGTGGAAGCCATTCCAGGGCCGAGAGAGAGGCCAGCATGGATGGATATGTATGTGTAAAAGTAACTACCTACATGTGTAGGCATATATTCAATTTTGCGCGACTGGATGAAGAGTATGTGAATGGCAAGACGAAATGGGCCATCTTGCGGAGTGTACCAGGTATTGTACCTCCTTAGGCAGCCTGCGAATGAGGTGGGTGGGGTCTCGCCCGTCCCTGACGGCGGCGTTGCCGGCCAGCCTTCCAGGGTGAGTGTCGCGACCAACCAGAACAGCGTCCCGCTGCATCGAGCTGTGCTGCTTGCCCAAGGCGCCGTGCGGTCCCTATCTCTTCGCTGAGAGTTTTCGAGGATACGGGACGTAACTATAAGCGAAGGTCTTCCAGGCTGTTAACATGGGGCCCGACTTTGGGCTTACCCATGGTTAGCGATAACTCAATTGGTTCTCGTGGTCAGGCTTGACGGCGAGCAGAGGGAATGGTCCTTCACCCTTCCTGCTCAATACCAAAGGTACTCGTAAACCCAGATATTGACGCGCGACAGTGCCGTTCGGCACCAAAGCCAATTGCCAAAGCCAATTGCTGCCAGATGATGCCACGGTCTAAATTTCAGAGTATATGGAGTGGTTAGGCTGGCTTTTACTGCTTCATACGTTTTCCGTCCCTTGCCCGAACTTGATGAAGCCCAGATCATATCAACCAGGTAACCCTTGCTAAGCCACTGATACAAGTGTCATTCAGCCAACTCAAGCAGAAGTTCCTGTCATCACGCACCTCAAATTTGAAGACCTAAGATGGTGAAGCCTGCGACCTGGCGACAGACGAGACTGTACGAAGTATGTACCTACACATATATCCTTCGTTTGCCATTGTAAGGAGCGGATGTTGATTGAGTGTCTAATGAACGTGGGATGCAGGAGTTACCTCCAGTATCCGTATTAGCTAGTAATTACATGGAAAACATTGTGTCCCTTAAGGGTCGCTCGGTGGGACAAAATGATATCTTGGCGCCAGGATGTAATGTTAAGGGTACTGTAACTACTCCGTACTCACTCCGTACACTCGTATCATCTGTACGGATATGTACTCCACTTATAGACTGGAAAAGTTGGGATTTCGACTTGAACTATAAGGTAGCGTCCAGCCAGAGAAAGTGAACCTCAATACTGAGCCCGTGAGTTTTTCGGGCAAATGCCATGTATCTCTGAAAAATCCGTCCCATATTTGCTTTATTCAGGTGCGCTGGCAGCTGGGCGGTTGGAGAATGACTACTTCGTAGTGGGGGCCATAATTACTGTACCTAGCCAGAGGGACAAGAAGGACAAAGGCAGCCTCGGGCAGCCAAACCGGAAGATCTTGTGATATTTACGAAGAAGCAGAGATCTGAACCTTTATCATTCTCTAGCATCATTGTAGCAAGTTCTGTCTCTAGTGCTTGCTTTTAACTCTTTTATCTCTGTCATTACCGAGTAAACACTACTGTGCACTGTACAGTACCTCCGTACTTCGTACTATGGTACTGTAGCGGCTTTGCTTCTGACTCTAATAGAGGATCCACTGACTTGTGACCTCCCGCCGAGCTCCCGGCCAGGGTCCGCGTGTGGGGCGAGGGACAGAGTGAAGGGATCATTCTCCCAATTCCCAAGAGATTTCCCAGCTCAGGTACGAAGATAATAAATGTGTCTTCAATTACTTACGTACCGCTTATACACTCCCCGACTTCTTCATAACACGCAATTTGATACTACTCAAGGGGTCACTCCGGTCAGCGGAGGTTGGGCAGAGCCCTGTGAGCAAAGAGGACGGACAGTGGCAGCATGGAAGAGTTGAGACCATCATTAGGGCGAGCCTGGTAACTTTCGCTCAGGCGGTGTCTGTCTCCCTCGAATATCAATCCTAACAATCTCTAACAAATAGCATACTTTCAACAACAGTTGTGTTCAATGTCCAGTCTCAAACGTGAGCCCACAAGGTGGTACGTGTGTCCCCTACTCCATAAGAGGAACCTAGCGGATATTTGACTCGAATCTGTTGGTCGTTTCTATTCACCCCTCCAGCCTGCCCACCGGCCTCCTCTACGTATATACATACATTACCTACACCTTTATTCTCAGACTTCTGTACCAAACAACTCGATTATGCAACATACCTACCTGAGGTACAGTAGTTAGCACCGCGGGTTGCGCACAGCGTCATGTCACAACATGCATTTAGCCTGCGAATGACTGTCCGTACCAAGATTTAGTTGCTTCTGGAAAGCGTCAGAGACAAAAGGCTCATGAATTATGATACGGAGCTTAACTTCCATTCCACAATGCTGTGCCTTCTGCTTCTTGAATCATCGCCGGTGCCGTTGCTCTTCTATAGTCCGCCCTCGGTTCCCAATCATCCAATTCCCCACACACGTGCTGTTCGTTGCTCCCGGGACCACTGTCTTATACAGGGAGATCTGGTTCCCAGCCTTCAAAAAGAAATCCTGGGCCGTTGCCAGTGGTGATCACCAAGTCAAACTTTTTTTCCCAACTTTTTTCTCATTTTTAGCTTATTTTCTTTTCTTTTCTTTTCTTTTTTTTCCTTTCAATTTTTTTTTTTTTTTGCCCCTTTTCTTTCAATGCCCTTCTTCAAATTATACACCGCCTACAATGTTGACTGGTGGTTTGGCTGGTTATCTTGATCAGCTGCGGATCTTGAAACCATGAGATGAAGATACGAACTGTGTTACTAGCACTGAGATACCCAGACATATGGATTCGCGGTTGTTTATAACTCGACCCTCCGTGCGATAATATGGAATCAGACAGACCCGCTCTAGGCGGCCCTTAGAGAATAGCTTGTGAGGAGCCTGGCCTGTCGACACCAATGGCATTGCTTGAAAGCAAACAGAGAAGCTCAAGTTCTCGGACTCGCAGGTGAATGGGTTCTCAAACAATGTCATCACGGTGGATGGCGGCATCAGTCTGATATCGAGCAGCAACCACTTGGTTTCGTGCGGTAGGTAACTCCGGTTATCATCCAAGCCACACAGCGCCAACAGAAATGCTGGCATGGGGCTTTGCAAATGCCCGCCTTCTGTCGCGTGGCCTAAATTAATTCACTTCCCTCTCATGTGTCGAGTCCAACTTCAGGGGCTTGTACGTAGCAGCACTTCGTGGAGGCTCCGATCAGCTCGGAGCTAGCGACTGAGCTCCGGGAAGGAGGCGACACGGCTAACTCTCTGAGGTAGGGAATTCTCTTGCCTCATATGACATCCAAAATGGAAAGTCGAGGTCATTCCATTCCAGAAAACCGCATTGGGATGAGCACTTCCACCATGGGCTTCTACTAAGAGACGCCTAACACGACAGGGCTGTCTGATCGTCGCAGCCAACAAAGTGACGTGGGTAAGGGTGCGTCACCGGCATGGATCGAAATCCGTCCGCAGCGGAACGCACAGACTTCACAGCCGCGAAACCATGTCTTGCCGGACTTCTTTATGTAACTACGTACAGTACATAAAATACATTGATTAGTACTTCACCGCCCGAGTCTCAGATCTCGCCCGCTTATCGAACTTGTCATCTTTTCCCAAATATTGCAAGAAGATGAGAGCAGAGTGTCGCATGCCGTGAGGACTGGCTCAGGCTGGTGGCGGCCGCCCAAGCAGCGCCACTCAGCCGTACCTACCTAGATGCACATCTTCCGTATTACATTTACATACTTACATACATACGTAAGGTACCTAAGTTTTGAGGTTTCAATATATGTTTTGTATGCACTGTCTGTACAGGTAAACTGTCATACGGTACCAGGCATCGTCAAGGCTTTGTCGGTTCTACCAGGTCCTGCACAACTTACTGGAGGACAGGCTGCAGCCTTCATATGCCCTCTACTAATAAAACGAACTTGACAGCGAAGGAAAGGCTAGCAGAAGGCCGTCGCCTGCATTTGACGTCCGGCTTCTTGGGGGCCTAGGCATTGCAAAAACCGGTCATGGCACCTCATGTGGGTCAGCCACCTCACCTTAGGCCGACGACGACTTCTCCTGATTGATTGATATCTTACCAAGATGAATCCCAATACCACATATAGACTTCAGCACAGCGACACGGCGCAGATACTTGGCAATACTCAGTTGCTGTGATGTAGAGTAGTTCCATCGCCGTTGAGCTATGTACTATACATCCCTATTGCTAGTGTGCACATGTGGGCTTCGTTGAGCCCATCCCTCCTCGAACATGCAGGCTGTCAACTACCTGGGTTCCGATTCTAGCTGCAGCAGAGAAATCCCGGGATACCAGACTGAAAGCGGTCTACCTTGCCTTTGAATGAAGCCTGTGCGACTCGTGGCCGGGGCTGTGTTTTGTTTTGCATGTGGTGTGCTATTGTGGCAGGTCGGGAGACTCCGCGTCACTCGGTGAAAAGACTGCGGTCAGTCATTTGAGAAATTGAGACTCGGCAGAGAATCAGCCAGGCTTACTCCGTACCACTGAGCCGCACTGTTAGAGCCTACTGATCAAGGCCATCCAGACGTTGAACTCGCAAGACAGCTACCAGATCAGCAGCCTGAGTAAGGCTGGTATCTAGTTAATCATATTCGGATTCAGTCCTCCGGTCAGGTCTCTCATGCCTCGAATCAAGCCATCGCAAGGTACGGAGGTAGTTATGTATTGCGTTGTACCTGCCGAATATAAGGTGTCATTACTGCAAGTACATAAGGTACAGTACATCCCTTAGAGTACACGGTAGTCAAAGGTGATAAGGTGCCTGACTTTCGGTCTCTGGGTGGCCGGGTAGCGGCAGTTGCCGTCCCATGTTGAGGATGCAACGTATAAGAGGTACGGGAAAATTGCTTGGTTCCTTAGAGGAACAGACGAAAAGAAGCGAATACAACTACACTATGGCATTTGGAATTGCTTGACAGTGGATTGGCTGATCTTGATGCTTTGTCCTTCCAATCGTTAAGCTGCACGTGAAGTTGTTGTTGCCCTCGCTTGCCATTGGAGTGCATCGGGATTGTAATGAATTACCTTACTATACAGATCAGCAGTATCCATAATTTCCTGGGTATTTCACATACATACATTCGTATGGTACAAGTACTTTACATGTATATCTGGTGTACGTTACGGTTTGAACTGTGGCCACGAGGCACTTGATATTGTAGCACTTGAATGAAATCATTCTTGGAAACGAGTTGAGGTTACAGCTTACCCGGAAAGAATATTGGACGAGGGTATGGATAGACTTTAACACCTAGGAATATCCTGTCCCCGTCTTCGTAATGTATGTACTCCGGGTCATGTCCTAGTGTAATAGATCGACGAAAACCAGCCGTAGCATGTACTGTACCATGCAAGTGAAGCGGAAACCCCGCAGTTCCCCACGCCCCCGCTCCCGACACGGCGCCTTAGACAACTGAAAATGTGAAGCTGCAGGGAGCCAAGGGGTCCCCGTTGAGAAGCTGAGGATCTGAGGACGAGCTGCGAAATCAGATTGTGAATTGGAGTGGAATCGATAGAGAAGGGTTCCCTTTGCCCCGCACCCCATAAAGGTCCTTTTATGGTCACCAATGCCTGCCCTGGTCACCGCGTCGTCACTGGTACTTGTACATTCGCTGCGTGTACAGCCTATCCACGCCTCCTGCTTGCGAATCCAAGTGTCTCGTGTGGTACGACGACGTCTCTTCGATTTACCGTCAACCGCTGCATCACTTCCCCGCCCCGCCTCCACCATGTCACCTCCAAAGTCTGCCTTCGAGTTCCTAGACTTTGTCAATGCGTCGCCGACTCGTAAGCCATCCTCAAGCTGTTTCTTGACGGGACATTTTCTCAACTGACCGTTACGGATCCCCCGTCCTATAGCTTACCATGCCGTTGCCAGCGCCGTCTCGCTCCTCGAGGCCGCCGGCTTCACCAGCATCAAAGAGCGCGACAGTTGGGCCTCGACCGTCAAGCCTGGAGGCAAATACTACCTGACACGCAACGGCTCATCAGTGGTCGCATTCGCCGTTGGCGGTCGATGGCAGCCCGGCAATCCGATCGGTATGATCGGTGCCCACACCGACTCGCCGTGCCTGCGCGTTAAGCCCGTCAGTAAGCGGACAGCCAACGGCTTTCTGCAGGTCGGCGTCGAGACATACGGCGGCGGTATCTGGCACAGCTGGTTCGACAGGGACCTGAGCGTTGCCGGCCGCGTGCTGGTGCGGGAGGGGCAGGGAGATGATCGAAACTTTGTGCAGAAGCTCGTCAAGGTAGACAAGCCGATCCTGAGGATCCCACATCTTGCCATCCACCTACACCGCGAGTCCAACTTCAACCCCAACAAAGAGGATGAGCTCTTGCCGATCGCGGGTTTGGCCGAAACCGAGCTAAACAAGACGTCCGACGAAGCTGAAGCGACTCCGGCCGAGGGTGATTTCCAACCCCTGAAAGCCATGCCCGAGCGGCACCACCCAGCCTTCCTCTCCCTCGTTGCTGAACAAGCCGGTGTCGATGTCTCCCAGGTGATCGATTTTGAGTTGGTCCTCTATGACACGCAAAAGGCCTGCCTCGGAGGCCTCAACGACGAGTTCATCTTCTCGGCGCGCCTCGACAACCTTAACATGACCTTCTGTAGCATCAAAGGGTTGATAGAATCCGTGCAGTCCCCAAGCTCCACCTTGCCCTCCGACCCATCCATCCGTCTAGTCGCCTGCTTCGACCATGAAGAGATCGGGTCCCTCTCGGCGCACGGCGCCGACTCTAACTTATTGCCCGCCGTCCTTCGGCGCCTGTCAGTCCTGCCAGGCTCCCCACCCCAAGAGACCTCTCAGAAACCGACTTCGACCACGACGACGACTGCCACGGCAGCAACAACAACAACAACAACAGCCCCGGAAAGCGACACTTCCACGGCGTTCGAGCAGACCCTCGCAACCTCGTTCCTCGTCTCTGCCGACATGGCCCACTCGGTCCACCCCAACTACGCCTCCAAGTACGAGCGCAACCACCAACCGGCCATGAACAAGGGGACCGTCATCAAGATCAACGCCAACCAGCGCTACGCCACCAACTCGCCGGGCATCGTCCTGGTGCAGGAGGTCGCCCGCCGCGCCGGCGTCCCGCTGCAGCTCTTCGTCGTCAAGAACGACTCGCCCTGCGGCAGCACAATTGGCCCCATGCTCTCGGCGAAACTGGGTGTTAGGACCCTGGATTTGGGCAACCCCCAGCTGGGGATGCACAGTATCAGGGAGACAGGTGGGAGCAGGGATATTGAGTATGCTGTGAGGCTGTTTGAGGCGTTTTTGGGCAGTTTTGGGGAGTTGGAGAGGAGGGTTTTGGTTGATTAGGAATTTTTGACCATTATCCCCGCGTTGTTTTTGGATTTAGCTGAACGGGTTGCAGTGGCATTTGATAGTGCGCATGGTGAGCTTCCAGTGACTGTTTGGCTGGGTCAGAAGGACGGTGGGTTGTAGGGATATTGGGCCTGCCCAGCCGTGTCTGACTGTCTGTACGTTGGGTAGAGTGGGAGACTAGGGAATAGCATCCACGATACCCTGACTTGGCCTGCACGGCTCTAGGGACTGGTTGAATCGTGGTAGACGATCGTGGCGTGTTCGGACAGGCTACTAGTAATGCAGTATCCAACCCCCGGCAGGTTGAGTGTTATCATTACCTGGGAACATCTAGAAGTCCACCAAGCGAGAAGGCACAAACGGCAAGGAGCAGTTCATACGCGCGCTCATGCTGACGGCGGGCTTGGAGGTGAGCTAAGGGGAGCAATGCCATTAGAGAAACCCAATTATGCGCGTTGGATGACCGCAAGGCACATACATGGCACCAACTGAAGCGGTAAGAGATGCGTTGGTATATTCCTCTCGTCCTCGTTCACTCCAAATCATTCCTTACCTCACCTGAATGCTTGTTGAAGTTCTAATTACGAATATATTCGCTATCATTGACAAGGATATTCATCCATGCCGATCAAAAAATCCAACCTGAAGACGCCAAATCGCCCAATGCCAACTATCACTTTCCATCATCTGCCCAATTTGCTACACATCAAGCCCTTCTTCAGCGATGGTAGCCGTAGTGTACCCTAGGTAGTATCATAGACTCGCTACCTAAACCTCAACCGAGCGCCGTCCTGGCACTGGTCCGCCAATAACGCCCAAGCGAGGGTCGTAGGGCGAATAGTCAGGAACCGAGTCGCGGAGCAACAGCCTGCGTCGCTCGAGCAGTTCACTTTCCGTGATTTCTTCATCCCAGCGCTGAGGCAAGCCCATCCTCGGGGTCACCCGGTTCAGTCTAGGATCCACATTTTCATCACTCGGGGAAATGTTGAAAGTGATGGTGGTGGTGCTGGCGGTGGTGCTGGCAAAGTCGACGTATTCGGATACCCTCATCTGGCTGGCCCGCGGCAGCACCTCGTAATCGTCAAAGAACGGCGGGTGGAATGGTTCTGGTAGGACCTGCTCGGGAAACAGGGGTCAGTTGTCGGGTTCGTAATGAATCAGGATGGGTCTTCAACTTGAAGTTTATAAGGTAAGGGGCGGGGGGCTTACTGCCTGAGCCAGATGGAGATCCGGTACAAAACCTGGAGCGGCTTCGGCGAAGAGGATAGAACCCGACGACGGGTCAATGAAGGTCGTGACCTCATTCTCGGCGCCTCTCGGTCTTGACAGCCCGTGCTCGTGCTCGTCCTCCAAGGGAGGGAAGAAGCGGTATCCGCTCAGCCGTCGTTGTGACGGAATAATCGGCATGTTTGCGATGAAACCGAGCGAGGGAAGGAAACAAAGGTCCATGTTGTCTGCTTCGAGTCCTGGTGTGAACCTGTGAATCGAGGTTTATGTCAGCTACCACTGGTGGTATAAGGTAGCCTGAGGTGAGGTTAGATTCCGACTTACGAGTGCGACGGATACGATGGAATACAGGTGATGAAGAGAAGCGATTGATTGACACTTTTGCGATTTCGATATTAGGATGTGCGAATTTTTGAAAGAACGGACTGAAATTGTGTGAATCGGTATGCTTGCTGGGGCGAGGCAAGAATTGTATCCAGCTCTTGACGGAGCGAGAGTTTTGAATTTGAAGGGCCGAGAGGCGAGAAACCCAGCCTTCGGAAATTCGAGGTGTCAAGAGAAGGCTGTAAAGGAACATTTGAACTCCTGTGGGCATTTATATACCTACGAGGTGGCCGTCCTGCGCACAAGCATCATGGATATCTGAGTGTTTCTGGTCCTCAGACTGGATTCAAACAAGTGCTAAAAGCTTTCCGCGAGAGACTGACACGTCTCCAGCCACCGATTTCAAGAGTCATTAAGCGTAGGGCAGTGACGGCAGTCTTTGACATCCCCCCACATACATGTAATACTCCAGCTGCCCTCAGGCTCATCAAACTTTTCTGGTGTTGGCACTTTAAGTATCACGACACTCTGTCTCTTAGCCAAGGAGTCACCCTTCAAAATCAACGACAACTAGGATTGCTCATTACCAGGCACCACCGGGCACCAATATCGAAACAGAGAGCAGAATATGCCAACAGAGGCGCTGGGCACTTCAGCCTCACGCGCGAACTCATTTCGCGAAGCTGTTCTGTCAGTTGAGAAAGAGTAAAATTCAAAAACTGAAAGACAGCAGGTGATTGACCTTCGACCCGCGAGGATGCAGCCGGGACCCTCAATACCGGTACATTCCCTAGTAGGTGCCGTGCTTGGTATATACCTTACAGTAGGTACTTGGTTCAGACGATACTTTTCGGTACATCTGCTTCCTCCCTTGAGACAACATGAAGAGTGGTCCGATCTGGTCAATACCAACCGTAACCTGAAGCAACAAACACACATGACCACATGACGAGAGCTTTGGCGGTTGCTAAACCGCCGTCGAGCTAGTGGTACCTAGTGTGACCAAGCTAATGAGAAGAAAGATACGCACGGGTATTCGGAGCAGCCCTACCAGCCACTTCTGACTGACTATTGCAAAAACATTCGATGGAGTAAATCATCAGACGGTACGGGTTTTAGCCCCTGACCAAGTTACCGTCAACTTTGTAAGACGGAAGTCGTCATGCCTTTTCCATGTCTCCAAGTCCTACCTGCCAGTCTACATATATGTATCTGCTGCCTTTCCGTCTAAGTGTTTGATTACACGAATCGAGCTGGCAATCATCCCTCATGTTCTCAACTAGTTGAACTACTAGTACTACTAAGCTTGCACTTCCCGTGGGTAGGCCTGGGCTGGCAACCACGAGATCCAGATGATACAATGAACAACAACCAGGTACGGAGTACAACCGTAACAAACGTCAAAACAAACGGACAGGAGACAAGGCAACGATCATAAATCAGTCGGGTAATTTGCCAATCTAGTCAGATTCAAGCTGTCTTGGCTGTCTCTATCAGTTAGCTAGCGGATGGCTAACGTATATATGTTCTGTATTGTCCCTGCTACCTCCGGCTCTTAAGAAGATCTAAGAGATACGCAACCACTGGCTTTCGCTCCGCCGACGTGGTCAGCACGCGCAAGTACTCGGTGCCATCTATGCCGAGCTGGGGAAACGTGTTTGTTTGCAGATGCCGGATAAAGGAGTCGCCCGTCTTGACATAAATAACTCGCTCGATACCAGCGATTTCGTTCAGGATTTGCCGCGACTGGGCATCACTGTAAGGCCGGAACCCCGCATCCTGCAGCACCTCCCAGCAGAGCCCATGGAACTGATCGATCATAAATTGGTCAAAGCCGGGAATGGCTGGCGCCGGCGCGCCTGTCGTGGCTGGGTTCTCGCCGACCGTGGCAACATCCGGCCCTCCCCATTGGGAGGCCATCCGACCGAGGACGTTGAAGGCGATACGGCTCGGCACCAGATTGCCGTGCGTAAGCGTCTTCGCAATGTTAATGATGGATTTCACCAGCGATTCAAATATACCCTGGTTTGACGAGCTAACCAGAACGCCGCCGAGATCGTTAATGAGGATGACTTGCACGAACGAGACGTATTCACGCCTCAGTTCTTGCAACTGGATCTCGTCGTCCGTGCCACTGATGGGCTCGGACAGCCCGCCAAATACCCGCTCGAGCAGTGGCGTCAGTAAGAGATCCAGAATGTTGTAAATTTCGCCCTTGAAGTTGTAAACCACTTGCTCCAGGAGCCGGAGAAACATGGCCATCTCATCTTTGCTTGAGCTGCGAGAAAGCAACCCTTCGATCCACTGCGGTAACTGCGGCAGCACAGCCGAACCTAGCACCCCCAGCAGTCGTGAGAAGGCCGATCGGCACGCGGCGCGAATCTCCCCGCTGCCATTGAGCTGGTCGAGTGCGATGAGAATCGCCTCGGCCGCCCTCGAGAATTCGTCTGATATAGGCTGTGGTGGTGCTGGACGTCGGTCTCCTTGTGAAGCAGTCGCGTCGGCGAATCCGTTTGCGAGGGTGCCCAAGGCCATTACGATGTGGTGCACCTGTAAGATGGCTTGGGCATCCCCTGATTTTGCCCGTTCTAGGTGCGCGCTCATGTCGGAGAAGAGTGGCTCCATGACGGAGCGCGCGTATAGCGCCTGTTCGGCAGCGGGTGTGGCCGAGGTAGATGAGATGCATCCGATGGCCTCGTAAAGGTAGAGCTGGCTGTTGAAGACGGCGTCGGCCGAGTGGTCAGATTCGTCTGACGACATGTCGTCGTCAGCATCGGCGCCGGGAACCTCGGCTTCGATCGGTAAAAGATCGCTGATGGATTCAATTACAGTCTTGGCTACATTGCCAACTTGTGCCCTTAGCGTCTTCACGAACCGATGGAACAGGTACCAGGACCTCGTTCGGATCCTGACGTGGTTATGATGGACCAGTCTAACAAAGTTCTCGAGCACTTGAGGGATGTAGCGCTGCTGATCCTCAAAGAAGCTATTGTACCGGGCACAGATTTCCATATACTGAAGAAGGATGGCGGGGTGAGGATAGTTTGCGATGCCTGAGAGTGCGTGTCAGCACGACTGCAACTCGGACAATGCCGGGAGGTTTCTTACCTGACTCGACCATTTTGCTCATCATCACGGCGAGCCGTTCAGCGGCAATGGTGTTGGGCTGACTCTTCTGAGCCAATCCCATGTTTGGCAGCGCTAACTCGCCGAACAGATAGATCTCATGCAGAGCAAGGTCGAGATCCCTCCAATCCATTTGCGGACCTTGCTGTTCCAGCGTCGCAAACATATTTGCCACCAATTCACTCAAAAACTCTATGCACAAATTCTCATCGACAGAGGCAACACTCTTTTGAAGAATCTGAAGCTTCTTCCGCAGGTCTTGGAATTCGGCCTCGTCCGTCTGTTCGTCCTCGTTCCCCCAATTGGACGTCTCATCGTACCTCATCTTCAGCACGATAGCGCTCAGAATCGGGTGCAACATGCCAGCATAGCTGGGCGGGAGCGTTCCGACCTTCCGAAGGAAGGTCAAGAGATCGGTCAAGGAAGGTATGACGGTCGAGCAGACTTCGTCATACTCGTCCGAAAAGAGTCGGAGTAGGGATGGCAGGAAATCCTGAAGGAGCTGTTCGGCCTTTGCCCTGGTATCGGTCTCAACCTTATTGTCTTCCAGTACGCGCACAACGTCCGTCATGATAGTGTTGACCAGTTTGGCAACGGCTTCGGCAAGATCATTATCGTACCGTGGCGTTCCCTTCCACTCTTGGAGAGGGGCGCTTGCCAGTAGCTGCGTAACAATCTCGCGGAGATTGAGAAACGAAATCATCTCGATCTTGTCGCTGGCCTTCATCTTCTTTGCCACGACCTCGGTGAGAGTATCAACCGCCACGTCTCGCACTTTGTCTTCGCCGCCGGCCGGTTTCGACCTCCCGACCAGGGGCAGCAGGAGGTTGAGCATATCCTGGTTAATAACAAGGTGGATATCCATCCAGCTCACCCACTTCCCCACGATCTTGAGCGTCGACTCGACCACGCTGTCATTTTGGTTGCTGTACCGAGCTAGTATGTCTTGCCAGGACGCGGCAATCTTGCGCATGTCTCGCTCGCGAACCAAGTCCTTCAGATCATTGTTGCGCTTGGCCTCGTTCCCTTGTCGGCTCAGCATAACATCAGCAATTTCGTCGTGGATTGACCCTAGTATGCGAAGGTACATAATCACCCCTGGGAGGTTGTCCTTTTGGGCGAGGGTCAAGAAGTCATCAATGAAACTCTCCCAGCCCTCCTTGTACAGAAAGACGAAGAGATAGGTCAGCGTCTGGGTAAGCTTGTTTTGAAGGTGTGCTGGGTCGACTGGCTCCTGAGCGTCCCCCCCATACACACGTCCGATGTAGTCAAGCAGTGATTGCTTGAGGAAGGCGAGGCTGGCAGCGTCCAGAGCTTGGGAGTGGACGGCATTGTTGACTATCTCTAGCGATACAAGGCGAACGACCTCGGATGCTCGTGGATTTCGGGTGAAGAGATCTGTGCAGACTTGCCAAGCCTGCGGATCGGTACGCAGCTGGTTCAGGAATTCGAAAGCCTGGCCCTTAAGAGCCTGATCTGACGAAGGGTTCCAGGCGATTTCGATCGCATTCTCAATCTAGAGCCACACCGGCGCGTCAGCATTAGCCTAGAAGGGGGTAGGTAGTAGACAGGGAGGGACATTGCGGCCTTATCTCCTGTTGATAGTGGGGGGCCAGATTGACTGTGTTCATTTTTTTTGCGGGGATTTACGATGCCAGAGAGAAGTGGCTCACCTGGGCGTCCATTGCCAGCCACTAACGTTAGATGTGTGGCAGAGTGAATATGCCAAAGGGACCTCAGGATGTGATATCCTCGTCCGCAAAGCTACTATAACCCAAGCAGCTGTGAAGTCGGTGCAGTATTCGGCATTCTCAGATTCGGCAGGACTGGCGCCGAAGAAACATGGTTGAACCCCTCTTTAGTGCGCCTCCATTTTCCAGCAATTTCACGGCAGCTCAAGGGACGGATCAGATCAAAGCGACAATGAAAACCGTGCTTGTAGATCTATGGAAGGCGTCAGGTAAGGCGGTGTCGAGAGCCGAGTCGGTCGTTGAAGCTGTGCCGAAACAAAGACGGGATGGAGGATTGTTTGCACGGTAGAACAGGCTGCTGGCGTTCATGGTGGGGCAGTGACTCGAAAAAGTTCAGGCACTCTGATGTTTGTGGAGTGACGTTACGTTGTGCGGTCTTTGGGCATCGGTGCACGTGCCATCTCAACTCAGTCCTCTCATGGGCCATGTCAATTGTCTTGAATCGCCGAAGCTTTCAAACCGCAAAAGCTTCGCATCTCTTCTGTTGCCCATGAATTGGTTTAATCATATTCTGATTGCAATGGTGAGGTATTCACCTAGGTAACCAAGAGTTGACAAGCTTCAAGCACTGATTTTGTGAGTGTCACTATGGACACCAAGATTTGAATGTGTTCACAAAGGTACAGTACATATTCTAGCATTGGCCCTTGGTTTGTCATTGTTTGCACATGGGAACATTACTGACATAGACAGCGAATCCATTTACTACTACATACCTCCTTTTGTGGACCACGCATCATCGCACCATGACGGTTGGACTCAAAGTGTGGCCTATCCTTACAAGACTAAGCAACGAGCGTTGGACCGAGATGCTGCCGATTATCCCCTATCCTTCAACGCCAAAACCACAACCTACAGTATCCGAAACTACTTTACCCACCACGGTTGGGCCTCCAAGTCGGATAACCATCCTTAACCCGTCTTCTTTTTCTTTTTTGGCCGTTCATCCTCCTCCTCCTCTGCGTCCTCCATCTCCTCATCTTCGTCTTCGTCAACCTCATTATCAACATCGCTTTCTGCACTGCCAGAGCCGTCGCTTTCATGGTTGCTGTCATATTCCTCGGCGACATCGCTTTCGGATTCGGCTTGGAAGTCTTCATCGACGCTCTCCTCGTCCTCATCTGCCGACCCGCGGTCCGCCTTGGCACCAACAACCTCCTCATCAGAGCTGGCCATGTCCTCATCCCTCATGGCTGCGGCCAGAAGGTTCGCATCCTCGTCGATTTCGTTCTTGACCCGCAGCCCTTTGAGCTTGAAGAAATCCTCCAGTGCTTTCAGGTCTTCACGGTTAATGTTGCTGAACTGAGAGGAACCTGCACCGCTCTTCATGTGGACTGTAATATCAAACGTCGAGAGAGCCGAAACCGCGCCACCCACACGGGAAAAGGTAATCGATTGTGTCTGCTCATACGAGATGTATGTTGCGGGTTTTGGCACAAACATGAAGGCCTTCTCTAGGCAGTAGAGGAAGCCCTCGCTCGCCTTGATTGAGCACTTGATGCCGTATTGTTGGCGATGCCTGGGGCAATATGTCAGCACATGCATGAGGCACCCCCCCCCCCGCGAGCGGGGACCACGGAGACTCACGTTGTAAAGTCCTTTGCAGGAGCTGTGACCTTCTTGTTCGCCAACCCCTTGAAGATATACGTGACGACCTGATGCAGCGGTTGCTCGTAATGGGCCTGCAGTTTGTCCTTGTACCTGCCATTGAGCTCTTCTTCAGATAAGTTGAGATCCAACGTAACCTCTTCATCTTGCTTGAACTGCATGACGATGAACGGGTAGCGCGTCTGACCCTGTCGCAGCGGAGGGTCTAGTCCTATGCAGAGCATGAAATGTAGGTCGTCGGGTTTGGGCAGCACCATGAACTTTTTGATAGCCTCGTACTGAATCTTGTAGTCGTACGTCTTGCCGCGAAGTCGAAACGACGCGTCATACATGTCGATATCGAACCGTCCTCTAATAGAGTATTAGCCAAGAAACAGGATCGACATCACATAGCACGAACCTGGGCGTGAGATGCAAAACATCCAGGAATGTGGCAATCGTGTCGCCGGCCGTCTCCCCAATCTCAGCCTTTTCAATGAGGGTATCGTAGAATAGAGTTACGGCGCTCTTTTCTTCTTCATCAGCGTCGCTGCCGGCGTCGCCACCCTCGGCTTCTTTCCTTGTTGTCACGCCCGGGATGTAGAATCTCATCTCGACGAGCTGATCCTTCCCGGCCGAAGCCTTTTTGCCTTTCCCCGGAGTCGCGCCATTGACGCCGTTGGCCTTGCCCGTCTCGCCGACGGCAAACTCAACGGCTATCTCGTTACGACCAGCGAGGTTCGTGTTGGATATCTCCGAGTACGGGATCTCAAAGGCGGGTCGGTTCTGGACGTTGAACGACAGCTCAGCCTTTCCAAATTCCGCCTTTCCCCAGTTCCAGCCGCGCAGCGAGTGTTCTTTGTTTTCGAGATTGGTGCTGTACCAGTTCTTGAAGATCTTGCTGAGACGCTCATAGTCCTGTTGGAGGATCAGCGCGCGGTCTTGAACTTCTTCCCACGCGGTCTTACCTCTTGCTGGAAGCCATCCAATTGAATGACGCCTGAGTTTCGATGCAGGATCTTCACCTCGTAGCCCTTAGCGGCTCTGCTCCATTGCGCACCGCCGATGTTACTCTGGTCAAGAGTGAAGGCTTCGCCACCGCCGGCTGGCTTCCAACCGAGACCATTCTCGGCAAACCTGCACTTGCCGTGCTCTTTAGACAAGTCCAGGTAGATATTATCGAAACTTTCACTATTTCATTTGTCAGCTGCGCATGGACGCGGGCACTCAGCAAGAAGCCAAGCGGGAGAAAAGCACATCGTAGCTCTCTTTGGCCATGGTGTCGAGATTTGATACTGACAAACATAAATAATGAGGCTATACTCACATAGCTGCCATAATGCGACCGCCTGGTTCAGATGTTGTGGGATGGGGCAAGCTGAATGTTGGGGGATAGTTGGTGATTTTAACAACTTCTTCCCGTTATCGCGCCTCAAGGAGCCAAGGATACGTGACGCGACAGAGCTTAAATTGGCGGCAGACGAGCAAAAGTTGCCGGGCGGTCAGAACTTAGGGTGGGGCCGTGGCAAGTCAGGGCGCAGAGCTTGGACCTTTTCGTGTCACCTTACAAACCTCACAAAGGTACAATACATACGGGTACCTTACGAGCTTACACACCTTACTCCGTAAGGACGACAGATATCTACAGCTTTCATAAGCACTGCAAATTGCATCTCAAAGGGCCTGAACCCAGTAAGTCTTGCTCTCCAGCGACAGAAAACACTCTCATGAAGAGCAGCGCGCTAAGAGTTGCCTGAGAATAGACGGTAGGCTGAGATTGACACATTCTTACATCCAAAAAGGCGGAAGACACTTCCAGCTAGAAGCATCAGCAGACAAGAAGGGGAGATTGCGCGACAGGACTGTCATATCAACTTTCGCAGAAACTGCCTGTTTGGTCGACGGTGCAGGAAGGGCGCAGAATCATCTAGTGACGGAGTTCATTGGAGCCTGCCCTGCCTGGAGCTATTCGTTGGACGTAGAGTATGGAATGGAAGGCATTTGCATTCCCAAGCTCATAGCCCAGGCAGAAGGTTCGCATGGTGCGAACCGATTTGAGGTGTTGGACGCTAACATAGATTCAGAGCTGCGATTGGGCAGCCTAGGTGGTGAAGGTAAGCTGATATCGGACGTCATTCTGAGCCTCTTCATCAACTCAGTACGATGTAAGTCACCGCACGGCAAGCGTCCTGTCGCTTCTGCCACGACTGCCTGCCCGCATTACTTAGTAGCCTGCATCTACAGTATAAATTGCTACGTATCCCAGTCGTTTGTTCCCGCTGCTCGTCCGGGTGAATTCATCTAAACTCCTTGCTGTGGTCGTCTAAGCGGATTGCACTGGTTTGACTGCCGTCCCCACCGAAAATCAAGGCGGCATGTCTAGAAGCGCGCGACTCCAAGGGAGATCTTCTACCTGGCAAACCACAGCATCATTGCCTATCATATCTCTTCATAAATTCCTTTGATCCAGAGATTTGTTCCTGGATTTGGCCCTTTTCTACCTTTTGTCTTTTTTCTACTCCAGAAAACGCTCCCAAAAATGAGCTTCGACCGTCCACTCCACGGCGGTTGCCACTGCGGCCGGAATCGTTACATCATCCAGTTTCCTCAGGACAAACCACCAGGTCATATCGTACAGGTGCTCTTCGATTCGCGCACTTCACAAAGTAACCCCGACTCCCCCCCCAGAAGGCGCCACCCCTACGAACGACTGAACCTTACCTGCTGCTAGATTCCTCCCACTTTCAAGCGACCGGCAGTCCGCTCCCGGCCTACCTCCGGGTGCCATTGACTTGGTACCACAGTATCACTTCGGCCTTCAACCCAGACGAGACCAACGCGCAGATCAAGCGAGTCTACACATCCCCGCGCGAACAGCACGCGATGCGTCACTTTTGCGGCTTTTGCGGAACACCCTTGTCATACTGGACCGAGGAGCCCCGCAGCGAAGCAGAGTTTATCCAGCTCACACTTGGCAGCTTGTCGCCCCGCGACTTGGCCGACTTGGAGGACCTGGGTTTCTTGCCAAGCCCCGGTTCTGCTTCTGGATCCGACGAAGAGGAGGCAGGGGAGACCGGGGCCGGGGAGAGAGATGATGTCAGCGCCATGCTTGATGAGGACGCCACGAGGAATCAACAAGATCTGGCGCCACCTGTTGGGAGAGTCGGCGTGGTGCCTTGGTTCGAAACTCTCACAGAAGGGAGCCGATTGGACATGCTGCGCAAGGCAAAGGGACAGCGTATGAACAAGAGCGGCGTGGTGAGGGTGGAATGGGAAGTCGTTGAGTGGAGTGAGGAGGAGGATCTGGCGAGGCCGAGGAACGGTAAGCGGAAGATTAGCGAACTCGACGAGACTCCGGGCATGGAGGGGTTACAGGGTGGAGGTAAATGACTAGCCTCAAATTGCTGAATGATTCGGGCGATTGTTGGTATTGTTCTCGCTTCTTTTACTGGTGGTCTTCTTGGCTCCACCGTAAGCATATCGGATCTGGACGCAGCACTGCCTTTTCGAGCAAAATTTCCTGAGACGCAGGAGAACTCCGATGGTACGCGTGTTTGGCGTGGCCAGGTCGTGAGAAAGGCCAGTCGCGGTTGACAATCATTCAGGAGCACTGCGTGGTTCTGGACAATCATCATTTCACACGACGTGCTGATGCTCATCAACCTACCTGGGGCGGGAGACATCACGCTGAGCTGGTTGATAGAGTCGCGTTCCAGTCGCCAGCCGCAGCTTGAGTGTAATGAGAAATTAGGTTGGCGCGAGGTTCCCAAACACAGCCATAAAGGAGATCCTGCTCATTCATAACAGCGTGCGGGCGGACACTTGTGATTCATGCGTTCCGGGACTGTCAGCCGGGCTTGCCGACGCTGTCAACCAAACGCTCCTTCTGACGGGAATGCTCGCCGAACGGTGATGATCCCGTCGGCTCTGCTCACAGTCGGACATCGTGAATCGCCAGGTCGTCCGAAGTTTAGCCATCAGAAGCTGCGCCCAGCCGCCGGCCTTTTGCCAAACGGGCGCATCGGTTGTTTCGCCTCGCCTCTGCGCATGCGGTTGAAGAGGCTCGTCTCGGCGCGGGCGGCGTCGTGCCGTGCCATTTTAGGACGACGCCCCTATCGTGACCACCGTTTCACTACGGCCACCCCAGGTTCAGCCGAAGTTTACCCTGCCGGAGCCCACGCTTAATCCTCTGCGGGCCGTCCTTCCGAAAAGCGTCTCCAGGTCATATCGAAGGCGAGGACAGGCCGGCGGGAAGAATCTGCCCAGTTTTGTGACTGTGTATGACTTCTTCAGAGGCAGCATTGAAGAGGATGTTTTTCAGGATAAGCGGTTTGCGGCTCTGAGACAAGAGAGCCTTCTTATGTAAGGGTCCCGTCCTGGCGGCGGTTTTTGGATCTGACTTCCAGAAGCCGAGTGTGCCTGTCGGGTTTTTCTGTGCTGCGTTCCGTGGCCCGGGTCTGGGCATTTTTCCTAATTGGGGTTGGTGGGGCCTGGACGGTTGGACCTGACGAGGGGACAGGGATCTCCACCTCCAATATCCCCATTCCGTGGAGCACGCCTTCCCACGCTTGCCCACATATCACGATCTCTGTCGTCCTACCGCGCTGCGAGTTTTCTCTTTATTACTGCCAATGCGGATCTTACCCCGCGGTGGGGGTTCCTCAAGGTCCTGTGCCGGGGGTCCCCCTTGCCCCAAACAGAATGTCAGATGGATGTGCCCATGTTGTGCAGTAGAGGGCTGCACACGGCTAGGTCGCCGCCCTGCATCCATTTTCAGGCTATGCCTAGCCCTCTCTTCGGTGTCAACGGTCCGAAACACGGGAGAATGGGGAGTAATGGGCGTGAAACCGCGGTGATGGCTGTTGTATATAAGGCCATCCACAGCCCGGCGTCCCCATCTGGATTCCCCGTTGCCTGGAACCATTCTTTTCTAGCTTTCTTCATCCACCATCTGATACCCTTTTCCTTCTAGCTGTCTACATCTATCTCTTGTGGCTATACTGTTGCCCCCCACCCCCAACGTCGGGTACCACCAGAAACTTGGCCATCATGTCTCTTCCCAGTGACTTTAAGTGGGGCTTCGCAACTGCTGCGTGAGTCTAGCTGCATGTTTCCATATGGGTAGTCCTGAGTCCCCAACTGACTTTGCTCTCTTTTCCCTATTACAGGTACCAGATCGAAGGCGCTGTCAACGAAGATGGCCGCGGCCCGTCCATCTGGGACACGTTTTGCGCTATTCCCGGCAAGATTGCCGACGGTAGCTCGGGCGCTGTGGCCTGTGATTCGTACCATAGAACCAAGGAGGACATTGACCTCCTCAAGTCGCTAGGCGCTACCGCCTACCGCTTCTCCCTCTCGTGGTCGCGCATTATCCCCCTTGGCGGCCGCAACGACCCCGTCAACCAGAAAGGGCTGGACCACTACGTCAAGTTCGTCGATGATCTGCTTGAGGCGGGCATCGAGCCCTTCATCACCCTGTTCCATTGGGACCTGCCCGATGCGCTGGACAAGCGCTACGGCGGGCTCTTGAACAAGGAGGAGTTCTCCGCAGACTTTGAGAACTACGCCCGCATCTGCTTCAAGGCCATCCCCAAGTGCAAGCACTGGATCACCTTCAATGAGCCGTGGTGCTCGTCTATCCTAGGCTACAACACGGGCTACTTCGCTCCGGGCCACACATCGGACCGCAGCAAGTCACCGGTTGGCGACAGTGCGCGCGAGCCGTGGATCGTCGGCCACAACTTCCTCATTGCGCACGGAAAGGCTGTCAAAGCCTACCGCGAGGACTTCAAGCCGACCCAGGGCGGCGAGATCGGCATCACGCTCAACGGTGACGCCACGCTCCCGTGGGATCCCGAGGATCCTGCTGATGTCGAGGCGTGTGATCGCAAGATCGAGTTCGCCATCAGCTGGTTCGCCGACCCTATCTACTTTGGCAAGTACCCCGATTCGATGCGCAAGCAGCTTGGCGACCGTTTGCCGACCTTCACCCCCGAGGAGGTTGCTCTCGTCAAGGGCTCCAATGACTTTTACGGCATGAACCACTACACTGCCAACTACATCAAGCACAAGAAGGGTGTGCCGCCCGAGGACGACTTCCTGGGCAACCTCGAGACGCTCTTCTACAACAAGAACGGCGACTGCATCGGGCCCGAGACGCAGTCGTTCTGGCTGCGGCCGCACGCCCAGGGTTTCCGGGACCTGCTGAACTGGCTCAGCAAGCGGTACGGATACCCCAAGATCTACGTGACCGAGAACGGCACGTCGCTCAAGGGCGAGAACGACATGTCGCTCGAACAGATTGTCGAGGACGACTTCCGTGTGAAGTACTTTGACGACTATGTCCGCGCCATGGCCAAGGCGTACGAGGAGGACGGCGTTAACGTCAGGGGCTACCTCGCCTGGTCGCTCATGGACAACTTCGAGTGGGCCGAGGGCTACGAGACGCGATTTGGTGTGACGTATGTCGACTATGCAAATGACCAGAAGCGCTACCCCAAGAAGAGCGCCAAGAGCCTCAAGCCGTTGTTTGACAGCTTGATCAAGAAGGAGTAGTGTGTGGCTGTTACGGAAGCGTTTCCAGGTGTCTCCTTTTGCCGTTTTTATCGCCAGTGTCTTTTCTCTTTGGTTGGATGAGGGCGTGTTCGAGGGCCTGTGTGGACTGATTTCTGTCATGATCGTTAGGTATGAATGGCGTGAAATGTTTCCCGCCATCGTTCATCCATAACTAGTACCGGGATACTTTGTGTCTTTTTGAATACCAGACAACATTGACATACCAAGTCTATGATATCCTGTGCTACTGAACGTACAGTCTCAAGCCGAAGTAGCTGGAGAACCTTCCATGGAGACTTTGTTGGAGAGAGCTCCTGTGTCAAGTGAACATGTGGGACTTGAGACTTGCGGAGAAGTGGAACTGAAGTGGGGTTCCCTACTCCAATTCGGTCTAGCCGCCAAGAAACTTAAATGCGGGGTGAAGGCTGGGGTCGGGAAGGATCGATCCATGACGAAGAGCTTTAACTACTTGAGTGTCGTGCTTGCGAACAAGTTGACGGTATACCTGAAGTTCTTTCCTTCCACTGGTTCAGTAGGGAATTGGACTACTTGTGTTATTCGCATCGTTGTCTAATACTGGTTGAGGTCTTTTCTTGTGACTGTCGTGGCAACTGCCAACGCCTCTGATGCTACCCAATGCGGCTTAGTTAGTGGACGATCATCTTCGATCGTCTGCTGGGGAAGGATTGAGGAAGCATGTGGAGAGCACCCCCGGTTACTGTCGCTTTTGTTGTACCGGTACACGTTAGTCTTATCCGGGGTTATGGATCTGTGATCCGAGCATCTACCTACCTTAAGGCCTTTGCCCCATCTTCATCTTTTCCTGTTCGCCGTCACGGTTACCCCGAGCCGGAGTCCCTAGAATCGCCAAGTCTGTCTCCTCTTCTGCTTCCCATTTGAGACGTTCATTCCGAAGTCTCGGGCGGACGGTAGCTTCCATCAATCTCGCAAGCCGCTCATGGCATAACAACTCTTTGCTCTTTAACATAGTCTCTAGCACATACTCCATATTCTCATCCCCGCGTCCGGCCACCTACAACCACTACCTGCCGCAATCCTCTGAACTTTGAAAGTCAATTGGCAGTCTTACGCCCGATTCATGCAGCTTAACCGGCTATTCTGAGGCGGCCTCACTCGTAACTACGCCGGCAGCGAACTCACAAAACAACCAGACATGTCTGGGGCTTCTTCAAGGCTCAGAAATGTCCTAGGCCACCTCTTGTCTGGACCGAAGACGGACAATGTTCCTCACCACTTCTCCCATCTTTCCCCCACACACTTCCTCGAGCGCGCCGCCGCCATTGAGCCCAATGCCGAGGCTGTATATCATGTAACAGCCAGTGGTGAAGTCCTGAGGCGCTCCTACATCGAGCTTGCTGACCGCGCGCGGGGGCTGGCCTATTATCTCCGCAAGAAGGGTTTCAAGCGGGTAGGCCTGCTCGCACCCAACACCCCGGCGTTTCTGGAGGCTATATACGGCATTGCCGCGGCCGGCGGTGTCATGGTGCCGGTTAACTACAGACTGAAGCCCGAAGACATTGCGTACATCATGGACTTTGCCGAGGTGGATTCCATCATTGCAGATGCCGAGTATGAGGGGCTGCTAGACATGTATCGGAAAACGCACCCGAGCGTGCCCGTCATCGTTGACCTGGTGGGTTTGGGCTTTCGTGGTCAGAGCTTAATAATTCCTGTGACTGACTGGTGTCAAGGACAATGGTGGTATTCGGGGCAAGCTATGCGGTCCTTACGACGACGCAGTGCTGGAAGGGCTCAACCGTGATCGGGAGACCGGGAGCAAGGGGTGGGCCGATCTGGCGTCCCAAAGGGTTGCGAATGAGGACGACCTAATTGCCATCCCATTCACTTCCGGGACAACATCAAAGCCCAAGGGCGTGATGTATACCCATCGTGGGGCCTACCTAGCGGCGCTTGCAAACGTTGTAGAATCAGGACTAAACGTTCCTGATGGGAGGTGCAAATACCTCTGGACGTTACCCATGTATGTGACCAACCTGCATGTTCCTCCATTTCCCGTGATACTAACCCAGACACTAACAAGGTTTCACGCTGTGGGCTGGACCTTCCCGTGGTCCGTTTGCGCCGTACGCGGGACGCACGTCTGCCTGCGCAAGGTTGACTACCCGTTGATATGGAAACTCCTCAAGGAACAGGGCATAACACACTTTAACGCCGCACCGACAGTAAATACGTTGCTGTGCGCAGCCGCCGAGGCTGAGCGCCTCCCACGCCCGGTGCGCGTCACCGTCGCCGCCAGCCCGCCGACTGCGCACCTATTTGAGCAAATGACGAACCTCAACCTCCTCCCTGTGCATGTCTACGGCCTCACTGAGACGTACGGCCCCATCACGAAGGGATATGTCCTCCCGGAGTGGGATCCTTTGCCAAAGCACGAAAAGTACGCCAGGATGGCCCGCCAGGGTTACGGATTCGTCACCAGCTTGCCGGTACGCGTCATCAAGCCCGACCAGTCCGAGGGCGTTCTCGTCGATGTGGCCAAGAATGGCAGAGAGATTGGCGAGATTGTCTTCTCCGGGAATATCTGCTGCAAGGGGTATTTTAAGGATGCCGAGGCGACGAGCAAACTGTTTGCCGGTGGGGTGCTACGCTCGGGAGATCTGGCCGTCTGGCATCCGGACGGGAGCATCCAGATCCAAGACCGGGCAAAGGACATCATCATTTCTGGCGGGGAAAACATATCGTCGGTGGCGCTAGAGAGCATGCTGGTTGAGCATCCTGACGTGCTGGAGGCCGGGGTCGTGGCGGTCCCGGACTCGCACTGGGGCGAACGCCCCAAAGCCTATCTGACGGTCAAGGAGGAGCGGAAGAGCCTGAGGCCAGAGGATGTGATTACCTGGGCCAAGCACCAGAGCTCGATTAGTAAGTTTATGGTGCCAAGGGAGGTTGAAATTGTGAGGGAGTTGCCCAAGACGAGCACAGGTAAAATCAAGAAGAATGTGCTGAGGGAGTGGGCGAAAAAGGGAACTCCAAGGGAGGTTGTTCTGAAGTGAGGGATTTGTGGGAGCTATGGGGGTGAACATGTAGCTTAAGCGTGATGATTGAGAGCTAGGTTTTTTGGGGTAGTCAACTTGGACAGGAGTGTCCAAAAGGTAGGAGCTTTAGGCTCCGTGTTGTGGCTATCTCAAATCTCAATCATGCGATCACAACGCACCGATTTGTAGGGATTTGATCATGTGTTGCATTATTTAGATAGGCATCGGCCAGGTCTCGGATAATCACAATAAACAATGGCAGAACCAATAAGGAAGATTTGAAATCAGCTGCAACTCGTTCCAGTTGGGTGACGTCCACGTAAACAGCCCGGATGCTGTGTGGTACAAACGGGGGTGGTCAGGGGTACTCACAGGTAGCAAAGTGTAGGCAAAGTCGGACAATAGCCGCGAGAAAGATGACCTCCATTAGAGTAACGTAGAGTAAATACATTGGTATCACATGCTTCCTGTCTGTCTATTCAAAATACGGTACATCGTCAGTAACCCCTTCTTTGTCGGAGCTCAGGGGCTCCACCGGCCATACATCTACAGAAGACAGGGATCTGAATTGTAGCAGATGCCCCAAGCCCGCGAAACAGTGTGGCGCAACCAAAATCAACAACGCCATGTCATGCCTGATCAAGCGGTGCAGACAGACACCTAGGTAGGGGGTATGTGTATGTGGATGTGAAAGTCATCAGTCATTCGACAGGACCGATTAAAAGCGTAAGTCTAAATAGAAGAAGAAACGAAAAAAAGGAACAGTGAAGCAGAAATCTGGCCGATTGTCAACGATCAGTTGTAGGAGCGGGCGGTGCTGACGGTAACGGGGGCCCGTCACGGGAGGCACTGGCTGTGGTTGGCGAAGCGGGGGCAATCTCAGGATCAGAGATTTGGATATCGAGCTACGATATATCAGCATCAAAGTTTCAACAAACGGGCCGTCGAATCGGGAGAGGGACAATACAGTCATGTAGCCGGTGCGCCTCAAGGGCACAATCTTGGGCGGCACGACACCTTCCTCGCCGCCGCCGACCGTCTTCTCCATCTCGGCATTCCACTGCTCGATCCACTTCTCGAGATTCCGGAGGCGGGATTTGGCGGCCGTGAATCCAAAGTCGTCCCAGAGCCATCCTGTTGCCACGCCTAACACGCCGTCCAAGATATTCCGCCAGTTGTATGGGCTGAAAATAGGGACCAGCTCGCTGTTGAGCTTGTCAATCACACGTCGGAACTCATGTTCTGAGACACCTGCCGGGTCCAGGATGTCGGGGTAGAGATTCGAGAAGGTCGGGGCCAAGTCGCCTTGGAGTAGCCAGTCCCGGCGGACCCTGATGATGCGTGTCGTGGCATATTCAGGGGAGTCGACAGGGACATGGGGATTTAGGTGGGGAAAGCAGGGATGCTGCGGACCCCATTCTTCGCCATGATCAGCTGGCTCATCCGGATCTCCCATAATGGATGAATCGCTCGAAGAGATGGCGGACCCGATGCCTGATATCTGGGACGCCGTCGATTGGCGATTTTGCGGGCCATCGGGTCCACGCTCTAGGTCTGGGGGAAAGCTATCCCCGGCAGTCTCAGGCGGAGTCATGATTGCCTTTCCCTTTCCCTTTTCCACCCTCTGTCTCGAACTGTTCCCGAAACTAAGCCCGACAGACAACTGCGGCCTCGTGAAACTCTGTCCCCTGCTCCTCCTCCTAAACCTTTGAGCTTCGGGGACTTGTAACTGCGCGGGTGGCGGGCGCGATGATGGACCTGCTTCTGGCTCCTCGACCGGCGAGGGCGTAACGCTTACACGCTTCTCGTCGTACGAGTGGCGGAGCGAGGGTGGTAGGCTAATGCGCTGCTCAACTCCGGCGTTGCGCTCCAAGTGGAGACTTGCCCGGTTCGAGATAGAGCGGCGGCCCTGGCGCTGTTCGGGGAGTGTAAGGAGCGGATAATCGCCGGCAGCGGTGCCGGTGGGGTCGGTTTGGTCGTTGGGGAGGCCAAGGGTCGGGTGGGAGAGCGGGATTGCTGGAGGAGGGGGCGTGGACGGACGACGTCGCCTTCGGGATGTATTCGGAGGTGCTAAAGTTCTCGGGGTCGAGTTGGACGGGTTCCAAAGGCGGGTAGCGGAGAGATGGCGAAAGGGCCGTTGGGCAAAAGGGCTGTTGCGGAACGGTGATTGCAGAAAGAAGTCCTGAGTGCCGCCAAGGCCCCTCGGCAACAGGTTGTTTCCGCGCGATGGCCGGCTGGCTGATGCTACGGACAAGGGCGGCGCGGGAGTGGCGATGCGAGGGTCGTTGACAGACTGTTGAAAGGCCGAGGACACTGGTGGGTTTGCAGCAGGCAACGGTGCGGTTTTGGCAGTCGATGCATCTAGGGCGGCTGTTTTCGTCGGGGAGGGGGGATTGGCAGCTGCTGCCGTGGGTGAAGCCGTCGGGAAGACGTGTCAGCGGCGGCCGCCGAGACGGCCTCCGAGCGATTGTTATGCCGTGTTGCCCTTCGTCCTTTTAATCCTTTTCCCCCGCTTCCCCCTTCTCCGAACAGGGCTTTCCGTTTCCGTTTCCGTTTCCACTGCACGCAATCTTCGACGAGCTGCAATGCCGCGGCCCAGCGAACCTTTTCCCTTATGTCACGCAACGCCGGGGACGACTGGCCAATTTCCCTGGATCGACAAACGGCGCACTGTTGCTGGCGTCTAGGACAGCAGCAGCAACAGAGATGCAGGCTGGAGATTGGCGGGCGCGGAATTAGGTCCTGCAGTGGGTTCGCACCTAATGGTGATTGGATTGGCCTTTGTGGATTATTGCTAGCATGCAAGGCGCGATCCATGGCCCACTGGCACCTCATGATGGGGGGAAGCAAATGGAGCAGATTGCATGCAAGAGCGAATGCAGAAAGCTGAACCCCTGCTGCCAGTTGGTGGCACCTGAGTGCCGACTTTCGCCAAGAATTAGAGGGCAGGGCAGTTGAAGTTTTCAGAGTCTCGTCTTGACTCCCGTCACTTTTCACTTGAACAGAACCATTGATACCTCTGTGTATACGGATATGGATGAGCTGACTGCCAAACAATCTCACAAAACACGAAACCATAGTAAATAATGGCGCGTATAAGCCAGCATTTCTCCAACCATTCAGCCAAAGCCCTTCAAGCAGGTCCCCCGGCCTCAATTGCAGTTCTCATTGAAGAGCACGCCAAGGTGCAATACTAGGTACTTAGGTCATCCACCTACACGCACTCACAGCGCTGCATGTGTGGACAAGCTGAGGTGAGCTGCAGCATTTGGGTCACTTGAAATCGCCAGTGTGAAATACGAGAGACACTTCGTAAACAACAGCACAGGCCGACAGGAACAGCGTCTCTGTTTAGTGTAGCCCAGGGGCCAGGGCTGCCTTCCCCGCAAAAATCATCTCTGGGCTTGTCACACTACGGTACTGGTAGTCTTCGAGTTATATATCCAGGCAAGTGGAAGTGTGGGTAGCACAAGGCGGGGCGCCCAATGCCGTCACGTAGGCATCATGCACTGCATCAAGCTATCTCACGACTCGGTGTTATTGGATCTCTCCAGTCCGGACTCAGCTCGCCCTCGACAGACGCACCGAGCCTTTCATCGCCACAATGACCTCGAACCGTCGTCTGCCGTTGTCGGCCCATGCATCCGATATCAGAGCTCAAGGACGGACTACCGGTAGAAAGAAAATCTAGTGTAAGGTAAGTAGGACGATCAGTTGCAGCTCCGACTTTGTCTTTGGAGCTCCCGGCAAGACGCGCCTAGTTTATTACGTCACGGCTACCGCAGCAATCTAAGGCGTCTGGACCAACCTCGTTTCGCTCAACGGGGGCAGGGCAACTCTCTCCCATCTGTTAATATCATTCTCCGGGGCTCGTATTGCCCGGAAGGCTGAGAGATAGACGGCATCTTGATTCTTGAGTGCTTTGCCAGCAGGTACTGACTGAGTACCTATCCTCGCCGACATACATGGACCCACCAACGAGTGCGGGCGCTGTCAGCCCAGGAATTGGCAGGTCGTTGTCCGTGTCAATCGGTGCTTCGGGGGACACGCCGGCCGCGGTCCGTCGCAACACCATACCGCCCGATGATGGTGCAACGGCCCATCGCCGATCCACTCACCCCCAGCTTAGCTTCGAGCCATTGCCCGAGGTCCCACGCGCCCGCCGAAGCTCTACTTTCTCTGCATATAGCTTGAGCGAAGCAAGCCGGGACCTTCAAAATGAGATTATCGACCCCGGGCCTGCCATGCTGCATGAGGAAACTACGTGGCGTTCCTGGCTGCCTCTGATGTTCGCCGTGTTACCCCCCATCGCCGGGCTCATTTTCAAGAATGGCAGCCTATTCTTCAGCGATATCCTCCTCCTAGGACTCGCCGCCGTGTTCCTGCACTGGTCTGTCACGGCGCCATGGTACGTATCATCCTGCGCAAGTTTCGAAGGGCAGGCATTTACCACGCTCTTCTAGGAAATGGTATCACTCTGCCCAACAAGTCCGGGAGGAAGAAGAGGTTCTGCTGGAAGCAGCAGTTGTCGACGACAGCGACGCCGAGGGCAATATAAAATCGCCATCGCCAAAGCCTGACACGGAGCGCGTTGCAGAGGGGAACGGGCGCGCATCGCCGTGTGAAGCAATTAAGGCCGAGAGGGCACGGCTTGCCAATGACGCCTTGAGCAAGTTGAGATCGCAGGAGGAAATGGCGCTCTGGGCATGCTTCATCGCACCGGCACTATCAACTTATCTGTTGTACGCTATACGGAACTCACTGAGCCGGCCCTCCGAAGGACTTGTGTCGAATTTCAACCTCACCATCTTCTTTCTGGCCGCTGAGATCAGTCCGCTCTCGCACTCCATCAAGCTCATTCAGTCGCATACGCTTCACCTGCAGCGTATTGTTCACGCCAATCCCTACCGGGAGAACCGGATCACGTCGACGCAGTGGGAGGAAATGATGAGTCGCATCGCCGACCTTGAAGCACGGGTGGCCTTGCACGAAACTGCACAGCCGGCTAGTCCAACAGTGTCTGAGGACCTCGCGCAGCAAACGAAGCAGATGCAGGCGAACCTCGTTCGAGAGGCCCGGACGGCTGTCCAGCCCGAGATTGACGCTCTCAACCGTGCGGTAAGGCGCTATGAGAAGAAGGCCAGGATTTTGGCGGACGAGACCGAGGCCCGACTGCGCGATCTCGGTTCGCGCGTCGATGATGCCATTTCCCTGTCGGCTGTGGTGGCTTCACGCAAAAGCTCCGGGCAGTGGAGTATCCTTGGATGGTTGATGGATAGCGTCTTGTATTTCCTAATGTTGCCTTTCCGAGCCGTCGTCAAGATGGCCATTCATACGCTCAGGATGGTTTCGGCGAGCCTGGGTGGGCGGAGGAAGGGGTTCAGGGATGGAGACATGGTTAGGCCCGGAAAGGGTCCACGTATGAGCGCGATGCGCGTGACCAGGAGACCGTGATGGGAATTTGGAATTTCCCACGGGGCAACAGTAGGATAATCTGACTCCTGCACAGTGTTTTGCCCTGCCTTCCGGATTATGTGCAATGCCGAGCCCAGTTCGCCTCGACGTTAAGGCACGGACTGCTGGATTAAAGATTACAGGCAGTCTTCCGTAGGAGAGGCCATTCGTAAGCAGTAGCCATGAGGTAAAGGAGAATCGGGAGGTCCTGGTGTTCATGTGACGGATAAAACTGCACCGTCCCCGGAAAATGATCGAGACTGAGGCAGTGAACGAGGAGACTTTGCCCGACCCTAGTGGTTGCACCAGGCCCTGCTCGTCACTCCCGAGCCCTGGGCGCTCCGGGCCGTTAGCTACTCACCAATATCCGAGATATTTACCGAGTACCTGGTAGCAATCACGCTTCTGTCGGCGATTCCTCGAGACGACTTTGATTCTATCGAGCCTGTTATTCTGTCTGTAAGGAGCTTGCCTCGAGTGAGAGTGGTTACACGTTCTCTCAGATCATACCTGTGTATAGTACTGTTGTGGCCATATCATTTGACGTGAAGCAAGAATTAGGAGCTAGAGGGAGAACGAATCGAAGGATATATATCAGAGAACATGAACATGGAGTCAAAAATTGAAGAGGAGAAAAGAAATTCCTGTCGAGGAGTGAATAGGGTAACTCCAGGAGTACAGGATATTGACCACATAAGAGAGATGGATACTATCTGGTTCCTGAAACTTGGGAGTCGAACTCCATTTCACCATAGCAGCCCGAAGTTGAGGAGCTACGCAGGATGTTCGTCGAGGTGCCCCGAGGTGGGCTCTTGGGGTGGTATGTACTGTACAGTAGGTGGAGCCACGCCCACTGCAAAACCCGTGGCCTGTTCGGCGCCCCCTGCAGGTGTTAGTGGGTCGTCTACTTAGCGTTGATGCGATGCTACAGTGCCATCCCGTTCATGTGGGCTTGGCGGAAACCATCACCGCAGTCCCTGAACATCCGGTAATGAATTCTCTTCGACTTCTTGGGGTTGGGGTTTGAATACCTCGCATTTAATGTATGTATGGTCGCTCGACCGTTCTCCGCTTGTTGAAGAGAGAAAGGGGCGTTAGGAGAGAGACAGAAGACAAGGGGCAGGGGATGGAACACAATTATTGGTCGAAGAATCGGACTGAGTGGATCGAAAAGAGTTGGTTGAGCCAGAGGCCTTGACAACAGCTTGGGAAAGCACCATTCTCCAACACAAGCCACCATCTCCCTTTCCCCCATCTTCCCCTTCATCAAGGCAACTCAATACCGTGTCAAACAGGTTTGGAAGCGTTCTAAACCCAGCCATCTTGGTTAATTCAGGGGACGCGGTTGATTTGTGCCTAGCTCGCGAACATGTTCTGGCGGACATGTCGTGTTTCGCACTTCCCCTCGTATGCCGGTCATTTTAGCCTGCGTCGCGGGTTATCTCATCCCGAGGACAAGAAGCGAAGCATCAGCAACGCGCCGATTATCCAAAAAGCTAAGTACTCCGTGGTGAGGCATGCTGTCGGCTGATGCCGAGTCTCGACGATTACATTGGTTCCTTCCACAACGAATCACAAACGGCGATATGATGACCCCTGTTCAAGCCAATTTAGCTGATCGCTTACAACGAGATCCCACATCGAGTTGCGACTTGTCAATCTCTGCCCCGGACTTCAACTGTCCACTCGAAAAACGGCATGGCTTGGCCAGTTCCATGACGGCCACGGCCGTCTGACTTGATTCCCGGAGAGGCCGCTTCGCGCAAATGGATTGGAGAAGCTGGGGACCAAGGCAGCGTAGCCCGGACGTCTTGGTTATTCAGGCCACTCGAATTGTCCATTCATACCCGTCGGCCCCTGATTCCCACAGTGGGATCCTATAGTTCAACGCCAGATTGCCCAGGCCAACCCTCAACGTGTTGGTCCTGGCCAGTCCTTCCGCTTCTGTTATATGTCGCTCGCCATGTCAGACCCCTTGTTTCCACAAGCGATGAGACTCGGACCGAGCTTGCGATTGTCTCGTGGCATCTCCCTCCTTTCATGAGACATTTGTGTTCCTATGTGCTCATACATCTCGCATTCCTTCTCGAACATCGCATAATCTCGATCCTACATTCTGTCCGACGATCCAAGTCGCTGCTACTCGGTACAATACACCCAGCAGATGCGGTGCCTGATGTTTGCTTTCGGGTAATGCACTTGCCGGTGGCCAGAGACTACCACCGATCCTAGGGCGGGTAACTAGTTTGAATCCGAAATCCATCGATTTTCCTCCTTGTTCATAGTCCGCCAGATAATACTCGGTCATGAAGGTTCCGAAGCCCATATGTGGACGAGCTTTGCTCTACCTCTATCTTCTCACCAGCCTCGCCGCTGTAGCAGCATTGGATCCCGCAAAGAGGGATAAGCCGAGGAACCCAGCTCCCAGCTCGCAAGTTGAAAGATCAATAGACAACGAGCAAACAATCGCCAATGCTACACTATTATATGGTAAGTGATCTTAGCTATCGAGACAAAGCGGCATGGGTGATGTGATGGCGACTGAAGAAAAGTAGGCGCACTACCAGACGGTCAGCTTCCCCTCGAACCGGTTATTACGCCCGGATGGGCAGTTGCTGGGACGGTTCTTCTCGCTTCAGGTCTTGCCCATGGCATTCTCGGGCTCAGGTTCGCATGGCTGCACACCTTCTTCAGCACCGCCTTCCTAGCGAGCTTGGGCACGACGGTACTGATCTTGTACCTGATGACTCCGCCTATTGGTAACGCGGTCCAGGGGGCATATGTCGTGGCGGTGGTGTGCACTGGTGCGATCCTTGGAGGGCTGGCTATTGCCTTCCGTGATCTGACAGAGTGTCTTGGCTGCCTCCTAGGCGGGTTCACCCTTAGCGTGTGGCTCCTGACGCTGGGACCTGGCGGACTCATCTCAGACAACACCGGCAAGGTTGTATTCATTGCGGCCTTTACTCTCGCCGGATTCGGCTTGTACTTCAGTCGATGGACACGCAAGCACGGCCTCATCGCCTGCGTCTCCTTCTCTGGCGCGACAGCGACGGTTATCGGCATCGACTGTTTCAGCCGTGCTGGGCTTCGGGAGTTCTGGGCATACATCTGGGCGCTGAATGACGGCTTGTTTCCACTTGGGGTGACCACATATCCGTTGACCCGTGGCATTCGGGTGGAGCTCGCAATCACCATCCTCCTATTCGTCTTTGGCATCATCTCGCAGCTCAGGCTGTGGCGCCTCATCAAGACCCGCCGCAACAGGGGCAAAGAAGAACCGGGTGAGTCTGAGAGGGACTTGGCGACTGAAGAGGACAATATTGGACGTCAAGTAGAGGAAATGGCCAGTCACGAGCGCCGTGAGTGGGAGCGTGTGTATGGAAACGACACAATGAATGTCCATGACGAGCCAAGTCACTCTGACTTGGGTGTTGGCGGCATGGAAAGCGATAAGCGGGATAAGGATAGATCTTTGGCGGTCTCCAACCCCGGGTCCCAACAATCAGCCGAATTACCCCTAGACACAGCCGCCCATTCGCCATCCGCCGAGATACCGATGGCGCAGATACTCACGGGTAATGGCGTTGGTGATTGCAGGGTGATGGCCGAAGTTGCTGGGAACAACAGGTCAGAAGATTTAAGGGAGGATTTGGGAGAGAATATTCCCGGGCGGGCCGAGGTGGGAAGTGACGAACATGTGAGCACGGCTGCTTCAGAGGCCCGGCTCAGCTCCCAGAGTGCCGTTCGATTACCAACATCATATATAGGGTCCGACCCTCCAGTGTCCGGGGATGATGATGGCATGTCGTGTGCGGCAACGTTTGCCGATGGAGGAGACAGATCTCCTCTGGCAGCCGTTGCAGAAAACGCAGGTAATGGGGATGGGCCAGATATACCGTCCAGGCGCTCCGGAGTCGAAAGTCTCGCTAATGGAGTATCTGACAATTTGGCCTCTCTCCATAGAACTCCCGTCCATGCTTCCACAGTTCGCCAAAGGGACGACATCAACGCGCTTGCCGAGGGCCATGAAGCCTTGGTTCCATTAAGTAGGAATTCACGGGGAGACATCGTTTCTATCCTCGCCAACCTAGACGATATGAGCTCCAAGGGGGATGCGGATACTATTGCTTCAAGCGAGGAAAGGAATCCTTTCGAGTCGGAGGAGACTTTGGAAGAGACCGGGATATCAAGACGGGCGCAGAAGGCTTCATCAACGGATAAGCTACATGACCTTGAAAGGGTTATAGACGGCGATCTGGAACTACTGGATCAAGGCGCCGCAGCTTCAACAAAATCAGATTTGACGCCCAACGGAATATCATTGCAGCCACCCTCAGATAACATTGGGCATGCCGCCAACAGCACCAGCACCTCGGACGACGAAAGACAGAATCTATCAATTTCAGGGCACCCCTCGCCCCTAAACAACACAGTAGATCTTCCGAACATAATCTCGGAGGAGACACTACCGATCCCGTCACCTCCTGTGAGTCTCAGCAAGGAGAACCTCCCGCCGCCGTTCTCCCACATTGCTTTGACTTACCGGACAAGCGAATGGGCTAAGCATCTCAACGCTGCTGAGATCCCCGAACCGGATAGCCCGCAATCCCAAGGATATGACGAAGCCGCCTCAAATGCCCAAGAACAGCCCGCTCCCGTGAACGTAGTCGAATTGCAGCATACAGCTGAGAATGCTACGCCTCCGCCAGCAGCTCCGAGGACTGTTAGCATGCTGCCAAACTCGGCTCCGCAGAATGCCACGTCAAAAAGCAGTCCAAGGGGAATTCCATCAGCATCCCCTGACATGGCAATACATTGCGGGAGCACAATGGCTCCTCGCCATGCCGCGTCCAAGACACTAGTTAGCCAGAGCTCAACAATGCTTACTGAGGCCGACGTTGAGAACAACGACGGTTTTTTCCGAATCCCTTCATTACCGCCTCCAATGGAAGGCGCCTGGATGGGCCAACGGGCTGGAACGCCCGCCCGCTTACGCCACCGATCCTCCATGTCAACCCTGGACGACAACCCTCCAATGCGGTCAGGCTCACCGCATGCTAAGCCACAGACGCTGATGGGCCTTCGCGAGGCGTTGCTGCGGAACAGGGCTTCAGCAACCTTTGTGCGCCTTGAAGCCAACGCCAACGCCTCCCATGGTCTAGCCCCAGTTGGCCTGTTGTCGTCTGGTGAAGGTGAAGCCGACCTCGACAACCTCCCCCTCTCCCGGCGGCGCAGCCTCATCCGCCAGGGCAGTCTTCCTCTCCAACACCAGGCACACCCTGCGACGACGACGACGACAACAACAACAACCTTAAGCCCTTCTCCCCACCCGCCGCCGTTCCAGAGTCGCTTCTCGAGCGCGCCTGTCGTGGCCGCCGAAGACAAAGCGGCCCGTCAGGCCAAGCTCCTAGCCAGCTTCCGCAGCAGCGTCGCCGCGGGCCTGGCGGGCGCTGTCAACGCCCCATCATCCCGTGGTAGCAGCAGCAGCAGCATTGAGCAGCAGCGGAGCATACTCCTCGGGCAAAAGGAGGCCGAGGCCCAGCGGCGGGAGCAAGCGAGGCTGGAGCGGGAGTGGAGGGACCGCGCGTTTGGCGAGCGCATGAGGCGCGATGGCGGGCTGTTGATGGGCGCTCATCGCGAGGCTTTGAGGCGGTTGCAGAGGGGTGCTGGGGCGGATATGTAGGTCTATCACAGTACATATCTTAAGGTACTTAGATATTCGTGATTTTGCGGTTAATTCTGTGGGCTGGGTTGCTTGGCAAGGGGGGAGGATTAATGTTGGAGCGTATGGTTTGCCGCATGCTGTCCGTATGCGTGGGAGAGTTCAGCTTGCAAGTGACGTCCACCTGGCTCTTTTCATGTTTATACTCGGAACTAAGAGACAGAATGAGGTTAATTAGGCCATGAGAGCCTCCGATACATGACAATTATATGGGTGGTATTCTATATGCTATGTATGAAGCCATCGCAGACGGATAGAGACCTCCCTCCAGCTAAAGAGTATTAGTAACAACGGCCGCTGTATATGCCAAATAGGGGTGAGGAGTGATACCAGCAAAACAAGGAATGGGGAAAACTCCGATCCAATGCACATGAATGCTCCGCCACTGGCAAGGAACGCAACAAAGAGTAGACGCTATACCTGGCGCCGAGGGCTGTTGTCCCGTGTCCTCACAAATCAACATAGGAACAGTCAAATCAGATGCTTGTCCCATCCAAACCCTATAATCACAAGAGACCACCGATCCTACCGCGTGTCAAGCCTCATTACACCGTCTCCGTACTCCCATTTCCAATAACCGTTCTCATTTTTGGCAGCGATGGATCGCTGGCAAGAATTCTCTCCGAGTCTCGCCCCCTCGCAGCGTCCGGCGGATTATCAGCCGCATCATCCCTCCTGCCTGCTCCTTTCCTCGAATTACCAAACAACCCCCCAAGGCCCATGCTAAGCGTATGACTTAGACTCCTCGCCCGACCCCTGAACCCGCTCGTACCTCCACTGACACCCCTGCCAGAGTTCGTGGAATTGCTTCCGGAAGATCCAAGCGGGCCCTTACCCACATCGAGAGCGCTACCACTCGCGCCCCTTTCCCGCCGAGGCTGATTTGGATCTTGAGATTGTCTGTCTCCCTCGTCAGGAGGATTATCATCCTGATACGGCGGCGCAAACAAGCTACTCCTTAACCCGGACCGCTGAGTCCGTTTAGTAGATACTCCCCCTTGTGGGGCGCCGCCTAACCCCGTGGCGGTTGACGGGCTATGGCTGACGGTTCCGGAACCATCAAGATGTGCCAGCAGCTTATCGGCCACAACGGCTGTTAGGGTGGACGAGAAGGGCGAGGGCGAGATGACTGGAGTGTTGTAGTGATGGTGCAGGGATGAGCGGGGGGTCGTCGGAGTAGCAGTGTTGTTGTTGGCTGAGGCAACGGTGGTGGTTATTCGGGGCGGAGTGGTGCCTGTTATTGTTGGTATTGTCGGGGTCATCTGGCTGGATTGCGTCTGACTGGGCGTCCCGGAGGGGGAAATGTCGGGTACTTGTTGCTCGCCCTCCAGGGATGTGGCAGCCGTAGAGGCCACAACCGACATGATCGAGTCTGAGGAGATCGTGTGTGGGCCGAGATGTGGACGATGGCCATGGTCAGGCGGGGTCTCGCTTTCTCTCCAGGGATTTCCCAACAAGGGCGAGTGCTCGTCCTCATCGCCACTGTCATCCTCGCTAATGAAAGGAGGTTTAAGCTTTGTCGAAGCACCCGCGGAGACCCGCGATGTGGAAAATCTCGCGCCAGATAACGCTGCTAGGGGTTTGTTGACGGCTTCTCTGAAGCTGAGGCCGGACCATCGGGACGACCGTGGGGATCGAACTGTGTCGCTGCCCCGGCGGGGAGGTTGGCGCGGCGCTGGAAGCCCCGCCCCAGGGTCTTGGTGCGAAAGACCGATAGTCTCCTCAATACCTTCGGCATCAGAAAGCGTAGGCTCGTCCTCAATATCGTTCCGCGGCCTACCGCTGGTGATGAGGAAGACCCCGAAAAAGGTGAATAAACAGCCGCCGACAAATTTGACGGCTTGCTCACCAGTGGTGCGCTCAAAGTCGCGGTACAGGACAGCGCTGCCAATGATCACAGACAGGGTGAAAATAACAAACTGGGTCGGAATGACCTGGGTGGATTCGAAACGCTGGAGGGCCTTGTTTAGGTATTTAACTTGCATGATGGCAGTGGTGAGGAGGACTAATAATAAGCCGTAGGTTACTGGGGTGGTGAATGCGCCGAGCAGCGTCGAGGACAACATGGAAGACACGCCCTTTGTTGAGAGGGCTGTGTACCCACCTGAAGACATTGTCAGCTGCGGCTTTGTGTTGTGTGAAGAGCACCGTCTACATACCGAATAGGCCCACAAGTCCGAGATCGATCAAAATGGTCCGACTTCCATACCGCGGGCTCAGCCACATGAGCAATATAATCAGCGCGCAGCTCACTCCCATGTATATTTCGAATTCCATGGTGGTGATGGCATCCCACACCTCGTGCGGGCCTAGCTTCGTCTCCTCCGTCTTTGCGCTCAGCACAACGGTTACGGCGCCCGTAATGGCGATGATGACGCCCCAAAAGTCGCGCTGCCTGAACACTTCCTTGAAAAAGATGGGTGCGATAACGCAGTTCGAGACGAGCGCTACCACGCCCAGTGGGCTGACGATGGAGGCCGGGGCAAAGCCGTAGGCCAGGAAGTTGCCCATCTCGCCCACCGTGATAAGCACCTGCCCGAGCCACCAGTAGGGGTCCCTCAAGTATGTCAACGACACCTTGGCTTCTTCCTCTCCGGAATGTTCTGTCCAGCGCGAGTCATCGGATCGGAAAGACTGAGCGAGATGGCTCATCTCGGAATCACCGTGCTCATCATCTTCGGTGTACGGGCCGGCACTGCCGTCGCCGGGTCTCGAGGCACTCAAGGCCGCATCCGGATTCCCGTTTGAGGTGTCGGCAGCACCGTACCCCCTTATTTCCCCCTCGGCATGCGGGCCGGAAATGGCATTCCTCATCGCTTGCTTCGCACGCTCCCGTATCTGCAGCTTCTTCCTGTGCAACCGGATGTGGGCATATCGTTGGACATTGAGCGCGAGGGCAATCAGCACGTTTCCGCATATTGCCGTAATAATGCCGATCAGGCTCGACCAGTTCTGAAGCTCGTGATCCGGGTCGCTGGCATCATTGCCGTCGCCGCCAAGGAAGGAGGGCCAATCAGACCAGGCACGGTCGGCCAGCGTCGACGAGGGCAGCGGTAGTAGATACATGGCTTCGCTGTGCACGCTGGTGCAGCAGTAAAGGCACGATGGCCGTCGACCCTGAGGCGCACGGGTCTTGCCGGTTAGGATGGCGGATCATGGGCGCCGTCGGAGACGGATTGCACCTGGGCAGGTACAGTACTGTACGCTTCGCGGCGTCAGTTGAGTGGAGTGTCTCGTTGGTTTATTGCCCAGCAGGCAGCTCCGTCATTGCTCAGCAATCATAAAAGCAATCAAAGAGCCATCTAGAAGTAATATAGAGAAGTAAAAGTAGAGTTCGATCAGGGAAGAAAAAGGCTTGTGAACCGTGAAAGCATTAGCGTAGGAAGGCGATGGAGAGCTACCCTGATTATGGATCTCTGATCGCGCGACTCCCGCGGTGTTGGTTTGTGCCGCTGGAGTAAGACGGCATTCTTGCAGTGGACCACAGCATGCAACCTGGTCGATGCGGGATAACGTCAATTGCTTGGCGTATTCCCAGGGTTGGCTCCTTTTGTGTTGGACTCGCATCAAACTTCGAAGTGAATGTGAATGCGCCACATACAACGTATCAAAACACCTGAGGACAGTGTGGGCCGGGTATTTAGGTCCATAAGATCTTCGAAGCCCTTCTTTTGCCTGGTGAGCAGAGAGATCCTTTGTATTTGTACGTCGAAGTCATGGAATCCGAGATTCATCGAACATCATGTTGTGCCACCAACCATGCACCGTTATCTATCCTCTGATGTTCTACAATACTACCATAGCCGGAATCAAACTGCAATTGTAACACAATACTCCATATACTCCATATAGACAAGTCTTCTTGCCTACAGAGGGAAAGAGCCCAGATGCTAGAAGTGGCAGGAATGGCCTGGATGAATACCACTGTCGTGCTACTTGCAAAGTTGCGCTACGTGTGATCCTAACTTTTGATTGATGCATAGATATGCTTTTTATCGGGACTCTAATGATTTCCTGTTAATTAGCGGATGCCTCTTCCCGAGCTTAAAGCTGCCCCACTGTCGCCAGAGTGTCGTCAACCATCAAACTGCAGCTAACACCGTCGTCAACAGACACATCGAGACCATCAACACAATGCCAGACGACGAGCCCTCGAAAAACCCCTTTGTGCGCTTCAAGCAACACGTCGACTCGAACATTCAAGCGGGCGTCAACACCGTTCTGTCCCTCCCGTCCACCCTCTCCCGCACCAGCAACAACGACAGCAATTATCCCGACACTAGCGACAGCGAAATGACCAAACCCACAGACTCCTGGCACCCGCCTTCCTCGCCGTCTCCCACAACTCCCTTCGACAACCAAATATCAACACCAACTGCACATCATGATGACGCCCTTCAGCCCTCCCCGCAGCTCGAAGCCGCCATCGACGCCCTTCGCGGCGGCTCCCACGCCGACGCGGATCTCGCCTGGCGGCTTTTCCTCACACGATCGGCCTACTCCCCAATCCGGCTGCATCGTGAGCTGGGTTGGTCTCCGCAGCCCAATGACAACAACACCAACAGCCACGAGTACTACCCCGCGCCATCCACCTCGACGGGCTGGCTAGATGCCTTTGAGGACTTGCTGCTTGCCAGCTCGGGCGCCGAGATGGCCGATCTGCGCGAGCGGAGTCTCGCCTACCCCAGTCCGCCGCGGACCTTGTGGCATGACCTGGTGCACTGGGGAGGAGGAGCTCCGTGGGCCGAGGTGATGTGGCTGAAGAGATTGGAGACGAGGAAGCTGAGGGAGGTGTACTTCCCCGTCTGTGACCGCATCAGCGGGTGGCGGTCGCCGGCGACGAGGGAGGAGTGGGTCGAGACGAGGCGACGAGAGGAATCCGAGGTCTCGGACCGGTGGAGGGAAGTTCAGAGGGAGTTTGGATCCGGCGGTAAGAGGGGAAGGCAGGGGGACGAGGAAGAAGATGGCGAAATGGGGTCGTTCTTTTCGGATATTAGTGCGGTCGTGAAGGCGTTGGGGAGATTCCTCGAGGACGAGGTTCGTTCGTCACCGTGGCCTGGCAGGCGCGGCGGAGAGGGAGAGAAGAAGCGCGAGGGAAAGACTGCTGAGGATGGCGATGAGCCCGAGACGGAAAATGACCTGTACTCGATCATTCGGTCTGCCTTCAACGAGTCGGAGCGATCGCTGTCTACGCTTTTCAAGTCTATCGCCGAGGGCCGACGTGACAACAGCTTCTGGGAACCCAAGCCGGCATCTCAGCCAAAGACTGAGACCACAGAGATCGTGGAGGACGGTATCACCAAGAAGACTACCAAGACCGAATATAAGGACGACCGGGGCAACAAGCGCTCCAAGATTGAGACCATCTGGACCGATGAAGACGGCCGCGTTATTCTGAAACAGGTCCAGAGTTCGAGTGAGCGTTCACACCAGTGGCACGCGACGTTCGGAGGGCACGACAATGCCAGCGATGCCATTGAAGATGAAAAATTCCATGATCATGACAAGGAGCAAGCCAATAGCTCGAAAGAACGGAGGAAGGAGGGCGGCTGGTTCTGGAAATGAAGCAAAGATTGACTGGCCGGTGGGCCGAATGAGCACTTCACAAATCCCCACTCCTTTCTGTCAGAGATCGATGGGTATGAATTCTGTCTGTATGGAAGGCTTTATTAAAGCTGCTTCTAGCTGTATATATTCAACCTCACTCAAACTGCCTCCTGAACATACAATATGCCAAGTCATATGCGACTTTGGGTTTTGCTGAGCAAGTTAGTGATGCTGCTCAGCTGCTTGGTTAAATACTACTGAGTAAATAATGGCCTGGTCCCTTTTATTTCTTTCCCGACCGCACCTTGGCTTTCTTTTTCCGCATCATCCTCTTCCTCGCAATAATCTTGGTCCTCATCGCAAGCTTGGCGTCAGCTTTCTTTCTCGCCTCCTTGTTCGGCAGAGGCTCATCGCTACCTCCTCCCTTCTCTCCCTTCCCGCCCTTACCTCCACTACCTTTCCTAATGCCTTTCGGCTTGCCGCTATTCGCATCCTTTTCCTTATCCTCCTTCCCTTTCGCATGCGCAGGCTTTGGACCGAACTGCCTTGTCTTCTCCTCCTGCGCCCGCCGCCTCTGGACGACATTGGCATTCTCGATAGCAAACTCGACAATCAGGCGCTGCGTCTTGCCAGCCTCATTCTTCAGGGCGTGACCGTTGAGCCACCGCATGCCCATGAGCGCCCACCGATGGGATGAGTACTCGATGAAACCGTAGCCACGACTCTTGCCGGCACCGGTTTTCTCGTCCACCTTGGAGCCTTCCTTGGTCTCAAAGACAATCTTGGCTTGACGCACCACACCCTTGCCCTTCTCCTTCCGGCGGCGCTCTGCCTCCCTATCTTGCTCGCCGCCTCTGGTCTTCTCTTCCTTGGAAAGCGGCTGTCTGCGCCCTTCCTTGACGTCCTTGGCGAAGCCGACGATGGCTTCACGGGCGAGGGCTTTTAAGTCTTTGGAGCCGATGTTGTGCGGGATGTTGCGTATCGCAAGACGAGTCAGGCTCAAGTGCAAAGCTGGGTTCGACTCGATGAGCTTCTTCCGTTGTTTGGCGCTCGCCTCCCTCATTTTAATCTCGGATGGGGAAAGCTTGCTGTAGAGAGGCGAGTTCTTGGAAATTGCGCCCTCTGACAAGAGGAAAAGCCTGCGTTTATCCTCCTTCTTACCCTTGCCGCCAGGGCCTGCCTCAGCCAGTCGCGTAGCCTCCTCCTTGCTTACGGCCTTAGCAACCTGTAAGATTCGGCCTTCGATTGTGTATTTGCCTTCTGGATCAACTGTTTCATCTTGCAAGATAGAGTGCTTGGACAGCGTCGGAGCAGGACGATGGCGTGGTGCTCCTTTCAAACATGCCATACAGTCCTCGAGTTTGAAGAAACAGACAAATCCAGTACCGGCTGGCCGGTCGGTGGCACGATCCTTCACAACTCTAGCGTATCTTATTGGGCCGAATTTCACGAAATGGGCTTTCAGTGCCTCGTCTGTCGTGGTGTAGGGAAGGTTGCGGATGAAGAGAGTTGTCGAGTTGTCCGTCATTAGCTTCTTGGAGTTCTTGTCTCCGTCTTCGGACGCACTCGACCCATCCGTTTCAGAACCATCATCAGCCTCCTCATCTCCGCTGTCTTCGTCTTCGTCTTCATCCTCTTCGCCCCCCTCGTCCTCCTCCTCATCCTTGGCCTTAGCCTCTTCATCACTGTCCTCCTCATCCTCTAAGTTTTCCCCATAGTTTTTGAAGAAATTCACCAAATCCCTGTCTTCCTGGGTCATATTCGGATCCTCATCCTCGTCCTCATCCTTCGCCTGCTTGGTCTTCTTGGCCTTGGAAGTTTTGCTCGGGTTTTCAACTTCGTCGCCTGCGTCCGTAGCGCTCTTTTGCTGCTCCCAAGTCTGCTTGTCCACTGCCCAGTCGACCGCCAGCGTTCGCCCATCGACTATCTTACCATTGATAGCCTCTATGGCCTTTTCGGCATGCTTGCGCCGACGAAGCGTGACGAAACCGAAGCCAGCGAGTTTGCCCTTTTGGTTGGGCAAATCGGCATACTTTACCTTGCCGAAACTCTGGAACAGCTTTGCAAGTTGGTCCGGAGTCTTGATGGTCCAGGGCAAATTTCGAATGATGAGCTTTGAGGGCTTCCGAGTCTCCGCCAATTCCTGCTCGCGCTTTCGTTTCTCCTCAATGACCTTTGATGCAGTCTCAGGTTTGACTTTGGCAGTATCACGGAGCCGTGGCAGAGCAATATCCAGCCTCAACCGGCGTCCTTCGAAGAGCTCGTTGTTGAGCTTCTCCTTGGCTTCAGTTGCATCTTCGGGGTCGGCGAATGAAACGAAGCCGTAGCCCCTTGACGTTTTTGTCTTTGGATCGATTACAACGGTGGCATGCTTGACGGGGTAGTGTTGAGAAAAGAACTCGGTGAGCGATTCGCTTGTGGCCGTTGGAGGGAGCGACCGAACAAACAGCGATCGATGGGACTCAATACGCGCTTTTTTGCTCGGCGGATTGGAAGTCTGTGCAGTGCCGCCCTCTGTCCCGGCATCTGCATCCTCGGCCTCGCGTTCGCGCTTCTTGTTCCCAGACTTTGCCATCATGTAGCTGTCCCCAATGGTGTGTTGCTGGCTGTTTGGTCGAAGCTCCTTCCTTGCCCAAAGAAAAAAATAAAAGAAAGCTCCTGGGAAGGGGCGATAAGCCGCTTATCGTAGGAATGTGGGGCAAGTCAGGAAAGAAAAGTGGAGACTGGAGAAATAACCCCTCCAAATCCCAAGCGCTAGTACAGATTGGGAACATTACCGTAAGTAAACAAACAAGAGCAACGGCGTTTTCCATTGTTCCCACTACACTGCTTCAAGTCTTCCCGTCAGATGTGAACCGAAATGCGAAAACCAAACCGATAGACAGGCCAGACAATAACCCAAACAAGCAGCAGATACACCGCAGCCACCTATCATGCCTACGCGAACCTCGACGAGATCGACGCGGTCGTCGGCGGCAGGCGGCACTCGCGCATCCACAGCATCGCGCGCATCTTCGGCCAACATCGACGTACCCGAGGAAACGCCCGACAACGCGCTGCGCACCCAGATTACAGCCGTCTTTCGCGATGCCCAGCGCACAACAGCATCCCACCGCAAACTGGCCGTCACGCTGCGCAAGATCCAGGAAGCATGCTGCTACGAACCGACAACGGCCAAAAAGTCGGCCACCGCCGCTGCGGCGTCCGAATTCGACGAGGACGACTTCAACACCGAGTTTGTGCGCTGCGTGATGCGCGTGATGCCCATCAAGAAGACCGAGAGTGTTGGCGAGAAAACGATCCGCTTCATCGGCCTGTTTCTGCGCCATGCCGTCGACAAGGACACGGAAAACCTCGGGGAGGCCGACGCGGATGCTAGTACCATGCCCGAGACTCCCGGCACCCGCCTGACGAATTTTCTGATGGAGAGCATTCTGCCGCTGCTGACGGCCAAGGACAAATTCGTGCGCTACCGCTCGACCCAACTAATCTCGCACATCATTAATTCGCTCGATGCGATCGACGATGACCTCTTTCAGAAGCTGCGATCGGGATTGCTGAGGAGGATCCGTGACAAGGAGGCAATGGTGCGTGCTCAGGCCGTCCTGGGGCTGGGGCGTCTGGCTGGGAATCCTGTCGATGCCGAGCCGGACTCGGACGACAGCGACGACGATGCTTCAAGCGGTCTGTTAGAGAAGCTGTTGGAGGTGTTACAGAACGACCCCAGTGCTGATGTGAGGAGGTCACTGCTGGTAAACCTGCCCATTCTCCCGACTACGCTGCCGTTCCTCCTAGAGAGAGCGAGGGATCAAGACGCCGCAACCCGGCGTGCCGTCTATTCGCGGCTGCTCCCTGCCTTGGGTGACTTCCGCCACCTCTCGCTATCAATGAGGGAGAAGCTGCTGCGGTGGGGGCTGAGGGACAGAGACGAGAACGTTCGCAAGGCGGCCGGCCGCTTGTTCCGCGAGCGATGGATTGAAGACTGCGCAGGCAACCGGGCTCGAACCGAAACGGGCCAGGCGGCCGAAATGTCGCCGCCGAATCTCGATGCGCTACTGGAGCTTTTGGAACGTATTGACGTGGTCAACTCCGGAGGCGAGAATGGCATTGCTCTCGAAGCCATGAAAGGTTTTTGGGAGGGCCGGCCTGACTACAGAGAGGCAATGAACTTCGATGATAACTTCTTCGAAACCCTTACTGCCGAGTCCGTCTTTGTCGTGCGGACCTTCAACGACTTTTGTCGGAACGAGGGTAACGGGAAATTCGAGGCCCTCATCGAGGAAAAGCTGCCCGAGGTTACAAAGCTGGCCTTCTATCTGGAGCGATACATCAAGGTCCTGATCGACGCCATCAAAAGGGCGGAGGAACAAGAAACTGAGGAAGATGAAGAGGAGGAGGACACAGCGGAGCAGGAAGTCATAGTAGAGCAGCTGCTTCACATTGCCCTCACTCTCGATTACTCCGACGAGGTTGGACGCCGCAAGATGTTTGCCCTTCTCCGCCAGACACTGTCCATTCCAGAACTGCCCGACGAGGTGACCAAGCTCACAGTTGATGTGCTCCGGGACCTCTGCGCTCCCGATGCGGCTGGCGAGAAGGAGTTCTGCAGCATTGTCCTCGAGGCTGTTGCTGATGTGCATGACACCATCGTCGATGACCTGCCCAACGACGATAACGAGAGCTTCGTCTCGGCTAGATCCGAGGTCAGCGGCGACAGCACCCCCACTAGGCACGTAAAGAGTAAGACTCCCGAGCTTTCAGAGGAGGAGGCTGCCAAGAAGGCCATCAAGGAGATCATGATCAACATGAAGTGTTTGCACATTGTGCAATGCATGCTCTCCAATGTGTCTGGCGACCTGCAGCAGAATGATCTCCTTGTGGGCATGCTCAACAACCTTGTCGTTCCCGCGGTTCGAAGCCATGAAGCTCCAGTGCGTGAGCGAGGCCTCGTATGTCTGGGCCTGTGCTCCCTCTTGGACCGGTCACTGGCTGAAGAGAACCTCACCCTCTTCATGCACTTCTTCAGCAAGGGCCACACGGCGCTGCAAATCACAGCATTGCACATTTTGACCGACATACTGAACGTGCACGGCGCGCAGCTCATGTCGTCCAACCCGACGTTGCTGAAGGTTTACATCAAGGCGCTGCGTTCGGGAGCCAAGCATCCCGAGGTGCAGGCCGCCGCCACGGTGGCCGTGTCCAAGCTGCTCTTGGGCCGCGTCATCAGCGATCGCGAAGTCTCGGCTGAGCTGCTCAAGACGCTTGTTATAGCCTACTTCGAGCCCGCCAGCGCCGGCAACCAGAGTGTGCGCCAGGCGCTCAACTATTTCCTGCCCGTGTTTTGCTACTCGCGCGCCGAAAACCAGGACCTTATGCGCTCCGTTGCCTTGGACGCCCTGCATACGCTGTACAACGTCCGCGAGGGCTTTGACGATGAAGACGCGGATATTGACGACGAGATGGTTTCTCTGTCTACCATTGCCGCATGCCTCGTCGACTGGACAGATCCGAGAAAGTGCTACTCCCCCGGGGCTGGTTCCCTTGATACCGAAAAGAAGAATGTAAACGGAGATGTGCACTTGGACTTCGCTAGGGACATTTTAGAGAGGCTGAGTGGGAATGCGCCGAGTATGTCACTCTCTTTCTCACCATCTTGCCCCTTGATATTGCCATTCACTAACCCGGCGCAACAGAGGAAGAGAAGAAAACCATCGCCGCCCTTTTCGGGAAGCTGTACGTCTCCCCGGCCTCGTCCGAGGACAAGATCAGGGAAGTATACGCGCTTGTGTGCGACGCTGTCGAGAACCAGCTCCTGTCCGACGCAACGAGCCGCAACTCCCTCTACAAGATCCACGTCAGCCTCGGCAAGATTGTCAACAACCTTGATGCTGCCGCGGAAGCCGCCGCGGGCGGAAAGTTCCGTCGGAGCGTGAGCCGAGCCAGCTCGGTCGGGCTGGAAGACCGGGGGCCGGCCGAAGACAAGACAATCGTGCAGCATGAGGCGCAGATCAAGGAGGAGGAGGACGAGGACGACGAGGGCATGGACACCAGCGGCGGCACGGTTATACACAAGTCTGAGGAGCAGTCACGGGAGCAGTCAATTGTTGACGACCTGCTTTCCGAGGAGGAGCTGTGATGAATGCTTCATGATATGTTAGATTTATGCGTACTTTGTATGACAAGGCGGACGGGTTTAGTTACTACGTTGCGGGGGTATACGGGTCGATTCTTTTATGATGCTTCATGTCTGGTTACGCCCAAGATTCAATGCACGATACCATGCTGTACCACTCATGTGTCCTTTATCTATCTTCCAATTGCCTATAAACCTATTTCCTCTGCCTTTCCCACACCCCAAGGCCATACACCAGCCCTCCAATCCCGACATTAACCAGCAAATGCTGTCCCAAGCTCCACGCAACACAGTATAAATACTTCGGCGAAAACACCGTCCAGATAAACAAGTGCGTCCGGAGGGCGGTACAGGCTGCCATGACCGCCGCCACAGACCCCGCCACAAACAACGTCAAGACGGCGACATGTCCCTTCCAGAGCCCTGGTTCCCGTCCGTGCCCCCTCTGGGACTGTAATAGTATCACACCTGCAACAGCCCACCAGATAGATCCCGCCCAATTCCCCGTAAATGTAAGAATACCTACCGTGAAGGGGTCATACGTCCCGATACCGTTATACGCGCTGGAGAGGTCGACAGAAGAGACTGCATTTGATCCGCCAAAGGCGAAGAAGGAGGCGTGCTGGAGGAGAAGCGTAGATATGGCTACTTCTAGAGGGGTGAGGGACTCAATTTGGGAAAGCAAGATGCGGAACTGGAGGTTGAGGAGGAGGAAAAGGGGGATGTTGGTCGCGCGGGATTGGGTAATGAGAAGGAGCGTTAGGAGGGTCAGGATGGTGGATGTCCCTGGAAATTGTTAGGACGATGCGACGGGACGTAGAAAATGATGACGAGCGGCCACATACCAGATTGAACCCAGGAAATTCTCTGTCTGGCAAGCATAAATGCCACCACGCCTCCCATGCCCAGTCCAACGCCTATAAACACGGCCCTCGCCCGCGACACGAGGTCCGCTGTCTGGGTAAAGGTCAATAACAACAGCTGTCTCGCAAAATCCGTCACCAGCTCCGGGGCATCCTCCAGCGTGAAGGCCACCTTGAACGTGAACGCCGCCAGTACCAGCCCCGTCGCAACGGTGAACCTGAACCAGATGGGCAAAGCACTGAGACCAAAGATCAGGTTTTGGTGCACCCAGAAATACGTGGCACCAGCCAAACACCAGAGCAAAACTGGGTTAGGATGCAGGTATATCTTGACCATATCAGGCTCGCCAGCAAATTTTTGGCCGGTTTGGTTCCAGCTTCTGACGATGCGTATGGCGAGGAGCATGACAATGGAGAGAGTCGCGGAGGTGTTACCCCTATTTTAGAGAAAGAGTTAGGGGTATGCGGGCGCAAGGGGAAAGTGCTGGGTAGGTAAGTAGCCAAGCAGTTTTGGGAGATGACTTACCGCTTGAACACGCTCAACCCAAGATAGCTGAACCATGCCGTCGCCGCCCAGTACCAAAAGTGGTGCTCTTCCTCGACGTAGCTGCTCGCAAACATCATGATCCCATAGAGGAGGATTATGCCACCCAATGGGACGAACGCAACAGCTTTGTCGTTGATGCTGTAATACACTGCGGTAAATGCGGCAACCACAGCCGCCACGGCAGTTGCTTGTCCCAAGAACAGCCTTGACATGTCGTAGTTGCTAGCCATGCCGCTTATGAGGCCCTGAGCCTTGTGAAGCCACTATATGCCCATTAGAACGATTGAATCTAAAGCCCCGGTACAATGGTCGGATACTCACCTGCGTAATCGAGGGTATCAACTGGGAATAATTGCCGTCGTCCACAGTTTTGCTATAGCGGTCGGCCAAGGCCTGCCATCCCCGCGCCAACTCAAGATAATCCGCATTGGAATCTTTCACCGCTTCCACGTTTGAATTTGGCTCGAGGATTTGCTGACCAAAGGTGGCGACAACAATATCTAGGATCTGGCGGGCGTTTCTCATGAGGAGCTGGACCTGGTCTTTTTCTGAGGAGACGTCAATACACGCCTTCTCAGTGTTGGGTATTCAAGCCTACCGTTTGACCAGAACGGCAGAAAATCTGGGATCAACGCGCCCAGATTGTTCTTTGGTACTGGGAACCCTAACAGTGCAGCCAGCGTCGGGGCCAGATCGGACTGCTCCACGGTGCTATAATACTGGAAGCTCTCGTCTTCCGGCACGGGGGACGACAGATTTTTCCTGAGGTCTCTCAGCTTTGGCGACATGAACACTAAGGCTGCGGATGTTTCCCCGGCTGATGAGGCTCCGTGATTGCCGGCATCATTCATACCATGGTCACCGCAAACCACGAACAGCGTTGAGCGGAGGTGCTCCTCCGTTTCTATGGCGCTGTAAATCTGTTGCACGATATTGTCCATTTCGCGCTGTTTGACAATCATGTGGGGACTTGAGGCAATCAGTGTCTGTCATCCGTTATCCAAGGGCTACCATACCTCCTCGGTCCTCCCTTATGGCCAATGTGATCCAGGCCGAGATAGTGTAGGACCATGGTGTTCCAATCGTTGCTCTTTAGCTCCTCCGATATGTGTCTCGTAACATTGTTGTCCACCTCGGTAAAGTCCTGCGCCAGTTAGCCGCCTTCACCACCATGCTGCGACCTGACTCACCCACCGAAACAAAAAAGCTCGTCGTCCCATCAGCCCGGTCAAACGTACCCGGGAAAAGCTTCAACCACGTATCATCTCCGTACATGATTAGCTTCCCCGTCTGCTTCGCCCTCATCTGTGCCAGCCAAGTGTCCTGTGACGCAAGGCTTGAACTCTCATCGCCTTCGTCCAGGTTGAGTACCACGTCAAGGAACGAGGGGATCGATCCGGTTGTGATTGCCTTAAGCCGGGGCATAGTGACGGTCGGAGAGGTGGCGTGAGCTGTAAAAGGGAGAGCAGCGCCATCGCGGACCAGCCTGATCGAATCCATTAGCCTGCGCGTCTGTCCTGGGGTGACGCGGACGAGCCTACGATTGTGTGTATTCGAAACCACTGGCGGCTGTATATACAAAATCACTGTGTCAATGGATCAATTGGTCAGCTGAGCGATCTGTAGCGAAGGTTCACGGTTCGACAGCACCTTCGCAGGGCATCAATCACCATGAAGATGAGCTTGTCAAAGGGCGCCGGCGGTGGATCACCGTATCCGGTCACGGACTCGTAGTTGGCCAGGCCTGGGAGTAGCGGTTTGTAGGGGAAAAAGCCAGTCGCGAAGATCAGAATGGCAGCAGGAATCAAGATATTGGCCGCAATCAGCAGTGCGGAGCTGGGGATCCCATTGCGACTGCGACGAGGGGTCATCTTCACCGGGCAGAAGGCGCCAGGGAGCTCAAGCAAGCAATTGGGGCGCGGTTGAGCTTCAGGGAGAGATCTTGGCCTGCGGAATCAGTTGATCAAGGTCGTTTACAGGCCATATTTGGTGTTATTAAAACCATATAGGAACGCAGGATCTATTGCGGCCTCTAGATAGGTAAAAGGGGGGGAGGCCTGAGTTTGGCGAGCTTCGTGTCGCGAACCGTTCCTCGTCGATGCTTGTGAGAGTTCCCGTCGCATCCAAGGGTCCAGACTCCACAGAGCGAATGTCGCCAAGACAGGGACCCTTGCCTGCGTGTAATTACGCAGGGACCCGAGCATAGAACCAAGATCACTGGCACACTGCACCGGCTCCAACCGAAAGGTGATCATTGCAAAGCTACCTAGGTATCGATTTGATAATGGGTATTCACACAAGTCCCGGTTTGTAGACGGTGCCGTGTCATGAAATAAGACCGAGTGTACTCAACAAATAACACTGGAAGTCTTGGTATTTACTTCGTTGCTGTTAAGCTTGTAATTAACAGATACATCATTGCTCGGCTGGCCCTGCTCTCTTGTTCTTCCCTGCGCTGTAAGGGTTGTACCGTTCTCATTCCGCCAGTTCTGTAAAGTGTAAACAGAGACCTTGGAAGCTTAGGCTTTCTCAATGCTCAACACGACGAATTCATCATATGACTGAGCCTATTCACCGCCTCGCCGGCCTTTTCGCGACGGCTCCTTCCCAACCCTTATGATCTAACAGACTCAGCAAGGAGATCAGAGGATAGCAATCGGTGGCAATGTCAATTTAGACAAGGGACGCCACCGTGAAGGACGCCGCCGTGGCTTTTGTGAAGAAGTCAAATCCCAAGCTTCTCATTTTTTGTTACGCTTGGGACCCCTCATTGGAAAGACGATGGACGACTTCTTCTTGGCCTTCCGTTTCTCAACCTTCCGTTTATTTGACTTCTTGCTTGCCGGCTTTGGGACATCAACTTCCATGGCTGCGACGTGTCAACAATGGTGTTTCTCAGAAACCTGTTGGAAAGCTTCAAAACCCACAGTCATCTTTTTCAGCAGCGCCATCCTTGGTCTCATCCCCAGGCTCTGCAGGTATTCGTCAGTAATCAGTGTACTCCCATGCTAAGTCTAGTGGAACACCTACCTTCTTTCATTTCAAGGTCTTTTTGGGGCTTGGGCTGAGATGCGATCGCCAATAGCTTCGCAGAGAGACGTTCTGCTCTCGCTGCCTCGACAGGACCAAAGACATTCTTTTTGAGACGCTGGTTGTTTGTCTTGACGACGCTTGATCTTGAGCTTTTGGCCATTTTGACTGCTCGTTGTAATACCCAAGGGCACTTTGAAACAAAATGTATATTGAGACTTGACCTTATAGCTCGAATATGGTGTGTGGAATTAGATTAGGAGTGCAAAGTCAAACGCATGTGGTTGAATTTTCTGAGTTCTCAGTTAGTCTGGACAGTGAACTTTGCAGTGGGTTGAATTGATACCAAGGTCACATACGGTAATTAAGCTGTAAAATCAAGTATGTATGTACTGTACAGTACAATACCGCTGTGTGTACTGCGTAGGTACCTATGTATCTGTAATTAACGCAGCTATATCCGTACCTAGGCTGAAAAGTTCTAAGAAGTGGCGAGTTTGGCGACTGCTAGATTGCCGTTGTAAACTCCTGTCTGTATCTAAAATAGAACTGCCATTACGTTGCGATTCATTTCCAAGGTCGCTCCTGCCTTTAACTTCCCTTGCATCTAGCGTCGTGCTCGACTGAATTCAGTGTGTAGTTGACTTACTGTATTCAATCAGGTACTTGATAAAGTTACCCCACAGCACAGGAGAACAGAAGGCGTGAACAAGTTCGAGGTAAAGTTACCATCCAGGTGGAAGGCATCAGTGGGCACTGGGCAGCCTTTTTTGCAAGGCGTTTCTGCCGTGCAACTCCGCCTTTTCGACGACGACGGTACTGGATTTCTCTCAACTGCCCAAGTGCAGCAGGAGGAAGCGAGGCTGCCAGGCGTGGAAGAGAAGCCCGGCAGCTTCAGCTATCAGCGATCCATAATCGCCTTGAATTGAGTCTGGCGTGCGCTGCGTCACCAGCATTGAACTGCTGCGCGCACCCGTGAAACTCGCAGCAATCAACGTGCTGTGACTGGAGGCCCGAGGCTTCAATCGGGCAGCACCCTAAGGGCTCTATTTGCGTCGCTCTTTCCTCACTGCGAATTTTGGATGACCCCAGGGCCGCAACTTGGAGGAAATGGATGATAGATCGGCCGAGGCGCAAAGCCTCATCCGTACTATTCAGATCCCCGCCATCTCAAAGGCAACTCTTCAATCCATCTGCGCCGTGAATGGAATTCCCAAGACAGGCAACAAAAGCGATCTCCAAAGGCGCATCATCACCCGTAAGGCTACCGCTGCTTTGCTTTGCCTTGAGATACATATCCTGTTCACTACCCATTTCCGTTCCCTCTTCTTCCCATCACTCGAACTGCATTTTACTCTGTAATTCTGGCGCGACTCCCACGTGAAGTTTGTTCAATGGCTTACATTCGCTCAACAGACATCAACAATTGCGCTACAGACAGGGACTGGGAACGGTTAAGTGAGATCCGAAAGAGCATTCATTCTCAGACCTCGATCTTCATCGCTCCGTCCCTTTCCCCACAGCAACCACCTCCGCCATCGCAGCCGCCATCGCAACTGCAATCATCGCGGCCCCATTCCGGGCCGCTGCCTGATCCCGCTTTCTACCAAGCAGGCCGCCAGGGAACGCCTCCCAACTATGCCATGCCGCCCTACACTTCCTCGAGCTACGTTCCGCCAGCTGCGCCACGATCGCATGCCCAGCCGGGCCCTTCTTATCCAGGCTCGTCAAATGGCTCGGCCGCTCGGCCGAGGCCCAATGCTGTGCTGATGTCTCCAGGCATTCTTTTCAAACCAAGCCCGTTCTACGAACAGAGATACCAAGTCGGAGACATCAGGACCCTCGAGGGTGCGTCTGGTGTTATGTTTCTTACCCGCTCCGCTAATTAATCTGTTGGCTAACTAGGACCAGTGATGACAGCGCACCGCAATGCGGAACGCATTACCCTCAAGACACAGGATCATGCGGCGCTTCAACTATGCTTGACAGACACCAGCATGAGGGTCATGGTGTTTTGTGCGGCCGGCAACACCGGGCCCCAGGACATCGCGTTCCCCTATCAGTGCGAACTAAAGGTGAATGGCGGTGAAATCAAGGCCAACTTGCGAGGCGTGAAGAACAAACCTGGGTCTACTAGACCGGTTGACATCACGGACTCGCTACGCCTGAAACCTACCAGCTATTCTAATAACGTTGAGCTCACCTATGCCCTGACTCAGAAGGTAAGCTCAGCACCTCTCAATGTCAAGGCGCCAACAGAGGTATGGATTGGGCGGGGACTGCTAGGGATTTCCGCTAACTACTTGGCAGAAGTTCTACCTGACTGTGATCGTTTGCAAGACGGTCCCGGTCGAGACCCTCGTGTCTCAAATACAGAAGAAGATTCGTAAAGAATCTGTTGTTGCCGAGAGTGGGTCAATGTTCTGCTGGGATCGTTCATCGTGAACCGCCCTAACGTGTCTCTAGTTACGAAGAAGGCCAATGATCCCGACGTAGTTGCCACGTCGCAGAACCTGAGTCTCAAGTGCCCGATTACATACATGAGGTTAAAAGTTCCTTGCCGTGGTCTCGGTTGTAACCATATTCAGTGCTTTGACGCGACGTCATATCTCCAACTGCAGGAACAGGGCCCGCAGTGGATATGCCCCATCTGCAATAAACCTGCGCCATATGACCAACTGGCCATCGACGAGTGAGTCTCACATTGTTTAGGTCTGTTCGCTCACTAACCCGAGTGGCAGATATGCGCGCGACATACTATCGCAGACTTCTGAGTCTGTCGAACAAGTCACAATTGAAACCGACGGCAAATGGGTCGTTCCAGGCCGGGAAAGGGACGTAACCCCTAAGGTGCAGGAAGCAAGCTTTGTCGACGACGACGATGTATTCATCGCGTCAGAAGTGACCAAGACTGCCAACAGGAACACAGAAACCCCTAGTATGCTTTCCGCATCGGGATCTACGCCGTATTTCGGAACCCCGGCAAGTGCCGCGTCCCAAGATGGCCCTACAGCCGCCAGATCGTCAAGCAAGCGCCCGGCTCCCGAAGTAATCGACCTGACGCTGTCCGATGACGACGAACCGCCTGCGCGGCCGGTCAAGCGAGCGAACTATGGAAGCAATGGCTATTCAGGGCCCTTGTACTAGTTATTTAAAGGGCGACACGAGAATAGCCCGCAGTGAAGACTGCGGTTTGTTTTGTTTTATTGGGTCAGGCATAGGGTGCCGTTTGTATCAACGACCTTCGCAAGGTATTCCATTTGCGAACTCGGCATTAGTTGGCGTTGGGGGAGGCATGTGTCAGAGACTTGTGGACTTGTGATGAATGTGGGATATAGGACCAGGGAGCAAGGAGTTATTTTGGGTCGAGGGAACGGGAGACGTTGGCTGTGTACTGGACCTCTGCGCCGTCGCCAGGGGCAGGGTGTGATACCATGGGATTTGGGAAGTAATCCATCCGATGATACATGCCGACAAAGGACCCGGCGTCATAATGGACTTTGATCAGACGCATTCTTGACTGGCGTGTGTACTTGAAGCAGTACTTGCCGTGCAGAATGACTCAAGTTCGACCCCTGAAGTATGGTGCTTAAAAGCATATACCGTATTCTTGCATGCCAAGAATTTGTGTAGCTCCACAAGACCCCTGAGCTCCATGCGAATCGCTTCGTAGATGCATTCCTCGGGATAAATCAATGAATTGCACGCTTGTAGACACTCAGCGTGCAAACCAGACGGTGCAAACGACCACTGCCCTGACGATCGAAGTCCGCCCGCCTCTCCCCGAATTGGGTCAGTCGTTCCGTTTTTTAGTCTCTGCCAACAGCCAATGCCGCCTCTCTTTAACTGCGATTTCAACTTCGGCTTTGCGCTCTCATCAGCGGCAGCGACAGTCCCAAGACAACCCGGATTATAGCGAATCACCTACCCCTCTGAACACCTACGGCACCCAAGTGCGACGACAAGAGCCAAGTGGAAAGGAGGAAGCATAAAAGGCGGGAAAAGACGGAAAAATTCACCAAAATGTCTTTCGAGGCGGTCATGCCGCCCTACAACGCCTCAGACCCAACCGCCCGCTTCCTGTCGTCGTCCTGCCTCGATTTTCTCCTGATAGAGATCGTGCCATTGGCGTACCGCATTACGAATGAGCTTGAGGCGGGCGCAAAGGAGAAGGAGGCCGAGGCGAATGCCGCTGCCGGCGGGTTGGTTGATGGACAAGGGAACCAGGGACAGGGGCAGGGGCAGACGACCCTGAATGACGGGGCTGTTGGGGAGAGGACGACTTCGGGCGGTGCTGCCGGGACAGGTATGGCGATAAGAGAGGGCCCGTCGGTGATGGAGGAGGAGGAGGAAAGGGAGGCTGTTTTCTGGCGGCTGGAAGGCATTGGGTACCGCGTTGGACAGGGGCTCGTGGAGAGGTGGGTTGTCTATTTCCCCTACCTTGCTTTCGTCTTGTGGTTCGCTTTTGGGAGGAAAGGGGGGAGATGTTGGCTAATCAGGGTGGTGGAAGTTAGGTTCTCGCGCGATCGGCCTCGCTTCAACGATACCCTTGACGTGATCAAATTCCTTTGCAAAGACCTCTGGACTTTGGTGTTTAGGAAACAGGTGGATAACCTCAAAACAAACCACAGGGTATGTCACTTCCCCAACACGCTGTCCTTCGCCTGATTCCTGTGCTGACTGCCTATCGCTCAACGAAAGGGAGTCTACGTTCTAACAGACAACTCCTTTCGTCCCTTCTCGCGCATGAGCGCCGAATTAAACAGCCAGGCGGTCCTCCGTGCACAACCGGTAACATCTCCTCTCCCTTCCCGCCATAATGAACCTCGGGAGACTGACTATAGCGCTGGAAAAGTTCCTCTGGTTTCCCTGCGGCATCGTCCGCGGCGCCCTGGCAGCAATGGGCATAACAGCCACAGTACAAGCCGAAACAACCGAGCTGCCGAGCGCAGTATTCCAGATCAAGACTGTTCCAGTCAAGACATAGCCAGCAAAGACAGTCATTTACTGCAACACTATTTACCAGATTCATAGAAGTGGAAACTCATTGAGTCAGAAGCAGGAACTGGGTGAGGGATCATCTGGATGTGTGGGCATTAAACCTGCTCGGGAAGTCATGTCTCTCAAGCCACTACATATGTACCGGGGAACATATTGGTGACGTAAGGCGTTAGAGGCGTTGGGAACAGCATGATGAAGGCAATGTTTTACGGTATCTTTTGCTGTTCTTCGCAATGGTTGATACATGTCTAATACCCCAGCATTTGGAAAAACGATTAAGCTACATGCACATCCACCCAATATTTTGTCCCTCTGAGACGACTTGGAGCGTCACTCTTTTGCCTATAGCAAGGCCACTCGAATAAGCCCACCAACCAGAATCAATACCATATAAGCAAGGCTAATCAGTGAATTCCTAGCTGAATTACCCTCTTTGGGACATCCTTTCCAGCAAGGAAGCCGAGTGCTAGCTAACTGCAGACACAGTCCATCCTCCGCCATCGGGAAAGAAGGCGGCGTCATCAGGAGAGAGCACGGCAGCTGCCATGATCGTCCCGCTGCGAGCAGCATCACGTTTTCGATTTACAGCCTAATGAGTAGAACAACCAATCAGCCGCTTAGCCCTTGATGCAAACCGATAGAGACAACGTTTTTATTTAGCTCTATTGGCCATCACCGCAACCCGGGCTATCTGGGGAAGCCACAGAAGTATAACGCGTGCAAAAACGCAAACACGACCTGCCAACTTAACAAGCGGGGGAATGGGGTGTACTTCGCCGTTTCATGAATCCTGGGTGGGGAATATTTACTTTTGAGGGGGGTTGTGGGCGAACGAGATGCCCTTCTCAATATTGCCCTTCAGGCCCTTGACTGCCGCCTCGAGCAGGGTCTTCTCCTTGTCGGTGATATCACCCAGGATGTTGATGGCCTTTTCAGCACCATTGGGCTAGTTAGGATGTGTCAGCATAATTCAATTCAAGGTTGGGACTGGCCGGTGGGCGGAAAGTGACTTACCCCAAGCTCGATGGGGACCGAGAAGAAGTCAACCCCAACCTTCTCATGGATCTCCTTGCCACCCGGGACACCCGGGAGGTAGACATAGCTGGGCTCGACGAGGCCCTTGGCGCCCTTGGCAGCCTTGAGGAGCTTCTCGGCAAATCTGAACCGTTGTTAATATTATGACACAGGAAGACATGACGATCGCATCCTCACCTGTAGCCAGCGTAGGCCATGGAGAGGGTGGCGGATCCAGTACCGTCCTTGGCCTTGACGACCTCGTCACCGCCGAACTGGACGCGGTTGACCAGGGCGTCATACTTGTCATCGGGGATCGTAACAGGAGGATCGACCTTGCTGAAGATCGGGACGATGGTCTCGCCAGAATGTCCGCCAATGACGGGGACGGTGAGCTGCTGAGGGTTGGCCTTGCCGGCAATCTCGGCGACGAAGGTCTCGGCGCGGACGATGTCGAGGGTGGTGACACCGAAGAGGCGCTGGGGGTTGAAGACACCCTTCGTCTTGAGAACCTCAGCAGAGATGGGGACGGTCGAGTTGACGGGGTTGGAAATCACGAGGATGAAAGCCTTGGGCGCAACCTCGGCGGCAACCTCAATCAGGCCCTTGACGATGCCGGCGTTGATGTTGAAGAGGTCATCGCGAGTCATACCAGGCTTGCCTTCGACAGTAAGTGTTAGCACTTAGCTCAGGCAGCACTTTGCTGATTGACACGTACGGGGAATGCCGGCCGGGATGATGATGATGTCGGCATCTTTGAAGGCCGTCTTGGCGCCATCGTTTGGCGGAAGGTAGCCTGTGGTTTTCTGTTGGGCCAGGTTTAGCCACAATCCGCCCGTCCCGGCCTTTGATCCTTCTAGGTTATCTGTCACCTACGGCGTTGGACGAGATGTGAGACAGATCGGTCGCGACACCCGGGGTATTGACGACGTCGTACAAGGCGAGCTCGTCGACAAGCGGGGAGAGCTTCAGCAGCAGAGAGAGGGGCTGCGGGGTATCGACTCAGCATGACCTGTCAAGGAACAGCATTCGAGGACGATAATCTAACCTGTCCAATGCCGCCAGAGGCGCCAGCAACGACTGTTGATAGTTTTAGCTCTTGCTCGTGCCCACATTGGGCAAGATGGCAATTCGTATCCCTTACCGGCTTTGACCATCTTGTTTCTCGGTTTCACGGGAACTGTGGTGCGGGGTGTATCAAGATGGAGGGGTAACACGCTGTTCACACGAAGTCCAATGTCAGTTCAGTGTTCCAGTAGTAGAAGGCTGACTGGTGTTTCGACGAGGTCGAATCAGTACCCAGTGGCGTACCTGGATGCTGCGAGGGCTGAGAAGGCACAGGGAGGTTTGTTGAGCAAGGTAGAGAGGGTAGTGGTACGCGCAGAGGAAGACCTAGGATTCTTAAGATTGGCACTTTAAGTAAGGTAGATTTGGCGGGGTCGTGGAGACTCCCGGGCCAGCCGCTGGCGTCAGCGCCCTGGAGCTATTGGAGCTGTGCTATGTCCCACGTTGCCCACCCCTCCAGCAGTCATTGCGACTGCGTGCACAGATTCGTCCGGCTCAATTGGCTTTGTGTTACGTGCATAGCCGCCGCGTTTAATCGGACCTGGCGTTTTCGAGGCACCCGAGTCTCACATAGCTTACTCTGCGCAATTCGCGATAGCGCTTTACGTCCGCCACGAGTTGGAGGCGGAATCTCGTGAAGAGACGGCGATCCCTCCCCAAACATGTGGAATCCCGAGGCCCGGCTGTCGGATCTGGGGAATCGGGGAAGACCGGGTTACAGCTCATGCCTGAGACCGAAGCCGCCCGCAGTGCCACTCTTGTGGCCTTAATGGATCGACAGCATCCCAGCGACCCTTTTCGATCATGTACTGTAAATGCCATCACGCAAGTCGGTCAAGGAATTCCGACTGCCAGCTTGGCACGCAGCCGTTGTACACCCGAACATCTACATTGTGCCGCAACGCCATCCTTATTCCATTCCGGAAGACCCCGCTTTAGGGATTGATTCTTTGGATATCAAACGCCGTAGCAGTTCCCTGAATGCAAATAGGCAACCCATCCTGGCCTATCGCCCTGCATTCCGATCCTGTCATGCACCTCTCGGCGAGGATTTGGCTCGTTATAGAGATACACGTTCCGACTCGTCCTAGCTCCTTTGAAACCCGTTTACTCCTTCGCAGCCGCCCTCCTGGCAGCGGCGCCTCTCAGCTTCTTCTCCGGCTCGGGCTTGACTGGTCTCTGGGATCGGCGGATGGCGCTGGCGCGGGCAACGGCGGCTTGCCGAAGGTCGGGACGGTAGCTGTTCTTGGCGGCCTGGTTGGCAACAGCCTTGTATGTCCTGTGGAAGGATGTTAGTGCTTCTGCCTCCTTTCCTCCGGGCCGGTTTGCACTGACTTGCGGGCTGTCTTGTTGCCGCCGTAGGTGACGGTGTACAACCCAGAAGCGGGCTTGTTGGCAGCAGCCGGCTTCTTGCTGATCACCTGGACACCACCCTTCTCGTTGGGAACAATACCCAGAGCCTAGCCATTTTGCATTAGATCGCAGTTCCGCGCAATTTGGGCGAGTTGGGATTAAGCTGCTAAGTCATCGTACCTTGTCATTGACGAAGCCCGCAAACTGTTCCTTGTCAGCATATGTCGCAGCACCTAGCCTCGGACTTCTCATATCGTACCTTGCGCGAGTGCAGGTTCACCAGGTTGAGGGGATCCCGAGAGAACTGGACAAGGCCACCAGTCTTCTTCCTCTTCACAAGGAAGGAGTTGTTGTTGCCTGGGTCATGAATGCGTCAGAAACCCGTGCAGACCTTCGGATATTGGGTGGAAATACGTACGGGAAATCTCCCAAATGAGGTCGGCCGAAACGTTGGACATTTTGAAGGTGTGGACGTTGGACTCTCGAGCGTTCAGAATCAAGTCGTCAACGAGTTTCCGTGATCTCGAATTTCAGTTCCAACACTTGGGTTTTTTGGACATCGAATGTGGGCTCGCCTAACATACCGTTTCAGGCTAGGCTCTTATTTCCTCGGCGCGATAAACTGGCCCAAACTCGGCTTGGTTAGCAACCCATTACATTAATAGGGATGGTCCGTGCATGTTGTACGGGAGCTACGGTACACTATTCCTCCCTGGTGTGATCCACTGACGGGAGGTCGCCAAGCGGCTGACGAACAAAGCCACTTGCTCAACTGTTTGCTTCAGGTCGGCAGGTTGATCGCCGCCTCCTCGATGACCTGCTATCGACAATTAGGGTCCCCTATCAACTGGCAAGAGGAAATGCGCATCTAACCCGTGTCGCGCACTATTTCTCCTCTTCATTTCGTTAATCGTTTTCCTTCTTTACCATCTTGCAACAGTCTCCGCCCTTCCCGAACCGGCGCATCCATCGTGCGGCGACTCCAGCGAGGTTTCACAATCAACCGTCGCAAGCCAACCCACGCAAAAGAACGCCCCAACAGTCCCAAGTAAATAACATCAAAGAAAGAAGAGAACAAAGGGATCGGCATGGCCTACCTCCTCTACTACAGCCTGACCCTTCTCACCTTCCTTTTAACCACAACCCTATACCTCTCCCGCGCCCGATGGCTCCCGGCCTTACAGTCCTCCCTCTCCCAGGTTTCCTTCCGTTTCCCCGGGGGTGACTACCTCTACTCACGCCTTAGCACCGGCCCCGGTGCCGGTTCGTTTGAGGGAGACATCGAAGCAGGCCTGTCCTCATCCACTTTCGACTTGTCAGGCAATATCCAGGACGGTGACACACGAGCTGGACTGGGTGACGCGGCGAAACGGGAAATCGTCAAGATCATGAAGAAAAGGCGGATGCTGTTTGATGAGGCGCGCAGAGTATACATGGAGCAGAAATTCAAAGAGAATGGGATTGGGGCGGATGGGCGGCCGCGGGATCCGAAGTTCGTGAGCTTTTCGTGAGATGGATGGAATGGTCGTCTCTCACTCTGTCTGAGTTTTAATCGCACCAATATCTACTTGTTTATCTCCTTGCGTTTCGTTTGGGAAGCGTTTGGCTTGGCGGGTGGTGGCATTAGTTCGAGATGTTCAGCAGCTGACAGCTGTGCTATCTTTTAGTCTTTCCTTCCCTTGTACATCAGGGCCTTTTCTTATGTATATTTCATTACGCTTGAGGCATTGGCTGGTTGTCTGGAAGGAACGGGAGGCTCGCTGTTGTGAGTCGAACTTGAATCTCGGTCTTGAGCAGGTGGATGGAGGAATAGGGAGGTCACCCTCCTGCTGGGCTCCTCTGATCCCTGAATCTCGCTCCTATTATGGCGCTATATTGACATGTATCCCATCAGAAACCTGGACGGGTGCCGGTTGGATAACCCCTCACCCAACGCTGAATACCTCCCGTCATGGGAATGAGAGCCTGGGAATCAAACTCAACCCTACTTGCAGCCTGGACGCCTTATTCAGGCTCAGGTCTTTACCTGATCCTTCCTATCTTAACTCTCTCCGCTGCAGGTGCTTATCTAGCTTCAATGCCTTTCCTTGGATACTCGTTTGATGCCCCGGCAAAGCATGTCCCTCCAACCGTAAGAGGTAATTGCCCTATTCTTTCAAACGGTCGCTAACACGTGCAACTGAAAGCCAGTGGCAGAGGCGGATGAGCGGAGGCAAGTAGGCAACTTATCATTTGGATAGCCATCAGATTTCTGAGATAACGAACGCTCGATGCAGGCCGGGGCCATTGCTGACAACAGGACGATTAGTCGAACTGCGGGCATGCTGCAAGGTAAGCAGCCTTATGCCACTTGAGTGAGAAATGGAGCTTCCAGAGGATTTTGCCGCCGACAGATTCGGCAGTGAGCAGAAGTCTCTTGAGCAGACAGGTCTGGATGTTCTATTCTGTAGGTGCCTATACCGTATATGTCTGGTGGTATCCCGCTACCCGTAATCCAACTTACCTGTAGGCTTGGACCAGAGCAAGACCCTAATAGTTACATAGGGGACGTAAAGTTGGAGAGCGACCGCCACTGCCACTTGGCTGCTTCGAAGCATTGGTAGAACCCCAGTCACTTCAGGGATCCCGTACTAAAGTATGAATTTGGGTCAATTGGATATGTTTGGCGATGTCCCGGCAGTGCTATGGTTGCAACCTTCCAGGCTGACAGTTCGAGAACCTAAGTCAGCAACAGCCTCGGACATCTGCAAAGCGGCATTGCTATGATTCCTGGGACTTGGCAATAAGATGACCTCAAAGCATTTATTTGGCCGTGCTAACAGATGTGTTGTACGTACTGCGTCTTATTAATCCATGCTCTTCTCTTCTTGGAGCTAAGTCGACTCGTCGAGCCCTCTCCCGCCAAACCTGCCATCGACCGGGTGCATAGGTGACAATTCCAGGTTGACAGTGTGCTCGCCAATTACAGGGTGGGCTCGGGCCGTGGGCCCACTTCCCGATTTCGGTTTGGTGTCATGTGCATCGGATCTGGTCCCCGCTCGAGCACTGCGCAACACACCCAACCCAGAAGCACAGCCTGAGATCTTGCAACAAAATTGCAAGTGGTGACTGGTGAGTGGTTCCCCGCCCCAAACTCTCCTTTGCCCAACCCCAACAGGAACTGATTGCCAACGCTTCGAGGTGCTGCTTTGCGGCCAATACTCTACTAACTGCATCGTCAGGAAATTGAGGAGCTTTGCTGTTGATAACCTCAGGCATGATTAGAGCAGTGAGGATGGCCTAGAGGTTAAAACAGCAGCCCCCCCCAAGGGCCCAATCTGCTCGGATAATGTGAGCAGCGGTCCAAATGAGGCACCAGCTCAACTTTCCATGCACATGATGCATCTTCAACACCGACTGGCCGTCAGAAATGCACGAGATGGGCCAGCCAGCACAGATAGGCGAGCCAGGCGAGCTGCGCATCAAGCCGCAACACCCGACACAATGAGCGGATGTACGACCTTGCGCATTTGCCTACTGTATGTATGTACGCTGCAGCAATGTACTATACATACACTACGTGCATACAATACAGCAACTTAACGTCAGAACACATGACAGCCGCTTGTTCTCGCCCAGTCGGCCACATTCTGCACTTCCCAGCTAACGTTAGGGCGAAGCCTGCAGCCATGCTCTAGGGTGTCCCAAGGTGTGGCACTACTGAGAATTCCCCCTGCACTGGAGGTTGGAAGGGATGTGCTGCTGCTGCTTCTGCTGCATCAGGCTTCCTACACTTGCTGTACTTCACACGCAAACCTGCCCGCACCATCAGACGGTTTCGGTAGGATAAGGCGAGCCATCGGTAACACTCCAGGTGAACCGAAAGGGGCAAGGCTTCCCCGCCTCTTAGCTTCGTTGCCCACACCCCGGGTGTATGCCGTGAAGATGTTGCGCGTGCAGAGCAATGATGCAATACAGCGAGGGTGTGGTTGGAGCGGTGTCATCTTGCCGAGGCCGCACAGCCGGTTCAGACACATTGACCACTGGGTGATAAGAGATGGACCGGATAATGTGCGCAGGCAATGAAGAGGCTTATTGCAACGATCGAAAAGCCTGGCACTGATAGATGCATACGGTATTTGACGGACGTGCCACAAAGTGTGTCACGTACGGAGTCGGGAACTGCTAATATTTCCCAGCACGGCTAGTCAACCTCTAAAGCGTTCTTAATTGTCTCCGTCAACACAGCAATGGACGGAGCCGAGTTACACTCCTATGGTATTCATTGGCTATGGTAGGCTTGGTTTATCTGTCCCGGCCGGTAGTGTAAGTGCGTCGTCTGAGTAAGAAAAAGCAACGCCGGCAATTTTGTGAAAAGTTCCCGTTGCAGGTGGTGGGTGGGTGGTGGGTGGGCGGTGGTTGGTCTCTCGGGAAACAAAACGTGAGCGTGTTTGGAACCACCCCGCTTCTGCACCTCTGCACACACCTCCACTCCCCCACCCTGTTCTTTCCCACCCCTTCCAGAACGGCTGCGCTAAGACAGCCTAGCAATGCACGGGCCCGGGTCCACAGAAGATCCACTCTTCATGCAGACGCCGCATTTCACCCTGGTCCCTGCCTGCCCAGCTCCTAACTTGGATGGTTTTGGGTGGCGCCGGCGCATGTCGGCCAATGTGTTGTAGCACCTTTTTTCCCCTACCTACTGAATGATTTGGCTCGCAGATTGCCTTGCGCTTCCCCAACTTGATCCAGCCGCCCCCTCCGGTCTGGGTCCCTTTTTTTTCCCTTTCCTTCCTCGAACTACCACCGCATTCCTTTCCATCTCAACACCATCACCATCATCGTCCCCTACCCCCGACGACGAGAGTCAATAAACCGCAGTCGTCATTCCGGCCCAAGCCGCGTCGCAACGAACGTGCATCCGATTGCACGCCAAGCTTTACTTTATTCAGTTTCTGCGCGCACGCAGGGACGGTTGGCACCCGGGCAATATTTGTTGATTGGGGGAAAGGAGGACAACGAAGCAGAAAAAAAATTGTCGGATCTAATTGCTATCATCATTACCGACACAGTCCAATCACCGCGTTCGCATTGTCCGCAGTAACCCCCAAAAAAAAACAAAAAAAAAAACAAAAACAAAGACGAGGCCAAGTACTATTCAGACATCTGATCAGACAAGATGTCGATGTATCCGGGCCACCGCGGTATGGGCGGCGTCCCCCCTGGCAACGGCGCCGCCCGTGTGAACGAGCTCCTCGACCAGATCCGTGCCGAGGTCGAGGCGTACGCTCGACAGACCGAGGGATACGAGCATCAAAGTAAGCCTCCGTTCCCGGGCTGGATCGTGAATGAATGGCGAGCTTGGCGCCTCCCGTTGATAAGGATTCCCGGCTCTAACCGCATTGCAAAATAGTCCAAGCTCAGGTTCAGGAGATGAATCTGATCCGCGAAAAGGTTTACCAGATGGAGCAGACGCAAATCAGCCTCAAGCAGAAGTAAGTTATCAGCATTAATCCCCCCTCGTTAGCCACGCGCTCACGTAGTGGTCAGGTATGATGACGAGATCAACCTGTTGCGCCGCCAACTGGAGGCCCGTGGAGGCCCGCCCGGTCACTTGAACCCACCTTCTCAACATGTCGGCCCGCCGCAGCAGCCGCCCCAGATTGGCAACCCGGGAGCCAATACTATCATTGGCGCTATCCTTTCGGGCCAAGCAGTCGGCCAAGGTGGCCTGGCCCCTCCGCCGCACCCACCGCAGCAGGAACAGCAGCCGCCGCACATGCCTCCGGCTCCTCCTGGATTGCAGGGTCCCCCGCCTCCGCCGCCTCCGCCGTCTCAGCAGCCTCCGTTCCAGCAGCAATATCCGCAGGGGCCTGCCCCGGGTGGTTTTCCTCCCCAACCCCCCCAAAGCACGGCATCGCCGGGGCCCGGTAGCAAGCGAGCCATCGGTAGACCGCCGGCGGGTGGCCCGGCCACTCCTCAGATCAATACTCCGGTCCCCTACAATGGCCCTGGCCAGTCTCCGCAAGTTCCGACCCATCCGACCCCAGATCATGCTCGGATGGTGCAGCATCCTGCTCCGCCTCCTCCTCAGACCAACTCCCTGGGCGATCTCGACGTCGAGCGTCTTCCGAACCACATCAAGAAGGTCAGAGACGATTGGTGGGCCATCTTCAACCAGCATGTGCCCCGTGTCCTGGATGTTGAGCTTGTCCACACCCTGCAGCATGAGAGTGTTGTATGCTGCGTGAGATTCAGCCATGACGGCAAATATGTTGCGACTGGGTGCAACAGATCCGCCCAGATTTACGACGTCGCCACGGGTGATAAGATTTGTGTCCTCCAGGACGAGAGCATTGATTTGAATGGAGATCTATACATTAGAAGCGTCTGCTTCAGTCCCGATGGCAGGTACCTCGCTACCGGCGCCGAAGACAAGCTGATCCGAGTAAGTTCTGGGCTCCCAAAATGGTACCCCGCCGGCTCTTGTGTATACTGATTCGTCCAGGTCTGGGACATCCAAGCAAGACAGATCCGTAACACGTTCCATGGCCATGAGCAAGATATCTACTCACTCGACTTTGCGCGTGACGGACGCACCATTGCATCCGGCAGCGGCGATAGGACCGTTCGGCTGTGGGATATCGAGACCGGCCAGAGCACCATGACGCTAAGCATAGAGGACGGTGTCACGACCGTAGCCATTTCTCCCGACACCAAGTTCGTCGCTGCCGGCTCTCTTGACAAGAGCGTCCGGGTTTGGGACATCAAGTCCGGTTTCCTTGTCGAACGGCTCGAGGGCCCAGACGGTCATAAAGACAGTGTCTACAGCGTCGCTTTCTCGCCCAACGCCCGCGAACTTGTCAGCGGAAGCTTGGACAAGACGATCAAAATGTGGGAGCTGACGGCCTCACGGCCGATGCCACAGCAGCAGCCTCTCAAGGGAGGGCGGTGCATCAAGACGTTCGAGGGCCACAGGGTATGTTTGTCTGTTTGGTTTGTCCCACCATTTTCCTCTTCACATCACTAACACGATAATGCAAACAGGACTTTGTCCTTAGCGTGGCGCTGACCCCCGACGCCGAGTGGGTCCTGTCGGGATCCAAGGACCGTGGCGTCCAATTCTGGGACCCCCGCACCGGCCACACGCAGCTCATGCTGCAGGGCCACAAGAACTCGGTCATTTCGGTCGCGCCCAGCCCTGTGCCCACGCCGACCGGGGGCTTCTTTGCTACGGGGTCCGGAGATATGAGGGCCCGCGTCTGGTCGTATACCCGCTTGGACCGGAGACCGTAGGGCGGGTCCGGTTGTAGAGTGGAGGAGGAAATAGAACAGAGTGATTATTGGTGAGAGGGAACCTCTACTCGCAGGTTAAGCTGGCTGGTTTGCACTCTGTTTTCCCTTCCTTGAATGGGGTTATAATTCTTACGGATTGCGATGTAACTGTCCCGTCTGAAGCCATCCTGTCCTTGGGGTGGGAAAGTGGAGGTGGTGAAGGCATGCCGGCCTGCCCGCTACCGCTTCGTAAGCGGTTGATTGGGCAGCCCCTTTTTGTCGGTATCATGTCATGTGGTGTTGCGTTAGCTTGGGCGGTGTGCCTCTAAACTCCTTTTCCTAATCTGGATGTCGTGGCGTCAGGAATAAGATGGATGGATGATCGAAGGGTGGAATTGAGCCCTTGTTTCCTCTCAGATTTGCTTTAGGTTTGTCACTTGCTGGTTTGATGCGGGCTTGGGTGTCTCCGCGCTGCGCAGCTCACTGCCTTGAGGATAAAGTATCCAATGGCTATGCTCTGGCTTCCAACGGTACGGAGTAGTAGACCTGCTTTGAATTGTTTGTTCATCTCCGGCCAGGGGTATACAAGCACACATGGTATCTAGGATTCTCTTCGTGGAATGTTACCTAGCATCAAGGACACCAACGGTGGATGACCGAGTCCGACCATACCTTATACTAGTCCTCCAAAGATATCGTCAAACTCATCGCCCTTCTTACGCTTCTTTTTCTTTGGCTTCTTCACCTTGTCTTTGTCGAGCGCGCTGAATATGTCATCGAACTCGTCGCCACCGCCCCCTTTAAGCCTCTTTTTCATGCGCTTCTCTATCACCGGCGGCCCTATGCTTGGGCTGTCTTTGCGGGTTTCTTGGTTTCCCACCTCGACTGGCGGTTCTGATATTGACCCGGAACTCAGGCCTGCTGTCAACTTACTGCTGGTAAAACCGGTGGGCTCGGTCTGTGCTGATGTTGGCGCTGGTGCCGGCGTCGATCCGGTCGAAGTCCCCCGCTCGATTGACAGGAGAATGATCTCATCCCTTGAGACGGCTACGCCCATGTCGGTGTCTCCGTCTAAATCAAGAGTTTGGGGCTGGGGCATGGTTTTGTCGAGCGCGATGTTGCCGTCAGGCGGCGAGGGATTTGAGTTTGGTAGTGGCCCTGGTGTGTCGTCTGTTGCTGCTCCCTCGGCATCGGTTTCCAAGAGTGCATCGTTGGGCAAGGGGGTAAATGGTGCAAGGGCTTTGTCGATCTGTGCTAGAACGCCCAGGAGCATCAGTCCGAGATGGGCAAACTGGCGGTCTGTGGAGAGCTGGGTGAAGGCACTGTACACAATAACGGTTGTTAATTTGGAGCATAGATAACGGACTATATTGCATCGCAGCCCGTGATGGATGAAGAACTACAACAAAGGCTGGCAACTTACAGATAGGCTCTCGGCGCTAGGGTCCAACGAAGATGCTCTGCCCTTTTCTTAACCTCCAGATTCCCCTCTTCCGTATCATCGCCCCCTTCCTTCTTCTTCTTCGTCTTCCCTCTTGCCCGAATCCTCTCTAGTCTTTCAGCATCTGGTACGCCAGCTTCCAAACACACCAGCATCTTGCGCGTGTGCCGGCGCAGCATGTCGGCTTGAGCCCACCATTTGGAAAGGCGATGCTGATTCTTGTTCCGGTGGTGGAAGCGCTCGAGGATTTCAAGAGCAGGCGAGATGGACGAAATGGCTGCGTTGAGAGTTGCCAAGGCGAGGGTCGGGGGCAGCTCTGCGGCTGGTGTTGCTGACATGGACAGTGAGCTCCGAGTTGGGCGAGCCGAGATATTGAAGCAAAAGGGTGAAATGAATCCGACGAGCTCCTCACGAAAGCATATCAGTGTTGAGTATGCATAGGGTTAGTGCTCAAAAAGTTCAATCAGAGATGGAATAGAGGTGAGTTAAAGGACCCCAATTTGATGACTATTCATATGATTTCGTGTAAGTGAGAGCCAATCTGAATTGAAGAGGGGAAGCACAGGTGAGTGAAAAGTGAGGTCGGAAATAATGTGGGGTTAGGGTTATACATGGACAAGGTCTTCACAACATCCTCTCGATGTCAAGGCTGTGATACTTCATGGTGTAGGTGGCCCGGATAGACTCATGGTTGAATATGGCGTAGACCAATCCTGCGTGCTGAAGGCTGAGAAGTTGCTCTACGCCATATTCAACCATGTCTATTCGGGCGCAAATAAACAAACAGCCCGAATAAGTAACAAACGACTCTTAGAAGACATGGCTAAAAAAAGTCACCCCCCCGGGGAGTCGAACCCCGCGCAACGGAGTCTGTTGTTCTGAGGCAATGATAGCCCTGAATGAGAATCCGCTATGTTACCGATACACCAGAGGGGTTGTTTGTGTTGGAAGTTGCAAGAGAGAAACTCAACTCGTATAGTCAGTGGGCAGGCCGGAGGTGGAAGGAGCTGCCGGTTTCCGCCTGTGTCGTGGTAGCGAGGAGCACCTCAGGTGCCACTTCCCGAGGGCAAACACCCAGTCAAGGCAAAACTAATTGTTCTGAAGTAATCTCTGGGGGTAGAGTAGCACGTCAACCAACATGACTCTGGTGGTTACAACACACTAGCCGCGAACGACGTGCCACGGCAACAGTATATTAGGTATACCCGACCAGGCCAAATCCCGCCAACATGTGGTTATCAATATCAATAGGATGCTCGTGTAATGGCTGGTAAACCAACCCGTTCCAGTCCCAACCGACCCTAAAACTCCCGTCCCATCGCCAGGCCACGATAAGTAGCTAGATACCGCATAACCCATAGTAGACAAGACCCATGCTATCCCAGAAGCACTATCCTCTCGAAACCTGCCATGAGCGCTGAGCTTTAGCATATCTTCACGCCGCATATCTCAACCCCCTTGGTCTCAACATACGCCCGGCGGGAGAAATACCTGGCCGTAACCTCGCGCACAAAGTCGGCATCGGCCTGGCTCCACACATCCAGCCCCATTTGGGCAAGGGCATCACTATCGACCCTCACCCACCCCCTACTGTTCCCAGTATCCAGTAGCCTTGCCTCTTCGCTGCTGCCTTCCTCTTCGCTCAGCGAAGCACGAGAAACTGAGCGGGCTCCAGCCCCCTCGCCATCAAACTCCCCGCCTATCCCCAGTCCCGGTGCCAGATCCAACAGATCATCGTCATCCGCCGAGTCGACAATATCCGCCAGGACGGATAACACATTGGTGGTCAAACGGTGGAAGTACGCTACCACCGCCAGCTCAAGTCGAGCCTGGCATTCATCATCCCCTCGCTCGTCCTCTTCTTCGCCCTCCCCATCGTCCCCTTCCCCTTCCGTAGCATCGCCACCTCCCAACCGCCGCTGCCCAGGGGTAAGCTGGCCCCACGAATCCACCATTCCCTCACCGCGACTGTCATGGGGTAAGCTACCGCTCTCCGCGCCGCTGTCGCCAAAACTGGTCTTTTTCTGACCCCCAGCAACAGCGGGTGCCATGACAGGTGACAGCGGCGCCAACCCGGCCAGAAGCGCGGCGTCATGGCTGTGCTCGTCAACCTCGTCACCGTGACGTTTCTCGCCCGCCGAGGCCCACCACATAAAGCCGTTGTACGCGAGCGCAGCCCAGGTGGTGGGTTCGACGATGGCCTCCGTCTCGGCGTAGTCGGCCGAGGCGCCTGGACCGGCTATTGACAGGCTTCTTGTTGCATGGTGGCGGTGCGGGTCCTGGGTAGCCGTTCCCGGTCGGGAGGACGAGGACAGGCGGATGGCTGGGGTTGCGGGAGTAGAAACGGCGTCGCTCGTTTCCGAGCGCAGGCTCCGCGTGTCGGATGTAGGGTTGGGGTGGGGATGGACCGAGGCTGATGTTGCCGCGGCCAGCCGGCTGAGACCAATGGTGAGGGAGCGAAAGCGGCGGAGGTCGCGCTGCGTTGCTTTGACCGGGACGCCCTTTGGGCATTCTACGGTTGGCCAGACACGTTGCTTGGCGTTGGAGGAGTAGGCTGGGGGCATGGTGATCAACATATCCCAGAGGCCGTCCTTCATGGCGAGGATGCTGTCGGTGGTGCATGCCACCCATCCCGAGCTGGCGTCGTCGAGGTTGATTGGATCGTCGTGATTGTCCGCCTGGCTGGCCCGCTTTAGCGCGGCTTGATGCTCTAGTAGATAGGATATGTCGTGCACGCCGATGGTGAAGAGTGGCCGCAGGCGCTGGACCGGAGCAGAGGGGTCTATTACGTCGCAGACGGATGAAGGGATGTTTGACAAGACGGAGATATCGTAGACTATGACATGTCAGCCAACCGCGTAGAGACTGTGCAAGGCGCGGTACATACCAAAGTTGCAAATCTCGTGCACTGGCGCGTGACAAGAAATCAAGATGCGCTTGCGCAGCAGAGCGGCGCGGTGAATGGGAAAGATCAAGGGACCAAACGTGTCCAATAGCGAGGTGAGGCTCCAGGCCGGGTGAAACGGAGACAGCGTATGGCCGGGGGGGATCAAGGCGGCGCCGTCTGAGGCAGACCGACTCCTTGCATGGCCTTTGCCCAGTCCGGGACGGCTCGTTTTGACGCTGAGGACAGGTGAAGCCAGCGGAGTATCCTTCAATGGCTGGAGCACCGATGTCTCGCGAGCGCCGTTCTTCTCCCAGTACTCCTCCAAAAGCTGCGTTCGTTTCCGATCCGCAGCCAATTCGGCGGCAATTGCCTTCAATGCCTCGGCGTGACGCCAGGCTCTCCCGAGCCGGCCATAGCTCAGAGGCACGAGGATGCCGACAGCGATCATGCGCGCGTGGCGGGTTTCTTCCTCGTCGGTGGGCGTGTTGACGAAGGCGCTGAGGCCGGCATGGCCGCCATCATGGACAAAGTATATAAGGTCGTCGGGCACCGTGTGCAGACCCGAGGGCAAGCTCTTGTATTCGACGGTGCCTTCGAGGTCGAGACCTGGTACGGCGCGTTTCCAGACAATTGTGTAACCGGCCTTGACGTCAAAATCTATGAGGAAGAGGGCGGATATGAGGGGCAGGTCGGGCAAAAGTCCTGAGGCGGTGAGCTGTGGGAACCGTACGGAAAGGGCCGGGTGCCCGCGACGAGATGCCGCCATGGACCGCAGATTGGAGAAGCCGCCGACCTTTGAGAGAGAGAGAGAATAGAAAGACCGTCGAGGGAGCGATCACAGCGACGCAACCATGGCCATCGACGAACTGCCAGGTGGGCCCGAGAGAAGAGCTTGACAATTGCGAGCCAGACTACGCAACGGTAGCAACCGGTGATAGCGCGACAAGTGAGGGCGCGGGAAGCTGTCGTGATCGAAAGGTGTCTAGGTGAAGGAAAGTAGTAAGTAGTAGGTTGTAGGATGGTGAACAGACTGTGTACTGTACATACTGTGTAGTTACCGTGGGTGAACTGCGGCTAAAATTCGTTACAGCGCCTATCATTCTGATTCAGCTGCCCTGCCACAGGTGACAGCAGTGTCTCACAGCAGACATCAAACCTTTCGTTACCGCACAATATGCCATCTGTTGCAAAAAGCCCTTGGTCTTTCAGCATCCAGGTTTGATATGATTTCTCAGGATTGTCCAACACATTTATAAGAGAAAGCCCCCTGCTATACTATATGGACTCGGCCGAACCGGGTTGTTGGACCTTGCAGTCACGGATGGACATTGCCGGGGATATACTGTAGAAGTCTCCAATCTCCAATCAAGATGGCGCCGCACACTCCCGGTACAATTCTCGTGGAAAATAACCTTAGAGTAGTATAGTTCCAGACGAATCATAAGTGGTAGTGTAGTGCTTGCCTCCAAATGACGACCGAAATATCTGCGTTCCGGGTCCTGAGTCTTGACGGTCACTGACATCCGAGCTTCGGCGAATGTCTGTGAGTGTCAATTGATACCAACCTAAGTTCCTCACAAGTTGACCCCAAATATGATTTGTTAGCCCCAACAGGACTGGAACCTCGGGAAAGATCTTGTGGGGTCATGCCACGCTTGCGGTCTTGGCGTCCCGTTGAGTCTCGTGGACGGGTATCCACGATGTATTTGGCAAAGCCAGCTTCCAGTTTACCAGTGAGTATTCACATTGCAAGAGGCCCATTCGGAAATATATACATTCGTTCTCGATGCATGATTAGGACAAATCATATTCAAATTTTTCAGGATGAATGCCAGTTGGTTTCAAAGTGCTTTTGGGTAAAGACTCTATCAAGGGGGTACTTCCAGAACCCCTTACGGGAAGGCTGCATTGAATTCCCCACAGCACAACAGCCTTGCAGTTCAACAGCGAAACCGCCATGTCGGTCGTCTCAATTTTTTTTCGCGCCTTCCACAACAGGTTATTGTAGCCTCGGTGAGGTCACACGCCCACCTCGCCCTGTAGTCGACTCCTATTAAGGCGTAGGCACGAAGGATATCGAAACATGCCATCTCATACCCGGTGAATCCGACATCCTCTCCTGGCATCGAGAGACCCATCGAGCTGCCCTGTTCGCGCTACACGGGCTCCTGCGAAACCACTCCACCGCCCGTGGATCAGCTACAGGGACATCGGTGGCTAACTGCGTGCCGATCCGACCTATCAGCGGCAATTTAAAGGGGTTGAGCTACCTAGTGACAGCCGTCAAAGACCTAACCTAACCCACAAACCCCTTTTCTCTGGTCCCTTGGCCGAACCTTGGTTCTGCAGGCGCGCTGGAACATTGAAACCCGATACACAGCTGGGCGTGCCGGAGCAGCCTGTCGTCCCGTCTCTACATCAACGACAGACTCGACCCCGCGCAAACAACTGGGCTGTCGCCCTTGCCTGCCGTAGACCCAACACTGGACACACCTAACTATGGCGACCATTCTCGCCTACATCGACTACTGCCTCGCTGTCTGGGTTGCTGCAATTGTGTCGGCCTACCTGCTCTCGGCTGTCGGGGTTCCTAAAGCCGACTTTGCGGCCCGATCGCTGGCCTCATTGTTGGCACTAATCACTAGCTCGCTCTACGGTGTCGTCGCGTCAGTTGCCCTCCGCCTCGTTGGCTACGGCCAGCTCGCGCAATGGACCGTAGCCCGCAGTTTCAAGTACAGCATGCGCCTGGCGACGGGGGTGACGTTTGACATCGAAGACCCGCATGGCTACCTTAACAAGACCCGTCCCGCCGTCATCGTGGGTAACCATCAAACCGAACTCGACGTGCTCATGCTGGGTTGCATGTTCCCCAAGTACTGCAGCGTGACGGCCAAGGCTTCGCTGAAGTGGGTTCCCTTCCTGGGCTGGTTCATGTCCCTGAGCGGCAGCATCTTCCTTCACCGCACCAACAGCAAGGATTCGCGCGAGAAGATGCGCGGCGCCGCCGACGAGATCCGCAACAAGCGCCAAAGCGTCTACATGTTCCCCGAGGGCACGCGCAGCTATGCCAAGATGCCCTCAGTGCTGCCTTTCAAGAAGGGTGCCTTCCACCTCGCCGTGCAGGCGCAGGTGCCCATCATACCTGTCGTCGTGGCGAACTACAGCCATATCTACTACCCCAAGGGGTTCGTCTTCAAGTCCGGAAGAATACCTTGCAAGGGTAAGCCGTCACCTTACTCATGCTTTGCCTCTCAATTTCGGCGAGGCTGACTTACACGGGCAGTTCTTGAACCCATCTCAACCGAAGGGCTCACCGCCGCCGACGTTGACGGGCTGGTGAGGGGCACTCGCGAGTTGATGCTCAAGGAGCTCCTCACCCTGACAGAGAAGGCACGTGGGCAAGCTGGTGCCGTTCGCGAGACGCCCGGAGCTAACGGCTTCGCCATGTCGACGGGGACCGAGCTCAGAGTTGCTGCATGAGGCGTTACGCACCTCCATTTTGCCTACGTTGTGCGCCGATACCCAGGGTATCAGAGGGCGTCAGCTACGGACGGACTCGCCGACCCCCTTTCCCCCGGTGTTCACCGTCTCACCCGAATGGACAGTCCGCCCTTCGGGACGGGATCCCGACCACACATTTTATATGTTGTTCTTCATTCCAGGAGTCGGTCCGCGTCTGTTGTACAAGCATTCATATGAGCGCACAAGCATTTTTTGGGCCACAGAGACGAGGAATGGGTTTACGAAGCTTGCACCAGTCTTAGTTAACGACATGACGAGGCGCTGGTGTTTGGCGACTTTTTTTCTAAAAGGTCTGGGGGTTGCAATGGATAGACGAGAACAAATCCAGGAATACCCGACGTGAATACTGTTTTGTGGGCGGCTTGTGAGGCGCCTTTCCTCCGACTATATCCTAGAGGGCAAGACAATGTAACAGACTTACCTATATCCTCCAAGATGTGTGCCCTCGCTGCCTTTGTATGCGAATACTCCTCTGCTTAAGAAGTCGGAGATGCTATGGCCTCTTTATTTCTATCCACCCATCCGCCCACAGCCCCGGTTGCTTTTGCTCGTACATCACTCTTTTCTCTTCGCTGCAGCTTGTCTACTTGTCATATGACACCGTGTTTACCAACAGAAACCAGCGTCTTTCCCTAATTCTCTGATACATACAGGGATATGAACTCCCCAAAGACCCTGACTTACGCCGCCCAGCGTCCTAAATTTTTCAAAACACACCCTTCCCCATCCGGCTGCCTCTTGACGAGCCTCCCAATCCGGTAAACCCTCTCCCCCTGCTCCTCCAGCCTCTGCACCACCTGGTCTGCCGCCTCAGCCGCGACAGCCAGCACCATGCCAATGCCGTTATTGAACGCCCTGGCCATCTCGGCGGGCTCTACTGACTGGGCGAGCCACTTGAAGACCGGGGGAACCTCCCATGAGGCAACATCAATCTCGGCCGCGAGATGGCGGGGCAGCATGCGGGGTACATTCTCGGTAAGCCCGCCGCCGGTGATGTGGGCCATTCCCTTGACGGCCGGCCCCGTGGCCGAGTCAGCGAGGACGGCCAGCAGGGGCTTGACATAGATCCTGGTTGGGGTGAGGAGGGCGTGGCCGAGAGAGACTCCCGAGTCGTCCCAAGGCGCCGGGTCGGTGTACTCCAGGCCGCGGGTCTTGACGATCTTGCGGACGAGGGAGAAACCGTTGGAGTGGACCCCCGATGAGGCCATACCGATGAGGACGTCACCCTCGAGCATGGCGTCTTTCCGTGGAAGGCGCTGACTGGCGCGCATGACGCCGATGGCGGCGCCGGCGGCATCGTAGTCGTCGCCCGAGTACAGGTCGGGCATCTCAGCCGTCTCGCCGCCTACGAGAGCGCAGCCGGCCTGGATGCACCCCTTCGCGACGCCCTCGACGAACGAGGTGGCAACTGACACGTCGAGGTGGCTGCAGCCGTAGTAGTCGAGGAACATGAATGGTTCGGCACCCTGGACGACTAAGTCGTTGACGTTCATGGCGACGAGATCGATGCCAACCGTGTCGTGCTTGTTCATCTTCTGGGCGATGATGAGCTTGGTGCCGACGCCGTCGATGGCGCCGACGATAATGGGCGCGCCGGGATGGCCGGCGGCGGAGAGGTCGACCTCGCCGCCGAAGCCCCCGATCACGGCGTCTGCGCCTGGCCGGCGTGTGGTGGCTACGGCTGCTTTGATGCGCTCGACGAGTTCGTTGCCCGCGTCGATGCTCACGCCGGACTGGGCGTAGGTGAGCTTGCTCGAGGCGTCGGCTTTGCGGAAGGCACGGTGGGCGATGTCCTTGCGGTAGTACATGCCTTCGAAGTTGATTAGCTTGACGCCCTCGTAGGCCTTGTCAACTGCCGCTCGGAGTGAATCCCCGACTGCGTTGGCGGCAATGACTCGGCCGCCCGAGCTCAGCAATGAAACGCCCGAGAGCTTTGTTCCGGCATGGAAGATCGTGACGTCCTGGGGCGAAGCGGCCACCTGCATCGGGATGTTCTTCGGGTAGGACTCGGGGTAGCCGGGGGCGGCAACAACCACGGTGGTGCTGAATTTGGACGAGACCTTGACCGGGATATCTTCAAGGTACGGGACGGGCCCGGCGCATGCATACATGATCTTTGCCAGGTCCGACTCGAGTAAGGGGAGCACTGTTTGGGTCTCCGGATCGCCGAAGCGCACGTTGTACTCCAGCACTTTGGGCGTGCCGTCGGGTGCGATCATCAAACCCGTGAAGAGGCAGCCACGAAAGGGGAACCCGTCCTTGCGCATGCCGTCGATGGTGGGCTGAAGAATCTCACGCTCGATACGCGCAATCAGCTCCGGTGTGGCGAGCTTCGTCGGGGCATAGCATCCCATGCCGCCTGTGTTGAGCCCGGTGTCGCCCTCACCGATTCGCTTGTGGTCCTGAGCCGGTGGCAAGGATTTGATAGTTGTTCCATCGCAGAAGGACAAGATGCTCAGCTCGTCGCCAACCAGGAACTCTTCAATTACAACCTCATCACCAGCAGAGCCAAAAGCTTTGTCCTGCATGATCTCCTTGAGCGCCTGCTGAGCTTCCTCGTGCGTCTGAGGGATTATAACACCCTTTCCTGCTGCCAAGCCGGTGGCCTTGATGACTACATTGTGCTTGACCGTCTTCAAATACTGGCTCGCCTTTTCGTAGTCCGAAAAGTTCTCGTATGCAGCCGTGGGGATGTTGTGCTTTTTCATGAAGTCCTTGGAAAAGGTCTTGCTGCCCTCCATGCGCGCCGCCTCCTTGGATGGACCGAAGACGGGGATACCGGCCTCGCGAAAGTAGCCTTCCACGCCATCGACGAGAGGTGCTTCGGGACCAGGAACAACCAGATTGACCCTATTCCTTCTGGCAAGCTCAACGAGACCGGGGTAGTCGTCGGCGGCCACAGAGGTGTCGTTGGTCACCTTGGGAAGGCCAGCAGTGCCGCCGTTGCCCGGCACGGCGATGATGGACTCCACATGTGGCGACTGCACGAGCTTCCACGCGAGGGCGTGTTCTCGGCCGCCGTTGCCGATGAGCAGGATTCGGAGAGAGGACATTTTCACACCGCGTCACGCGTCACATAGAAGCGGCCTGTCTCTGCCCAGCATGCTGCCCTCCTCGAGCGAGCAAATAAAAGTCAAACCTGGGGAAATTTGCTACCCCTCCCCCGCGTTCAGCGATTAGATAAGCTGGGCCCTGTCACTTATCGGTAAGCGAGCGTCGATTGGCCAATTCACCAATCGCTCTCACTACCATCGTAAGTAGGGAGTTTGACACTCGTCAGACCCTGTCAATGCCCCACATTTGGGGATTGCGAAGGCCTGGCAAGATCTGGCGACGTCTTCAATCGGCCCGTCGAGCACTCCACTGTCAGGGTCTGACGAGTGTCAAACTCCCTACTTACGATGGTAGAGGCTTGTTCAACTTTCCCTCGCCCCTTTTGTTCAATGTCCCTCACAGAAACACATTGCTTCCTTGATCAGGAGCTGGCTCTGCTTGATAACTGGCATATAACGAGCGGCATATGGCACCTAGCCTTGAAGGCTTCGGCCTCGGACCTTCTGTACATTCAACGACAGCTAACGTTCGCACCGTGAGTGGAGAAAGACTCGGACCGCGGCCGTTCATCAAGGCGGCTGACGAGGCTTGGTTAGCCCACTTTCGTACGACCGTCTGATGGCTGGTTGTAGCACAACGTTAATGGGATGGGATGTGTCAGAACGTAGTTGGCGCCATCGTAAGTCCTGAGCGATGAATTGGGTTGCGGCCCAACATCAGGTCGACGGGTGTTCCTACTCCGGACACCCAATTAGCTGGCCGACTAAAGCTTCAGAACAGATGAATATATCAGCAGCTGGGCCTGAGCAAGTCACATTGTGAATTCAGCACAAACATTGAAGAACTGGACGCCAATAGCGAAAACTAGCAGGGTCCGAGGATGAACACGGCGCCATTGCGGTTTGTTGGCTGCACCCAAATGCTGATTGAACGTAGGTGACTTCCGGCTCACCGCATATCATAGGTGAATGATGTCGAAGCCCGCTACGAAGTGCACATCACGGTCTACCGAGGGTGCTTTCCGGTCATTGAGCAGACAACATCCACATGCAAAACAAAACCATACATAAGGTATCCTAATCAAGGTCGCCTTGTTGTGGGGGAAAGTCTGGACCCATTCTCGCCATTCAAGGTTGTGCTGATTGCTGGGGCTTGCGGAGCCAAAGGTGGCCCAAGTGCCCGTCCAAGAGGGCGCAGACCCCACATCCCCTGAAAATGGCCGCAGAGAACTCTTCCGCATCCTCCCTCCACTTACAAACGCAGCTCCTGGACGGCACATGAATCCACGCGAGTAACTCGAAGCCACAGCGCCACTAACTGTCATGCTAGAGAACACACGTCAAAATAAAGCTGAAACACGGTCGAGAAACATGGCTTTGCCGACTACGGCTGTGAAACTTAACACGCCCGAAGCATCGGCATCACCCGCTTCTGTGTTGCCAATAACCATTCCATTGTCAAGGGCACGACGCCCACGCAGTGACTACGGATGAACCGCCGAAAGTCCGGCCAGCTATTGTCATCTGTTGTTCCCTCGCCGCTGATCTTGGCCGGATCAAGGCTAAGCAGGCCAGCGATTGTTGGCAATCAGGCCAGAGCGTTTCCAAAAGCCCGAGACAAAGTCACGCTCTGACGAAAACGAAGCTTGCATACATACAAATGCATACGAGCTAGTCAAGTGTCACACACATAACAGACGACCTGCCGTTAGGAGAACAGCAGCAAGTAATCACATCACATTGAGCTGCGGTGGCATGACCGAGCTGCTGTGCAATTCAGGGGACCCGTGAGAGGGAAGTTAACTGAAGGTTTTTGCGCGCGGCTCTCATTCAATCAAGCGGTGAGCCCGGTGATACCCAATGACGAGACTACTCGGTGAACACGGCTGGAACTTGATGATGGGGCCACTCTGCCCAAGGGACCGGATATCTAAGCTCTGTCTCCAACACCTTGGGCTTACCTCGCCGTGCTCGCCTAGCAAGTGGTCTTCCCATCACCTTCCCCTATTGTTGCTCGATGACGACATGTAAGCTCACAAGTTGGATAGACTTGAGGAGCTTCCGGGATCTTGGACTCGCAACTGGAAGCTGGTTGCAGGTGGTAACCTGCCTTCGCTGACTGGTAATATATCTCATCTGAGCTGATTGGCCTCGCTCTTGTCTTTTCGGTTGATTCGATGATGATGAGGTCCACAACACCAACCCCCAAAATTTGCAGATCGTGCCGATGCCTGCCGCAGTTGCCCCGGACACGAGAAAATCGGGCGCACACATGCGCTTATCACTCTATTTTCCTTCTATCAGGTTCGAAAAGTAGTGTCGACTCGGTCGAGTACCATACCTGCATGCATGTACTGTATAGTACAGATGCATACAAACAATTCATCCACTATCCAAAATACTGAGGTATGTCTAGTGATATCACATCACTTGGCTATGCGGCCGGATCCCGCGGGAACTGTCTGTTCCACACCCCCGACACCGTAGTTCGATCGGCCGGGTAACACATCCGCCCACAGCGGGAACGGTGTTCGGATGGGCTACAGTTATGGTATTGCACAGTACGTTTGTACAGCACATACGTAAAAAAACTTACGCCCAAGTCCCCCTCACTCACCGCAACAAATACTGCACATCTTCTGGTTTGTTGCAGGGAAGGCACGGGCAGTCAACACTTATGCAGTACACGCACGCCATATCTCCAGGTTGCTGTTTTCTCAAACATCTAGAGATGTGCTGTTCCTTCCTGGACTAAACTGGTAGGAGCTTTCAGGTCAGCCCAATGGTGAGGTCTGGCCGGGACCAAAATCGCTCAAAGCAAGCTAAGAAAAGCCACATGTTAAAGGCAGAGACAGGGGGTTGACAAACGTGCCGTCATAGCCTAGCGGCGTCGACATTCGGCAAGGACCCAGATCTCGAAACTGAGTGGGGCTCACCCAGGCTTGGCGGATCCGCGAACCACTCAACGTTGACTTTTCCCTCAACCCCTGCAGTATGCCTCTCCACCGTTCGCCCCTGTGCCGACTTCCCAGTGGATGCTCGAAGACACAGCATCAAATCGATACTGTATTCATGTTTTTTCAAGTTGCTATCTGAAGCGGCCCTCTACTGAGGTGAATGTGGATGTGGCCTTGATGCAGTGCCGCTCACCCGGTCATGGACAGCGGGGAACTAGGGATACAGTAGGTCTGGGGGAATTCAGTTCTGAGCGCGGCCCCGTAGACCGTGCCGCTGTAGGCAGAGGCAGTGTAACGGCCAGCGACCACAGAGAATGCCTGCGATTCCTAACAAATCTGGAGGTTGGAAAAGCAGTCCAATGCTAACGCGCTTTATCCGATAGCACTCCGAGCCCCAAGAATGCTGCTTCGATGGGGAAAAGGTGGCAGCTGTCGAAGAAAGGGGCGCAAAAAGCGTTTCCTGCCAGTCGGGATCTTTTCTGTCAGTAGCCTCCTGCGCACTATCTACCCTGCATGGTCAACAACGGGCCTGGGCTGGGCCAACCAGCGGGCGTGGCTTGTATGCATGTACTCTACATTTACAACGCTGAACCACAGGGAGATCTTTCTGTCCAATCCTCGCGGCCAACTGATCCCGCCCTCCTCTCCTAGCCCGCTACCATGCAGACCCGATGGGATTGTCTCAACCTGCCGTTGGACGGAAAGCAAGATGTCATCGCAACCCCACTGCGCCATTCTCGTTTCCCTCCTTGATCGTCCCATTAGCACCATGACCATAACCGGCTTGAGCCGCTCGTTGTGTATAAACATGCATGCTCCCAGTTGTGGCTGCTCTCCCTTCCCCTTCTCTCATCGCCAGCCATCTCGGTCTAAAGCGTCCAAACCTGGGTTCTCCTCATACTAGGCAACTCGTTCGTTAAGGCTACTGGAAGACACTCGTTCGTGACCAGCCTTGTGCCTGAAGATCCCAGGAACCACCAGTCGGGACTCAACCTTCGCTATCAGCCACAGTCGTTGTCAATATACCGGCCCAGCAGTCACGATGAGAGCCGCTCTTTCACTCGTTGCCCTTGCCGCTTCGGCATTGGGAGCCAACATCCCAAGGGCGGAAGACAAGGCGCTTTACGATAGACACGGGGGCGGCGACAGTCACGTAACCTACACCACCGCGGTCATCGTCACGTATACTACCGTTTGTCCAGTCACGGATACCGTCACCAAGCCCGGCAGCACCTACGTTACTACCTATACCACCACCAGCACCGTCAAGACTGCTGTCCCCACCACCGTCGTGGTGACCCAGACGGAACCTCCCGTGACCAAGACGGAGGGCCAAGTCATCTACACGACCCTGACCGAGCTCTGCCCTGTGACCGAGACCAAGGTTGTCGAAGGCTCGACGGTTGTGGTCACTTGGACCTCAACGTCGACTGCCGTCACCAAGGTTGCCAGCACGGCAACTGTCGTCACCAGTGTTGCCAAGACGGAAACTGTTTACACGACGAACATCAAGACCGAGTATGAGACCACCAATGTCTACGAGACGGTACGTCTAGGTCCCAGTCCCCCTTCCTAAACCAACGGAACTGACATGAAAACAAAATAGGTCACCTGCCCTGTTGTCACATCCACAACCGTTTCCGAAGGCTCTACCATTGAGATCACCAAGACCAACACGTAAGCCCAGTTCCCCCCATCCAACCTACAGCACCCCCAAAATTGATTGACTAACCCTCCTTCCCAGCATCACCCTGACCAACACCGAGGTCCAGACTGTCACCACGGTGATTCCCGTGACCATGACCGAGGAGGTCGACTACACGGTCACGATCCCCGCGACATCGCAGCAGACCATCACGGGCTACTCGACGGTCGTGGTGACGGCCAGCGACATTGAGTACACGTCGGAGCAGCCGCTGCCCCCGACCACCATTGTCATTCCCACGTCCATCACCACCCGCGTGCCGCCGTCCATCATCACCACCACCACGTCGCGGCTGCCCCCCGTCCCGGGCAACGCGACCACCACCGCGCCGGCCCCGCCCGTCGTCACGGGCGCTGCTGCTGCCGTGGGCAAACCAGCAGGCGCTGTCGTGGCGCTTGTGCTAGGCCTTGCGGGCGGTTTGGCGCTCTTCTGATCGGTTGATCAGACCGGTTTTCCCTTAGTTTCATGATTCATCCTCGTTTCCTTGGTAAAAGGGGTACGAAGTTTAATGACCTTAGATTATAAGCGTCATCTTTTTTTGAAGGCTTAGCCTTTATCATGAATTTTCATGGGCCATATAGTCTGGCAATGTTGGTGTGTGGGCACAAAAGGGTTCCTTGGCTGGCGTGACGTAAGGCGCAGGGATGGGTGGAGAGGGGGATAGGCCTAACGCCAGTGGCTTAACTTAATGTTTTATGTATACACATACCATAGGGATCCAATTAGAACAGGAGTTATTTTTCTATGAATTTTTCAGTTCACTCCGCTTGTAAAGTTGATGCAGTGTGCTGGACGTTGGTGAGTCGTATAAGATGTTACCTAGGTACAGTATCCGTACCGTAACGGTCCATTTGGTTCGGCATTCGGGGTTATCAAGGTGTTCACCGGGATAATAAGTGTGTTAGAAGCGTGCAATGACGGTATTTTTTGGTGCTGTGGGCCCCTTTTCCGAAAGCCCGTTTTACCCCTCGCTCCCCGCCGAGGTACATAATCGGCAGTCGAGGCAGGTGGGGTTGCGGTCGTGTCTTGGAGAAGAAGAGAACGGCTCAGGGAAGGTTCAATTGGGATATGAGGCGGGGTAGAGTGAACACTGAAGTGTGAATACCGAGACAGATCTGTCATCTGTTCATTCCCAGGCACTTCACCGTTGAATGATTTGACGTTGAGTACAGTATTCTCTCCTTCCCAACTCCAAACCTTGCTGGCTCAGTTCATCTCCCACTCCGCCTTACCATCAGCAACAACACACCGCCGTGACCAGCATCCCAACCAACCAGCCAAAATGGCCTTCACAACCAAAGCCACCATCGCCTCCTTCGGCGGCAAGCTCTTCAAACTCTCCCACAGCTCCACCGTGACCGGCACTCCCATGGCCGTGAACCTCTTCGTGCCGCCGCAAGCCCTGGCCGCCAACTCAACCTACAAAGCGCCGGTGTTGATCTACCTCTCGGGCCTGACCTGCACACCCGAGAACTGCTCCGAGAAGGGCTTCTTCCAGCACCGGGCGAGCCAGCTGGGTCTAGCAGTCCTCTACCCGGACACCTCCCCTCGCGGGCTCAACCTGCCAGGGGAGACAGATTCATGGGACTTTGGGGCCGGGGCGGGCTTCTACGTCGACGCGACCCAGGCGCCCTGGAACAAGGGGTACAAGATGGAGAGCTACATTGCGCGGGAGCTGCCCGACACGCTTTTTGGGGATGCCGAGTACGGCCGCTACCTGGACCGCGCCCGCGTCGCCATCACGGGCCACAGCATGGGCGGCCACGGCGCTTTGACTCTGTATCTCAAGTACCCGGGCAAGTTTGCCAGTGTGAGCGCGTTTGCGCCTATCGCTAACCCGAGCAACTGTCCTTGGGGTGAGAAGGCATTTACGGGGTACCTGGGTGGTGAGAACCGGGACGAGTGGAAGAAGCATGATGCGACTGAGCTCGTGAGGAGCGGTGATTGGAAGGGGAAGGACCTGAAGATGCTGATTGATGTGGGGACGGGTGACAATTTTTATAAGCAGGGGCAGTTGCTGCCGGAGAATTTTGAGCAGGCCGTTAAGGAGGCCGGGGCCGAGGGGGTGAAAGTGAGGTATCAGCAGGTGAGTAAAATGAATAGAGGGAAAGGGGGGCGAGGAAAAGAGGGAATGCTGACGAGACTTAGGATTATGACCACTCGTACTACTTCATGGCGACATTTAGCGATGAGCACGTCGACCACGCAGCCAAGCACTTGGGTTTGCTGTGAGGAGAAGCTCCAGCGCATCGAGGGATGACAGGCGGAGAGTGAAGATAAATGGGGATAGCCGAGTTGTCTGGGCTTGGAAGGGCAGCAGGACCTGGACATAGGCATGTATGTACTGGACACATGATGAGACACAAATCATGCGGAGGCCAAGCTTCTTAGGATTCGGGGAGTCCCAGGCAGCGCAGGACTGCAACGTGTTACCTGGAATATGAGCACGAAGAAACAAGACAACTCTCCAACAGCCACCAAGCCCCGGTATCTTCCCGCGAGGAAAAGGGAAGTGCGTGCCAAACACAACCGGTCCGCCATTTATGTGAATCGGTTGCTGAAGTGCGGTAGCTGGATTCTCCTACACCTGGATGCTGGTATCAACCTCGTTGAAGCCTAAAAATGTGACCATAGCCTTGCTGTCCATGTCTGCGCTACCACATGTCCCTAATACAGCCACCGGCTACAGTACAGCTTGCCAATATGTTCCTATGATAGTCTCACACCAGCCGTCCAACTTCAATATTGTATTGCATAGTACGTATCATGAATACCAGGAAGGGCAACTTGAAACACAAGGCGGCAGCATTTGGTGTATAGTCGATACTTCGCATTGGGAGGGGGGGTTGGGTGTGGGCACAGCTCTCTGTCTGTGCCACAGTCATGCCCCCTCCTTAGGAGCATGCAGATCAACCGAAGCAACTGAGGTGACCAGAATCTAAGAGTAGTGTCATTATCCCAATAGAAAATAAAGCAGAAGTGAGGTACAACGACAAGCAAGCACTTCGTTGACTTCTATATTTTGGTAGTTCCGATCGGAGAGCTCGGGCGGTGAAAGTAAACAAACCCCTGAACCCCTGAAGACCCCGCGCCCACCGGCCAACTAGCTAGGAAGCCCTGCATGCACCCTCCCAGTACCCAGGCAAAGACACATGATGTTTACAGCTTGTATGATTCCAGTCGATTCGAATAGCTGGCATAGGTCGTATGTACTTGTATTGTACAGTTAAGAAAGTAAGCTGTCACAGATGCTAATGTAAAGGCTACACACAAGGCAACCAGACACATCTCATCACCAGACAGGTGAGCAACAGCCAATGCTCAAGGAGTTTTCAATCCTGAGTATTACACCCTCTATCAAAGCTAGCCGACTCGACGCCATAGGTACGCTGATCCAGCTAGAAGGCAAAAATATACACAAGAAGCATGAAAATCCAAGCACGTATCCTCCCGTTATCCAAAACCCCTGAGCCTGTTCCAATTGACCGGTTGCCTCCCTCCTTTTTCCCGAATGTCCGCCCAGAGAGCCCCCAAACTCCTTTCCAATGATAAGTTAATAGATAAAATCCGATAAATGATAAATGGATAGAAGAATTGAACAAGAAAAGAGGGGGGAGATGGGGAAATAAAAAGGTAAGCGGTGCCCCTAACGACACCATTGATAGCCCGTCTGGGCTAGAATGAGTATGAAATGAACCGCTGTGTGACTCGCCGGTCAATCCTGAGCCTCTAATCCCCCTTGCTTTATCAAATCCCAAGCCGTCCAGTCAGAAGAAGAAAAAGGCATGAGAAAGAGAAATTTAACCGATTTTAATCCGGTTGTAGGCCATGATTTGAGCGCAGGCAGTGTTGTGGCGTTGATCAAGTGCCTGCGAGCGGGCCAGAGCGGATGAGAGGGATAGGTATCAGGTCGATCTCCGGCGTCGGTGATTGAAGATATTCCAAAAAATTGACTCAAGTTAAATGAATAGTAAAAAAAGATAAGAAGTGGAATAGAAATCGATAAATGGAAGAAGATTGAAACCCTGAACCAACGCCATGCTGTCCCAGTTAAAATCAACGTCACTGTTTCGTTTATTCATGCAATGATCGACCGTCGTCAATTAACCGGACTCATAGAAGCCACAGTATTGCGGCCAACCCCACCACGGCCGTCGACAGCCACGTGGAAGGCCTCATTACCCCTGCCAGGGCGGTGGCAGGGACGGCGACAGGGGCAAGCGACTCGTTGACAAAGCCCGGCCCGCAAATTGTGTTGACCTGCTTAGCCGCCGCCTCGTACGTCAACGAGATCAACTGCCTGCGGTCGGCGGTGGAAGCTTGGTAGAGGGCCATGGTCTGCTGCAAGCAAAAGTTGCAGGGCGCCACCGTCGCCCCGGGCAGCGACTTATTGAGCGGCAGGAAGTAGACGTAGGCCATGCTATAGTTGGTCTGGTTCGTGACGGCGTTGGCGTAGCAGTAGGCCGACGTCTCGTCATCCCGAAGACACCCGGCGCCGTAGACGGGGGCGTACGCCGTCATAGCATCGTAGACGTCTATTATGGCGGTAGCGCCGGCGTCATACTCTCGGCCGCAGTTCTCGGGGGCAGTGAAATTCCGGGCCAATGTCTGCATGTAGTCGTTGCAGAAGGTTGCGTTGGCGGCACAAGTCGCGTCCAGGGTTCGCGTTATGCCCAGGAGTGATCTCTTTGCTTCAAAAAATGACTTTGACTTCTGTTCATGGTTAACCACTAGCAGGTGACACAATCACGGTTTGGACTTACCTCGAAGAGCATTGAGAGCGGATAGCACTGCTTGAAGGTCGGATCGGTGAGGAAGGAATTGATAAACACCGGACACGGTGCCGGCCCGCCGTCCGACGCGGGAAGGAAGACGGACGGCATGCTGTCGAGAATGCTGGGCAGCGGGCTTGCAGACACAGTCGTGCTCGTGGTGGACGGTTTTGGCGTCCCGAATACGATGGAGAAGGTGGTGGTCACGGAGGCGCCGCTTGAAGTGGTCGTTGACGTTTCTGATTCTTCTGAGGACTCGGAGGACTCAGATGGGGCACGCTCCTGCAACCTCCTCCGCTCAATATCTTGCTCCGATAGCATGACCCAACCTCGGCCATCCCGATAAGGTAACCTGTGGTCAGTGACAAGGGTTTCGGCGGGCATGGCGGCGTCCAAGGTAGCAGCCAGCGTGTGAGAAACTAGGCAGAAGAAGATGGCAAAGATCGCGGCCCATGATGTCCACAGCCGCCCCGATGACGGTGATGGACAGCGGGCTGACTGTGAGGGGAGCCCGAGGGCGTGTTGGCTCGAGGGTAGCGCTGCCGCGGAAGCCATCATGTCGCAGCTGCAGGCAATGGGCGATGGGGTCGGTGCAGCATAACTCTGTCCGACTTTCCGGTTCTAACGAGCGACTGGATTCAGATAAGCCCAAGGCGGCGAGACAGATCGACGGCCAACTCGACGCCCTCTTGCCTTCGTACTAGCTGGACTCGTTATAGATGGTCGACAGAGAGCTGACGTCGTTGACAGGCAGATGTTGTAACCGAATCTTCCCAAGTGCACACTAGAGGTAACCCGTATTATAGGATCCTCTCTCTATGCACAATTGCACTGCGAATATATGCAACACGCAGCCAACCACATCAGTTGGGGACCCTCTTGCAGTCGGTACAGTTCCGGTTCTAGTATGGGTTGGCCAATATGGGGGTTCCGGGTAAATATAGGTAACTACCGCGTGGGACGAGGCGGACACCAATGGGACGAGGCACGAGTGCGGTGCAAATCTAGATGCTAATGCCGCTGGCCAAGTTGGGAAGGAGACAACTCTTATGGCTGGGTAGCTGACGCGGGCGCCTCGGAATGGTGTGCTGTTGTAAGTGTTGTGGTATGCTTGTCCTCGTCGATGTCTCGATCTTTGCTACCGGTGTTAGTCGAAGCCGAAGAGTGCGCAAACAAAAACGTGGAAAATTGCAATGACCTTGCACGGCGGAGCCCCCGGGAATGATAAAATAGGGAAACGACACGCGGCGCAGCGGTCGAGAACATTTCTTCCATGACAGGGATGCTAGCCACGGCGTTCATGGTACCTGGCAGCTTTAGCGTTCGCGGCTGTTGGATAACATCTGGGCCAATTGAACAGCAATGTGTGGACTGCAGTGACAGGGGAGCGGGGGGGAAGAGAGAAACACGGATTGCGATTGCGTGAGATGCACCGAAGGGCGTGCGCCAAAGGTGCATGGGGCTGAGCCGATGGAGGCAAGTGCTATCGAGCGGCCCTTTCCCGTTTTGTTGCACAAAAACGCCCCCATCATCTTGGCGAACAACGGAGAGGGCACAGATAGATCCTTCGTTTGCGTCAAATTCAGCAGAGGGAGAAGCGAATTGCCATATCATGTCAATGATTGGGTAGTCAATTGGGATATTAGCTCTCCGTATCCTTCGGCCGTAGTTAACTAGGAGAGAACCTCTGGACATGAATTTTGAGCCAAGATGGGCAGGAAAGTTGTGTTGTGTTGTTCACCAAAGGCAGGCCCGAGGGCAGGGTAAGGCTCGTCGTATCCTTGCCGACGCCGCTACTAGCGCCGCCAACAGAGATGGGATGACGTTATACGGAAACCTGTTGGGTCTACAGATATCAGTTGTCTTGCATGAAATAAACGGACAATACGGGTTGATATCAATTCAAGATTGGTTTACTCAACGGATGGCGGGCCGAACTCTGTGTTATTGCCAGCCCCGGCGGGCAATGCAGGTACAGATTGAAGCCAATATTGTAGCTAAAGGCAACCAACTGTTGGATATCGGTTCAATCCAGAAATGTGAAGGAATCTTGGATAAAAGTCGCGTACCAGATGGACATGCTCAACGAATAGTGCACTGTACATACAGTACAGTACGTTTACGTGTGTCCCTGCCAACAAATGCCAATGAGAGGAAATCATTTTTCGAGTTCGAAAACCCATCATATCAACAAGCCTCACGAAATCACAATGCGGTTGGCCCCGTTAAGTATAAAGAGTCCCCACTTGGAATGACGGGACGCTCTGGAAGCTGCCGGATCGGCGACGGGAAGCTGTTGGTTAGCGAAGCCGAAGCGAACACTCGGGTGGGGCTATCAAGATGAGATCCAGCCATTGGATGCTACCGTCTAATTTACACCACACTATTGGCACCCACTGAGGAAGGTTTTGTGCAGGGCAAGACGATCATTGGCAAGGCTAGTTAATAAAATTTACTAGACCATCATGCGCTTTCTGACTCGTCTAGACCTCCCTTTTATGCACCTACAATCCACGTCTATTGACGCTGTTTGGGACCCGAGAAAATGGCTCCCGGTTTTCTAATCACCAACCCGGAGCTTCCATATTGCATCCACGTCTTGGCACCGCCGATGATTCTTTCTCGCCGGCCACTGTGCTACGCGCCATGTTTGGGCTGGGTCCCTTCCATTGCGACGCCAGGCGAGAGAAGATGCAGTCTCCCGGATTTTCTGGCCGAGGGGCCAATGAACTGCAAGACGAACCAACAGCCCAAGAGGCACAACAGCGTCGCCTGAGTTAAACTGCATTCACTGCATTCTTCTCCCGTGCCGTCATCGTGACACACGGCGACATTCCAGCTCAGTGCACAAGGGCTCTTCGACTGCTGAGGTCACTCCTGGGCTGGTCAACCTGATTGCCGGCCAGCCATTTCATTCCTCTGCCCAACGTCCAGCCATCCGAGGCCTTCGTGATGATTCCGGAATTGTGGTACGAAGTTCGCATGGGGTCATGAGCCAATTGGGCGGCATCAACCATTAATTCAGCACAAAATCGGCCAAATCAGAAAGCAAACGCGCCATAGAGACACCCGATTGGGCCTTCTGTGGCATCTGACTTTATTGACAATTTCATCTTCTACTTTGCCGACGCAGCTGTCTCCAGCCCTGCTGGCCGCCCTGAATGTCGGGTGCAATCAGCCTCAATCTAACATCAGGTCCAGTGCTCGAACATGAAGTCTGAAGACGACCTGTGTAGGTACCGCGCCAGCTCGGCATAACTACTATACACACGTAGTATTGCTGTCTGGGAATGCTAGCGTGCGTGTACTGCCAAACACGGAATACGGATACAATTGATGCTCACTACGGAGAAGTCAGCCCAGATGGACAATCTATCTAACTTTAAAGGGTCGTCATCTATGGGATGCTGGAACGACATTGGCCAGCTAAGGGGTAGAAGCCTGGGGTCCTCAAGTATCGTCAAGGACCCCGTGAAAGGGACGCAGAGACAGCCTGAGTGCACCGCAGTCTTTCGCTTCTCCCCTAAAGCAGTTAATGCTAACAAAATTCAGAGTTTCAAGGGTTGAATGTATGTACTGTACGTGACGTACATTATATTCCCCTTACCTGAAACTCGGAGAAAGCTAGCTATCCACCCAGGATCACCGTCGTCAAGTCCCACGTCGTCCGCCGTGATCCAGAATACCTATGATCCAGCTAGGCGCACACATGACAGTACCCATCTGCTGGCGACGGCGTCGATGGCTGGGCGATCCTATCAAGCGCGGCTACCTCGATGTTTTCGAGCGGCTGCTGTATAGGGTTATTGTCTCTAAAGGAGGGACTAGAAGCCTGGAGCAGGCCTGGGTCGATTGAGCCTGGTGCTATCATGTTTGACCCATCGCCGGCACAATGTTTTTCGGTGGTTTGGGTTGGGGTTCCATTTTCCCAACTCAGCCAGAGTCAACGCATACCAGCCTTACCAGCTAGCCAGTTCTCTTAGCTGTGCTGTCTAAGGGATCAGCTGCGCCTCGAACTAAAAGAGGGTCTACCGTGACTGACTAGCAACCTTGTGCCCGCTGTTGGCCAATGGGAGAAGAGCTACTTGGTGTCTCCTCACAACATTATCACGAGAAGGGTTCTCTAGGAGCAGGTTGAATGTTTGGGTCATGGTCTTGTTAAGATGGGAGCATTCAAGTTGCTGAGCACAGTGGTGCTACTAAGTAGTAGTACCAGTAGTAAGTACTACATGCGTGTAATCAAGCCCACAGCCATTAGTCCTAAGAGAATGAACACTTACGCTGATCAGAAAACCGTCTTCCATGGACTGAAAACCTTCATCATTACTGTCTTTAGCATACCCTCAGGCTTGCAAGATTCGGCCCGGTTTCTTCACCTCTTGCAGACCTGGGAGATGCAACTAGGTCCGATCTCCCCTTTCTTCGCCCACTCTTTAGGCTTGTGACTTCTGACGAACGTCTTGAGCAGTGAACTTCTGGTTGGCGTTTGAGAAGTCGTGTTCAGACTGGAGTCCGGCGCGTGTCCTTGGAGTGGTCCTCCCGGCAAGCAGTTCCAGTGTGCTGTTCTGCAACACCTTAAACTTGGAGGCTGCTGTCAACCAACTAGGGAGGGGGTAGGACGATGAGTCGTCTCGGACACTTTGACTTTCAGAATCCCCAACGACTCCTTTCACCCTACCGGTACCGTTCTCTGGTTCTGCTGCCTTCCCCCCTTTTCCCCACTTTCTTCTAAAAAAATCTATCTATCCTTTTGCCCGTTTACCACATTACATACTAGTACTAGTACCGCTCAACTTGTCTAGCACAGGTATTTCAAGCTCGGCAGCACGCTTCCCCGTGCTGCCCGGGCACCAGCTCTGAGTTTCACTTGTTCTCTTGTTTATTGTCTGTATCATGCCCTGGCTCAGCTGGGATTGCCTTTGCTGGTGCATCCGGACCCTCGGCTGAGTTTCGGGTCGAAGGGGGCTCAAAGAAGTCACGAGAGTTGAGGGTGCTCATTGATTTACCATCCGTTATTTGCTATGTCCTTTACTGACGGGGCGGCCTAGGTGCATTGTTAAGCTCCCGGAGGGCTTCTCAATCACCGGGAACGTTTGTCCAGGGAACGTTGTCACCTGGACACCAGGACTTATTGACAACGCTCTCAGGAAGCCATTTCGGCATAATCCACGAAGCCGTGCTGCAAAGGAGTATTATCTATGTGGTTAATACTGATGGTCTGAAGTTCCTGGTGAAACTGTCTCGGACACAGACAAATTGAAGGCAATGGTTCGGCACGAGGTTCATGATGTACAAACCAGAAGAGAGAGACCCAACTCTGGGCCAAAACGACCACACTACCAGTACCGGGAGCCTCGCCGGGATGAAGAAACAGGGGGGGTACATATCAGGCTGCAGGCGACCCAGGGTTGCCGTTCACTACTCCAAGGAGGCAGTCAGGAGAGACAGCGCCATCAGCAGCGTATCACCAGCCGTTCGGTATTCGACTTCGCCGTCGTCACGGCCCGTGCCTGCCGTGTCCGTAGAACCGTTTTCCACGCGAAGAACCAGCTTTTCAGTCACCTACGCGCCTGCGGTCATGCCAGACCTTTCATACACGACAAACAAGGGTTTGATGGACCACGCTAGCGAAACTCAATGAGTGGGGGAAGGTTCGGTTCGACCCGGGGCTTTTGATGGGACCGATGGCCAGCGTGATACGGCCCGGATGACGGAAGACAGGGAAGCTCCGGTCTTGGCCAGCTCTAAGAACGCAGCCGGCCTGCAATTGTGCAACGTTGTCAATTACAATTATCTACGCCCAAGGGGTATTGAAGTGAGGTCCCGGGTCCCCACTCGGTAGCCAAGGGGGATTGTATTGAGGGTGTTTGGAACAGTTTCGTCAGAACACACTCTCTGAGGAAGCAGTGGTGGTTTTCCATTGTAAGTGCAACGCAGGTTGGGACACAGACAGTTCTACGGAGGTATAGCAAATACTTGAACCTTCAAATTTCAACTGCAGGTCGAAGTTGCAAATGTCGCGGGAAGGGAAGATGGCTTCCAGAGACGTAGATGAAGATGATATTCCTATAAGGTTAATGGTTTGAACTTCGAAGATCCTTCAAGTCTTGCGACGTGGAGGCTCTTATATAACGTACCCGCGGGTCATGTGTTTGCCTGGGGACATTCGTACCTACCTATATAGCATCAACTGGCACGAAGATCCCGTGACATGTTCAAGGACATCGTTATTGTGCTTAAACGTTATGTGCAGATTTGGCTGTTGTGTAAGTAGGGAAATTTGATGTCCAGGGTGATTTTTTCACCCAGGACTGCCTCATTCTGGCCTTTCGATTAGGAGCAGGATCGTCGGGGCCAGGCACACACAGTACCGTTGAGCTGGTAACGACTGGGCTGACGGAGCGATGGAGGTGCTGATTGCATCAGTTCACGGCTTTGAACTACTGCTACTCCCCTCGGATTCCCCTCAGCGCTGCCAGCAATAAGTCAAGCCAAGCCAATCCGGACCTTCAGGGCAGTTTGACTTGGTCTGCAACGTCCCCTCCCTTCCCACCGCTGCTTTCCTAACCCCGGCGTTTCCCCGGCGCCGCCCCTCTTTCTCACGACCCACCTAGGTACCGTTGTACACGGAGAGCGACCCGGGAACCACCGCAAGAACCGAACTGCACGGCCACAAGCCCCGCAGAAAATTTCAACTGTCCAATCGGGCCTTGATGCCAGTTGCCAAGCCTTGGCGGTGGCTGCATTTGTGGCGTAACTGGGCCGTGGTTTGCTTCCAACGCTACTCCGTACAATGGGTTCTTGCCCTGTGCTTTGAAAAGCGTGGGTGAAGAATGGTATTCATTGTAGCGTTTTTGGAGGTTGGAGGAGGGTTGAAGGAGGGAAAAGAGCCAAGCCCCCAATGCCCCAATAAATACCACAGTACAGGATTTGCCAAGGGTTCCTCCTTCCCACTCAACAGCTTGCCCAAACTCCGGCTTGAGCCAGATCTGCATCAATTGGCAAGTGGGGGCGCTTGAAGCTGCCTTGGAGGTGGGTAAACCCAATAAGCTTATTGGCTCGCCCGCCTGTCTCCAACTTACGACCAATCGTTGGATAATAAGCTCGCCTCTCATTAAGGGACCTCTTTGGAGACCTGTGAAGGGTTAGACTGTACATACATTCTAATAAGAACCTCTCGCTCGTTGGGGGTACCTTACCGTTGGAAGTACATTACCGTTGAAAGTATCCGATGGCTTAGCCCTGCAGGCGCTTTACACTCATCAGCAACACAACGGGTTCTCTTAAAGCTGCCACACATGGCTTCTCATCACAAGGTGCAGCTTTACCTGGCCCTTCGTCCCAGGTGCCTTCAAAGAGTCTCCAGACTCTATATACAGAAACATGGCTGATCCAGGAAACGGTACGGCACCCACCAATAACAGCAACACCAATGAAGCGCAGCATCAGAGAATCCGCGTGGTCGTGAAGCGACGGGGCCGTTTCTTGCTGCTCAACTTCCAGAACGACGCCATGCAGAGCGGAGACCAGGTCATGAGAACCATTCGGCACGAGTGTAGCTATGCCCTGGTCCCCGGTCGAGCAAGCTGGCTCCCTGCTTCACTGTTCCGAAGGCATGTTGTATATATTGGGACTATCTCGATTGTAAGTAACTCTGTTGGCCCAGTGCCCCAATGGGGCGAGAGGGAGAAAGACCGAATGGTAAAAGCGTCAACGTGAACATGCTAACTGATACCACTCAGCTCTCGCCGCCAGACGACCGCGAATCTGGGAATGGACTTCGCGAAGTCGCCATTTCCCAACTGGAATATTCGGCAGCCCTCACGCTGGCATTCTCCCGTCCGGACATTCTCCGAGATGCCGGGCCGTTCGCGCAGCGATATCCTGATACAATCGAGGTAGATCCTCCAAACCCTGAGCAATCGTTGATGAAAGCGGTTGTGGTCGTCCTGAGGATAAACAAGTCGATTGTGTTCTTCCTGGTTGGGCTGGCCTTGCTGGCCGCAACCGCAGTGAGCCTCGGGGTTGGCATCACACTGTCAAGCCTAGAGATTGGGCTTACGTGCTTCACTGTAGTGAGCGCCGCTCTGTCGTTGATCATTGCTGTGTTGCACTGGGCAACCAAGTGAAGACATGTCTCTTCTTGGTCATGCATATCTGGAAGAAGGGATGTTGCTTCGCCCGTTGATAACGCAACTTGATATTGATATATCGAGTAGGGGAAACTTGGAGACAGGGTCCATATAGACGATGCAACTCATTCGTCAAGTTTTGCAGATGCTCATGAAAGCAACAGTGTCTCTGTGTTATACCTGTTCAGTTGATCATGTACGCACCTGCCATCATCGTGTCGACACCACACCCTCCGATCTATAACTCCACCGTTCTGCCATGTTCTCGCTTGCACCGAGATCAAGCCCAGCCACTTTACCTTCCCTTATTGCCTCCCTGAAAGTGCTGCTCAAGCCAGGTAGGTGTAGAAACCGCCCTCCCTCTCAAGGTAGTCCTTTTCAATCAGCCTGGAAAACCCATTGTTAGCATCATGTCTCGGGCACCGGTAAGAACAAGAAAAAAAGAAACGAAACGAAAAAGAAAGAAGAAAAGGGGGAAAAGAAAAACCGAGGAAGTAGATATAAAACCACTAGGGACTCACTTCTCAATATTTGCCTTGATATCCCCCGCGTCCACAGCGCCGCGGCTCTTGGTCTGGTTGATGACCTCGGCGACGAGCTGCGCATGCGTCATCTTCTTCCTGCTCTTCATGATGCGCACAATCGCCGCTTGCGTTTCGAACTGCCGGTCGGCCGCCACGCGCGCGTGCGTCTCGCGGTTCTCCTCCTTGGTCTCCTTGAGCTGGATCTGGTTGATCTTGACGCGGAACTTGGGGTCCGTGAACGCCTTGTTGACGGTGAATGTATCCGTCGGCGCCACATCGCGGCCCTTGGGGTGCTTGGTCAGCACGCGGGCCTTGCCGCACGCCAGCGACTGCAGCGTACGGTCGAGCTCGCCGCCTTGGAGACCCGTCGATTTCGAGATTTGCTCGTACGAGAGGGCGCCGCTGGGACTTTTGCTGTTGCCCTCGTCGTCTTCGACCTCGTTGAAGAGCATCAAAACCGCTGCTTGGAGCGCGCTGACGAGAAGTTCCTTGGGCCCGCGGTTGAACTGGGCTTTTACCACGCAATGCGCCAAGCTGGGCTTCCACGTGAGCCGCCGACCCGTGTGCTTGTTCTTGTAGTACTTTTCAAACATATTGGTTTGCTCAAGAACCTCGATGGGCAGCCGCACGTTGACGTCGGGGAAGGTTGGCCATGCTGCCGCTGAGAGAACGTTGACGCTGAGATCGACACCCCCGTTGCTCCGTCCGGTACCTGCGAGCCATTCCTTGTACGAGGTCATTTCCTCCTTGGCAAGCTCTTGATCCTTGAACATCTGCTCGAGGTTGTGCGTAAAACTCGAGCCGCACTCGCTTTTGAGCTTGGCAAGCATGCTTCTCTCAGCATCTTGGCTTGCGCTGCGCCCAAGTAGCAGTCTCCGGGCCAGATCCTTCTTGTAGAATGCTTCAAAGACGTCCTTGCCTTCGATGAACCTGAACAGCTCCAAGCCATAGTCCAATTGCCGGTCCAATTCAGCGTCTTCGTCGCCTGTACTCGCCAAGCCGCTCATCTCAGCGTCAGCCCTATCCTTGCTGTCTGATAGCAGCGACTTTGGAAGCGTCTTGAGACCGCCCCGCAGAAGCATGTCAATGTACTTTGCAATCATCTCGCCAACCTTGGACGTGCCAGTGTTCCACGTCGACGAGCTCTTTTTGTCGTTGATGAAGTGGCTGAATGACTCCCTGAGACCGTAGACAAAGACTTCGTCCTTAGAGAATGCGTCCCGTATCATGACGTCCAAGGCCCGCCGCAGCTCCAGCAGGCGGATCACCATATCATCCCCCCTCGCCGTATCGCTGACGATAGCGGTGCCCGTGTCGCGTATGTACCGCTCCCAGGGTCCCTTGAGGCGTTTTTGCAACCCCGACAGTTTCAGCAGCTCGTAAAGCGCCTTGACAGACTCGACATCTGCCGCCTCTAACAACCTTGCCACGCTGCCACTGTCGAGCAGCTTCTCTGAGTACTGTTCGATGAGCACACGATGTGCGTCGGCCAGCAGCTGCCTCTTGGTGGTGCTCTCGAAGTTGAACCCATCACACCGGTCGCTCTCCCTCTGCAGAAGCGTCCCAACCGCGACGATATAGTCCTTCAAGTTTGAGCCGGCGCTCATCTCGGCCGCAAACGTCTCGAAATACGCATGCGACTTGGCCAGGAACATCGGTTCAAACGCCGCGCCGTACACCCCGCACAGCCTCAACATGGTAATCGCCTCTTTCAACAACGCTTCGTCCTTCCTCTCATCCCCGCGGCGCACATAATCCACCATACCACAAACCCCCTCCATAACCCTCACCCCCTGCGGCGAGGCGCTCGCATCCCTCCTCGACCCAAACATGGCCTTCCGAAATAGGTCAATCCCCATCTCCTCAATCCCATGCCTCCCCCCTCTCTGAATGAGCAGCAAATGCGCCCTGTCCAGATAGCTGTACAACCCCCGGACGACAGTGACGACCTCGTTCCACCGTCTCCAGCAGTTCACGACGCCGCGCAGCAAGGAATCCCGGGTGGCATCGTCCCACGCCCCGCCACCACCACTTCCATCACCAGAAGAAGATGAAGATGCGTACTGACGCCACAGCCCGCCAAGCATGTCCTCAGACGCGAGCCACGCGTCCCAGCGCTTGCGGAGGTGGTCGGTCAGGTCGGCGGCCTCGCCGCGCCGGCAAATGTCCTCGACGCCCCGGTACAGACGCTCTAACGGCTGGGGCGGGTTCCGCCGGGCAAAGATGGCTGTGAGCGCCGCGTCTAGGTCGGCGCGCACTCGGGCGTAGTAGCTCTCTATCGCGCTGCTGCTGCTGCTGCCGGTGGTCGTGATTATGGTTGTGGCAGGGCCAGAGCGGAGGTTCTTGACGACCAGCTTGCGGGGTCCCGCGTGCGGTTGGAGGGCCGGGCGGGCGGCGAAGGGGGACGGGTTTTTGCCATTGCGGGAGATGTGGAGGTTGTTCGGGGGTTGCTTTGGCCCCGGGGAGGTTAATGAGGGTGTTGGTTTTGTTGTTGATCCGCCCGTCAGGTCTATCACCTCGGGACGTTTCCCTTGGGCCTTGGCGGACATTGTGGAATTGGTGGTGACAGACGAGTCCGGTCGTGGACGCTTCGCGGCGGTACCGGATTGGGCGGTGTTCTGGTCCTGGGTAAGGTCCGGGTTCGAGTCGACGCGCGGTCTACGCCGCGGAACTGATGACGAGGGAGAGGAGGCGGACGAAAAGGGTGGTGTTGCTGTGCTTGAGTTGGTGGGGCCGGCGGCGTCTAGCACCTGCGGGAATGGCGGAGGCATGGGACGACGGCGCGGGGATTGAAATAGCTTGTAAAGTTCCCCTGGCTTTTTATTGCAATTCGAGTCCAAGTTGGGCGCGCTGCATCACCTAAGGTAAATTTGGCAGTCCGCTAAAGTTAGTTTCGATTTTCGCGCTTGTCCGTCTGCGATGGGTCAGCCGCCGGCCTGGATGCGGGAGAGGCATAAGGCTTCAAGTCGTTGGAAGCGTCGGGTGTGGTTAGGTGATGACGGAGTTAGGCGGAGTGGAGGTATGTACGGAGGTAGCCTTCACCGTGCTAATTGCTAACATTGGTTACACTTTCCTCCGAGATGTAACGTCGGTGTAACGTTGGTGAAATGCATCAACAGGAAAATTTCAAGCGGCACTTGGGGCCCCGCAGTTGGTGCGTCACGGCAACCTAGATCCAAGATCCACGCTGCTCCATTGGAAAGATTCTTGATGCCTTCCATGCCTTGCGCATATGCAGCCGGGAGGAATTGGACCTTCATAAACCTGACACAGTGACACGGGGGCGGAATTTGCCTTATAATCTTGCCTCGGCTCCACCGTCCCGGCTGATGAACATACTGCACCATCTATCCACTCTCGAATATCGTTCTTTGTCTTGAATCAAGAACATCATTTTCTCTGACCCGATGTTTCTGAAACCCGGGCTGCATCTTCTCTTGTAATCTACAATTTCTCCTTGTTTCTTCCCCACGGTAATCGGAAGCAAGATGGCACCCCCTACGGCGCCATTGAACCTCGATGTCGAGGCTATTTCGGGCATTTGTGGGTACGCAGATCGGCACCCCAGTCCTGAGTGAACATCACTCACCAAGAGACCCATCAAGTCGCTGACGGAAATTGTAAACCAGGTCAATATCAATTGCATGCTGGGTGGTCGTCTTCTCGCCACAAATCGTCGAGAACTTCCGCCGCAGCAGCGCCGAGGGTTTGTCGATCCAGTTTATCGCCGTGTGGCTTCTAGGCGATGTCTTCAACATCCTGGGCGCTGTACTGCAGGGCGTGCTGCCCACCATGATCATCCTGGCCATCTACTACACCATCGCCGACCTAGTTCTGCTAGCCCAGTGTTTCTACTACCGCGGCTTCACTCTGCGCGATGATGTGACTCCGCCCCCACCGCCGCCGCCATCGTCATCGCAGCCGTTGAACCCCCGATCGAAGCGCAACGGCAACGGGAAGAAGTTGAGCGAGCCTAACGAGCGCACTGGCCTGCTCGGCCCTGCTTCTGTAACACAACAAGAGCGCTCGCCGTACTCGCACCACGGCATCGACGACCACGAGCGGCGAGGATCCTGGTCGCATCTGTCGCCCGCTGTTCCGCTGGTGGACGAAGAGATCGAGCTTTCTTCCCCCCGCCGTCCGCCCCCGACGCGGCTACAGGCGCTGGCCTTCAACAGTCTGGCCATCCTGATGGTGTGCGCGGCCGGCGTCGCAGGATGGTGGCTCAGCCGGTGCTACGGCCGGGATGGTGGGGACGGGGCGCCTGACGAGGAAGAAAATGACCCCCTGAGCATGAACCTGCTGGGTCAGATCTTTGGCTGGCTCTGTGCCGTGCTCTATCTCGGGTCACGGCTGCCCCAGTTGCTCCTCAACTGGCGGCGCAAATCGACCGAAGGCGTCTCGGTTCTGTTTTTCCTCTTTGCCTGCCTCGGCAACCTGACATATGTGCTCTCTATCCTTGCTTATGACCCCAAATGTACGGGGGATGATGGATGCCAGCCCGGGGAGGCTGCCAAGATCTTTTGGCAGTACATACTGGTCAATCTTTCATGGCTAGCTGGCAGCGCTGGCACGCTCCTGCTGGATATGGGCATTTTCATCCAGTTCTTTCTCTACAGCAAAAGCGACGAGTATGAGAGCAGTGACGAAGAAAGTACTTGTACCGAGGGAGAGGAGAGCGTTGAGGAGGATGCATGGGATGACAGGCCGCTGTTGCAGAGGAACAATACTGAGTTTTAGAAGGTATGGCGACATGGGGTTGGATAGGAAAATGGCGTTGAGAAGCACACGGTATACTTTGTATGATTTTGGCATATTTACTACGGCAAAACATGGACTGGTCATTTCGGCGTCCCGGGGGGAAGAAACCAAAAAGGGAAATAGGCATACAAAGGAAATACGGCGATATAGTCCTGGGTTGGGGGGTAGTCAGGAGATATATTCTACCTATAAACAGAGATCAGATAACTTTTGTCTATCACTCTACCACTCACCATCAGAGCCACCCCAACCTCTTCCAAACATAGCTACCGCCGCCAAGCAAAGCAGTTGCGCCAGTGAAAGCAATCAGCCCGCCATATCCACTCCCATACCCGCCAAAAGCCTGCCCATGCCAAGGCTGCGCCTTCACCATGGCCTCGCTGAGCGGACCGGAAACCACATTCCCAATGCCGCGGCCCATAGCCAGGAAGGCAAAAACCATGCTCGGGTCGGCCGTCTTACCATGTTCATTCCCGTTCCCCTCCGCCGCAGCGTCATCGGCACCCCTCTTCGTAATATCGGTCATAACCCCCGGCCAGGCGGAGCTGTACGACCCGGCAAACAAACCGTAGACGACGCAAAAGAGGTACAGCACGGGCAGGTTAACCGAGAAGCCCCAAATCAAAAAGGTGCCGACGGTAGCGCCGACGGTGGACACCCAGAGACAGGTCGTCACCTCGAGGCGGTCAATCAGCGAGCCCATGGCGACGCAGCCAAAGGTGTTGGCCACGTTGATGAGCAGCATGGTGACGACTGAGGGGAAGGAGCTCGCGCCGAGCACGGCGCTCGCGTACGAGGGCAGGTAGATGCCCGGGAGGAAGTAGCCGACCGACTCGACGATGTTGAAGGCCTGGTACAGCATGAAGCGGCGGTCGGCGAGGAACCACAGGGTCAGCGGCTTGGCGTGCGAGGCCTGGGCGACGGGCAGCCGCGGGCGGACGAAGTAGGACAGCGGCGCCGTCAGGGCAAAGACGGCGCACGCGAAGATGCGAAGCGTCGTCGCGTGGCCCTGCGACGAGAGTAAATACTCTAGCAGCAGAGGCAGGATCACGCCTGCCAGGCCCGTGGCCGACCACATGATGCCGTAGGCAAGCCCGCGCTTGGCGACGAACCATTCTTCGAGGTAGATGATGCAGGACGAGTAGGCGATGGAGCCGCCGATGGCGTAGAAGATGCCTTGGGTCACGATCAGTTGCGTCACGGTGGTGCAGAAAGACGACAGCGCCAGAGCGAGACACATGATCAGAAGCCCCGCGATGGTGCTCCAACGGCCTTGCTTGGGATAGCGCCGGTGGAGGTACATGACAACTGGCGTGTCGAGGTACATGATGCCCTGGGGACTGTCAGTCAGGTGTTTCCTTCCATTGAAGTTGGGCGGTCAGGGGGTGTTTTGCTTACCAGGGCGCATGTCCCGACGACGGGGATGTTGCTCTCTCCCATGAACGGCGCGTGGGTGCTGTAGTAACTCTGGAAGACACCGAACGAATAGCCAAAACCTGGGGCGGGTTCAAGATTAGAACACGCTGCTGCTGTCTTCGTTGATTGTTTCGTCACGCACCCCAGACCAGTGCCTCGATCATGAAGCACGCAGCCAGAAACAGCCAGGCATCCTTGCCGCCATCGACGGGAGGTAGGCTGGGCATCTCATGGCCCATCCCGGCGGTGCCGTCCTCGGCGCGGCCCTCTGAGCTCGTCGCCCGCGGCGAGTTGCTGAAACTCTGAAGCTCAATGGCCGATGTGGCATCCGTGTCGGAACCCATCGTGCCTGCCGGAGAAGCCAAGCGGTAAGTTTGTTGGAGGAAGAGATAATGAGTGAACACTGATTCCCTCACTCACATCACAACTGGATCTTTTAAGTATTTTTCTCATCCACAGACCGCAAACTTCCAAGTCCTAAATCCGCAGTCCCCACATCGCGCCCTTCCTTCGATGGTAGCGACGCCTGACACGGTCCGAATTGGCCAATGAAGGGGTCCGGCGTGTGCATCCTCTTGGGAACTGGGAGATCTTGCATGCAAGGCAACATCTCCGCAACTCGGAATCACGGTCGACGAATCAAGAACCAAGCGATATCAGATACCGAGTGACGGGGTGCTCGTACCGCCACCCGCCTTGTCGGCGAACCCAGAAAGGAAAGGGCGGCATGTCTGGCAGGATCGGCTCATGCCCCGCCCGTTTGGAAACCAAACCGATCCGGTTCTTTGGGGAAATGGGGAACTGCAGGGGTTCACCAAACCTCAACGTGAACGAGCCGAGCGGAAGGAAGCCCTATGCGGGGAGCCGAGGTCCACTCGTCCAATACCCGAAATATGTGGGGCCTCTCAGGTTGATAAGTGAGATCTGGGGACAAGAACACTTGAGATTGACTCCCAACATACAAAACATATAGGGGAATACTATGATGACTTGAGCATTTATACCCCTGAATTTACTCAAGATATCATTGTTGCCCTCTCCCCTTCACAATGACGTCTCCTTCGGTCCTCAGTCTCGAATACCGCGGCCGCGTGGCCATCATCACCATTGACAACGACAGGAAGCTCAATGCTCTCAACCACGACCAGTATTACGACCTCGCGCAAAAGATGCGCGAGGTGGCTGCGCGCGATGACATCTACATAACGCTTCTTATCGGCAAAGGCCGCTACTTTTCCGCGTAAGCGGCTCTACAACCCCCAGGACATCCCCCGTATATACTTACGCATACAACAGCGGTGCCGACGTAACGCTCTTTGACGACGCCACCTCTTCCTCCTCCCCTTCTACCCTCCCGGACCCACAGCAGCAACCGCATCGCTTCTGGCTACAAACCTTCGTAGCCTACAACCTCAATATCGCCCAAGCCTTCTACACGCACCCCAAGATCCTGGTCGTGGGCCTCAACGGACCCGTGATCGGCCTGTCAGCGGCACTAGTGGGCTTCGCCGACTTCGTCTACGCGGTGCCCTCCGCCTTTCTGCTCACGCCCTTCAGCTCGCTGGGCCTAGTCGCCGAGGGCGGCGCCTCGCGGGGTCTTGTGCAGCGCCTCGGCCTGGCCAAGGCCAACGAGGCGCTCATCATGAGCAAGCGGCTCACGGCCGACGAGTTGCTGGCCTGCGGCTTCGTCAACAAGATCTTTGACGAGTGCGGGAAGGGGGAGTACGAGAAATTCAGGGGGTTGGTGCTGAGCGAGATAGACGAGCGGCTCGGGGAGCACCTCGTCGGGGATAGCCTGTTGGGTATCAAGGCGTTGATTCGGCGTCCAGAGCGTGATATTATGGACAAGCAGAACGTCGCCGAGGTATTTGCCGGCTTGGATAGGTTCATGACAGGGGTGCCGCAAGGCGAGTTTGCAAAGGTTGCCTCGGGGAAGAAGAGGCATAAGCTTTGAAGACATTGTATTTATTGTTTTTGTCTTGGATAGCGTCCATAGCCCAGCACACCCATCAAGGTACGTCAGGTCAACAAGCCGAATAGCAGTCCGGTCCTCTTGGAATACTCTTGTGACGCCTTGGCCAGCCTGTCCACAAGAGCAGGGTCTTCCAGACCCGTCTTTTTGAGAATCGCTTCTTCAAGCTCCTTGAGCACAGCTTTCTGAGACCCTTGTTGTGGTACAAGGAATAGCCGGAGATAGTGTATGTCTAGAAGCCACTGCACCAGCAGGTCTTGCCGTTGCTCTAGGCTTGTAGTTTCCTTGGTTGGTTCATCCTGGCCGGCCTCGTCACCATCAGAAGCTGTTTTCGTTGCCTCTTCGGAGTCCCTGTCCAAGTTGTCGAGTGCCTCTAGCCATATTCCAGTGAGCTTGTGGGCCAGATCTTGTTTTAGCACAGTAACAGCCGCAGGACTCCACAGATCCCCGCCCGCATCGCCCATAGCAGCTGTTAGATCCCTGAGGAGCTTGAAGGCTCCCGGCGACGGTGACCCGGGTAGCGCCGGCTCTCCCTCCCATAGGCCCCTTCCGACAACCGTCTTCCGGGCAAGTGCCACGGTGGCGAAGTCATCCAGGGGTGACACGACCACTGTCGCAGCCAATGCCTCATGCAGCGGTGGCACCGCAGCTAAACCGAAGACCCTAAGCGCGTCCACATCCGGCAACCGCGCCCGGATGTCCCTGATAACCCTCAGGAGGTACACGGCGACCGCCCCCCTGTTCGGGCCCTCTTGCTGCTCCTTCCACAGCACCGTGAGGTGGTCATCTAACTTTCTGAACGCCTCAACCAGCAAGCGATCCAAATGCTTGCTCAGCGCCTGGGGGTCTTCCTTGGCAAGCAGCTTCTGGCGCTCTTCAATCGTCTCCTCGTCTTCGATTTCATCGACATCGTTGTCCCACCTCTGCCGCCTTAGCTGATCCACAACCTTACCGACGTCTTCAATAACATGAAACCACGATCGGTAGCTTGTCACAGCCTTGGACACAGCATTGTTCCGGCCGCAAAGTCGTGCGACAACGTCCTGTGCGAACTGGGCGGCGCCGTTGGAGAGGTCAGTGTCGAACGAATCCACGTCCCACAGACTCTGGTGCTGATCGGTGGTGCCCTCCCGCCAGGCTTCAAGAGTTGCAGATACTTCCGAGCCCACGAGCCGTAGCTTGGCAACTTTTGCTTCGAGAACCCGCAGCATATGCTTACTGACGGCACTGCGGAGGTCATCCAGCATGACTGAAGGATCGAAGCCGCGCGCCCTGCCGCCTTCAGCGATCCAGAGCTTCAGAACGCTGGTACGCAGCTCGACGATGGCCTTGAATTCGGTCATGCCCTCCAGCGTCTTCTCCAGCATCTGAAGCAAGACCTTGCTTCCTTTGCTGGCCCAATTAGTGAGCATCTCCCGGGCCTGTTCCCCATCCAGATCGTCATGGCGTATGAATGGCGTATAGAACTGAATCTCATCCCCACACCATCGCTTGTAAATATCCAACCGTAGCCCCTCAATCTCCTTTAACGACGCATTCTCCAGTAACCGCTCGTCCTTCAGTGAAACCAGCGCATCGGTCAGCTTATGCGGAACCAGCGTCTGCACGTCCTGCAGTGTTTTGGTATAGAGGCCCAGCGCCCGCAGCACGTCCTTCGGATTCCGCGCCGCCCGCTCATCCTCGTCCACCTCGAGCGCCATCGCAATCGCCTCAGCCCTGACATTCAGAAAGTGCCTCAGCACATCCCGAGCCCCGGAAGTCGTAGCAAGACTGTACGCGCTCAACGCCTTGAGCACGTCACCCTGCTTCATCCTCCTGCGACTTCCACTCCTCAGCACAGTATCGATCCTCCTCATCAACTTCGCCCTTTGCACCGTCTCCAGGCCCCTCTTGATCTCCTCTACCCTCCCATTCCCCTTCCCCTCTCCCGCAAAGCTCTTGACGAGCAACCTCCCTAGCACGTACAGCCTGGCAGCAACCACCAACCCATCCCCCGTCCCTTCACCAGCATCACCACCACCACTAAGATCCCTCGTAACCTTATCCAACCCCAACTCAACACCCTCCAGAAACCTCTCCCTAGCCAGCCCACCCAACCCAGCGCCACCACCACCACGAAACCCCCCAACCCAACCTCCTTCAGCAGCCGCTTGACCATCATTCTTATCCCTCGTAGCAGCACCCGCACCACCACCACCACCAGCAGTAACAAACGCCCTCAACCCCTGGGCCTTGCCCGCGACGACGCCGCGGCCGCAGCGGGCGCCCATGTCGCCGAGGACAGCTCGGACGGCATCCATGTCGGCGCGCATGGCGACAATGGTGTCGGCCGTGCCCAGCAGCTCGCGGTAGGACCCGCCCACCTGGGTGCGCAGGCGGGCCGCCACGTCAGCCACCTCCCCGCGCACCGCATTGTGCACGGCGCGCAGTTGTGGTAGTGTGTAGGAAGGTGTTGTTGAGGTGAATAGCTGTGCTGAGGACGTCAGGTCGGGGGAGTGCAGGTCTAGGTTTGCCGGTAGGGCGGTCATCTTGTCTATTTTTGCTTCTATTTTGCCTTTTCGTTGTTGGCTTTTCTTGTAGGGTAGGAGAGGCCGGTTAAGGATTTGAGAGCGGGCAGGGTCTGGTGCGAGGGGGATGAGAATCCAATCAACGGCGGACGCAGGGTAGGGGGCTGTGCGTAGCGAGCGGTTGCCGGAATTGACTGCTTGCTATGTTGGATGTGCCATTGATGACTGAGCAGATCCAGCGGGCAATGGCCTGTGGTATGCGATATGGTTGTGGTCGGGAACGGTACTTCGTCGGTCGACGCGGGGCTTGAACACGTAAGGAGCTGGTTCAACTTCCGAAGTTTGAAAGGTCAAGTATAGCATCTGATCACACCTAGCTAACCCTAACCCTGTCAAACATTCGGGAGGTCAATGATGAATCAAAATCACATCCTTAAAAATCCAGCATGCGACTGCGAAATGGACCAATTCGTGACCAGAAATTGCTTGAACAGTCGCTTGCACTCAATCTTCTCAGCGCGGTTTTACTAGACTAAGAGCCTGGATTCAATTCATAACGGTACGGAGAACACAACGGCCGTTGCCGGTGAGTAACTATCCTCACCCATGCCAAAGTCTTCAATGGAAGCAGCAGATACGGTAGGTGCAGTTCAAAGGAGTCCAAAAGCGAAGTCTAGAATACCCTACAAACACCAAATGAATCCAATTCGCCCCGAGACTCAGCCCACACTTCAAGAAATCAGTATGCCAAAAAGTATGTCGAGATCACCCCACTGTCACGGGCCTTGAGAGTTGACGTCCGCGGCTTGTAAAGAGGGAAGAGGTGATCAGAACTTTGCTTTAGGAGGCCGGGAACGGAGGAAGACCCATGGTGTATGAAAAACCCTCAGCAAGCCACTTCGTGGAGCCACCTAACCAGCAAGAACAAGAAGTTCAACTCTTCACATGGCGGTGCAGAGTTGGGTCTCTCGTCTTGCTGGTAAGGAGAGAAAAGAGGAAACGGGTAAAGAAGCTGGCCGCGAGGGAGATTTTATTTGGGGGCAGGGTGGGGCAGGTTTGGTGGGTATGCATTTACCTAGCCAGTTACGGTTAGCGTATTTGTTCTTTAAGGATTTGAGGTGCATGTTGCAACTCTTGTCTGCCAGTGACCGAGTGCAAACAACAAAACAGTGCACGTTCAGATACAATCAAGAGTAGATTTATGTTTACGTTAAACGGCCGTTTGCCTGCGCTGACGATCGAGCTATTAATACTGAATGGTCTATTTCTGTCGAGATTGAACGCTCTAGTCAAACCAAGAACCTTACCCAAGTGGCCGACTCTCCAATGCCCTCATCTACATCCTCGACGGTATCCACCAGCCCTCTACCACCGCCGTTATCAAGCGATTCGCGATGGCCGTCTGCGGCGGAAGGCGTAGTGCGCCCTCCACGTACCCCTCAGGGGCCCCTTCTCCCAGGTTGCTCGTCCCCTTCAACAATGCTTCCCTGACTTCCTCGAGAGGGAACCACTTCGCACTTTCGAGCTCCGCGTCGTGTCCAAGATAGATCTTCTCGCCATCGCCGGGCAGCGCCTGGCCGATGGCGCCAATCATCAGGCTCGCCGGGAACGGCCACGGCTGCGAGCTGTGCAAGATCACGCGGCCCACACGGACTCCGCTCTCCTCCCAAACCTCCCGTCGGACCGCTTCCTCGATGGACTCGCCGGGCTCCTGGAACCCAGCGAGCGTGCTGAACCAGTACTTTGGCCACCGCCGCTGCCGGCCCAGGAGAACCTTGGTCCCATCTGCGCTGATAACCGCCATGATGACCGTCGGGTCCGTCCTAGGGAAGCTATGGTTCGAGACGGTACCCCTCGTCGCGCAGGGCTTGCGGTTTCTGACTTGGCCGCCCGCCTTGTCTGTTGGCGGACACACCCTCTTGGTGCCCGCGTTAACAGACAGCGTCGGCTGCCCGCACTGAGCGCAGAACGGCGTCCTCACGTTCCAGTCGATTATGGCGCGCGCATGCCCGTACATAGCCGCTGCAGAAAGGCACTCTTGTCAGCAAACCCTTTGCTCTCTGGTGAGTAAACATAGAGGAGCCCCCGTCTTTCTCACCTTGCCCGGCGTGTAATCCCATATGCCTCGGTCCCCCCTCATAAAATACCAACCCCCTCGCGGTTACCGCCTTAATCACTTCTTCCGCCCTCTCCTTCAGCCCGTCGTCCCTGGGCGTAACATCCAGAGCAAAGTACGGATCGCCCTCAAAATCCCTGTACTTAAACTCCTCACCACCCTCCCCCTCACTCCCACCACTACCGCTACCCGAAAACAAACCCTTCAACTCCCCCCGCTCATCAATCCCCAGAAACACAATAATCGGCTGCGGCCCCTCCTCAGAATCATACTCCGCAATCTGCTCCTCCTCAGATCTAGCAAAGGGTTCCGGGCCCGTGAGGGGCAGCACGTCTGCGCGCGAGGCAAAAGCGAGGTTAGCCGTGTCGGTGGGGGACCGGACAAGCGGGGCGAGGTCGCGCAGGAGCAGGAAGCGGGCGCGCGGGTGGGCAAAAGCGGCGCGCAGAAAGGGCCCGTCGCTGCGCAGAAAGGAGACGCGGTTCAAAGGGGATCCCGAAAAGTAGTTGGCGATCTCCCGGCCGAATTTTTGCGATAGGAGCGAGTCCTCTGTCGGGAGGGACGGAAGGTCCGGGATGGGCATTTTCGGGTTCCCTTTTTTGAAATCAATTACTGCGAGGGAGATCAACCTAAGTAATGCTGCAAGAGGTGAGGAGTAGCTGTCTAAATGTGTTAATTTCTCAAGGCAGGTAAATAATGTACGTCAAGGCTGAATAAATATCTGAGCTACGGAGTGGCCACCCATATTGACGGAATTTCGGCTTGCCCTGGCGGGGGCGGGGTTCCAAGTTCATCATGTCCACCGGACCTCGGGGCTCCACTGGCAAGGAGATAACCCGGGTTGATGAGTAATTACCGGTCGGCGTTTTGCCCCTTACCGATCGGTACCTAACTTTAGTTTACGGATTGGGGATATCCCCGTGTAAGGGCACTGCATGGACGAGAAGACGCGGCGCACATTATCAAGCGACGGGAATTCACAGAGCAAACAGCGATTTCATTCCACTCATGCTATCGTGTCTTCGCCCTGTGAAACGGCCCGAGACGGAACCCGTCCCCAGAACCTCCCGCAACATGCAGTTTAGTACAGGCGCTTGGGAGGGGACATGGTGGCCTTGATGGTCAGGCTGCCCACGTTCTGCCAGCCCTTCTTGAGCAGGGAGACCAGGTAGTTGATGGCCAACATGATGTTGGCAACCAGCTGCTCCTGGGTCATGCCGACGTTGCCGACGGCGACGCCCATGCACAGCACCTTCTTGAGCTGGAACTTGACCGTCGACTTGACCTCGTTGATCTTGCCGCTGAGGTCGTCCGAGTGGGAGACGGGGGTGGGGAACTTGCCAGCTGGAAAACCAAAAAAAAAGGATAGATTAGCATTGCTCCCCTCGATCTTGCTTGAGGATATCCGGTGAGGCAGAACATACCCTTGGAAAGACCGGGACCCAGCAGACGGGGGATCTGCTTGATCAGAGTGTCGGAAGCGACAAAGGCATCGTACTTGCGAGCCAGCTTCTTGATCAGCTTCTTGTTCTTGTTGAGCTTCTTCAGGTCGTCGGCGCTCATGGCGTCGACACCGCCGTGCTTGGCACGGTCGATATCGTGCTGGTCACCGAGAATGCAGATGCTCATGTTCGGGCGGGGGACGGTGGGCAGCTTGACAGTGCCAGAGAAACCTATGCGCTTTCGGTCAGTTCTCTCTCGGTCGGGGAAGCCTTTCGATTGCATCTTCGGTGCTCGGTCGACGTACGCTTGTCACGCTGGGGGTCATAGTTCTTCAGGCCGATCTGGAGCCTTTTTGGGACGGTCAGCGTCACTTCCTTCAAAACTGTCGGCAATTCGAGCACTTACTCGACGGTCTCCAGAAAGTTGCGCTTCTTCGTGTTGTTGCTGTAGTCGAGGAGCTCAGCGACATTTTGACGCACACCGGCTGCAAATCAAGTCAGTTGACGCCCTGGATGAGCTATATGACAGCGGAGAACCGTACCGACGGAGATCTTGGACATTTTGCCGTCTTCCTATAGAATGAATTCTAAAGGTGAGGTTTATTGCGTCGTGGACGAAAAAGCTGGGATTTGAAGTCAGGAAACCGAATTTGCGGAATCTCCGCGATTTTTTGTGTGCAGCATCTGCATGGCATGGTGGGTTGAACCGGGGTGCGCTGGCCCCGCTGGGCTGCCGGACTTCGCCACTTGGCAACACCTGTTAGCTTCGTGAGCTCAGATATAAGGGGGCGCAACCAAGTACCAACATCGCCAGACTCGGCCTTCTCAAAACGGCAGTCGACATCGTTCCTGCAGTGTTGTCAGAAGCAGGTCTTGACAGCGCCTTTTTCTTTTTATTGCTAAACATTTGCTTTCACTGACACATGTTTGTTGTTTTTCACAGCAACAGAGTGAGTCGCTTCGGGCATGCATACATGATGCGGCGAGCTCCGGCAACCTGAAGCCCACCGTTCTTGGGCCTTGTGAATCCATTCGACTTGCAATCGATCATGTTTCCCAGATGGACATGTGGAAAAAGCTTGACCTTTACCGACCAGATCGGCCGGACCCACCCATCACAGTGGTTGTCCGCCCGGTATGGTAGGTAACGCAACGATGGACTCGAGGGGTGAGGCGACCGGCGTGTTTTGGGGGGATCAGCCATCCGTCGTAGGTGCAGTGAGAGGTAAGGTGTGGGAGGTGGCGGGCCGCAAAGTACGGCTTGTTTGTTCATCTGTGATATCCGTCACGGTCCGCGTCACACATGCGGCAACGACTCCGATAATCCCGCACGAAAGATCGCGTTGGACGACGGAGGCCACGGCCTTTTCTTGCCGGAGCCTGTCAAGGTCTCAAGGAGACCAGCACCACTATAATCACACCCCAGGTTCTCAATCCGGGACAGGTATTAGTAACGGCCCGGTGTTAAGGACTATGACATGGCTATGCATTTGCACGCCAATGATCCTGTAGGTAGCCGAGCTTCTTGTCGCACAGCTACGAAGGTGTGAGACTCTTCCCCCTCAGATCATTCGGGAGGAGTTTGGCCGACGTCGTCCATCTGGTGATGCTGGCTCCGCTGAGGCTATACCCAGTTGTAGCCACTATCCATAGGGCTGCATTACTTCAGGGATTGGTATCACGACAGCGGCTGCGGTTATGAACTCTTGGCTGGCTGATCTACCTTGCATTTGCCCCCATGCAGATGCATATCCTCGAGCTAGAGACTCATTGTCCTTTCTAGGAGCCGTCTCTCACGGCTAGGAGTCCTTAGGGGGCTGATTTGAGGACTAAGAGTGAGCCAATTAGTATCTCTGGGAACAGAGGATCAGCAGGCTAGATTGTCACGGGTTCCCGCTGAGAAGTGTGCCTCTATTTGTTGATGGATCCCAGCTTCTCAATAGCTTTGAAGTGAGATAACTCTTCGAGGCTTCAAGTTTGGGGGTAAAGACTCAGTCTTGTTTGTGGGACGTTTCTAAAATTGGATATCCTGCATTCAGGAGAAACAGAAGTCGAAGCCTTGAAGCTTTTTTCAGCGATGCCTTTGTCATCGAAAGGTGAAACACTAGGTAGGTATTCGGCTATCACCTGTGATACTCGGCATCTTCAACGCGGCTTGGGACTTTCTCATCGTTCTAGTTTGCACCCAAGCGAGGCTGGTCCGACCTTAACCAGTGGCTGAAGAATGTGTTACTATTTGCTCGTTGACTCACAGGCGGCCTCCCTAACCACGTCACTGGTGACGATGAGATCAGTGATGCCGGAACTCACCTCATCGTGGTTATGAGATATTGACGAGAGAAAGGGGTAGAGTGACGGTTCAAATTGTCTTCACTGCCAAATCGAAGCAGCACATAGGTAGTGAATCGTGCTAGTAGAGCAACTTATTGTTTGTCCAGAGCATGGCATCGTGTCACAGGTCTGGTGGTTTGCTTGAGCAAGTCAATGTATTCCAAAATGTTGCAAGAATTGAAGTCACCGCAGGATTCCTGCCACCAGCCCAGGACACTCTCAAGACAGCGTGATATCCACGCGACGATGCCTCCCCGAGCGCCTACGCCTCGGCCGAGAACTGCTATATTCCACCACTACCTCCCACGTCCTCAGGTCGTAGTCCCATTCCGCCCTCAGATGCTCAATCTCACTGGTGAATACTACGGAGTAAGATCTCCTCGGGGTTCTATCAGCCGTGCTGACGTAATGACGGATCTCCCACGTCGACGACATTTTCAAATCATGCCTCGGCATCGAGACCAGCAACAGCAATGCTTTACCACCGCCCTGCCAACTTGACCCTTTCGCTGCCCTTGAGAATCCAGTTCGGGCCGGCAGCCAGGAAATTGAGTGTGAGCTTAGCTAGTCGACGGAGTTCCTGTGGTGCAAAATCAAGCAATCGTAAGCATAGGTTCCGTAGAAGCCTCTCCCGGCATTTTGCTACCCAGAGGGTGTTTCGCGAGTAACTATAGGGGTTATTGGCATACCCGGATCATTGGGGAATGGTGGCTTAGGAGCAGGCTGAGATGGAGTGTTGGGGTTTCGGTAGAGGAATGGTTGCCGAGCGTTATGTCGAGCGGCGGCCATGGCGAGCTCGTGAATTCTCAAGAGGTGCTTTCGGGCCTCTGGAGAGCGAGAAGGGGAGGGACAGGTCGAATCTGAGTGATCAGTCGAATCGAAAAGAGAGCTATATTTCTCCCCTGAAAGACTTTAAATCTCCGTCCATCTGGCCTCCTCACCTTTCCTCTGGAATTGCCCTACTTAGTAGACAGCATCAGATAGCTCGTGCTCCTGATCGACTTCCGACAGCCCGTTGTGAGACGAAAGCGCATGTTTGGCCGGTCCCTGATCTAAAAGTGGCAGAACTACGAAGCACCAATGACGTGTTGGCGCAAACTGCCGCCCTTCCCGTATCCTCATCAGCTCAGGTCGATCTGTCATGACAAGTGGTTCTAAGTCGGGAGGTGCTGTGCAACACCATCTGTCCCGGACTGAGCGTACCACAGCCCAACTCTGGAGTCGCAAATACGTAATGAACACACGGAAGCAGATCCCGGGAGGCTATCCCGATGGGGTGGCCAAAGAAGCCAGGTTCCTGGATCCTGGTGTAGCCCTTTCGTCTGCTGGGTCGATCTGGGCAACCGTGTCTCTAAGAGCTCCCGCCAGGGGTGAGCTGGTGATCGGATTGGGACGGTTAGGACCAGTCTCCTCCGCAGCATCATCGCCATGGACGCCCAATGTGGCCCCTTTTCATCGACTCATGCATTACACTAGTAATTGCTCTGTCAAGCCCATCGGGATACACCTATGTCCGGTGGTTTGATGTCTCGGCATCGCCGCTAGACAGACCAACGAGGTACCAGCCGGCGTTGGTGCAACAGGGCGACCTGTGTAAGTGTGAAAGATGGTTCGACGTAGTGCAGTTTGTCGATAGCTGTTGCCCGCGTCTTCCTTTGAGGACGGAACCTCAGGATTGTAATCCTTAAAATCCTATTCTGGTCTGATGAGAACGCGAGGCGGCAAAAGATCGTCACCTAGCATACTGACATGTTGGCTACAGCAAAGAGAGCGGCGGTCCGCGGCGTCTTCCGGATCGTGACGCCAGACCCAAAGGACGCACATTAAACACATTTTACATCTTCAAGTCGCAATCCGCGGGTGTTCCGTAGCCTCAGCTCAGTCAATGCGGCGCTGGCCTGACTCGACGGAACCTGGTTGCTGGTCATTGATGTACATAGCCCGACACAGTGATGGAATGTCGAGAAACCCGTCATCCAATATCCTAGCTGTGTAGACTACGGATGCTGGTCCAAAAATGGAAATAGTGACGGGCAGACCCAGGATACTCTGGCACGCAAATATGACCGATGGCGAGTAGGTGGATTCAAAACCGGTTGATTAATCGTGCCTGAAAGTGTATGAATGAAGAAGAAAAAAAGGGAAGGGGAAGGTTCAACCCGAGCAGGGACGGGATGAAATCTGCAGTCGGCTCCATGTCGGGCCGAGGCGGTCCAAAACGCACAGACCACTTCTTCTGAGCAAGTAAGGGAAGGGCTCTAGATTAGGGGAGTCGAGAGCCCAGCAACAGGGTCGGTTGAAGAAGATATAGGTGGTTGAACATATATAACCCTAACCCTTGTACGCTTACCGCCTTCCCAAACGGTTAGCTGAAATGGCGGAAATTTCGAAATTCAAGAGCCATTTTTCAGTTTCCGAATTTCGAAGCCGTGATGGAAATTTCCCATCCCTATGAGCAAGTGCCAACGTTGGCCCCACTTTTATTTCACCATAAAGATCCCGATCACAGATCAGATTCTGCGTTTCTCCCAAGCCTGGAACCAAAGAGTTTTCAACGATGACCATCGCGCATCTGCGTACACTATCTGCTCAATAGAGCCCCATTCCCGTCCAAATCATCTCGATGGGAGCCCAGTTCCTCAGTTATGCCGAGGAGCCTCTGATAATCGACGCCGCAGGAAATCAGTTCATGCCGGCGTCACCTCAAGATTTTCCTGTGCTTCCGATTGATGATTCGGTTTGCCTTTGGGGGTGCCTTTGGGTGTAGCTCCAGAGGTGGACTGGGCCGCTGCGCTCTTGCTGTCCTCGGACCTGAATGCCCACAAATGGAGGAAAGTCCAACCCGGCCTTACTACTCTACGCCAGTATAACCCCCCCCCCTTCCCGCGAGAGTTTCGATCACAATGCTGTGTCCACGCTCCCGAGTCGTCACTGGCAGAATCCTCCAAGTCCGAGAAACTTACACTCTTCACTTGCTGCCAAGGTCAAGCTTCTTCGGAAACTGAATAGGCATAAAAGGAAGGACATGCTCAAGCGAAACCACAATTTGCCTGCCTCTGTGCTGTCACCATGCGCAATAGGTTAACTTGTAATATCGTTCGCTGTGGAAGAAAGATCCAAAGGCCTAGACAGCCGGTCCAATCCACCCCGCTGCCGAGAGAACCTAAGTGCGGTAGCGGGACTAAAACGGACAAACATCTCGATATGCATCTCTCTATTTTGCTACATCCATTACTGTGTCACCATAGTCATATCGTCATGTCTGTCATGCCGCCGTTTTGGGGCGGCATTATGGGCTTGAATATTACACATCTGCCTCCCTCATTAACCGTGATCCAAAAACTCCAAAACCGTAAGGTTAACCTGAATGAGGAGGACAAAACACTTCTCCTCTTAGACCTTCCTTCCAAAAATATACTTCTCGTCCGTGAACGAGAGCAAGAACTTGGCGACCAGGCGGCCTGTATAGTCATACGCCACGTTCCGCGGATAGACGTGCTCTTCGTTGTTGGGCAGGATGGGGTCTGCCGTCAAGTAGTCCAACTCGGACCCTGTCGCGATGGCAGCCGTTAGCAATTTGATTCTCTCAAAAATCTTACAGCCACAGAAAGGAAATCAAAACTTACAATCCGCATCAATAAACCGCCTCAACTTCCGCACCATATCTTCGGCGGGGCCGTCCAACTCGGCCTGCTCAAAGCAGGAGTCGTCCAGCAGCGGGTTGAAGCTGCGCGCGGCCGCGTCGCGCGAGTGCGTCTGGTAGATCTGGTGGAACTGGAAGGCGAACTGCTTAAAGGGCATGTTCTCGATCTCGCTGTTGACCTGCAGCGCAAACGAGCGCTTCCACCGCGGCGGCAGGTAGCGCCGCAGGCTGATCTCGTTCTCGGTCATGACGTGGCTGTCGGCCGCCACCTCGATCGACTCCATGATCAGGCACATGACGAGGAACGACGCCAGGCAGGGCGCCCACTCGCTGCGCAGTTTGGGCTTGAGCGACTTGCTAAAGTTCTCAAACAGCTTCTGCACCTCCTGGCAGAGCATCTCGTCCAGCACCGCCTTCAGCTGCCGGTTCAGCACCCGCGCCGTGACGAAGGGGACTCCCTGCGGCACCAGCCCCGTGGGGCCCAGCTCGGCCACGCACCGGTCCGTCAGGACCAGGTGCTTGGTCATGACATAGTGCATCGTGTAGATGGTCAGCGCGCGCTTGACCATGGCCAGGTCGCTGCGGTTCGCGTAGTCGTGCACAATCTTGAGCAGCTTGCGCGGCAGCAGCGTGTGCTGCGGCAGCGGCGTCACCAGCGCCGCAAAGTCCCTCTCGCCCACAATGGCCTGCACGTACTCCCTCAGGCGCTTGCGCATCTCGTTCCTCTGCCCTTCACCACCTCCACTACCTCCCGCTCCACCGCCCTCCGCATTTTGCGCTTGTCCCCCGTCCAACCCTATCGGCGCGGCGCTCGTGGCCTGCAACTCCACCTGGTTGACTCCGCCATGCAGATGCCAGTGCTGGAGAGCAGCGACCGTCTTGGCGGTGAAAAACCTCGCGGGCACCACCAGGCGCGCGGAGAAACCGTACCCGGAGTACATCTCAACAGTACATGGCTTGTCGTGGATAAACCGCTCCACATGCTCGCTGAGGAACCTCGCGACGGCCTCCTTGCGCAAATGGCCGCGTATAAACTCTGGAAAGAGCACCGCCGTGAAATCCGAAAACTGCCAGCACACGACCTGGGGCACCTGCTGGGCGAGGCGCACGCAGCTGCGGCAGGGCCGCTCCTTGTCGCATTTGACTTTTCGCGCGTGGCACGAGAAGCACGCGCCCATGCGCCGCACCTGCAGCGCCGACTGCTTGGTGTCGGTCGCCAGGGGCCCCTTGCGTCCGCGTTGCGAGGGCCGGTGCGCCTCGAAGCACTCGAACCGGTTCGGCTTGTCCATCTGCCGCGAGATGCTGTCGGGCGTGAGGATGTGGAATTTGGAAGCTGCCGCCGCGGCTGCGCCAGGTGGTGAAGGTGATGATGATGACGAGTCCGCCGATGTTGTCGGCGATGTCGAGACTGCTGCTGCTACTGAGGAAGCTGATAATGAAGCTGATGTTTGCGGCTTGCGTTTCTGCACCCGGTTAGACGTGTTTGCTTTGCGTATCGGGATCGCGGCGGTTGTCGTCGGGTGGGCGGTGGCTGTTGGGGGTGACGGCTTGCTGTGTTCTGGTGAACTGCTGCTTCTGTTGCTGCTGGTGCTGGAGGGCTCTTGCTTGATCGGGACGGGTGATCGGGGGCTGTGGGCGCTTGCGGGCGAGGCCGAGTGTGTGGGCGGGGAGTAGAGGTGCGATGAGGGCGGCGAGGGTGCGATAAGGTTCGGGTCTTCCATGATGAAGATGGTGCCGCTGTTAGAATCTGCGTTCGTCGGACGGTCATTGCCGAAATTGTTTGTTCCTCTGAGATTGCTCAGGGGCTCCCACGGGGGCATGTTCGCGAGGGCGAGGCTCTCGCCCAACGGCAGTTGTGCGTCTCCCGGTGTATTGAACAGGCCGGTCAAGTCTCCTGAGAACGCCAGTCAGCGAATCCCATTGAGGTCGGTAGAAGACCCCATTTTGCCGTCTTACCATTGTAAGGCGCCCCCAACAAGGCTCCCGAGTAATCCTGCAGGTCCTGCGCCAGAAACTGCGCAAAGGACCAGTTCCCATCCGCTGCTGTTGCCGAGAACCCATCGCCACCTACACTACCCCCCTGCTGATCGAACGACGACCTGTGCCCGAAACCGCTGTGCTGGTCAATCTCCCCGCCCAGCCCGGGGGACAGCGCGGCCGGCGACAGCTCAAGCTGCTCAAGGTGTTGTTGCCCGCTCGCACGATGTCCGAGGACCGCCCACGGGCTGCCCAGGCTATGGGCACTCGGGCTGGAGATCAGGCCTACCGATCCTGGCCCCGTACCGACGCTCGTACCCCCGGCAGCGGCGCTGCTAATGACGGACCAAAACGCATCATCGTCCAGATCGCCGCCTGGTGGATCGGTTGCCCCTGATGCGGGCGGAAATTCGAAGTCGTAGGGAGAGACGGGCGAGGCGCCGAGGGATGCTGATGCGACTGATGCCATGGCTGGCGAATCTTTATCGCGCCCTCGGTGTAAGTGCTAGTACCACTCGCTCTTGTCGTCTGCCGTACTGTGTTGCGTTGTGTCTTATAAATCCTTTTATGGTCCCCTTCCGCCTTAAAGCCCCCCTTTTCCCGTTCCGTTCCTATTCACGATAATTTGCTACCCTTCGAATCCTGGCGGCACCGAGACGAGACGTGGTTCCTTCGGTCAAGGAAGTAAGCGGAATAAGGCCCGGAATCGTGGTTCGCCCGTTTCTGACGGATCTCTGGTTGAAACAGACGAATTCAGGACCTGCCGTAAAACGAAACAATCCAGGTAGTATACGTAGAGGAAGAGCAATTCACGAGGAAGCAATTCATGGCATTCTTGTACAGAAGAGCAACCCACGTAAGGTAAGTTCGGCGCGGGATGGCGGGTGGGCAAACTTCATATTTGAGACAACCTGATCTGCGCATGGCCAGGAGGCCAGCCTCGAGGGGCTAAACTCGATGGAGCGACCGAACGTGGGAGGCGGGGCGACTCCGGGCGAGAGCAGAGAGGGTCAACGGGTTGGGCTGCAGGGATGTTTTCCACTGCAGTGGTCGCAGACTCGCAGGCTGCTGTGGCTCATCTTGCAGTGGCTTCCAATGTCCTCTTGGCACCTCGGGCGTCTGTCGCTAAACCCGATTTGGCCACCGAGGCTTGAGATGCCTCGTGCGGTATCTGCTGTGCTCACCGAGTCAATTTATCCATCGAAGTATCGTGATGGTTTGGGCATTGATGCCTCTGTTGTGTCATGATCCGCGATGATTTTCTGTTGTGAATGTTATCTAACGGAGGGCCTGTTAGTTGACTACCGTGAACCACGTAAAAGTTTCCGAAAGCGCGTGGCTTTCACCGTTTCGGCTGGAACAAAGCTTTGTGGACTGCGGGATTGTCAATGAACCGCTCCGTCGGGATCAGCAACAAAGCCATTCATGCCAACCTCGCAGCCTCATCAAGACGACAGAGACACAGACAACCCCTGATATGACATGTACTGTACCGCAATGAGGAGGTCTGCAGTCTGCACAGGAACCCGCTCAATACATAAGAGCAAAACTACTAATGAACTCTTGACCATCCCGCTGCCGGGACACGCTTGTATTACCAAATAAATCGCAGTCGAAACAATCTTCGCTTGAACCAACGTTTGTATCAAACAGCCTCAGAAAACGCCCGTTGCAGAGTGACCGCCCCAGTTCAATCAACGGACAGAAAACGACTCGGATATCAAACTCGCGAACCAAGACTGAGAATGAGCACTTGAGCCGCCAATGGAACGGACTTGCAACCTCCAACCGCCAAGAATAAGACAAGATAGCCTGCACGGTGAAGCCAAATCATCAAAAGGCCACCCAGCTAGAATACTAGCTGCGAAGCAGCCATACAGAACAAGAAAGAATTACCAATCCAGCCACCCCAGCCGGCGGGCCCGCTATTTCCTGGCCGGTGAACCTCCGTGTCCCAGAGTGAATTAGAGAGTAAATGAGAAGAGAACAGTGGAAGAGAAATGAAAAGTTGATGAATCCATACAATCCCACATAAGCATGTTCTTAGATCATCTAGCGAATCCCCTAACAATCATGTGTCCACCATCTGGCGACCCCTTTTTTCTCGGGTAGTACCAGCAGCATGAGCAGCTATCAGCATCAGCCAGTCGCCCTGGAGAAAAAACGTTCCTGGAAAGGAGAAGAAAAGTGTGTATATCGTGGTATCCAAATGGTCATACCAAACGGCGTGTGAAAAAGTTGAGAACGTAATGTGGTGTCTTGGTGGTCCCAGGAAAAAAAGGGGAAAGGCCTTCCGGATCAGACCACAGGCAAAGCAACCAAAACAGGCAAAAAGAAATGGCAACGTTGTTCGATTGGGTTTTTCTTCCCAACCAAGCCGTGAACACGGCAAGGGGATGACTGCACGAGTCATCTCCCTTCTGATCAGAATCAGCGAAACCTCGCCGCAGCGGCGGCGGCAGCGGCAGATGCCGCCGCCCTTTCCTGAATCTGCTTCTCCGTTGAAACGTAGAGTCTATCCAAGTAATCCTAGCGACGCCGAATTAGCTCTCTGTCAGAACGAAACACAGCGGACCAGGCGGGCTGTTAGCACATACCATAGCCTGCGCATCTTTGAGAATCTTGGCAACCTGTATCCCGGCCGAGATCAGCTGCAGAATGTTCCGGTCGTCCTTGAGCGGGCGGGACCCTTGCTTGGCTGCATGGCGCATCTCGAGCGAGTTCTCGAGGATGGTGACGAACTGCTTGATCTGGCCATTGTACAGCACACGCGCCGGAATCCGCCGCTTGGTGGCCAGTCTCTTCAGAAGGTATACCCACTCTGTCCACTCGCGGTCCCGCGGCCGCTCGACGGGACGCATGTCTTGGGTCAGCGGGATGGGGAACTGGTACTTTGCCACAAAGTCATATGCACACTGCGATAACCGGTCGTTGACCTGCGTTAGGACACTATCCTGTTCTTGAACCAGGAGGTGCGTCGGTAGATGCGGCAGCTCTCGCTCCTGCATGGCAATATACTCGGGCGGCGGCCGCTTCAGGAACTGGTGTGGTCCATCGAACTCGTCCCGGTTGGACGGCCGCCTCTGTGAGCGCGGCTTCCCACTCATTTTGGGCTTGCCATTCTGTGGTGGTGGCGCCACGGCGGCACCATTCCCGTTCTCCAAAGAATAGTCCGAGAGACTTGGCGAAGCAACGAGATCATCCATGGAATCTGATGGCGAATACCTGCCCTGGTAGGGCCCATGATAAGGTCCCTGATAAATATCCTGGCGATTCCCCTGCTGGTTTCCTTGGTAATGGTCCCAACCCCATGCGCTCATATCCCTGTGAGGCGGGCGTTGGCCGGACGGCACCGAGTTTGTGTAAGGCCCTTGTGTCAGTCGAGGATCGCAAGCAGCAGAAGAAAAAACAGGCTCGGTGACGGGTACCCGTCCCAACTGGTTGGCGCCAGCTGCTGACAAGGTGGCCGGTAGGTTATTTGTTGATGCCGCGCCGTGTGCGTAGGTCAGGCTTGATGGACCTCTCGGGTTATTCTTATTGTTCCTTAAGGAAAGGGGTTCTCGATTGGCTATTCAACTCTTACCTCTGCGGCAGAGACGGTGTGCTGCCCGTCTCAAACCTGGCATTATAGAATGCATTATTCTGAATTGGGCTTGGGAGAGCCGTCAGCTGGCATGCGCGCCGGATGGGTTCGTTCGCCTCCCACCTGCGTGAAGAAAGCCACCGCTCGTTGGCCATAACGGCAGGCGCGCGGTAGGCAAAGTCGGCCATCATTCATCCGCTATTTCACTCTTGCTCTTTCCAGGCCTGTTTTCCTTTCCTAATCGGGTATCCGAGTCCGTTTCCTGGGCGAGCGGGCTTGATCACTGCAATAATTTCTTTCTTGGACGCCTGGAAGGGAACGAAAAAAAGCACGAAACGTAAACAGACAGAAGAGAAACGGTCCCACGGGTTCGCAGGAGAGTTCAGCCTGCGTCAATCCAAACGGCAAATAGAAAAAAAAAACTGTGACCGGGAGTTCCTGGGATATGGCCACCAAAAGTTTCTTAAGTCCAAGGATCCCCGGGGCGACGAGCTCACTATGAAGTGATCCTCAGGCGATGGCAGCGGCGTGAAATCCGGGAGAACGGCCGACCAGACAGCGACAACGGAGTTACTGAGCTTATATTGTAGTCTGCCTTCCTGAAGGGCAAGCAACGTGGCTCTCTTTTAGCAGTTCGAGTGCATGCGTGTTTGGGCAGGACAGGGGAGCAGAGGCTGGAGTGGTCCGCGATGGGGACAATATATGCCCCTCCCCAAAGTTGGGTGGCAAGGCCGACGTTACGAAGCTGCAGGCGGCAGGCCACAGAGCCCGGCAGCACATAACGTTAGGGCAACGCCGCAGGCAATAGGCTTAATGGTTAACAAACTGCGCAACCTGGGTCGCGTCTGCGCTAAATGACCGGGGTACTGGGAAAAGGAGAGAGCCAGGAGAAGGCGTTCCTCGCCCCGCGAAGTCTCGCATACAAACGAAGCTTCGTGACTTGCTTCGCACAAAAGTGGTGGAGAAACAGGGAACAGGTTGGGCGATGACCAGCTGGCGCAAGCCGATGATCAGCAAGGGAGAGAGGCGATTGAAGATCAATGCGAAAAGCCCCTCCAATGGCCGGCGAGAAGGCCAGGATAACGCTGGTCCGTCACAAGCCCTCTTTAGGGCTGTAAGTGCCGAAGATTTGCTAGATTTGCTGGGACGCCGGCGATGCCATGATGGGACGATGGGGCGGATTTGGTAGGGTACCGTTGGGCGCCGATGGACTTCGGTGTGAGGTTGGGCTGTCGCCCAACGCCCAGCCGCGATTGGTGCCAGGACAACACCCCGTTTCCGGACATGGCGGTAGCGGCACGATATGATTTGAAGAAAGGCGGGAATGTTGGGCAGGAACACGCTTCGCTGGTGAGCCCAACACCCTGCCACCGTCTCTCTCTTTGCTCTCTCGATGCCACGATGACATGCTGGCAGCGATTTGGCCCTCGAGCGGCTGCTGATTCTGGCCTGCCGCTGCTTGACAGCGCACGTGCAATCCTGGACTGGACGATACCGGTATCCTTAATAACGGTAGAAAATCCGTAATCTGCTTCCCTGTCTGGACTCTGAATCTGAATTCGGCATGGGTCGTCTGGAAATGGCCAAACCCGGCGTGCTCGATGCCAGGAAATGGAACAATTGATAAGGATGTTTGCCGCAGCACAGGGTTTGCTCTCGAGTGCCTCTTCTTATACCGATATCACCGTCAACCGAACCCGATGCTTCATGAGTTCGGAAGCGGCGCGGGGTTTCCGCTGCTCTCGGCACCTTGCCAAACTACACAAAACCTCATGCTCCGACCCATCCCACATCCCTCAACATTCGGTTCTGTTCTCCGCTCCTTCGGTCACCATGATTGATGAACAGCTTTTCATGTCACCTCGACCGAAGGCCCTTTCAGCGCTGTTACTTTCGTCCTGATAGCCTGTACCATAGACAGGCGCTCCGTGCATACCTTCGAGTTTCCTGCTCCATGTTGGGAACAAGTTAAACCTGTCAAAGTGTTGGTGAAATAGATTATTGCCATCGCCCTGCTAGGTCAAGACCCAATTCCTGGATTGCACGCTTCTCCAAATGATCTTGGGTCTGAATCCACGCACCCTAACCTTGAAGGAAACGGATGTGAAATCGAGAGGGTAGGTAGACATTGGGAAGTCGACGGAAACCCTCTTGCTTCAGTTATGAGGTCATCCCAAGCTAGCTTCGGGAGTGTTGCCCAACACTGATGTCAGCGTCATCATGTCTCTCCATTTGAGAATCCGGACTGGGGAGGCTGGGAGAGCCCACACAGTCTCCTACACTTATCGTCACCCATACACAGCCTGACCCAGGTTGTTACTAGCGGGCGACGCGAATGAATGAAGAGAGGCTGTGTAAATCGTCCTCGCCCACCTCGACGTGGAATCTCGACACGACTGCCGAGACGAAGCCTTGCTAGATCTCGTGTGGAAGTACTTCTCGGTGGAGGGTCGGCTGTACCTACATGACCGACATCTGGGAGGGCCGATGCAAGACTCACCAGTACATAGACAATTGCCAAAACCGAATTATGCCTGCATGTGAGTGCGTCTCAGAGCATCATATCCTGCCATGCAAAGAGTGCTGACAGTAAGGGTTTTTGCAGCTTCCACTTATCTTTGAGGAGCATGTTCATTTGAACCCCGTTCAACGGAAACCGAGACCAGTTTGCTGTGTCCAACACGTCCGGCGCCAGTTGGAATACGCAGTCCGCGACCTGGGATATCTCAGTGGGATGATGACCAGGCGGAGCCGAGCGAGTACTGTACGACCTCGAAAGCGGTATTGCACTTTACGCCATGGACCCCAAACACAAGCAGAACCGCTTCGTACTCGGCCAGCTGAGCGAGATGGGTGGAAACGATGTCGGCTGCCCTTGACGCTAAGTACCGTTGTCGTGGCGTAGCATGCAACTCCTGAGCAGCCTCCTTTTGAACAAGCAAGTTGACAAGAATCCTTAGGACGCTTTGTTTTATTGAGCCCTGGCTCGAACTGCGCGTTCTCCGTTGTTCCTGCGTTCTGTGAGGGAGGCCCATCAGGAGAGTGCGAGAATGGGTCCTGCGCTGTCGTCTCGTATGACGATTACCGCGCTCCTATTGCCCAAATCCGGACGTTCTGCCCCAGCCCAGGCGAAGCTTGAGCCGGAACTCTAGAAGTCCCGGTTACTTCATGTCAGCTTGACACGCGAGGCCTTTGCGCTGCTTGTATACCGGGTCAGACGATGTTGGTCCTCTTATGTCAGAACGCAGGAGCCAGATCGACTTGAAGAGCATGATGTCATAGGTTTGCAGGCACGCAGCTATATTGCCGCGACGCCGGAGACACGCCAGCATCAAAACCTCTTCGGACTTCACCACGTCTCTCGACAAGGATGGATCACGCATGATCTTGGCTCCCTTGAGCAACGGCAGATGATCCGTCATGCCCGCCATGTCACTCCTTGACGCGTCAAAACAGTAGCCTACATCAATCACTTGTTCGGCGATGTCTTCCACAATCACACGGCAACCTGTTGGGGATGAAGCCCGAGTAAGTGATGCTGATGTGGCTTCTGACCGTCTGATATGATTTAGTTGGCAGGCTTGTTGATGTGGTACCGAGTTAGACCAGCTGAACAATTCTTGGAGGACAAGGAGTTGTGGAAATCGACGAGGCTGCCAAACAACTTGCAGCATGATTCCTTTGGAGTTCCTGTCTCTTAAGACTTTGATGAAAGGCCCTTATCCAACCAATGCCTCGAAAGGTAGGCTTGACGCGGGAGCCGCGGATCGATCTCGATTTCAAGTCGTCGGACAGCCAGATGAAGCAAACTCTTTCCCCAGCACACTTATCCCGAGAAAGGCCGAGACCATGCTGGAAGTAACCTGTGGTTGCAGCAGACAAATGATGGCAGAAAAGGACAGCAATCATGTCCCGCCACACAAGCAGCAGTGGCACATCGAGGAGGCCGGCTTTTGGAGCTGCCATCGAGTCATACAGATCGCAAACGAAGAGCATCGAGACCTGGATTGAGGACGCGGCGGTTTGGCTCTGAACGACGGTTCCGAGCCGTAGGCCAGAGTGGCTTCTCAGAGGTGGTGAGCTGTCATCGAGGCTGGCAAGGCCCGGAGTTCTGATCAACAGGACAGGATGCGTCACCCACCCTCCATCAGCTCGTGCAATTCACCAGCTCATGCGATAATGAACCCTGAGAGCCGACATTGCCGCAGAGAGGGCACTGCCCCTGACACTCAACCAGCACGGGAGAAACAGTACAGTACGGTGGTCATCAGGCATACATTGACCATCCAAAGCGTAGTTGAGCGGTTGGCTCGTCCGTATTGGCTGAGGCATGCGTCCCTCAGGTTCCACCACTATCCAGTCGCCAAGAGTTGTCCGGAGGAGGCGCTTGGCGTCTGTAGGACACAACGGCTGCCCTCTTCTGCGGTTCGAGATTGACGACGGCAACAGCTGTCAAACGGGCAGCTGCCAAAGTGACTGGCCAAGTCTTTGCGGGGTCGGGCCGAGGCGTGCCCACAAGATCGCGTATCTCGCGAGCCCCTTCTGCACAAGACAGACCTCGATCTTGGGTTCGGGCCCTTGGATCGAGGCGGCAGCAGCAGCAGGCGCAGCACGAAGCATCAAGCATAGGGCGGAACAGGCGCGTGTTCATCGCCATGCAATCGCGAGCTGGCAGGACATGCTGTCTCTTCCACACTGCTGACGAGAGTATTCATGCGGAACGGGCGGCGACGAGGTGGTCGAAGAAGTCGACTTTCCTAGCCCGGCTGCAGTGATGTGTTGGCATTCCTCTGCTGCACCCTGCCCCCTGTAAATGTTGCAGACTAATCACCCCCGCTGGGCTTGATAGGTGGGAATGCCTTCTCAGCCCCGCCAGGATCCTCCCAGTCTCTTCAAGAAACAGGGAAAGCAGGGTGCGCCCATCGCCAACCAGGAAGCGGTGTGCGACGCTGTTATGCACGAAGCGACCTATGAACGGTGCAGAAGCGCGGTGCCAGCTCAGCGAAGACTGAATGTGACAGGTCGTCAGCACGCCGGCCAGGGCGGGGAGACAGCAGATTGGCGAGCGAGGTGCAGAGAAGTGCAGGCGACTGCAGACAGTTGCAGGCAAAGTGCAGGAATGGAAGTGAGAAGGGCCCTCGAAAGTGATTGACGGGGGAAAATTGCGTGTGACGAAGCGAGACGAAGTGAGCAGGAGGCAGTGAGCGGGGCCCACAATCCTGCGTGCGAGTCCTTCTCGTTGGAAGGATTAAAACCCGAATGCCCCTTCTCTGCCCAACAGCTGCTCTTTCCCTTCCAAAATTTTCCAACCAGAGAGCCCAACGACCCGCCGAGATTTGTGCCCAACAAGATCGACGCTCTGCCGCTGGCCATTCACTCGTCTGACCCATTGATCACTCATCGTCTCGCTTGACTGCTCACACCCCTCCCCACCTCAGTCGCCTTGGACCCCTTCTTCGGCTTCTTATATACACCACTTGGACGCCCACCACTCTTCTGTTTTCTTGCCTTGCTGTTACTGCTCGTTTCCCAAGGCCTGGAACTAAGCACTCATCAACCCAAGGATTCTTTCTGTTGTACGGCGTCAAGCCTGCAACACGACATACGCAACCCACCCCAGGACTCTGCCATCCAAAAGGATTAACACACGGGAGCCCCCGTTGTGCTTTGCGCCCCAGGATTTTGAGCAATTATCTGCTCCTTCAACCGGAATGACTGCCATGGTTATGACCCGGATTGATAACATGCCCGGCTTCAATAATCATATTGAGCTGGACGAGGTTCACACTCCGTCGAGGTATTTTGCGTCTGTTTTCATTTGTATCCCTGGGAGGTCCTCTGCTTTTGGTTTCATGTAGTGAACAACATCATGTTTTTTTCTTCTGTCACTTGTCTGAACCGCCCTGGCACCTCAGTGAGGCAAGCCCATATGGTCTCGCGACGACAAAACTGGATCAAGTGGATTCCGTGGACAGCCTTAATGGATTCTGAAGACCGCACACCGGACATATGGAATCGCCGGATTTCTTTTTCTGCCGTGGACTGCCGTGGAGTTTCCAGGACAAAATTCCAGGAGAGGAACCGACTCGTCCGAGTCGGATCAGAACTGCCCATGAGTCCACATTGACTCAGGCTGCCAGAAAGTTATTATTTGCTCGCTTTTCGAAGCGCTAACAGTAAGTATTTCCCGCACGCGCGTACTGGACCGGACCACACAGATGTCAACCCAGTTGGGAGCAATTTCCAAGGAGCCGCCAGGCACAGCTATCTAGGACATGGACCACTTCGACCCTCAAGAATGCCGCTAGCTCAAATGGATGACCTTGCACTGGCCCGGGATTTCTCTTTTTCTGTCTCTGACCTGCCTGGCTATGGCTTCGTAATGCAACACTGGACGCTACTGGATGATGAGATCAATTCAAGTGGACTCTCTTTCAATGCCTGGACCGATTCACTGCTCTGCATCTCATGGAGAACCCACTTGGCCGGACCGTTTCTGAGATTCGACTCTGGTCAGATCCGCTGGACAAGACCTTTTGACACGTTTATCTGGATTCAACAGTAGCTTCGCCAACAGCTGCCCCCAGATGGAAGACCAGGAATCTAGCCACGGATGTTAGAAAGGATGCGTGCTCTTGTATTTCCTGGACTTTCCTGTCTCCCTGGACTTTGAACGGAACGCCCACGTGATCGATGGACCTTCTGGCTCCAGGCCAATCCCAGACATCTACTTTCCTCCAGGTCGTTGCTGCCTTTTTGTCCAGCTTCAACCCATTGGAGCCCAATTGGTCTGTAATCACCCTCTTGTGAGCTGTGGTGCTCCTAACTAACATGCCGGATTGTAGGGACAAAGTTGTGCCATTTGGAGCCTACTTCTTTTTCCGTTGATGTCCTTCTCTGCCTTCATCACAGTTACTTTGCCGGAAAGTGGTTGAACAGCACACTAACCTTCACCCCAGCGACTACAGTTTTGCTGCTCAGCCCAACATGCTTTCCTCCAGTGCTTCTGGGATCTTTTCTTTTTGTCAGACAGGACCAGCGGACCTGGGTGGTTCGTCCTGGGATGCGACAGTTGAAGGATCACAGAACTTCCCAGAGTTTCCAGATGCCGCGGAGTATTACACCGGAGAGGCCGAGGAGTTTGTTCTTCCCTTTGACCAGAACACCCCCAAGCCGGATCACGCAGAGGCCATGGATGATTTTCAAGCCAGATGGACACCTGCAGCCGCAGTCGATAGCAAGGCTCTGAAGGCAGAGCCGATGCGCAGAGGAACTTCGCGCAGCTCTACCGGGAGCCACAAGCACAGGAGCACCAAGACATCAGCAGCATCAGCCAAGAAGAGCCGGTCAAGGGTGCAGTCAATCCTCTCACAGGCGTCTTCACAGATGTCCAAACTTGACATGACAGGTAATCCAGCCCCTGCCTACCATGATGGCGCCGTGGCAGCCGGCCGCATCATGGACGTGCAGCAATACCTTGCTCAGGACCTTGACACCCTTTCTGTGTCTTCACATGTGAATGGACCCGTCTTTTATCCCGGAATGATGGGTTACCCGGATGGTCTACCCTACTCTGGAGAGGTCGGTGCCGGCGTAGCCCAGCACGTGAACCCCCAGGTTTTCGATGCTGGCCTGATTGGGGCCTCGCCACACTCTTGGGGCTCGCTGAGCCCGGTTGATTCCCGGTTGTCTTCTCCTGGGATCCACGACGGATCGGATGATGTCTGGTCTGCGGTCCCGTCCGCGTCTTCACCCGAGGAGAGCCAGAACTCAAACTCGCCGCCTTTGCCAGGCCAGTCACCCAGGTATGTTGCCGCTCCAGGCTCGCTGTCCAAACCCTTGTCTTACAAACTGCGTCACGTCAGGATGAACCGGAAGTTGGATGTCTCCAAATATGTTACCAACGAGGACTTGCATGCAAACTTCCCCGTGGTTGGAGAGGATGCTTTCTCGCTTCCCCACCCTGCCTATGTCGCTTCTCGTCGCCTCAGCGGCGAAGGTGAGTCTGCACGGGACCATCATCTTTACAAGAATGCATTCCCCCAGGCGGACGGGCTGTTCCACTGCCCATGGGAGGGTCAGTCGGGCTGCAACCACAAGCCTGAGAAGCTCAAGTGCAATTACGAGTAAGGGTGTTCGCTTCTCACATTCCCCGCCCCAGAAACTAACATTCAACCTCTAGCAAATTTGTGGACTCCCACCTGAAGCCTTACCGCTGCAAGGTTGAGGGTTGCCAGAATGCCCGGTTTTCTTCCACGGCCTGCCTACTCCGCCATGAGCGTGAGGCCCACGCCATGCATGGCCACGGCGAGAAGCCTTATCTGTGCACCTACGAAGGATGTGAGCGCTCCGTTGCCGGCCATGGTTTCCCACGCCAGTGGAATCTGAGGGACCACATGCGGCGCGTGCACAATGACTCCGGCGCGGCCGCCCAGCCTGCATCTCCCCCGGCGTCGGCATCCACCGCTGCGTCCAACAGGGGTCGTAAAAGGAAGAATGATGTCCAAGAAAAGCAGCCCAGCCAGGAGAAGTCCGGCTCTCGAAAGCCGGCTAACAAGGGCGCCGAGCCAGCACCTAAGCAGGTTGAAGTTGTCTCCAGTTCGGAGCTTGACCAGTGGTACGAGCACCAAAGGGCACTCCAGAATTTTGTCCAGGGTTGCATCCAGCCGGACGATCCCCAGAGCCTCCAGTATATCAAGGATGCCCAGGATCACCTTGCTGCCATGGGGAAAATCTCGCACGAGCTGGTGATTGCCAATAAGGCCGAGGTCCTCCGGGGCCCCTACCGCCGATCTTGGAGAGGTTGAACGACTTGGTAAGTTCACATCAGCAGTGCCCAACCACTGTCATTTTGCTAATTGTCTTTGCCGCAGCTAGGACCCATCTGTTCCCCTGGACTTGCTTCTGGATTAGACACGAGAGTCTCTGCAAGTGCAGGACTTCCGGAGCCACCACGCGCCACCATGGCGCACTGGATACCAGGACTTCACGATTAGCCGTCTCGGCACAATCCCCGCGCCGAGTCCGGAGGTCACCGGCAGCTCAAAAAGCATATGCGGATGCAAGCCACGAGAAGAAAACCCATGCCTTGTTGTCTCCGGGAATATGTGCTTGCTCCCTGCGCTCGTGGATCTGACCTAGAGATGATAGCTGTATGCTGTTTTTGTGAGAAGACTGCCATACAAGTGCGCAGTGTTGGACCAGGTTGAGAAAGGAATCTGCGGATTCCGACAAGAGGAGGAAACAGAACGAGACCATGATATGGCCTTGTAGAAGGAACCGCCTCATGTAGGCAATTGGGAGGAAGGCTTGCGGCTCATGACTTATGACTGATGACGATCTTTCTTGGATATGTTTTACTCTTGTCTTCTTTTTCTACTTGTTGTTTTACCTCTTCGTTTTTGATACTCTTTTGGTATGGCATGTAGCTAGAAACTAGTGGCAACATAAGGGCTTGTGCTGTTTGGGATACTGGACTTAGGGTGTTTTGAATCATCAAGATAGTGTAAGCCTCGAGGCAAGAAGTAACAGAGAACGTTGTTGTACACGGGGATTGAGTCGACTGAAGTTTGCTCCTGGCAGACCTCGATAGGTTCTGAGTGGCATTCACCGTGACTGTGGTATGGCCCTCTCGTGGTCAGGCGTATTGAACAAGCCACCACATGTGAATGTATTGTCACCTCAATGTCCCATGAATACGACGGAGATGCAAAGAAAGCAACGGCGGCCCGAGATTTCCGGTGTTAAGGTATGCATTTGTAGTCTCCCTACTAGTACTTTTTAAACGGCATGGGTTGCATTGCCTGGTCCCAGTCTCTCCCATCCATAAAAGTTCCTTGAAAAGGCGAATGTAATATAGAAAACAGGCTCGAAAATGATTGACAAGAATAGAAGCAGAAGAGTGATGCTCCTGGAGGACAACGCTTTCTCCAGTCCCCTCTCACCACACTCTTACCCATCCGCGCCCTATACACATCCACCTACTCCTTCAGCAGCAATCTCCCCATCCATGGATTCCTCACTCAATCCACCCTGACTGACCCCAACCATCTGCGTGTTGCTACTAGCACCCCTAGGAGCAACAGCAAAGTAGATCAGGGATCAGGTTCCAACCACTAGTGCTTAGTAGGAAAGTACATTCTTTAGTGGACAATCCTTAGAACACTGAGTAAGGTAGTGCAGCCTAGCAGAGCTCATCGAGGAAGCTGATCCTCGCCGGGGATGATGGTGCCGTTCTCGATGGCGGCGCGGTGGGCGCGGGCGACCATGCCGTAGGCGGGCATGTGGCGCTCCAGCCAGGGCAGGACCTCGAGGGCTCCGGGGGTGTTGCGCCAGTCGCGCATCAGGTCGGCGATGATGGCGAAGATGGAGACGACGTTGACTCCTGCGTTTAGGAGTTGGGCGTTTGTTATGTCGCGGATCTGTGGTTTGTTTGTTTGTTAGGGAGTTCATATTGGGATCATAGGGGGTAAGGTAAGAAAGGGGGGGGGGGTGTTGTTTGAGGAGAAACACAGACCTCCTTGCTAACTGTCCCACTTGCTTCTAGGTTGGCCCAGACGGAGTAGCCTTCAGCACGGAGCGAGCGGGCCAGGAAGGCGGTGCCTGGTTTATTTTTCCAGTCAGCAGCCCTCCAAAATGCCTGATGGATTGGAACAGTGGAAAAACGCACAAACGTCGGTGACGATGCCGCCAATGATAATCTGCTTCTTGCCGGTGGCCTTGATGGCAGCACGGAAGTCGGCGTTGTCCCAGGCGTCAACCTCGCCTTGGCGCTTGATCAGGGGCGCGTCTGGGTACATGTCGAGGATTTCCTGAGGGAGCGGGCCATTGGGTCCTGGGGGAGGGGGTTAGTACTAGCAGGCAACATATTTGACGAGGGACACGGACCAGTCTCGGCCGAGGTGCTCATGACGACGGGAAGGTTAAATAGTTGTCCAATGGCAGAGTGGGCGAGCATGTTGTGCTTGTAGAGGGTGGGATCTCGAGATTGGTTACAAGGTTAGCGGCTATTGAAGGGGTTCTCTCTCGGAGCTCGCTACATACCCCAGTCACGGGCAAGGTTGTAGAGGCCCTCCTGGAGGTCGAGGATCACCAGCACCTGGTTGTGTCAGTGGGACATTGTCCATATCCTGGATGCTCTGCTAATGACCATACAGAGTCGTTCTTGCTGAGTCTCTCCCATGGGAAGCCTGTTTGCTATCAGCGACCGCCAGCAAGGACAAAAGGACGGCGTGTCTCACTGTTGCTGGCCATGGCCGTGCCAGCCACGAGGGCGGCGGACAGAAAGGTGGTGGCATTGAACTTCATGTTGTCTTGGCTAGGAGAGTATGGAATAGAGAAGCTGCTTGATGTCCGCTGTCTTCTTTCTTGATCCTCAGCAGCAAGAGACAGGCACAAGCGGCCATTATATACACAGCTCCTAATCCACGTCGCCAAGCTTGTCAGAAGCCATCGTCCATCGTCTCTCTTCACCTTGCCTCTCTTGAAGTCTCTTCCCTACCCCATCCGGCTAGACGGCACTCCTCTGGCGTGAAGCATCGAGCACCAGAAGCGTGAGTTCAGCATTTGCTAAGTGCTTGATCAGCGTCGACGAGATTATGGTCATCCCGAGGTAGCATTCTGCACAAGGACGCCTGCAAGCGTCGTTGGAGCGAGTGGTGGTGTTTTGGGCGAATCGAGGTATGACCCCCGTGTGTTGGGCCGAACTGGCGAAGATTTTGCGAGGTGTTACTAAGCCACCAATGTGATTGTCCTGTAAGGCACCTGTAAGCAAGCCTAAGCAGCGTTGCCAAACGTTTATCCGTGCACGTGTTGGTATGTAGTTGGTACCGATGATTCAGCACCAGGCTGGCCAAGATCTTGGTGGTTCGAATATCAGAACTTATGTAATGATCAAGAAAATTACAAGATATTTGAAACTTCTTATACCGTGCATGCATCTGTAGGACTTCAACTGGCAGATTGTTATGGCCAGGTGGTACAAAGTACTGTAGTTTCTTCTTCTCCATTCATTTCTTTTTTTCGTCTATACAACAATACACGGTACTGTCCCTTATGCCATTAATATGGGCTGCATTTACAAATGTCAGGTAGTCCTGTGTGAGTATCGATACATAAGATAGCATTGAGCATCTCAGTTAGTGACGTGATGGTCATGGCGGTCTAGATTTCGCTGGGCTGAGATAAGCTGCTGGATAATTACGGATAAGGTGGAGCAAGCTAGTCCCTCCGTGGAACATGCCCCACTTATTTCCCGAAATGGGCGTTCCGGACCGGGCTACTCAAAACCCAGGCTGATGAGCGGGAGTGGTTCCGCTCCCAAGGGGTTCGTTCACCCCGCTATGAAGTACACGGGGAGAGCTGTGACACTAGCATTCGGGAGCGAACTGTCAAACATCGATGATCAGATATGCTTAGCTAGATATTTTAAGCTTATATACGGAGTATTCTTGCAGCGTTCCGAGTCCTCTATCGCACCCCGTCACTCTTCGCCACGGTTCTTGATGCAGTGTTCAGCCATCAAATTTAGAGCTCGGATTCCATATGGCGGCAAAGTTCAGGTACATACTGAACTGTACATACCGCAGGCTGCGGCATGTGTGACAACTGGCTGAAACCATCACATCTTCTCCTTCCTGCAAAGCTCTTCTGTGTAGCTGTGCCCTGACCACAAAATCCTCGAACTGCTGCCGTCACTCTGTCAGTCAACCGATCAACGCCATGTCATCGGGGGCTAAGTTGAAGCCACTTGTTGCAGAAATCAGAAGTTTCCGAGCTTCGCCGCAACCCTAACTTGGCGATGCTGCTTATTTAGCATATTGGTAGTGTGGTGTAGGTCAACATTCGGGTTACATTCGGGTTACACCCGGGTTTCTTGGTTACACCCGAGATTCCTTTCGCTCGGTCGTCTGCTCAGTCTTGGCTGCTTGTCTCTTGTATCAGATTTTGGCGCTAAGTTTAGGAGGATCTCCCACGCCACCCAGACCTTCTTCCTCTGCGAATCTAGTCATTCGTGTTTTGGGCGTCCTGACCAAGACATAATGTTATTGTTCTACTCCTCCCGGTTACTGGTTTCCTGATGATTGTCTCTGTTCATCGTTCTTCGCCGTGTTCCTTGTTGTTCTGTTCTAGCTGTTAACACCTAATCGCCATGGCCACTTCATTACGGTTTCTTTTACTCCTCGCCGGTTTGGCCCAGGGTCACAGCAACCTTGGCCATCAGGCACTATGCGGGCCGGGCCCATCTCTCATATTGTCCAGCAGCTCTCCAGTATGCCACGTTAGCCAGGGATATCAGTCGAATGTCACGGACAAAGACTCTATCTCTGGGAGCTCCCAATCTCAAAGTGAGACTGATTGGACCGGTGCCAGAGAGCACACTTGGACCCACACATCGCCATGTTTCCGAATGGGACTGTCAGAGCAGGAATATTGCGTCTTTGCAGATGTTAACTTTGCCGGGGGTAGAGGGATCTCACTAGTCATGGAATCTCGGCGAGCCAACTTCCTCGCAACAACCCCAGCCTTTGTCGAGCCTGAAATCAATGACGGCGTCAACCAAGACCTCGTTCGGACAGTCAGGGCCAAGTACGAGGTGAAAGAGATCCCCGGCAAAGGCATGGGCATTGTAGCTACCGAACATATCCGGCGCGGCGACCTCATCCTAGCCAACACGGCCTCGCTCATGATCGACTACGGCGCGTATTCACTAGGCACAGATGAATACCTCGAGCTGGAAGCGCGCGCGGTGGACTACCTGCCCAGCGCACACCGCGCTGCGCTTCTTAACCTGTCCTCGCACGACGGGACCTTCGCGACGCACGCTGAGCACGTTGACAAGGTGATTCGGACGAACGCCTTTGACATTTACCCCGACGACGACGAGGAGGGCTCCGAGATTCTGTTTGTCGTCTTCCCGGAGATTGCGCGCATGAACCACGATTGCCGGCCCAACGCCGAGTACCGCTTCGACCGCGGCACTCTGGCGCAGTACATCACGGCGCTGCGCGACATCTTCCCCGGCGAGGAGCTCACGCTGACGTACATCGACCCGGAGAAGCCGCGTGCCGCGCGCATGGGCAAGTTGGAGGACAACTGGGGGTTCAAGTGCACCTGCTCGCACTGCACCATGGACAGGGCGCGCGCCGACGAGTCGGACGCGCGCATCGCCCAGATCAAGAAGCTGTGGGATTCCAGAGACGAAGCCGGGCGCGGCAGCCCCGAGATGGCCGAGCTGATCATCAGCCTGTACGAACAGGAGCGGTTGTGGGGCAAGATGCCTGGTGCCCTTGTCTTTGCGGCGCTCGAGTTCAACGCCGCCGGCGACCCCTGGACGGCGGTCAAGTATGCGAGGCGGGCGATTGAAGTGTCCATCCCGATTTTGGGGGAGAACTCCAAGGAGGTACGCCAAATGAAGAAGCTGGCCGAGGACCCGCAGTCGCACTGGAGCTGGAATATCTCAGTCCGGGATAAGGAGGAAGCTACAGCATGAGCTTGGTTATGAGCGATGGATTACTAGTGGCATCGAAGAGCGTTGTTTGGGAGGTGTATACGTACTTAGCGCGCTTGTATGAGTGGGATTGGCGTTTGGGCGTTTGGGTTCCAAGTACGTTTTGATGAACAGGGTACACCATGGATCATGAGTATCAATGTATATAAGTCCGGGCGGTAGGGACTCCTGTCGGAGTTTGAGAGTGATAGTTCTGGTCGAACTATGTTGCCCGTGTGTATGGCATTGTTCTCTTCAACACTGCTTCAGTTGGGAGCCTGAAGTAAATTTCAGTAGAAGCGCAGGTCATTGTTGGTGGTCCTCATCAATCCGTCCTGTTTGAGCTCTAGCAAGCCAGCCCTTCACAGTCACAGGGCAAAAGGTGTGTTGATTTATTGCCTGTAGCGGAGGAAGCTCCTAGGCTCAACAAAGTGGAGTGCGGGGTAATTACAGCACCTCCTGCGGGTTGATGTCAACTGCTCCCAAACACTGGAAACTGCAGGCTGCTTTTCACCCTCCTAGGTACCCTACTGATCTCTACTTCAATTCATCTCTTTTCCCTTGACCCGCGCAGATCCTGCATTAGGAGACAGAACCTAGTCAGTGCTCGCAATGGCCGCCGATCCGCCCAAGGTCGACCCGGCCAAGGCGATCGAGGCACTCCGCGAAGCCCGCCCGCCAGCGACGGATCAATTCACCTATCTAACAATCATCGAAGCGAATCTTTGTCCAGAAATCCTGCCGACACTCAACGAAATCCTCCAAGATGCCGAACTCACCCAAGAAATAGGCTGGGACTTGGTATACAACCTCGTCGGCCTGCCCGGTTCTGAGGCCTGTTTGGAGACCATCGCTCGGCTTGGCAACCCGAGGGAGTTGATCCTCAAGGTGCTCGAGACTCTTGAGCTCATTAACAGTGACAATGAGGATGGAGACGACGGAGAGACGGGGCAAGAGGAGCAGGAACCAGCACCGGCAGTCACGTCAACGCATAAGTTCATCACCCTCCTCGGCATGCTCGCCATCCTCCACAAGCGCATCAAGACCAAGTACCCGAGCCGCTTCCTGGCCCAAACCTTACAGACTGTTTACAACACGTACCGGCCGAACCAGGAGATGACAGCCTCGGTCATTAACCTAGTCCACAGCCTGTCCGGGCAGCGGCGGCCCCCCTTGCCGACACGCAAGTCGAGCGTGAACGTGGCCAACCCTGACCAGGACGGGGACACGTCCAAGAACGCGCCGGACCCGGAGGCAGACAAGGACGAAAGGGACGATCCGACCGAAACCCAGCTGCAGGATAAGCTGTTGCTTAGCTTTGCGACGTGCGTCTTGGAGGCCTACGCCAACGGGAATGACATGGCATGGTCAGCGAGGCTGCTCGAGTTCTACAACCCTGAGAAGATCTTTCCGGGGAGGAAAACGCTCATGGCGGCATTCCGGGAGGACCAGGAGCTTCTTGCGAGGGATGCAATCGTGGGAAAGCTGGTGGTAAGCCCGCCTTCCGTTCCCTGTGCCCTGGATCGAGGACTAACCTTCACCCCTAGGCCCTCATCCACGACCTAGGCCTCGACTCATGCACCAAAACCTTCATTCAACAAATATGCGAAGGGCCAATGCAAAGCGATCCCCTGGCCGAGCCGGACGATCTGACCACAGCAGATAAAATCGCCCTCTCTACCGGCGGCTGCGTCTGCCTCATCGCCTACTGGATCTTCTCATCGACCATCTTCGACGCCGACCAGCCAGTTCCCGAAATGCACATCTTCCCTGAGCATTTCAACGCGCTGGATAAGTTCCTGCAGGACGACGCGCATGCGCAGATCCAAAAATCGCTCGGCACCATTGACTCCCTCGTCGCCATCGGCCTCTGGCTGCAGTCCAACAACCACGTCTCCCCAAACCCAACCTCCCCGTTGACCAACCCGACCACCTCCCCGGAGGACCCGACCTCGGACTTTATGCGCTACATCCACCTGACGACCCTCATGGCGCTGTACCACCCGCGCATCCAGGTGCGCAACGCGGCGAGCGCCCTCGCCGGCCTCGTCCTCCACGCCGACCCGTCCGACGACGACCGCCTGCGCATCCTGTACGACCTGCTCGAGAACTGCATGTTTGCCTCGCTCAAGGCTCTCGCTGTTGTCTGGCTAAGGGAGGAGTTCCTGCTGGCTTCTTCTTCTACTTGGACTACTGGTACTTCTGCTGGCGCTAAACAATCTGGCCTCGCGCTCAACAACACAGAGGGGCAGGGGCAGGGGCATAGTAATCATCATAATCCTACTCTATTCACCACCCCGCAGCCGCTGGAGATGCTGCAGTATGTCATATTCCCCCCGCTAGGGTTCCTCGCCGACGCCGAGACCGCGCTGGCGGACCAGGTGGAGTATCTGTCTGTCAACGCAGCGTTTTTGTTGCAGGCCGTCAATTTCGGTTTGTTTTTGTGGGGCGGGCATGGGAGCGATGGGCATAGTAATGCATGGGCCGCGGTGATACCGGCGAATTTGGAGGCTACCGTGAGGGAGAGGTGGTTTGACCCGCTCCGGGAGGCCGTTGAGAAGGTGGAGAGGGAAGGGAGAGGAGGTGGACGAGGAGTAGAGGGGAAAAAGACCGAGCTGGGACCGTTGGGTGGGGAGCTGGCCGTGCTGAGGGAACGGTTGGCTTGTTTGGACGAGTGTCCCGGGTTTAAAGTCAAGGAGTAGTTAGGTGGCTTGGTGGTGTATGTCTCTGTGAGGGTTGCTCAGCACCCCAGATGGAAGGAGGGCGCCTATTTCTGTTTACGGTTGATACTGGGAATGTGCGGGCTGGTGATGGTCTGGTCTTATGGTTAGGTTATGCTATGTATTCGAGGGAGGGGGGTTGCGGGTACGGTTTGGATGGGAATGTCTGCACGTTGTGCTGTGCGTGGGTACTGTAAGCAACAAAAATGGACATTACATCTGCTGAGATGCTAGCATACTGGGCTTGGAGCGGTACGCTACTGAGTACGGACTTGACGATCAGCATATGCAGACTTGTCGCGACGCATGGAGAAAATTGCCCTGCGATTTTGTTGGTGTTGAGCTTTTTGGATTGCCCCTGTTGTCATAGCTTAACTAACGGCAGGGCCCAGGCCAATGCCAAGCAATGCCCCGCAGACGCCAAGCCCCCCTAAATTGGGGCGGGTCCCAACAGCCCCTGGTCACCGTCACCAGCGATGATGTCATTGCTCGATCCAACCTGTCCAACCGCAGCTTAACTCCAGGAAGTATGGTGAGGAATGAAGTGCACCGGAGGTCCCCAATTGTTGTTGATTTCCATTTCTTACTGTACAGATTTAGGGAAGCAAATGGTAATTGTAGCTCCGCCAACACTGGGGTACACCATACATACCTTACAGTACAAAACCGTACCTCGCTCAGTTCAAACAAGCTTGCTTTCCTCCCAACTGCCGCAAAGCCACATGCTACACACTAGTGTAACCAACCAACCAGTAGCGGCATTTGGTCGACGACGTCAGGGACACGACTGCCGAGAACGGGCGTTCAGAGACAAAAGTGATAACCTAAGACAAATTACATAGAAGAAAACTGGGAAGACCGACACTCATTCTACATCCTTCAGCACCTCCATTTTACCCTGCCAAATATATCAGGAAGTAGCAGTCCTGGAATGGGTCCTTGTTGTTGTTGTTGATCCACAGAGCTATCCACTCCACTACACTCACCACCTACCTGTAGTGTAAAGTTGTTGTATACAACATCTTATTCAGCGGCATCACACTTACAAAGCCAACGATTCATCCCGACAACGGGCACCACCACCCATAGAAATGGCAGGCCACGCCGCCAGCCCAGACTACGATCCTGTGCGGGTAGAGAGCCTGGTCCTGCCCGCCGAGCAGGGCGGGCCGCGCGAGGTCAGCCTCGTCCGCGACGCCGCCGGCCACACCATCTACCCTTCCTATGTGCCACCCGTGACACAGTCGCCCACCAGTGCCAGTGCCTCGACACAACCCTCACAATCTACAGCCAAGGAAGAGCCTTCGGCGGCCGGGCAGCAGCCAACACCAACACAGCCAATCGGCAAGCAATGGGCGACTACCGAGGAAGCCCGTCAGGACAGCGGAGCCGGCGCACCGGCGCCGGTGACGAACGTTTCCTCAGGGGTGCCACCGCCACCTGCTGAGGTCAGGGATGCACATGACAATGGGTCATCGAGCGACAGCAATTCGTCCTCCTCGTCAGAGGACGAGGGCGAGAAGCACAAAGGCAAGAAGACTAAGAAGAATAAGAAGAAGCGGTCCAGTGACCCGTACCGCCGCCTCCGCCTGGCAACGCCCGACTTCCTCACCAAAGGCCACATCTCCAAGCGCGACGGCCGCCTGAGCATCTCGCTGCGCGACACGAGCAACACAGGGTACCTGGCCAAAGCGCTGGGCACCGCCGCACGCAAAATTGTACCGCCCACAGAACCACCCCGGGACACCGATGGCGCTGCCGACGCCGCCGCGCCCTCCTCGTCGACAACAATCACCCCGCAACAACCGGAACCCATCCCAGAAGAAGAAGAAAAAGAAGCAGCAGGGCCCTGCCCGCGGCTGAACATCGTAATAATGGTGATCGGCTCACGCGGCGACGCGCAGCCGTTTCTAAAGATTGGCAAGCTGCTGCATGAGAATTATGGGCACAGAGTGCGCATCGCGACGCACCCGGCGTTTCGCAAGTTTGTCGAGGAGGACTCGGACTGCCCGGGGCTCGAGTTCTTTTCGGTGGGCGGGGACCCGTCGGAGCTCATGTCCTTCATGGTCAAGAACCCGGGCATGATCCCGACGCTCGAGTCGGTCAAAGCGGGCGACGTGTCGCGGCGGCGGGCGGCCATGGCCGAGATGTTTGAGGGCTTTTGGCGCGCGTGCATCAACGCCACCGACGACGAGCGCGACGTGAGGAACATCAAGATGATGGGTCGCCGCGACCCCTTTGTGGCTGATGCCATCATTGCGAATCCGCCTAGCTTTGCCCACCTCCACTGCGCCGAGGCGCTGGGCATCCCGTTGCACTTGATGTTTACCTTCCCTTACACGCCAACGCAAGCGTTTCCGCATCCCCTGGCGAGCATCAAAAAGTCGAATGTGGACCCGGGGTACACGAATTTTATCTCGTACCCGCTCGTTGAGATGATGGTCTGGCAGGGGCTGGGCGATCTTGTGAATGATTTTCGCGTCAAGACCCTGGGGCTGGATCCCGTCTCAACGCTGTGGGCGCCGGGAGCGACGTATCGCCTTCATGTCCCGTTCACGTACCTGTGGAGTCCGGGGCTGGTGCCTAAGCCGGAGGACTGGGGAGACGAAGTGGACGTGGCAGGATTTGTATTTCTCGACTTGGCATCGTCATTTACTCCGCCGGATCCGCTTAGGGACTTCTTGGAAAACGGTGAGGAACCGCCTATATATATCGGCTTTGGCTCCATCGTTGTTGATGATCCGGACCGGTTCACCGAAATGATCATCGAGGCCGTCAAGCTGGCAGGAGTGCGCGCGCTCGTGTCCAAGGGATGGGGTGGGTTGGGGGGCGACAGCCTCGATGTGCCCGACAACGTGCTCTTGCTGGACAACACCCCACACGACTGGCTCTTTCCGAGGATCAGAGCGTGCGTTATTCACGGCGGGGCGGGGACTACTGCCATCGCGCTCAAGTGCGGCAAGCCCACCATGATTGTGCCCTTCTTTGGGGACCAGCATTTCTGGGGAACCATGGTTGCAAACGCGGGCGCCGGACCAGAACCAGTGCCGTACAAGCAGCTGGATGCAGAGAAACTGGCTGAGGGGATCAAGTTCTGCATCACCAAGGAGGCCAAGGAGGCTGCGGAGAGGATCGCACGGTCCATTGAGAAGGAGGGTGACGGGGCAGAAAATGCCTGTAAGGCGTTCCACAAAAACCTGTTCATGAAGGGGAAAAGGTCAATGAGATGCTCCATTTTCCCCGACCAAGTTGCTGTGTGGCAGATGAAAGCGACCGGTTTGAGACTGAGCGTGCTTGCGGCCGAGTTACTGGTGCAGAGGGGTTTGGTGTCGTGGAAAAAGCTGCGACTGTTGAGGCATAACGAGTGGAATGACTTTGAAGGACCCGGGGAACCGGTAACGGGGGTGGCTGGGTCCTTGATGACTTCAGTAGGGGGCGTGGCTAAAGGTATCGGTGGGGTACCGTATCGGGTTGCCAAAGGAATGAAGAGGAGGAGAGAAAGGAGAAAGAAGGACGGAGGGAAGAGTACTGGATCAGGGGCCACTGATGGCCAAAAGCCGGACGATACAGGGTCTGGCGGTTCCGCCCAGCCCGACAAGCCCAACAACCAGAATGATCTCCCCCACGTCGAGACATTGACCACCAATGCTCTCCACCGCCGCGGAACCGCGGCTACCTTCGCCAGCAGCCCCGCAAAAGACGTCGTCCGCCAGGTCGGTCGTGGCGCATATAAATCGGCCTCAGCACTGGCTCGCACGCCCGTTGACTTCACCTTAGCTCTCGCCCAAGGATTCCATAATGCGCCCCGTTTATACGGAGACGACACGGTACGTCGTCCGACGCGAGTAACTGGCATCAAGTCGGGGCTGAGGGCAGCTCGCCACGAGTTTGTGTACGGGATCTACGACGGATGCACCGGCGTCGTAGGTCACCCGCTCCACGGTGCCCGTGACGGCGGGTTGAGGGGGTTCGTGTCGGGTGTGGGCATGGGGTTAACAGGTTTTGTCCTGAAGGACCTTGCTGCGCTTATTGGGCCGATGGGTTACACCATGAAAGGTATTGTCCAGCAAGTCAGGCGGGGACGGCGGCCAGTGAAGTACATCAGGAGAGCGAGAATTGTGCAAGGGAAGAGGGAAATTGAGGATTTGGACACGGCTGAGAGGAGTGAAAGAGAGCACAAAGTCATCTCTGGATGGAGACTGATGGGACAATTGTGGGAGGAGATGAGACGAGCGGAGAAAAAACAGAAAGGGATGAGGGCAATGCTTGGGGGTGGCAGGAGGAGGTTGAGGAGAAGTCGGGAATGGAATGCTGCATTTGAAAGCGTAGAGGTCGCGGAGAAAGTGTTGAATGCGTTGAAGAAAGGGGAGGGTCTCGAAGCTGTCCTAGCCAAGGACATGGACAAGCCTGGAGCGTTGGCCGCTTTACCGGCTGCCAAAGAGATGCCCAAGCCTGGTTCGGTGCCGGACAGAACGGCCGACAATCTGGTGGATCCGGACCCGGACACGGAGGCGGAAGAAGAAAACCCCTTCTCAGCGGCGACCCCGGCAATCGCTGAGAACAAGACCGAGAACAAGGAGACAATGGCGGCTCTTGACGGCCAAGCGGCCCAGGCCCTCACCTGATATTACTTGGTTAGCAGAGGAGCTAGTCCCCTGAAACAGCCGTCGAGCTGTGCCGCGGGAAAAGTTTCAATCAGGATGCCGCATTCATTGCGGGGCACGCGACTTTGGCGTAACACGGCAGCATGTCGGCGACTCGGCGTGGAGTGCTAATGCCTGTGGATGTGGAGTTGTGATGCTGCGGAACTTTGCGGGGACTTTGGCAGTGTGTAATGTTGTATGTACATTTGGGCTCGCGCTTCCTGATACCCCTTTGGATTGTCCTGTCGATAGCTTCCGGTAGAGAGTATTGCATAAGTAATCACTACAGCACTTGAGTTAATGAAGGTTCAGTTAAAGCGCCTTTTCTCATCGTGGTTGGACCGCGTATGATGAACAAATCTCGCCTCTTTTTCGCACCTGCCGGATGCGGGCGCAGAGATGTCCAAGGAGACGGTCGACCGTTGAATCGCTGTTGACCGAAGGATACTGTATGTATTACGGTGCCTTGCAGCTGCGGCACAGCGCGTCAGCAAACAGATGGTCGACATTCAGGTTTGGGGAAGATGGAAGAAGTTGGATGGGTGACATTCCGAAGTTGCAGCCCCGAAAAGGGTCTGCAAGTTCTGGAAACCTTCCGAATTGGTAATTGGGGTTGTGCATAACGACGGAAAAAATGCAATCATTATTACACGATTCAAACTCGCATGGCCGAGAACTTTTTGCTTCTGTGTAGTTTCTCTTTAAGAGAGGGATGCGTTAGAGTTATAAGACCATTTAGGTTGAGTGAGTTGTTCGAAGTCGAGAAGTTGTCGTTAAACTGGAAGCTGCAGCTTGGACAGTGGTCGTCTGAAGTTGGAGAACTGTGGGTCACACTGCAGCCGTAATTTAACTAGCGTACTGTACCGTAAAATACACATGCAGCTAAGCCAGGGGAAAGTGGGTCTTGCTGCCCACCGCGTATTGTACTGTAACGTTAGGCAGCAAGCTCAGCGGAAGAAGGAAGGAACTGAAGACTTGGACAGTGCGACGACCATCACGATCGTCGCCCTCCCGGATTTCAAGTTGATGAGTGTCATGGTTGAAGACTTGGTTAGGAGCAACAACCACTGCAACTGTTGGCGTCTTCATGTTGCCTATTCTCCATTCCCCGGCCCCATCAAGGACAGCAGCCACAGCACCCATCCAGGCGGCGCACCCGACGTCGCAGAATGCCACACCTGTCGCTAAGCATCAGCACTAATGATGCAGATTACGCGCGCTGGCGCAACGTGTTGGCTTGGTCAGCGAGCGAGCGATGGCCTTTGAGGGTGACTTACGGGGGCCAGACGCGAGAAAGCGGCCGCACCGGCGCTTAACGGAAAATTGACCCTTTCCGTCAATTGAACGTCCTTTTTGGGCGATCCCCAGACTCGCCGAAGACCGCCATGGAGGTTGTGAGTAACAGCGAGGGTCTTGGATGACGGTCCCGGCCTTCGGTTGCCGAATCTATGGGACCCGGTGAGGGCAAAGCTGACTGTGAATACCTAACCAGGTAGGTATGTGTGTATGTAATGGAAGGTAGTAATGTGCAATATTACGGGTAGCATTCCTATCAGTCACTGTGCCGCATCTCATTCTCGCCTCATTCTCCTCCAACCTTCCTCTCTCCCAACTTCTCATCCCTTTCATTCATTCACTTCGGCTTGTGGCCGTCATGTAATCAACAACCCGGGCAGGAAGAAGACGAGAGCAACGACCACAGCAGACACCGGTGCTGGCCCTCGCAACTCTCAGTCTCGGGCTATAACACCATGGCCCTCTGGCCTCAACAACGGCCCCTCCGCAGCCCTCGCGACGATCTTATCCAAGGAACTGACATTGAGCTCGCGCCCGCCCGCCGCACTTTCCAGGAACACTACAGCAACCCGGGACTGGAAGTCGTTGAGCACTCGAATCTCGAGGTCTCTCGTCAGGCTCAGGCTCAGGCTCAGCCCTTTGGCTTCCCCCCGTCGTCCCCCTTCTCATTCAACTCATACACACCACCGCCCCCTCCTGTGCTGCACAAACCATCGTGGGACAAACTACCAAGCTACGGCGAGGCGAGCAGCACCACGCCTCGATTAAACACCTCTTATACTTTCCCCGGTTCTGCGCCTGACTACAGTGCCATTGACTTTACGAGTCCGTTTGATCAGCAGCCGCTGGTAGCCGGGGACGTCAATGGGGGAGGGGGCGGGAGGTCTGGCGCCGGCGGGAAGGGGATGAGGGAGAGGCTTTGCGCTGTAAGGAGGCGACTGCTTTGGGTATTGATAGGGGTGGGCGTGTTCTTGGTCGTTTTGGCTATTGCCGTGGGGGTAGGAGTCGGGGTATCTGGGAAGAAAGGGTCGTCCGACGGAAGGTGAGTCTGGCTCCATTTTGCCCTCCGCAAACCTCTCGCTGTCCATCTCTATCCGCACGCTTTCCAACCCAACCCTCTGGCAACGAAAACGAAACCAAACGTACCATCCACTAACCATCTCCCTAGCACCTCCACAACGGCAAGTAGCACCACCGCCGCGGCGCTCCCAGCCGCGCAAGCCACCTCCCCTCTACCGCTCCCATCATCATCATCATCTTCTTCTTCTTCATCATCCTCCCCGGACGTCATAACCTGCCCGGCCAACAACCTCACCCTGTACACCTCCCAAACCAGCACAGCCCGCAGGTACCTTCTACTGTGCGGGCGCGACTACAACTCCAACAACAACCGCGGCACCATGGACATGTACAGCGCCCCCGCCGATTCCATGGCCGTGTGCATCGACCTTTGTGGCGCCCAGGAGGGCTGTGTCGGCGCGGGCTGGGGGAAGGGTATCTGCTGGCTCAAGAGCCGGTTGGGGGAGTTTAATGAGGCAGATGGCTGGTATTTTGCTGCTGTTGTTGAGGATCCAAACGCGGATGCAGGTTAAGGGATGGTTATTACTTCCTTACTTGCTTACTGACTAGTACCTTCTGAGCCGGGGGATTGGGGGGGGGGGAACGGGGGGAGGGTTCGAACTGTAACATAGTATACCCGTGGGTTCTGGCTTTTCGGTCGGTTTTGGTTGCTTGGGGGGAAGCATGGTTCGGGATTGGGAAACCCTTTGGGTCAGGGGCTGGATGCTTTGCCTAACAGGCTCAGGCCCTGCGGGAACTGGCGCTGGCTGTTTTCTGTTGGCGTTGATGGGCTAGCGTTGGCTTAATGGCTTAAAACGAGGCTGGGTGGCTGCATGGGGATTGGGGAAAAGAGGTGTCGGCTTTTTGACGCTCGGGAGGCGGTTGTAACGTGTGTGTGTGGTGTTCGGTCATGAAGGTCTTGATACCAACGATTTCTTTTGTTTGTAGACTTATTTATTATTTGATGGACAGTATATACAAGCTGCTTGTGGCAGTGGGAGACGTTGATTCAAGGCACCGTATCTGGCCTCGCTAAGTGACTAACTTCGGCCGTTGTCCCCTGAATGCCTATAACCACTTTCCAGTCGTCCCAATTCAACAAGCAATCAAGTTACAAGCTGCGTGGCGCAGCGGAAGCGCGCCGGGCTCGTAACCCGGAGGTCACTCGATCGAAATGAGTCGCAGCTAGTTGTATTTTTTTCCCCTGTCTCCATGTTCGCCCGGATGCGGGAACATCAATCTCCCAGAGCACGCCATGCTCAAAACACCAACAATCACCCAACTCATTCATCACCTCAAATAATAATCCAACCCCAGCCCCAGCGCCTCGCACTGCTCCAACTCCCTAAACCCCTCCGACCTCGACCGCGGCCAGTCCAGCGCCCTAAGGACCATCTTCCCCTTGGTACTCGGCCTCCACTCCCCAGCCCTCTCCACCTGCTCCAGCGTCTTCGTATACCCCCTCGCTTTCAGGTATCCTTTATCCGGATTGGGATCTCCAGTCCTGATGAAAGCCGCGAACGTGTCGAGCACAAACTGCTCAAACGGCAAATCGCCCTCGTCTCGCACGGGCCTACCCTGGCGCGCCAGGGTGCCAAAAACATAGTACAGCTCGCCCGAGTGGCAGCGGAGGTAGGGCTTGGACGGGTCGCCGTGCGGGTGTGACGCGGTGCGCGGCGCCTCGCACACGTTGAGCGCCGGCCACCCGCCCGTCTGGTAGGTGCGGTCGAACTCGTAGTAGTAGACAGATTCGAACCGGCGGGAGGATAACCCCGCGAAGGCGGTCGCCTGGTCGATGCACCGGAAGATGCCGTCGGTGGCGATGCGCGAGGACGAGTTGAACAGGTCCAGCGTCGCGTTGCCCGTGTTCGGGAGCGGGAACAGACTCAGAGTTTCCGGAGGCAGAGAGAAGCCCCGCGCGGCGAGGTACTCGGTTTGGTTGGTGGTGGTGGGGAAGCTGATGAAGGGCGCTCCGTCGTCGCGCGTGATGCCCATCATCAGGCGGATGGGCAGGCGGGGTCCCGTGAGTGGGAGTTCGGGAGAGGTCAGGTAGGTCCCGTCCACGACGAGGTAGCGCACGTCGCCGAGCTGGGTGAGGGTGTGCGCGGGGAGCACCCGGAGACAGTCGACCTGGGACGGGGCGTCGGTGCAGTTGGCGGCGGCGAGGAACGGGTTGGCAGCGACCGTGACTTGCTCGTCGATGGTGTAGTAGCGGGAATAGGTGGTGCCGTAGTTGAGGCCGCCCAGGTTGCTGAGCAGGATGGCGCCAGAGAACTTACCCGCGGCCTTCGGCGACGCAATCAGGGCCCTGACCGACCCGGCCCCGGCAGACTGGCCAAAGATGGTGATGCGGTCCGGATCGCCGCCAAAGTTACGAATGTGCGCGCGGACCCAGTCCAAAGCCGTGACCTGGTCCGCTAGACCAAAGTTGCCGTTGGTGACACCATCCTTGAGCGCGAGGAACCCCAGGGCTAACAGACGGTAGTTGATAGCCACCACTACCACGTCTCCTCTCGATGCCAAGTTCCCGCCATCGAAGGTCGGGTCGTTTGCTGTGCCTCCAATGAAGGCACCCCCGTGAATCCAAAATGCCACAGGCAGGAGGTCCTTCTTCTTGGGCTTGGAGTTCGGGTTTGGGAGATAAGGCGTCCAGATGTTGAGGAACAGACAGTCTTCGCTGCCGGTGTTGGACCCCTGGGCACACTGCGAGCCGTACGACAGGGCAGAAACAGATTCTCCGGACCCCTTGAACAGGGTAGAATAGGTAAACCTCTTGGGTTCGGGGGCAAAGCGGATTCCCAAGAATCGGAAAGACAGTTGGTCCCGGAAACTATGAGCTTGTCAGCTGCAACCCTCCTACCCATTTTCCACTACGTCTTGAAAACTGTTGATAACGTACCCTGTGAGTGTCTGGTTGTTCACGTCTAAGCTAATTTGCCACTTCTCGCTCGTGTCTTGGAAGTTTTGGGTCGAGTACGGTGCTGTATTGGTGCACAAGCCCGGGTGCCGCTCATGCGGACCTGGCTTGGTCCTGCTGTAGTCCCCGGACACGGTCATCGCGGCGAAACCGGAATCCGAGACAACCCAGAACGCTGACGAGGCGTTGGCTGCCCCTTCATACTGCAGGTAGTCAGAGAATGGCAGCGCTTTCGTGCCCCTTGTTTGTCTGGGGCGCGGAGACTCAGGCCGCCATACTCGCTCGCCGAGTTTGGCACAGACGCGATCCGCATCCTGGTAGGAACGGGGCTCCGTGACTATCACCGCCTGGTTTGCTTCGGGACTGTCCTGGCCTGGTACAGTCAGATCATCTCCTCAACAGCAGGGATAAGTAGAAGCATACATACCTTGGAGATCATTGTTAACCAGGATGGTCAAGCTTGTATCCAAGCGCTTGAGGGACTCCCCGACAGCCAAGCTGGCGAGAGCGGCCAGTGTCACCCCGATGGAAAGCATCTTGTGAGTGCCCGCGACGCTATACGGAGAGACGAGAGAGACATGGGGCAAGAAGGGCCAGAACGATTGTTCCTGATTGCACCCTTAATATGGAGGTTCCGTAGCCGCGGGTCCGGCGGCCAACCGCATGAGTATCGCGGTACCTCAACACACCGCCTCCGCAGCCTTCTGGCCGCGAGCGGTAAGGTGTGCCACTTGCTCGGCCCACGATCCCGTTTCCGAGATTATTGGACCCAAGTTCTCTTGTGCCCAAGATTGGCCTGGATCTCGCGATGAGCTTGAGGTTGGAGCCCGGCTAATGATAAACCCCTGGCAGCCCTATGGTATCAACCAACCTTTTAACCATATTTATATGCATGTACAACAAAGCTGACCCTGTTTCGTAGTGATGTTATCATAATGAACCCCCTACATTTGCGATGTCGAACCCGGCCCCGTCTTGCCCTCGAACGCGGCACTGGACTGTTGCTATCAAGGGTGACTGGGTGCAGCTTCATGCTGTGTACGGGGTTGAATACAACGTCAGAGATGGCTTTTACGGAGAGCTGGCGAGATCCCTAGTGTGAGTAGCATCGGAAATGCAGCCTTGAACAGCCTAAATGGAGAGCCCGCTCCGCCGATGGAGCTTTGGGGTAGCGGAGGGCTCGGTGAGGGGTAAGGTGGAAACCTTTTTTGCTGAGTGAAGATGGTTGAAATGCGGGCTTGCTGCCGACCTTGACAGCCGATCCGCCGCCACAGCATTTTCCCATCCGTCCGAGAGAGGACTGACTCCATAGCGCCATCTTGAGGCTCAAATCCGGATTTCCCCCAGCGGCTTGACCACGTCCTCGTGGAGCACCATGGAAAGTCGCGCCGCGACTTGGTCATCCGTCTCGTCATCGCCCTCTAGCAGACCCAATTCCTTCCCTCCTGCTATACACTTTCGCGCGGCAGCCTCGTACACGGCACCCATACAGGCCCCGAGTTCTGCAATCTGCTCCTCGGCGAGCAGGCTCTGGCGAACTTTCAGTGCAATGGATGGTCGTCCCCTGGCCGCGCTCATGTCGATATTGAGAACCTTCTCAACCGTCGCCCAGTGCGCGATCTCGACGAAGAGCACGCCGAGGCTGTAGATGTCGAAGCTCTTCTTGAATCGTTCGCGTTCGCTGGGGTTGGTCGACTGCGCATGCGGGTGCCTATAGAGGTTGTACTCGACATCGTCAGGGATGTCAGTCAGTTCATCGGCCCGAGCAGGCCTAGAAAAGTCAAAGCCGGACAGATACGGCTTCGCGTAATCGACGTGCCCACTCCGCGTCCGGAAGAATATGATGTTGTGGCTCCGTAGCCCCTTGTGCAGCCAGTTGACGGCATGTAAATACAAGAGACAATTGCTGATGGCATGCGCGAGCTTGACCCTGTCCGTAAGGCGCGGCTTGCGGGAGTCTTCCAACAAGTTCCGGAGTGAGGTCGGTGGCAGACTCGTGTGCAGGCCATCATCGACCGGCCTCTCAAAGACCAGTCCAAGGCGCATATTCAGAATGTCCTGGTCTTCGTCTTCTATCCCATCCGAACTCGCCTTGTCGAAGAAGCCAAGACAATGCGGCGTCCTAAACGCCTCGGGTTTCGGCTTGTGATTCAAGAGGGCCGCTAGTCTTCGCACTCTCTCGACGATGACATCTTTGGGTGGTGACAGATCTCCGGGTCTCTGACGCTCATACTCTTTCCACTCCACCCAAACCTTCTTCTTCGCGCCATCTGGAAGACGCAGCGTAGCTTCACATCTGGGCAGGTCCGATTCTTCAGCGGCCTGGTCAAGCTCGACCAAGGACCGGTCAAGGACAAGATGCCTCTGATCACTGGGCTTGCCCAGCTCCAAGCACATTGAAGTGGCCTCGTCCCAGGGCGTCTTCTTGTTGGATTCGATCGACTCGTTGAAGGCCTTGAACTTGGCGAGCTGCGACAAAAGCTGAAGGCTGTCGGCATTGGCGCGTTTTTGCGCCATTGACATTTGCGAAGCCGGTAGGGGAGAAGCAGCCTCGAGCTTGATGTTCAGGGCCATGACGAGCCGGGACAGGTCGGTTATCTTGTGATGTAGCTGGAGTACACCGCGGTTTGTGTCCTGCACAGTGTGATGAATCTCAACCTGCATCCGCGCGTCCAGGATATTTGTCATGCTATCGTTGAGGGTTGAGAACCTCGAAAGCAAAACTTCAAAGGCGGCCTTGTCAAACGAGACCCATTTCAGGCGCTCGACGGCTTCCTGGGATGTCTCGCCCAACTTGTTCATGGCCTTCTTGATGAAGTCCCTCCGCCGTTGCGGTAAGGGGAAGTTGGCATCGGCAGCATCCTTTTCTGGCCTTTGGAGGATGTGGTCTGGGTCAGGGGCTGTCTGGAGACGCTTGTGACGCTTCTGGTGCTCCTTGAACTCTTTAAACAGACACTCAACCTGCACCAGCAGATCCAGGACGGTCTGGCGATGCAGGACAAACGTGTTGGATTCGAGGATCTTTTGGCTGTTCTTGGCGTCAAGATCAAGGAGTCCCGACGTCTCGCTCCATGCGAACAGCCTCTGCTGCTCCATGCGCAACCGCAAGTTGAGATACTTGCACTCCTCGGGGAATCCAACGGCTGTGATGAGGAGTTGGATCCCCTGGATGCACCCTGTGTATACTTGGAGGCCGATTGACGCCACGCCAACGGCGAGTCCGGCCGCAGAGACAGGGTCCATTGCTGCGAGCCGTCAGCCAAGGGGACAGAATAGGAAATGGGCACATGTTGTGGGTTGGCTACAGGAAGATTATGCGATGCCCGCATCTTTCGACGCATTCGACGCATTCGATGCATATCCATGGATACATACCGTACAGTGCAGTTCTGCGGATTCCCCGGACCGGAAGGGCGAGTTGAAGCTATCACCCAAAAGAAAAAGAAACAGGCCGATATCCGTGAGACATTGTCGATTCGTCCATCGCCTCGCGGCAGCCCCTCTCTTCTCCGACAAAATTTGATTGTGCAGTAACGTTAGTAACTAATTGATTAGTAGCCAGTCAAAAACATTTTAGGACTTTCGAGTAGTTCCGATTGCACCAATTCTCCGACGGTCCTAGGCATCTCACCTTTCTCATCGAGCAGGTGCAGTGCCAGTGTAACACGTCCTGTGTATCAGGACAAGTCGATAGTTTTGAGATCGATTTCAGATTGAGAAAATCAGGTGGAACCCTAACCCTTGCATTGAGACCAGCTCTCTTTTTGAGACAATGAATTCCATAGCGTGCGGTGCTAGTTTCTGTATCGACACTAAAGTCAGCCAGAAATCCTCACAGATCACCGTGGAATTTGGCCGACTGGCTCATCCATCTTAACCGTTTGGCTAATTCATGTATGTTTCATTCCTGGGTGCCGTACCCAGCATGTAAGTAAGATCCTTAACTGAAGACGGAGGGGAACCCCCAACATGACCATATAAGGAGCTTCGGCCATTTCACGTTCACGCTGTTTGTAGTCAGGTCCTTCTCCTAAGACAGCCTGGTCCCGACTCTCAGTAACACAGCCTTGCACAAGAAACATTATATTACGGCGGTGAAATTAGAGTGCGGAATACACAGTTATCTTGACCCCGCACAAGTGGCTTTTAGTCTAGACGTTGCGAAACGTTCGGACAAGCGAGTCGCTAGCCACTCTCGACCACGTGCAAGCTGATTGATTCAAGCTTTTATTCTCCTTTCTTGGAGGAATTGCCGCGATTGGTAGTGTGTATTCTGCTTGCTCCCCCGTTCAACTACGTTCAACGTCCGGGCAGTCTCCACCTTTGCATGATTAGCTTGCTCTCTTCGGTGCCGAGTTCACCACATCACCGTCCGCCGTCTGCAGCCCGAATCTTCGAATCGTTGACCGTAGAAAGCTCTCGGACGACAAGTGTCGTGGGCTCGCTGTGCGCCAGGGTTGCATTCTTCCTGTCTTGACCTGCAAGGGGCCCATGGCGGCGCCAATCAGAATGAACGGCCTGTTGAGATTCAGCTGAGCAGGTTCGCGTCCTGTTGTACGCCCAGCGCTGCCCATTATCAATCAGAGAAATTGGGTGTCCCCAAGACAAGAGCCCTGTAGCAAAAGTGGCACGCAAATGAGGATTTGCCTGGCGTTCAAGAGGCCAGTGTTACCGCTGGACTCGCCATTCCTTAGAATCCCCTTTGCTCTTTCCTCAACCAAACTGTTTCCCTTTTGACCGCCTCCTCAGAACGACGTTGACGGCATCGCGCGATATACTTGCCCCTCGACCAACGATACACTTGCTAGAGTAAGCCTCAGTAAGGCAGTTAGTTACCTTGGGGTGGACCCAAGGCTTTACCTTATTCTACAACACCGGCCGAGACCGTTTTGCCCCGTCCCGCCAAGCTCCACCATCGTCTGAGATCGACTTTGCGTCTGGCGCCAAGTGAGAGCCAGTCTCTGCAACGATCCATCCATCAGTTGAGTGAGATCTTTTTCTCGTCGCTGCGGTAGTTATACGTGGAGGCCATTGGCGGTCAGGAGGTCTGGACCCTCGAGAGCTTTCTCTGCTCCCCGTCTTATCTACCCAACCATGCTGTATCCCTGTGCAGGTGCGCGGGGAAAGCGCCATGGCCTGCGGGAGGAGACGGTCGGCACGGCGCGCAGACAGTTTGAGGCAAGAACGAAGGGAGAGCAGAACAACTGACAACTGACATTGCTTCGCAGGCGATTGCATTTCCGTCTCTTTTTCACCATTCATCTCATCCGCTCTGGAAGGTCAACATCGCCGGCACCTACGAGTAGAATTTATTTCCCAGATCTCAAATTCCCCCTGGTGCGGACCCTCTTTCATCATTGGCCTTCGGTGGCTCCCTAACGTTACCGAGGGCTCAGACCCACAACACGTTGGGGAACAGGCGTTCGGCACAAGGACAGTGGAGAGGGCTTTTCGGGGCGCCCGTCCACTGTTAGGGCCCGCGAAGACAGGCCCTGGTCTCCGATTCGCATCTTTTTCTCTGTCCAGCTCAAACCCCCTTTCCTCAATTGCACGTCCCGGCCCTGGGTATTTCTACCCTTTTCACACCTTCAGTCCCTCGCCGTCGTTCTTATAAGCCTGATACATAAGCTCGCAGCTTGAAATTCATAAAATCGTCTGATCAGGTTGCCGACCATGGAGGCTTACCCCCCGGAAGCCCCACTCATGTCAGCGGCTGCCAGTAACGGCTCGCCTTCGGTGTCTAGCGACAGCCCGGGGACGGCGACCTCGTCATCCACGCCTCTCTTTTCGGCGACCACTGATGCCCGCCTGGCCCAGCCGGCGGCACCTCCTTCAGTCTCCGCGGCATGTCTTGCCTGTGTAAGTGACTTAATACCTTAGTCTTGGTTTTATTATTATCATCAATATCGTTATCAGTAGTAGTAGCAGTAGTAGTAGTAGTAGTAGTTTTCTTTATTCGTGTTTCCCTTTTTTGGTTCATTTTTTCCCTTTTATTCTTGGTTTTCTTTTCTCGATGCACGTACACACATACTTTTGAGAGAGCATGCTAATTCCTAGTGTTCCCCGACACAATAGCGATCCAAACATCTCAAGTGCGATGGAAACACCCCCTGCTCCCGTTGCACGAGCTCCAACTCAGAGTGTCAATATGTCCCATCTCGTCGTGGCTACAGGGGCCCGCGAAAGAACCCGACTGGAAACCCAGGGGGGAATCCAAATAAGCGGCATGCATCCGAGTCGCCCCCATATTCGGACTCGACAGAGAGCTGCCCCATGATGCTGGGCCAGACTCCTGTGACTATCACTACTCCAGTCGTTCCCGGCTTCAACCCAGCCATTGTCCTCCCGGACCAGTCCCCTATCTCTTATGCCAACCCGTCGCCCCTAAACAACGTCGGTCTGTTCAGAAACCCCTTCGTCCCAGCGATAGATCCCAACACCATGGCCCTCACGACCGCTGCCCACGCTGTCACCCATGCCCAGGTCCAGCCGCCGGTGCCAACTCTGGCGGACCGCTGCTTCGATGCCTTCTATCACTTCTTCCATGCCTGCCACCCCTTTGTGCTGCCCAAGGGGGAATTCCTGCGCATGCAGAGGGAGGCCGCCGCCCCGAACCTCAACGTCGTTCTCGCGGCTATACGGTACATTGGCTCGCTGTTTGTGGATGCCGGCCCGGCACGTGCAACTTACCTCGACGAGGCCATCCGGCTATGCTACCTGCCCGGCACACCAAAGGACGGCTACTTGATCCAAGCGCTCCTGCTTCTCATTCTGGGTCTAGACGGCAGCTGCGATCAAGCAAGAGCTCGTGAGTTGCTGGCGGATTGCGAGCGGCTTGCCCTCGAGATCGATCTCAACAAGCGCGAGTTCGCAAGCGTGCACGGTCACGGCAATCCTGTGCTCGAGGAGAGCTGGCGGCGAACGTGGTGGGATCTGTACGTCGTCGACGGCATGATCTCAGGCGTCCACCGGATAACCAAGTTTTTGCTCTATGATATTGAGGCCGATGTAGGATTGCCGTGCGAAGAGCAACAGTATCTGTCAGGGGTAAGCACGTCCACCGAGACCGGTTTTTCGTGTCTAACCCGGGCTAACCATCACCGTAGAGAATCCCCCCTGACACCATGTACATGGAGGACTTTGATGACCGGGAATTTTCGGGCGAAGAGCGGGAGTTCTCGTCGTTCACATACCGCATCGCTGCGATCCGGAACATGGGCAAGTTCATGCGGATGCCTAACGTCATGTTCCCCGGCGACGAGACGGTCACGAGAGCCCAGGCGCTCCTAACCAACTGGAGGATCCACCTTCCCGACTCCAAGAGGGATGACCTAAACAGGAACTGCCAGCTGGATGAGATGATGTTCCAGGCACACTTTATCACGCATGCGTAAGTACCCGTTGGCTCATAGCCATATCTCGTGGACGAATGGAAAACTGACGCGCAAGAAAAACCAAAAGCTGCACCATCCTTCTCCACCAACCGCTTTCCCAACTGGACACGTCCCCCGCCAAAGCCGTCAACTCGTGCGCCCCTTACAGGCCAGTGTCTGGGGGCGACAACTTCAACGCGCACACGCACCACACCATCACGGCGGCGTCCGAGATCTCCAAGATGATTACGCAAGCGGTCGACGTGCTGCAGCACACGCACTTTTTCACGTGCGTCATCACACTGAGCTCCATCGTGCACCTGTCCAAGTGGGCGCTGTACTTTTTGGACAATAACGAGGACGGCGAGCACCTGCGGCAGCAAATCCGCCTAAACATTGGTGCGCTCAACAAGCTGAGTAAAGTTTGGAAGTCGGCCAACACCGCCTGGGGCCAGGTGCGCGGCGTCGCGTCCGAGATTTACCAGCAAAAGAAGGCGCACCAGATCACGCCCGCCTTCTGGGTCCGTTTCACTCAGGAGCAGATGATCAACAGCATCAATGCCGACGAGGGTATCATGAGCGAGTTCAACAGTGTGGCGGTTTTGAACGGCGTTTCGCAGGGTTGAGCGTGCTTGTTTCTTGGTTTAATTGTGTTATTTGCGGTGGGACAAATGGACCGACTACTCGTATATTTTAGGGAAGAAAAAATCGAGGGAGTTGGATGGGATAAGGGGTTTGGAGCGGGTATTCCTATCTTCATCTTTTACTTGAAAAGACATTCTTAGCAACGGTATTGTTAACTGTCAAGTTCGCATGCAAACTAGCCTTTCAAGCAGCCATTAGCAGGAATCAAGATTTGCTGGGTTTTGCGAAAGACGCCTTGTACTTTCCTTCCTGTGTTGCCCCCTCCCCTCTGGTTCTCTCGAGTCTGCTGACATCTTCTCTGGTTACCAGCACCGGTTAGTCTGAATTGGCGATCTGATCGGCCCTCAGGCGGCTGACTGCGGGCATGTTGGTGGCGGCGATCTGCATGGCATGTTCGGGAGTTCCCGATGCGGGGCTTACAGGTCGGCGTTTCCCAAGAGCCGTGGGATCATATATGTACATACGGTCCCTACATACACTATGTGTGTCACTAGCCTTGGTGTAGCGTTTGTTCCTCGGCGAGGTGTGCCTCCTGAAGACGTGCACTTACACGACACTTATGCCGGGCCTGATGCGTCACCGACTGATCTAACTGACTAGTGTAAGCTGGGCTATCGGCGAGGTGACCGCTCGCCGAGCAGAAGCATACACATAACATACAGATCCTGAAACTAGCAGGGCTTGGGCATGGCACTTGAGGTTGTTTCAGATCGTTTGGCTGTGTACGTACACCGCACCGAGTGTCCTCTCTTCTCCTCATCCTCATCGCGGAACTGCTGGCTCGGCGATCAAGTGAACACAAAAAAAGGGGTACCTATACATTGAAATTGACGTCATGTAAGCCATGATGCACACTATTGTAAGCTGAACCTAGCAGATGTCAAAATGTCAAGTGAAAAAGACGCCCGTGGGTGACTTTAGTGTAAAATCTGAGGTCGCCGAAGAGTGAGTGTTGGTGAAACGCACTAGGGCTCCTCCTAAATCGATGATAGTGGGGTTGTTGGTTGGCGTTTGCCCGATGCAGTGGGTTGGGAACAGCAACTTATTGCCCGATTAAGGTGAGCAGCATGGTAGAGGACAGACAGGTCGCTGACTTGTTAGAAACCACCTACAGTAATCAACATTCAGTACTCTGCTTCTAGGGCAGTTCAACCGGGAGGGTCTCGATTCAGAAGTGAGAAAACGTTGGCTACCTGCGACCCTTGTGTAGGATCTGATAACCCCTGAGAGCAAAGCCCTAGCACTAAGGTCGCACAGTAACGTTACTGAGCGTTACATGGCCCATGGTAGGGCTGAGAGTCTCCCGTCGCCCGCTCCGGGTTCCAGGCACCCAGCTCGCATGGCAGCGCGCCGCCATGGTTCCAAGGTTCCTTCTTTCTTCCAAGCCAGCCGAAGTTCGTCGCAGAAAGGCGGGCAGCGGGAAAGGAGTCGGCGGACCCCGCTGACTAGCTACAGATCGCCGCCGCTGACAAGTGTGGCAGCCCCATCCGTTCGGCGACCCCTCGGACCCCTACACTAGGTGTATGGGGCTATGCCCGTTGTCTTGTCGTCCTAAGCTGGGTTTTCAGTTAGCCGAGCAAGAATCGTATGTTGCAGCCCATTTTGTCCTTAGCCTATCCATAGATGGATCCCATGCATCAATTGGCTAACGGGTCCCGGCGACTTGGTTCTGCTGTCGCCGTAGGTTTCGGTAGCTCAGCCGAACTCTGCGCAGCTGCTCAGCATCCGTCCAGGTCGGGGGTACCAGGCTCGTTGTCGGTGGTGCCCGGCAGAGGAATTTTCACCGGTGCGAGGAGCGACCAACAATTCGGTGGAGAGTATAGTTATTGGCAGATGGGTAAGAAAAGTTTGTAGCAGTTGGACCACTACTAGACCCCGACCCGGACAGGACGCCGAGTAGGCGGTAGCTAGTCTCCGAGTGGAATCTCGCTCCGCAGGATCCGAGTGACTGTCAGTCAGCGGCTACTACCCACCTCGCCCATCTCGAGCCTACGAGATGGTGTCGCCCACAGATACCGGGCCCTGTTGGGTAAAAGTAGGCACACCTAAGAGATCATACATAATGGCTGTTGATTCTCAAGATGCCTCTCTCGGAGACGGTTCTGCTTGCACGACCTCATCCGAGTCATATTGTGAGCCCTCAGCAACATTTCGGTAACCTGTTGCTTGCCAGTTATCTCCAAGGGATCAACCCCCCATGGCAGCAGGAAACATAATGAGCTCCTCCGACTCTCATTCGGAACGGAATTTAAAAGAGAGAAGCAATATGATCGACATCGACGTTGAGCAATCAGCCGCAGCCAAGGACCACTTCCGCAACACCACGGTGCACAACATCTCCTGGGAGGGGATCACCGTGACAGTGAAAGACCGCGAGACCAAGCAGCCCAAAAACCTCGTCCACAATGTCAATGGCATGGTCGAAGCAGGTCCGTACCCCTTACCCCCTTTCTCCCCTTTTCCCGGACACCTTACCAATAACACCCCCTGACCACAGGCGAGATTCTGGCACTAATGGGTCCCTCCGGAAGCGGCAAGACAACACTCCTGAACTACCTAGCCAGCCGGCCCACAGCCAACGACAGCACCACGTCGGGAAATCTGCTCATCAACGGCGCGCCGCCCTCAGCAGGGGCGCTACGCAGGCTGGCGCGCTTCGTCGAGCAGGAGGACGCGCTGGTGGGCGCCCTCACGGCACGGGAGACACTGCACTTTGCCTCGCGCCTGGCCGGAGCGAGGGGAGACCACGGCGCCCGCATCGACGAACTCCTCGACGCCTTTGGCCTCAGAGACCAAGCCGACACCCTGGTGGGAACCGCGCTTACGAAAAAGGGCCTCAGTGGGGGGCAGAAGAGACGGTTGGGTGTGGCTAGCCAGCTGATTACACGGCCAAAGGTCCTGTTTTTGGATGAGCCGACGAGTGGGCTGGATTCGGTCGCCAGTTGGGAGGTGGTTAAATACCTGAGGGCGGTTGCTAAGAGGGAGGGGGTGAGTTTTATTTCCATTTTTGCCATTGCTCATGTTTTTCGTTTGCTTTGCGTGGGACGAACGGCATTGGAGATTAAAAACAAAAGATGAAAGACCTGGGAGCTAACCGAGAGATGCTCTTGCCAGTTGATCGTGATTGCATCGATCCACCAGCCCAGCACGGCCACCTTCAACTTGTTCGACAAGCTGCTGCTTCTGTCACACGGCAAGATGCACTACTTTGGGCCCGTGTCGGCTGTTGCGGAGCATTATGCGAAACTGGGCTGTCCGGTGCCACTCCACGTCAACCCGGCCGAGTTCCTGCTCGAGTTGGTCAACACCGACTTTGCCTCGGAGCGAGAGACGGCGCTGCAGCGTCTCGACGAGATGCACCGTGCCTGGGACGGCTCGAGGAGAGCAAAGGAGCTCGCTGCCGCGGTGGCCTACACGGGACAAAATGCGTCCATGGCCGTTGAGTTCGATGAGGTTGACCAGAAACCCGGCCTGCCCAGGGTGGTGCTAACGTTGCTGCACCGGAGCTTCATCAAAAGCTACCGGGATGTGGTCGTGTATGGCGTCCGGCTGGCTATGTACACAGGTGAGGAATCTGACCTGCCGTCTGGCATGAGCGATCACTAACGGATGGACTGCAACAGGGCTTGCCATCATGATGGGCACCGTCTGGCTGAGGCTGGATGCCACGCAAGAATCCATCATCCCCTTGACCAATGCGATCTTTTAGTATGTTCCCCTAGATGCACATCACTCTCTGCAACTGCTTGCTAACGACCGTAAAAGTGGTTCTGCCTTCATGTCCTTCATGGCCTGCGCCTACTCCCCTGCCTACCTCGAGGATTACCTGCAGTTCATCAAGGAGAAGCGCAACGGTCTCTACGGCGCGACTGAGCTGATCATCTCCAACTTTCTCGTCGGCATTCCCTACCTCTGTATGTTTTCAGATTCTCTCTGCATATCATCCGTACAAGTCTGCTGACCAAGTACAGTCATCTTTGCCCTCGTCTTCTCGTCCATCTCCTACTGGCTCTCCAACTTCCAGCCCACCGCGCAAGCCTTCTTCACCTGGGTTCTGTGGGTGTACCTGGACCTGCTCGCGGCTGAGGGCCTGGTCGTGTTCCTGACCTCCATCTTCCCGTCCTTTGTCATCTCGCTCGCCTTGGTGGCCTTTGCCAACGGTCTGTGGATGAGTGTCAACGGCTTCATGGTACCCCCGACGGTGCTCAACGTGTTTTACAAATACGTTTTTCACTATTGGGACTATCAGAAGTACGTGTTTGAGAACATGATGGTGAATGAGTTCAGCCAAAGGGTATATAGCTGTGGGACCGGTTTTGATGGAAGCTGTCAATGTGAGTTTCCCGCCCATTTCGCCGATTTTTATTTGCCCCTTTCCCCGGCCGACAGATTGACGAGAAACAGGCATGTGGCAGACTGATCTGGCGGATCAGTGCCTTATTCGCGGGCAGGGGGTGCTTGACCAGTATGGATACAAGCCGGGCTACATGGGCAAGGATATAGGGATTATGATGGGCATTATCTTCGGATATCGGATTGCGGCTTGGATTGTGCTCAAGTTGAAGAGATAGAGTTTGATCGAACTGAAAGGGGATACTGGCGTTCGGTTTGAGGTTGATAGTCGTGTTTCTACTCGCGCAAGGACGTTGGTGCGCATAAACGATGACAATAGATTGTACTCTACGGGGTACGGAGTAATGAGGTCAGACATATAAATGCTTTGTTGTAAGAGAGAGAGTCAAAGGTCAAAGGCACAAAGGAAAGAGTCAAAGCAATGAAAGTTAAATATAACCCACAATGTAAGACATGTTATGCTCTGAAGACAATGGAGCATTCATGTTAACCTGTCAACAGCGGCAGGACACCTGGGAAGGCGCAGACTAAGAAGTCATGACAACTGGAACGGCAAGAAACAGGTCGATGCCTCCTGTGGCCAACGATTGCGCAGTGAGAGCCATCCACTAACTTGAAAGAGCTTGGGGCGCTGCTACAAATGTTAGGCGCTCCCCTGACGTGATTTAGGTAGGACACGCGCCTAAGACCCACCCCCACTCGTCGCGTGAGAACGCGGTGCGTTTGGTTTACACAGTAGTGCCCTCTTGTAATCGTGCTCCAGCCAAACCCTTCTTCCGTCTCAATGTCCGAGGTCTCGAATGCCTACACCTGTTTGCCTTGACTGTCTCGAACACCGAATTCTTATCTGCAATAACCAGCGCCAGCATGGAGCTGACGTCCCCTCTCACCACACTGGGGAGCATATCAACACCCGAATCGTACTACACGGCTCGGGATTCGTCCAATGCCGCTGACGAGACAACCATCACCAGCCCGGGTGCTGAGGATGACGAGGTGCCCCAGACTTTCGGCTACCGCGAGGCAATTCAGCTTCCTCACGAACTGAAATCACACTGCCAGATCCATCTGGAAGAGCAGCTCTGTCAGTTTCCTTCCTCCCGTCCCTCCCCTTTACGGTTTTCACCCACAGCATCTATCTAACCAAACCCCCAACTTAGACTCGGCAGCAATCCACATCCTGAACGGCCTCCTCTCTGACGGAAACTCCACCCTCCCCACGGCACGAACAGCAGCACAACAGCATTACCACCAAAGGCAAAGGCAACGACAACAGCAACAAAAACAACAACAGCCACCAAAGCCCGCCCACGTCCCCCCACCATCCCAGCTAGCCCTGCTCAGCACACTAATAATTCACCCGTCATTCACCTCACGAGCCCCCGAAACAGGCCATGTGCACGCCGCCTCGTACGCGTTAGGCTACCTACGAGGTCTCTTGAGCACGGTTGGGCCGGTGAACGCCAATCTGCGAGAGGCATTTTCGTTCGACAGAGGCGGCGGCGGCGGGAAACGGTCCAATGCGTATAATTACACCGATCCCCGTGGTCTCAGCAGCGGCGACAGCAGTGATTCCGACAGCGTCATGGGCGGGCAGTTTGCGCGGGACCAGATCCTGTGGCGGCGGGCGCCCGATTTCTGGGCCGTCCTCGGCTGGGCCTTCCGGTGCGCCGCCGAGTACCCGGCCCGGTGGAGGCACTGGCGGGTGTGGCTTGAGTATGTGGTCTCGGCGGTCGAGGCGGATTTTGACGAGCGCTTGGAGCGTGACAAGCAGTTTGCTCTGTCCTGGGGCGGGGGGAAGCGTAAGACGCCGTATCCGATGCTTCAGGGGGGGTTGTTGGCGGGGTATTTGGAGGATTTGAGGAGGGAGCGGAAGAATTTGACGAGGGAGGTGATGCGGGCCTTGTTTGCCTTCTCGGATCATGACTTCGCGCCGGATAGGGCCGTGTTTCGGGAGGTGTTTGATAAGGAGACCGTGGCGGTTAAGACGACACCTAAAAGGAAACGCGCGGATACGGTGGTTGATTTGGACAAGGATATGTACGGGGATTATCTTGACGACGGCGATGAGTTCGAGTCAGAGGAAGGCGAAGACACGCCAATGCCTGCGGTAACCCGGCCGCGGAGGAAGCCAGGGCAACGAAGACCCAGGGCGGAAGCCAGCCCGACCTTCCGCCTCACCGACGAGATGGCCGAGACGGTGCCGTTCCGGCTGCGGCTATTCCGCCTCCTCTCGGCAACCGCGTACTACATGCCGGAGACTTTGATGCCCGTCGACGAGCTTTACGAGACCTTTACCGACCACATTCGGGGTCTCCCGCTGCCCATGTTCCGGCTGTTTATCGAGTCTCACACTGTCGTTCTACCGGAATACGTCCGGGTTTCCCTACTACGGATCGTCGTCGAGAACATGCTGGCCCCACACCCTGATCCTGCCAGTGTCGACCCGGAACACGACATGGCGCATGGGATAACGGTGCCCGTGATGAAAAAGTGTTTCCTGCCGTTCGCGGCCAACCGCGTCACGGCCGAGGACAACGCCAAGCTGTCACTTGCGCTCGAGAGCATGTTAGGGTTCGTCTACTCCCTGACAGATATTGAGTACTCGGAGGGTCTGCGCGCGGCTGTCGAGAAGGGGATAAAGGCGCGAGAGCAAAAGGTTAAGAGAAAGGCGGCGGCTTCGCTAAAAGGAGATTCGCCGGAGAAGGTGGCGCTGGACGCACTTGCCAGGTCGTCCAGAAATCTGAGAGCAATGGTGGAGATCATCGCGAGTACCACTGGGATAAGGACAGGCCTGGTAACGGGTTTGTAGGTGTTGGCGGCGCCGTGTTTGCCCCTTTTGTGTTTGCTATTGTTGGTCTTGGCATTTTGATACCCTGTCGGTTCTTATGTACATCATAGGGCGGTTGCATCTGTAGAATAGTATAATTGCTGTAGCGGGACGGTTTTGAAGTTGATACCTAGAGATGCACGGTATGGTTATGCTATGGTAAGGGGCTTCAGGGGGTTGATCTGGGCGTCTGGCATTGGAGGCGTTCCAAGGCGTACTGTACATGATTACGTTGAGGTCTATATGAAGTAGCTATTAGTACCGTTATTCAATAATCGCTGCGAGAGCGCTTATCAATACCGCGATCGAGGTTTGACACAAGTTCCTTGAGTTCAGTTGACACATTTTCCGCCTGGATGTTCTAACCTTAAATGCTGATAATGTACTTGTACAAACCTCCACGGATGCAATATTCCTACAATTGTAAGCCGCAGACATTCTGGCCGTTACGTCAGTTTCCTTTCGGGCAGATACTAGCCCGTCGCCTCCGTTGTGTCGCTGATATGACGGCAACGCAACCACCATGCCAGTCCCTCCAATCAACCCAGTGTGTGTGCAATACCACTTACTTCTTCGGCCGAGGCGATGGCTGCCAGGCCTGAGGCTGCCAAGCCTCACTCGGCCCTCCTCTCGCCGCTTGCTTCCACGGGTCCGGCTTACCACCCTCACCACCGCCCCTGGCCTCCTTCTCTTTCTCCTCCGCCTCCCGCCGCATCCTCTCCCACGTCTCGTCCCTCTGACTAGCCACCTCCCCATTCCTCAGCGCAATTTCATCATCCGGCGCCACCACGCCAGAAACACCTCCCGCTCCCCCACCTACTTTTTCTTTCCCCGCCTCCTCCAACGTTGCCTTTTGCTTCTGCTCCTGATCCTCCTTCCCCAGTGGCCCAAGCGGGTTGGGTTTCCCAACCAACGTCGCCGGCTCCCTCACCCCCAGCGCCGCCTTGTCCATCACCTTGGACCCGGTCGCACTCGGAATCGGAATCTGCGCCCCACCACCGGGCCCGACACCCGCACCCGCACCAGCAATCCTCGGCTTGGCTTCCCACCGCGCATCGGCCTGCGCCGCGAGCAGCTTGATGCGCTCCTGGCGGGCGACGTCGGCGCGCTGCTCGGCTAGCGAAGGCGGGTGAGCCCGCGTGTGCCGCAGCCACTGGTGCCAGGCGGGCGGGACGGCCACGGCGTCGTGCGGCGTGCCCCGCGGGTACCGCACGATGCGCCGCCAGCGGACGGCTCTTGAGGTATGGCTGGAGGGGGAGGATGGGTCGGGGTGTGCGGTGCTGCTTGTGGGTGTGCTCGTTGTGGACGCGGGAAGTGGGGTGCCCCGGTCGACGAATTCCCAGTACGTGTTGCCTTTTAGGTCGAAGCCTGTATCCGGTGAAGGGGGGGTTTAGCTTGGGTGGTGGTGTTGGGAGGATATTGGTGTAGAGTGGGATGGTGGCAGGAGGCGGGGGTGTGGCATGCGAGACAAGGCATGGTTTGGAGCTTACCGACGAGGAATTGTCGCCGCCAGGGAAGTCGGAGCATCTTCCATTTGTACCACGCCCGTAGGAGCGGGGATATTTCGTTTAGGGACATTGTTGTTCGGTTCGAGTGGTGCAGGGCCAGAAACGGCCTGCGTTCTAAGTTAGCGGCTGTAAATGGGCAGATTCATGGGCTAACAATGGAAGCATTGGGAGCTGCACGTCGTGAAGCGACAATTTCTCTTTCCTTTTGGGAAGAAAGGGATGGATGATTTGATAAGTTTTAGTGACGTCGTTGCCAAGCCGGAATTGATACTACCCTAGCCACAGCATTTTTGGTGCTGAAGTGGCTCACCAGCCCCTCCAATCTCACTGTGGCTGTTGAGAAGACCCACAGAGGTGATGTAGCGCGGGGTTCAGCGGGATGCGGCATGGATGGCTTGTTGACTTGGACGATAGCGGTTGGAGAATGCCCATTCATGCCTACCCGCACACACTCTTCAAGTTCAAGTACCGAGGTGCAACTTGCAACCTGCAACATTCCTCAGTTGTCTACTGTTTGTGATAATAAAATCGACCAGAATCCTCTCTTGTTCCAGGCCTGATGCCTCCAATGCCGCAGCATCAGCCGCCGATTCCCTAATAGACGCTTCGATTCGCCGCTGCTGACGCAACCTTGAACTGAAGCCCGACGGCCTCCACATCATCCAGAGTTCCAGACAATACTAGTGATCGCCCAGTATCCGGCGACAGATCGCACGTCATGGCGTCGGTATCATCCTTGGATAAGGACCTGCGCAAGTTGCGCCTCGACAAGTACACTCCGGCCGCTGCGAATGAAGCCAAGCAATGGATCGAGAGGGTGCTCGGCGAGCGCCTGCCTCCCGGTGACCTGCTTGAGGGGCTAAAGGACGGTGTGGCCCTGTGCAAGTACGCCTTTGTTGCCTCATATTTTTCTGTTTCTCCCTAGATGACCTCTAGCTGACAATGCCCAGACTAGTCAACCTCGTCGTCGGACCCCCTGGCGTCAAATTCAAGCAGTCTTCCATGCCCTTCGTCCAGATGGAGAACATATCGCAGTTCCTGCGCGCCTGCCAGGCACCGCCCCTCAACCTTCAGCAGCACGACATGTTCTTGACTGTCGACTTGTATGAGGAGAAGGATCCCGCCCAAGTTCTCCAGTGCATCGGCGCTTTCAGCCGCGCCGCAAACAGTGTCAACCCTTCGGCATTCCCAGATCCCATCGGGCCGCGCAGCTCGCGCGGGGGTGTAATGAGCCCCCAGCCTACAGGAGCGGTTACCCCTACCGACCTCCGCGGCCGCGCCATGTCCAATGCCAGCAACACGTCGTCCAGCTTTTATGGCAGAGGCTCGGCTCTGGCCCCTTCCAAGACCGGTGACTCTGGCTCAGGTCGGTGGAGCCCCACCAAATCGCCAACACAAGGCACCTCGAGTCCGCCAGCACCGGTCAGCAGCTGGAGCAAGAGAGAACACGAGGGCGCAACGGCGCCGGCATGGAACATTGCCCAGTACGGGTACATGGGCGGCGCAAGCCAGGGCAATCTCGGTATCGCATTCGGCGGCCGTCGGCAGATTACCAGCGCCGGCCCACATGTTCCAACCCTGGCCGAGAAAGAGAAGCGGAGGAAGGAAAAAGAGGCCGAGGAGGAACGACAGCGACAGGAGGAAGAACGCCGACGAAAAGCCGAGATCGAGGCCGAGGAAGAGCGGGCTAGACTGGAGGAAGAGAGGAGATGGGAAGAAGAGACGCGCCGGCTGAGAGAAGAAGAGCGACGGAGGGTCGAGGAAGAAAGGAGACGATGGGCCGAGGAAGAGCGCCAGTGGAAACTGACCGAAGAAAAACGGCGCAGGGAAGAAGAAGAGGCCGAGGCCCGACTACGAGAGGAGCGCCAAAGGGCCCGCAACCAAAAGAGCAACGGGCAACTGCGCGGCCAGTACCTCAGTCAGTACCAAGCTGACCAGGAGTCGGCAGACAAGGCGCGCATAAGGCAGCTGGAAAAGGAGCTCGAGCTCGCGCGCCAACGCGAGGCCGAGTATGAGGCAGGCCGCCAGGGACGGTCTCTACGGCCAACCAGCGCGGTTAGTGACAAAAAAGCGCGTTCTCGGTCACGCAGCCGCCCAGCCCAGCCCGTCGCCAGGACCGACTCGTGGAGTGTGCGCGACGAGCGCAATTTCCTGGCCGCTCAATGGTCACAGCATCATCAACAGCAACAACAGCACCAACCCGACGAGGCGATCGGAGTACCATCACCCCTGTCTCACTCATCACGACCACTGCCGGATCCGACAAGCCCGCCTGCCAAGGTTAAGACCCACCGGACGGGCGAGGCGCCGCCTCCGGCTCTCCCAGTCCGCAAGCAGCACACCGGTTCGCGGCCTCTTCCAGACCCGACCGCCTACACATCGGCTTCCTCGCCCGAAGCAGCGCGACAGCGCCAGCAACAACCATCACCCCAGCCGCCGCCTCCTCTTCCCCCGCAAAAGCAGCAGCAGCAGCAGCCGCCACCCCAAACCACCACCCAAAAGAAGACGGCCGCGGGCGGTGGTGGGGGCTGGGCGTCCAAGTCGCTGCTGGAGAGGGAGATGGAGCTGGAGCGGCAGCGGCAGCGCGAATGGGAGGAGGCGCAGCAGCAGACGGCCAAAGCTGCGGCAGCGGGCACTGCTGGGGTGGTGGATGGCATTGGCGGCGGTATCGGCGGTCGCTGGGACGTCAGCCAGTGGGCCGGCTATACGGGGGGAGACAGCCAGAATAAGGGAGCCCAGGGGATTGGGGCGAATCGTAGGCAGATTGTGGGGCCTAGGCCGCTTCCTAATCCGCCTAGGTGAACTACCACCCTAGTAGGTGTGTGGCGTGGTCTGTGGTTTGGTTGGCGATGGGTGATGGGTGATGGGTGGGTGGTTGATATGGGATTGTTGATGGGATTCGATTCCGGATGGAGTGGACGCGATGGATGGCATTGCGTTGGTGTTCCGTTTTTGGAGTATATGTAGAGGACAAGCAAGGGTATCAAAGGGAAGGCTGAGGAGTCAGATGGAGTCGGATGGAGTCGGAAGGGGGTTTCATTCTGGTCGTTCAGGGATGAGCAGGGAGCAAATATCTGATACCTACCAAGAGTTACTTTACCTGCTTTGCTCGTCCAAAGAATATGTAGACCGGTATGCCCGCCGATGACAAGGTTGCATTTATTCATTATTGTGCTCAACAACTGGGTTAGGCTGACCAAGCTGCAGATATATCAGGGGGTAAAGGGGTTGGAGTCTTACAGGTCGCGACTTCATGGAGGCCAGGCCGGAGACCGAACGAAGTGTTGGTGGTGTAGATACAGTAGCTAAGCTTTGAGCCGCATATCTAGCACGCCCATCCATACCTGGGGATTATAGCTTTGAATATAACGTATATGTTGGGTTGCCAGCAGCAGGATTATAGCAGTAGAGATAGTACCGATACTGTATGCATGTACAAGTGAAGGGAGGCGTAGCAGTAATGCTTTTAACCTTCGTCCCATGGTCCCCGTCTCTCAATCCCCAAACCAAGCTAAACCAAACCAAACCAAACCACCCCAACACCAACAAAAACCCAACCCAACCCAACCTAACCCACGCCATCAATGCACCAGGTCGTAGTCGTACGTAGACTAGATTGACTGACTACCCCACCCCTCTATCCTCCAGCTCTCCTCCCTAACGGACAATACCGAATTCATCTACCAATAATACATTCCAAGATCACTCATACACACGTATATAATATCTATACACAACAGGCCAACCTCAAAGCAAATCAAAGCCTATGTCCACTTCCCCCGGTGCCCAGCCACTCCCACTCCCCCACCACCAGCAGCCGCCCCGGCTCCAGCCCCTGCGCCAGCCCCTGTCCCACTTCCACCGCGCAGCTTCCAGTCCCAGTACCTGCCGCTCCCGTTCCGGAAGCGGCCGGGCACGGCGCCCATAGCTTCAGCGACCGACATTGGCTCGCGCGCCGCCTGGGCGGGGATGAGGCCGCGCGGGGAGGTGTAGTAGGGCTGAAAGACCGGTTTCTTCTTATCAGAGGTCCTCTTCGCTGTGGCGGCGGTGGTGATGCCTCCGATCGTGGTAGTGGTAGTGGTAGTGATAGTGGTAGTGGTAGTGGTAGTGGTGGGTTTCTTGGTTGAAGTGGCAGCCGCAGCAGTAGTGGGAATAGCAGGCTTGCGCGTCTCCTTGAGGATCTCTCTGAATTCCTTCTCATCGTTCACAATTTGCGCGCGGATAAATCTCATTTCCGCGGTGGGTTCGCTGCCAGCCTCGGCGGCCTCAGCTTCGCGCAATTCCTGCATGACCGGTTTGCGTGGGGTGTAGGGGATGTCTGACAGCTTGGGCGCGTGGCGCGGGTCGGGAACGACCGACTCGTCCAAGCGGGCGAGGGGCCCCTTTTGGAGGAGAGTGGTGATGTCGATGCTTTCTCCGGGAGGGATAGGGATGGGGTTGCTCGGGGTGACGCAGTCCATGTCTACTTCTTTCCGCAGGACCGAGTCGATATCTACGGCCGAGAAGAAGGCGCAGCTCTGCGGCAGGTCGTGGATGCCCACCTGCTGGGCAAACATGGCGCGCGTCCAGAGGTTGGCGACTTGCAGCGCCATGGCGGCACGGTACTTGTCGTGCTCCTTAACGAGGTACCGGATCTCGTCGTGCACTGTGATGGCAAGGCGGGCCGCGAGGTTGAAGCGGCGGGTTAGATAGTCCATGGCTACGATGAGCAGGTGCAGGTAGTCGACGCCGCTCGACTGGATGGCCCAGTTGATGCGCGACGTGAGGTAGCCGCCTTTGCTCACGAAGCGGCCCATGAGGGCTTCGGTGATACCTGCCCCGAGGACAGGGGTGCGAGGTCGTTCCTGTTCGGCAAACTCTTCAAGCTTGTTAAAGACAAAGGACTCGGTGCCACCGCGCCAAAAGGGGCGTTTGTACAAGGACTTGCGGTTGGTCTTTGTTCCCTTGGTGGTGGCGTAGAGCTTGCTGGCGATTGTTAATGTCTCCTTCTCGCTCAGGCTGGGGTTAAACTGCCGGAGGAGTTGGGCAGCGAATTTGAGACCCGCCCCGTAAATGCGGCCGTAGTTGAACACTTTTGCGTCGTTCCGGGTGATGCCCAGAATGGACGCCGTCCGGCTGTGGAGATCGGTCCCGGCGGCCTTGGTTCCCTCGAGCGTCATGAAGCCGATGGCATTGCCGCCGTGGATTTTGAAGGTGGCATCGCCTACCACGGAAGCGATCCATAACTCCTCCGAATCGACATCGGCGCCCACGAAGACGTGGCCAGGCGGAGCGCGGACCATGGCTTTCAGCTCCGAACCGACACGGTTCTTCTTGGCGTTGGATGCCGTGAGCCAGGTGTTCTCGACGGCGCGCCGGGTGATTGTGCCCATAGGGATGACCTGAGGCAAGATAAAGCCACCGACCGGATTCTCGCCAAACTTTCCCTCCTCGTTCGGCTGCGAGACGGTCTTGTCCGAGACGTCGCCCGACGGCAGGTCAGTCTCATAAACCACAAGTTGAGACATGATCCTGTCACGCGCGCTGATCCAGTAAGAGCACGAGGCGTTCATTTCGAGCGCTTCCTTCGCATAGGGATACTCGGACGAAAGAGTACCCTTCTCGAAATATGAGAGGTACCCCTTGGCCATCGGGTTAACACACCGAGCCGTGGGGCCGTCCTTGTGGGGCAGCTTGAAGTAGACGTGGTCTCTGTCTTCTTTCAGTGCCAAAATGGGCTCATCGCTAAAATCGCACGGCACCATCTGCTTTTCCGTATACTTCTTCACGCCGTCCCGTGGAACCCTGAACGTCCAGCCGTACTTCTCCGACCAAAACAATGGGTAGCCATCCCAAGCCAGGCGGAGGAGCAGCGGGGCTATCCTGGTACGGACCGAGATGTTTATAGGAGAGTCTGTTTTGGGGAACAAGTCCTTGTACCACTTGGGCATGCCGGGCTTCTTCTGTCTCGCTGCGGGACGGGGCGGGTCGCCCTTCTTCTTCCCCTTGACCATCTTGATTTCCTGGCCTGACCAGTCCAGCTGCTTCATCCAGGGGTCGGTGCTCCATTTTGCGGAATCGTCCTTGATCTCAAGCGCCTTCTCGGTGAGCAAGACCAAGCGCTCCTGTACGGCATCGGAGAGCTTGTGGTATGTAGCTTCTGCGTTTGCGAGGTATGAGTCCCAAGACTGATTGACGGGCAGAATCACAGACGCGAGATGACGAAGCGCAGCGAAGCTGACGGGGTGAGGGCAGACGCGGAGGAAGTTGGGGAACACAATCTGGTAGACGCGGTGCGTTATGGCGACGTCGGCTGCGCAGTAGGTCAGCAGTTCATCCAGTTTCCCGTTCACCCCATCCCGGTTCAGCTCGCCAAAGGAATCCCGAATCTCCTTATCGATGGTGACATTGAGATGGAACTTGGCGACATCCCGAAGAGAGTTGATGGAGCTCCTCTCCACCCATAGCTCCTCCTCCTCGGCTGTGAAAGCGCCGCTGTTCAGCAACTCGACCAGTTCGACGTTGCTCGTCTCCTTGGAGATCTTGTCCCTCAACTCCCTGTTCTTCTTGTGCTTCATCCAGGTGGGCCGCTGCTGCGAGCACATGCCGTTGACGGCGACGTGGAGCGACATTGTGTCGAGGAAAGAATTCCTTGTTTGTTGTAAGTGGTACTCCTCCAATATCCTAGCCCGGTCGAAGCCGACGTTGTGGCCAACAATCACCCTCTCCTTGGTGGGGTCTCCAAGCGGTACGAGCTGGCGGTCATTCTCCGTCTCGCCCAGCAGCCACGGCGAAAGCCATGCATACCAGGCCTCTGGGGTGGCAGCGCAGGCCATGACGGCAAAGGGACTGTCCTTCCACATGACTTCGGTATCAAAGACGAGCATGTTGCCCTCGGGCGCGTCGACCTCCTCGGTGCGGCCATCGGGATAGTACTTTGTCCAGCCGCTCCGGCGCACCCATGTTCGAGGCTTCGGCGGCAGGGTCGAGCGCGCCAGCTGCTTCGCATGAGTGAGGAACGGCTCGGCGGCGTCGATGCCTAGTTTGTGAAAGTGTTCATCGAGAGTTTCGCCTGCCAGTGGCGGTAAGTCGAAGGCAATAGGCGGCGTGTTGTCGGTGTTCTTGCCGAGCAGATCGTGACGGCGAAGATGATCGCGCGCAAGCTCAATAAGCTCGGGGGAGGGCGGGGAGGTGTTGCCGCGGGGAAAGAGCTGCTCGTAGATTCGCGCGCTGAGCTGCTGGACGCCAATCTCGTTGAAACGCGCGGTTGAGGAGACCGAGAGATCCGGACTGGTGACTGTGGACTCTGATCGGCGGGACAGCAACGACGTCAGATATCTCGAACGGCGGCCGACAGCGCGGTGGCGCGCAAGACGGACGAAGCTGGCGACGGGCGCATCTCCTCTTGCCGTCCCACGTATTGAAAGCAGCATTCTGCACGGCAAAGGCGATGATGGCCCCGTTCAAGTCATGGTAAGCTACCTTTTCGGCGTGGGCGAAGGGCCCAATGTTCGGTATCGTTAGTTGGATGGATCGAATGGATGCGATGGAGAAAGCTGAGATTTTTTGTCGGGGCGCTCGAGCTAACACCATGTGTAAAAGTTAGCGGACAAGCGCAGAATAGGGGCTCCACTAATGGGTCGCTAGATAGTAGATACCGCCGAGCTACCCACTAAATGACGCTGCATTTGCGCCGGAGGATGCCGCCTGGGGCCCACGGCGGGAATGACCCTTTAAGTCCCACAGCGTCGGATACATAAGGGAATTACAGACTGAAATGTATTACAATACAATACACAATACTCTATTACGCAGTACTCCGTTTTGTATCTTGAAAGTGCCCCTTAAATGCATATGAAGGAAAGCCAACGGGTAGAACTTAGCATTGGTTTCTGATTCACCGGGGAATGCAGTGGCAATGCGAGGTGCCTATCTGAAGCTCAATGCAGCTCAAAGGCTATCAAGCCATTCAGGTCAAAATTAGACCGCCGGTGGCCGGATGGTTGCGCAGGCAATTCCCGTCAAAGTTACAGTATTATCATGCACACTTTGCAGCCACACTTGCAGCGCGCAGAGCGACCTAGAAGGCTAGAACCGGACATGCTTCTTTGCGCCAGCGCGACGGCGAGGCGCTGTAGTTAATTTAAGCCTGGTTGTCGGCAGCCGCACCCCCTTTCTCGTTGATCCCTCTTTCCACGCTCAAATCGGTCGCTTTTCCAACTTCCATACTCCATTGTCATAAGTTTCGATCCTCACCCTGGCGCTGACAATTGAGAGGAGTCAATTCGCTGCCCTAATCGCTGCGCGCGCACTCCCGTCTGCCCACTAACGTTAAACTACCGATTCGCGTCTTCCCAAACGATGTGGTGAAGAACGCCTGGCGAGAGCACCTGCGCTGTTCGATTGCGGCCTCTGCGTCGCGAACGCAGCCATGGCCGACGACTTTTTAGATGATCCTAGTTTCGATGATTATCTCAATGGTAAGTGATATTTCATACTCGGCTACGCGCTCTATTAATCCGTTTTGATCGTTTGTTCTGATCTTCTGAATGGTCATTCCTCTTCTCATTCGCTCCTGGAATGGAACGTTAACTAAGGGCTTTCTTCCCGTAGATTTTACCGACTTTCTTCCTGAAGACGATCTCTTACAGCTTGTAAATCTCAGCCTGCCGGTGCCGCAGCTTCTTTCTTTCTCTTCGCCATCCTTTTCCCTCCGCGACGCCCCGTTCAGGACGACTCTGGGCCCCATCGAGCCACCAGCGAATGCCTACTCCAGCCTCGGCCGCCGACAGCCGCTAGGAACCCCCTTCCGGCCGCCCCTTGACACCTCGCGAATCACTGGTGCATCCTCCGTTGCTAGGCGAACACGTCCTGTCGGTACGAACGCTAGCCCTGCTCCGGGACCCACCCTGCCCGGTGCATCCAATCCGCCGACGCCGGCTGCCCCGCGACGCCCCGCGCCCTCATCAAGCTCCATCAACCCATCATCGGCCACCAACAGATCCCTGCCAATCCCGAACCAAATTCTCAACTCCAATCACTCCAATCCGCCACCGCTTCCTAACCCGAACAGATCCGCAACAACAGGAACAACGAACACGAGCAGCAGCGCTTTTTCATCCAACAGACCGCCAAACGGCCTTCCCTCGGCGCGTTCAGACCGTGGCGAACTTGATAGCGACGACTTTTTGTTTCTAAACGAGCTTTCTTCCCGCGATTTCTCCAGCCCTCCTCCGCTTGCTGGCCAGTCATCCCGACAGCACCTCAACGTAAGGATCGCCCAAAACAACACTACTTCTTCGGGACAAGCGAGCCGCCCGTCCATCCGCCTCCCTATCACCGAGAGAAATAGCCAAAGCAACACTACTTCTTCGGGACAAGCGAGCAGTCGTTTCAGCACAAGTGGCACCGGCGCAACAGCTACTGGTTCGAGATCAACGCCAGGGTCGGCCTTGAGGCGGGAAGCCGAAAACTCGAGCGAGATGGCGTCGCAAACACGGTCCAAGCCGGGGCCCCGGATCGGTGACTTGACACTTCCCTCAGCGCCGAGCGGTAGCGCGGCTGGTTCGTCAACCACTCCTGCTTCCTCGTTAGGCCAGCAGAGATCCTCAAGAGGAAGCACATCACAACTCTCACAACAGCAGCCCAGCCAGGGCTTTTCGAGCAGCAGCAGCAAGCGGAAACGGGAAGCCGAAACAGACGTGGTCAAGGACGAAGTCAACGACGACGACCTCTTTGGCGACGACCTATTCGCCGGCCACGAGGTGGTCGACCTGGTGGACAGGGAGGAGATGCCCCCGGAGGTGCGCGAGGAGAAAAAGCCCAAAAACTACGTCAAACTCAGTGCCTTTAACTGCGTCATCTGCATGGACGACGTTACCGACCTGACCGTCACACACTGCGGCCATCTCTTTTGCTCGGCCTGTCTTCACTCTGCGCTCCACATCGATGTCACCAAGAGGGTCTGCCCCATCTGCCGGCAAAAGATTGACAACAGGCCCTCCAACGGCAAGTGGAGCTCAAGGGCAAAAGGGTACTATCCGCTTGAGCTGAAGCTGATGACCAAGACGACTCTGGGGAAGAGGGCTGCCAGTTCGTGATCCCGCCGGGGGGAGGAGAGAGCGGGTCGGTGTGCTGCTAGGGCTGGCCGAATCCACGGAGATTAGGAGGGAAGGGCCGCTACAGCCCGAACCCCGGGATACAGAAGAACTCGGATTACCCCAAGTTGCGCGGTTTGGCGCTGGGATGCTCGGTGCTTTTCAGCGGCCGGATTGGAACGGCGTTTGCATCATCTTGCCGAATACCCACTTCCATATTGTAATCAATTGCTTCGCGTCAGGAGGGCAGAGTAGGCCGCATAGGCCCTCATGTAGATAGGAAAACGAACATACATTCTATTACCAGGTCAATGTCGTCGCATCTCAACGCGCAGCGTGCATGTTGGTATGTTGCTTGGTCGCTATGAATGAGGGTTTGACTTTAGCCGCCCCAACCTGATGATATGCACTACAACGACCACTGCGAGATTAAGCCACACACGCATGCACATGAACAGAAGAAACAGACCCCTGAATAATACATTGATACATTCGCTCTAACTAAGTTAGAGCAAGCGACAGATCCCACACGTCTTCTTTTAAATACACCTCCCCTTTGCTCCTCTTCCTTCCACTATCCCACGTCTCTAATGAAACAGATGCGCGGTGCTCACCCGGGGCTTCTCAGCAGGGACTTGGTCGGCCTCGTACTGTAGAATGTAGCATGAAGGGTTAGCACGACGTACAGCATGAGCTAGAAGGAGGAAAGGGGAACACGTCACAGGGAGGGAAAAAGAAGAAGACATACCTCCAAAAACCCCGTCGCCGTAATGAGCAACATAAACGCCTCCGCCGACTCATCAATCCTCTCCTCCAAACTAAGCCGCTGCGCTTCCTCCTCCGCTCCCGCTCCCGCTCCAAAACCACCACTACTCCTCCCCGTCATCATCCCCGGCATCATCATCCCGATCGGCATGGATGGCTGCACACCACCCATACCCATGCCGATCCCAGCACTACGCTTGAGCGTGTGCACGACCAGGGCGCGACACCGGAGGAGGAATTTCCTCCCTTGCAGAATGTTGTTTGCGCCGCGGGCGAGCACGGCGGCGGCGACGATGCGCACGAGCGATACAAGAAGGGCGTAGTGCTTCTCGAGGGCGCGCAGATTGCGCGCGTCGACCTGCAACTCCGGGTCGGCGGCGAAGACGCCCGACGCGTCGAGCGCGTGGAACAGGTTGGCCTGGAGCATGTACTTGGCCCCGGACCGCGTCTGGCTGATCTGAAGGAGCAGCGCCAGCTTGGCGGCCGTGTACTGCTCCAGAGCGCGCGCCTGGGCGATGCTGATCGGGTAGGTGGGCGACGGGGTGCTCGTTGTGGTGCTGGCGTAGTTCGTTTGCGAGGGGAAGAGGGCCGAGATGATGGATAGCCAGTCGGTCAGGATGGATTTGAGGGAGTCGACTAGGATGGCGATGAAGTTGAGGCGGTTGAGGGAGTCGATTAGTTGGATTTCGTCAGAAGACGTAGGGGACAAGCCGGTGGACTGGCCGGGGGCGCAGGAAACGTGTACCAGTGCGGAGAGCAGGATTGTGGCGGCTGTTTGGCAGGTCATGTCGCTCCCGTAGGCGTCGTCGCAGATGACGTTAAGGAGACGGTCGCCGTGGAGATGGATCGTCTTGAGAGTCTTGGCACGCGCCGTGGTGAGGATGCGGGTAGGGGTACGGGTGAAGGCGCGGTGGGTGGGCGCGGCAGTGATGTCCTTGTCTACCACGGCGGTGAGATACCGGTAGCAGATGCTGTAGTAAATGGCACGCAACTCGGCGCTGCCCGACCATTTCCCGATGGCGCTGAGGCAAATCTGAAAAAGCTGGAACAGTTTGTCGCTGATAAGATTGCCGACTGTGAACCGCTCCTTTTCCGAGCTGCGGGTGGTGGCGTTGAAATGGCTCTCGCCCTCAATCGCATCTTCACCCTCCTCGCCCTCGCCGGATAGGTCGAGCTTGAAGAGTAACACTTTTGCGACGCGCGCAAGCTCATACGCCTCGGCTGTACTCAGGGCGACAAAGGTCTCCAGAGTTGGGAGGATTGCTTGCAGCGCTTGTAGGAGAAAGGCCATCTTTGGCGTGCCTCTGAACTCGCTGGCCTCGAACATGACGAGTAAAAGATTCACCCATGCCTTGAGCAAGCCGAGCCTTGACGAGCTGAATAGCTGCTTGCGGTTGCTGAAGGTGAGATACTCAACCAACAGTATCTCCTCCTTTTCGATGGCCTCCAACTCCTCCTGGGTTGCCATCTGAAGTTGGTCCCTTCGTTCATTTCGTTTCAGCTCAATTGTCTCTTTCACTTTATGGATGTTATACTGCAGGCCCGTCGCTCGGTGCTCTTCAGCACATGGGCTAAGATCGAGATCCTTGAAGAACACGAATTCTGGCGGAGCGACGTCCCAGCGGGCTTCGGGGTTCAAAAAGTCAAACAAGTCGAAGATGTTGGGGACTGTCAGCGGTTCCTCCCCCGCTTCTCTGATCTGGCCGTTCAGGGCATCGAAAATCTGGCGCTTGATCGACGGTATCCGGTTCTGCGAGACGCTGCACAACTCCTTCCCGATGTACTCGAGAATCATGGCCCGCGAGCTCAGATAATCGATGTATGCCACTGACGCATCGGAAAGCAGGAACTCGGGGTGTGTGGCTTCCAGGCCATCCCATGTCAGATCCGGCTGGATTTGGACCTCTCTCAACAGCATGTGAAACATGAAATTTGTCGCCCTCAACTCGTCCATGACTAGAGCAGCCGACAGCGGGGATTTCCAAAGAACCTGCAGAACCCGTAGAATTTTGAATTTCAGAACGATCAAGTAGCCTCTCATTCCACGCTCCTCTTGATACACTGTGAGTGCGATGAGCACATTGAGAAGGCTGTGGAAGAGAGACTTTTGTTGGTCATATGGGCCATTTGGCTCGATGCTAAGCCGGTTGAGCTCGCAATGGAAGCCTAGAAGTAGATGCGCAATGGTTGGCTGGTTCGGTGTGGCGCTTAGGCATTCGTAGAGGAAGTCAAGGATAAACACCTTGATCAGGTAGCTTTCCGAGTCGGCCTCTGCAACCGGGTCTATAGTAGAAACAAGGTTGGCGGCCAGGGAAGAGGCAATAACTTCGCCCTCGCCGTTCTTTTCAAGTTGAACAATCGCCTTGTTCCGGTGGCCAAGCTGGCCCGACTCGGGGTTCCATGCCGAGATGATCCTTGAAGAGGTGGAGATCTTTTCGAGCAGCTTGAGGCACGCCAGCGTCAACTCTCCGTGGCCGAGATTGCAGTACTTCCCTAGGTCGACCACCAACGACAGATGGCCTAGGATGCCATCCTCGAACGAGGTATACGCAGCATTTGCTGGGGATGCTCCTTGCTTTCTCGGCCGAGCTTTGATGAGTGGCCGGACAAGGTGCAGATAGGTCTCTTGCAGTTCGAGGACCTTGATCATGACTTGGATTCCTCGCAGAATGCTCAGGACGAGGGGTGAGTCGGGAGGTGCACTGCCTAAGCCGCTAGATTCTTGGTGTATAGTGCTGATCAGGGCCGTAATGACTTTCTCATTGAACATCCAGTCCATGACACGAGCAAAGGGATGAAGACGCATGTACGTCGCCAGGTCCGTGGTCGGCATGGCCGCGTCGATGTCAATGTTGCTCTGGTTTCCCAGGACGATGAGGTCCTCGTTGAAGGTAGAGAGACATGTCAGCGCAAATTCCAGGCAGCTGAGTCGTAATACCCGGAGCTGAGAAGCATCCAGTATATCTTTGCTCTGGGTCGCCAGGATATGAAACACGAAGTCGACATAGGTCTCCACCCCCGGAATCCGGTAGCTAGCACCTAAATCTTCGGGGAACGGGAGTGAGTCGTTCAGACCCTCAGGCCCATCCACGGGGGCGACGAGTGATGTAAGAAGCTGGATGAAGGCATTCGGCTCTTCAAAGCCATTACTACTGATCTCAGACATGGTGGCCTCCATGAAAGCCTGACTGCTCATGCTCTGGCCGAGAAACTGGCTTCGCTGTGACCCTCCTTGCGTGGGTAGGTTACCAGTGAGCCACATATCGACATGTCTCCACATTGCATCGCTCTCTGCAGGCTGTTTGCGCTCCATCAGAGCCTTCAGGACGTAGAAGACGCAAGCCCGGAGTCGAGACGGTATCATGCAGGTCGCCAGACGAAGCAGTGTGCCGACCACATTCAGTTCCTCGTCCAGAATCATCCTCTGTCTCGCAACCTCACTCTCGGAACAAAGCTTGGCTATCAGCCGCAAGTAGCATTCCAGCATCATGGCCGACTCGGGTTCCGCCTCGGCCAGGTCAGCGCCGGGCTTACCGGGGCGGTAGGACTGGGCGGGGCTCGGTCTCTCGCGGAGCTTAGCCGTGAAGTACTCCAGCTCCTTGAATATTTGGTTCCATGTCAGGGACTGGGAACGCTTCATCTTGCCCGAGGATTGGTGGCTTTCGTCCTGGAGAAAAGTGTAGGCAGCCGTAGCGCAGTCTTCGTTGTCCGACAGGCACTGGAGCATTTCGCAGAAGGCACTGACGAGAGGAGTTGACGCTCGCCTAGACGTCCACTGCAAGAAGCCAGCCAAGTTGCTATCGGGATCTTCCCAGAATGACATGGCTGCGTCCGGCCTGCCTTCGTAGGCGTGTGAGATGATGATCAAGAACCGTTCGAGGTCGAGGTCCTGCTCGTGGCTCTGGCTGAGCTGGCGTTGCTCGTCCTCCTCGGTCCTCAATTTGCGGAGAATGTCTGGGAGATTCGAGATGGCTGCATCGATGAAACCCTCCAGGTGCACCATCAGACTGCGCTGAAGAAAATGGCTGAAAGGGAATGGATCAGAGGCCAGGTGAGGAGATTTCCGCGGCAGCCACTGACGCATTCCCAATCGTGATGGATCCTGCCATTCTTGGGCTTTACAGTCGGTAGCAACAGCTAGGATAAAGTCAAAGGCGCCCTCTTTCAGCGCCTCCATGAACTGCTTTGTCCTCTCTTCGTCTTCCTCATCGAGGTTGATGCCCTGGAAATCATAGCTCGAGTCGTCGACATACCATCCACCGTACTCAGCAATCCACCACGCCCGGACGGCGGCACCGAGGTTCGCGAGGGTCCAAGAATTCTCTTCGCCTTGCTTACAGACGATTGTATTCAATTGGCGTGCTTGCTGAAGGTCGCCAACTCCCTCGGGCGAGCCGAATTCTGTGATGTAGGCAGCAAGAACCGGAAACAGATGAACTAGGCAGGTGAGCATTCAAACACGACCAGACAAGGAGACATGAAATATCCACCATACCAAGGAAATGATCGTACTTGTCGATCTTCTTGAACAGGTTGAGCAAGTCTTTGAAGTCATTGACGCTCGCATGATGCTTCTCAACGGCAGCATGGAGGATTGCAGCCAGGCACTCATGCTGCTCGACGAGGCTCAATCGGGAAAACTCGTAGGTTTCGTAGTTTTCTGGCGGTTTTACCAGACTGGCTTGTTGGAGCATAAGCCGGGCATGCGCCTTCTCCATCATGCTTTGGAGCGTTGACCTGACATTTTGCATCGCCTCCATGCACCTCGGCACAATCTTCTTGTCGGATCCTTGCGGCTGTGACCCAGGCGGTGGGATGCCGAATACCTTCTCTTCGGCAACGGCGCCGAGAAACTCTTGAATGTTAGGGTCGAGCTCATCATCGGCCGCTGCCTCGAGGCAAAGCCTCATGCAGTCGAGCAGATACTTGTGCTCCTGGTGGAAGCGGATGACAGCACATTCCCAAAGGGGCCGGCACTGCGTCTCTGGGTCGCCCTCGGCAGCGCAGTCCACGAGTAGCCTCGCGGCCTCCAGCTCATCAAGATCCAGTTCATCGGCAGCTTTCAGACAGTCGTTAACGAAATCGTCGTTTATTGCGTACTCTTCGCCGCCGATTTTGATCTTCCCTAACGCATAGAGCATCATAGTCAGCGGCGGCCGCCAAAACAGTATATACTATACTTCGCCCATGCCGCGCATACCTGTCCCTAAGGATTGCCTGTGGGCCGGGATTCGGGGAGGCTTGTCGATCAGCTTCTTGAATACGTCTGTCTGCGATTCCAGCAGCTGCACCAACACGGGGAAGCTTTCGAAGCGGTGTTGGCGAACCGCAAGCAGCTCCCCATGCAAGGCCTGCAGGGCCTCGAGGGCGCGCATGTCAGCAGCCATGGTGAGCAGGTGTCGAGCGATGCTCAACGCATTTTCCGACAGGGCGCGTTCGCGTAAAGTGATGGTCGGCGCAGTCGAGCGCGCTCTGAGCTGCTGTATCGAGGGGCCGCGGGGCTAAGGTTAACAATTTCCAAGAGAGAAGATCTCGGAGTCTATGTGTTGCGCTGGACCCAGGTTCCGTCGGATCAGTATTGCGTTGGATAAGGCGGCCTGTCGTGTAAAAGGGTTGTGAACAGCCTTGTCCTGCACTTACTGTATGTATAGATGAGTGTCGGTAACCAAAGGACATTCAATGGCCTGCCGATTGGCGCCAAAAGGCCGGCAGTCAACAAAAGAATTAGGCGGTGAGGCATTCTGCCGCTGGGTTCATTGTCGACAGGAGTCAGATTTCAGCTTCACTCCACTAGATGGTCATAGCTCCCAGTCCTTTAATGTTCCATTGTTATTACGCGTGATAACACCGTATCAGATGAGCAGTGCAAAATCCTTTTTCAAGCCAAAAAAAGACACAAGGAAAGTCTATTTGAATGTCTCTCAGAGCTATCAAGCCTGAGGTTGACATACTGCATCTTAGTTTGATCGCTAGAGACATCATGAAACTTGAATTGAGAGGTGAAGCAGGAAGGTATTGTGTGTATGTACTTTGTACCGTACAGGTTTCTCGCGTAGCGATAAGTTTTGCCCTGCCAGGCAGGAGGACCTGGGCAGTGGTTTATGCACCCGACTGGAGTCTTCCTGGTTGCAGTTCGTCCTAGTCTAGGCTTCCTTTGCCTCAGCTTGTTGATCAACTTTCAAATTCAGCACATGAGCTAAGTACAATACTGTACATATATCTCGCAGAGGCATTGATGTGATGGATCCTGGCCAAAATCGTGCTTTCGATTCGTAATGTAGTTCATCTCTCGGTGCAGCCCGTCGCCATCAACCGACAGCAGTTGCACCGTTTTTTGTTTTGTTTGAGTCCACCAGCCTTCAGTGTTAGGCTGTGTTGGCTCTTCACATCAAGAAAACAATGCCGCCGCGGATAAAGAGCTACACTGGTGACACAATCAACTTCAAACAGGTTGCAGGTAAGTCGTATGGTTTGGTAACCTGTCCCGTCTCAGACAGATCAAAGTGTCTAACATGAGGGCAAAGGTCATCTCGAGAGTACTTCGATCACCGCGAGACGGGATGCAATTGAGAGTAAGTCGGACACAGTTTGCGCACTCTTGTACTAGGTTCCGGGTATTCGAGCTAACAAGAACTCTCTCCACAGCCTTGTTGGCCTATTTCAAAGCCACCGAAAATGCGTCTCAAAGCCAAAAGCAGTACGTTGTCGCCTGTCCTTCCTGTCTCACGACATAGAATGTTGTGCTGACCAGATTCCAAATTCCCAAATACCAGAAGCCCGTTCGATGACAAGGGCTACCACTTGCTCTACGAGGCTCTTTTCCGCTGCGTGCTCCTAGAGAAGGCGAGCTACTACGACTCCAAAAAGACTGCCAGGTCCAACGCCAATGTCGGCTCCAGACTTGAGAAGTGCGCCGAGGCCCTGCGGATGGCTGTCCGCCATGGAGCCACCCGGATCAAGCGCAAGACAGCCAAGGCCATCATTGACCACATCACCCAGGTTCTGCCAGGGCCCGACGACAGCTACGTCGCGCCTCTTCTCAAGGACTACGTCAAGGCCCTGGGCACCTTCCTCGACTTTTCCGCCAACGCCGAGAATCTCGCCGCTTTCTCGGGTGAGGGCTGGGACAGATGCGTCGACTTCTGCGTCGAAGCCCTCTATCGCTACCTGGAAACAGGTGACCGCGACAGTGGCTCCATGTCTCGCGCCTCTCCGGCTCCTGGTGCGACCGCCAGGCCGGGCTCTGTTTCGATTTCTCAGGGTACCAGCCAACTCGGGAGCCAGATCGCCCTCGAGTTCTTGTCCTGCCTCAACTCGCTCATGGCGGCACTGAATGCGCCGGTGCCCGGGAAGGCCGACAAGGTTCTGGGCGTGGTGCTCCAGATCCTCCAACTCCGCCAGATGAAAATTGGCGAGCTCCAAAAGGTAGCCTTTTCGACTTTCAACATAGTTTTCCTCCGCATCCAGGCCGAAAATGTGTCACTATCCAAGAGAATGGTCAAAAATTTGTTCCCTCTTCTCTCCCATTGGTGGCAGCCTCGTGCCTTGTCTCGAGACGCCATGCTGAACTCTATCCGCGACGAGATGCTCAAGACCATCTATGGGACACATCTGTACTTGGAGAGTCTACTTCGAGAAGCTGCGGACGAACAACTCGTTCAGGAAGTTGAAGAGCTGCTGGATGCTTTGTGGTCCGACTATTCGAGACGGGAGGAGCGAGCCCGGCTTCAGCTGGACGATGTATCCTTCACCGCGATGCGGCTGCCTGCGGACCACCCCTGCACTGCAGTCTTCAGTCTCCGTCCGTACAACCAAGCGGGGGAGCAGAACTGGGCACTCTTGGAGAATCTCGCTATTCTGGAAGCCGCATACTCCCGCTATTCTGAGCGGGAGCATAGCCAGCAGCATACAGACAATGCCCAGCCGCGGAAAAGACGCCGAGTGGTCGGCAGCACAAATAGGATACATCAAAAGATGCTATCCCAAGATCCAGCTGTCCGCCTATCCGCTCTGCAACTCATGCCGTTTCTGATCAAGCAGAAGCAGCTTTCGCTGGAAGAAGTCGTTGAGGCTATGGCAGATTTGTCCAAGTATGTGTCCGCCAAACAAAGCACAGTGGCCTCGTGGGCAATGCTGGCGTGTTCGAGGTAAGGATCGAGCCTACTTACTGTCCATGGTCTACTTGGTCTATAAGTGCTAACCTGTCCTAGTCTCACCGCCTTAGAGGCTTCACGACATGCTTCACTCTCCGCCTCCTGGAGGCAACTCTGGCAACTTGGTGTGCGCGCCTTGTCGCTACCGCCCACCAGCCGTGCAGCTTGCGTTCTCCTCGATTCCATTTTGAAAGCGAATCTCGTTCCTAGGCATGAGATTGCTGATGATGTCAACCAAATTGTCACAACCGCGGACATTAGTGGACCTTCTGTACTTGTCGATTCGTCCCTGGTTCTCATGTTGAACTTGTTGCGCCTTCGAAACAATATGTTCCCGAATGCCAGCCAAGCCACCTCAAGCCACATCATCCGATGGGTATTTGTTAGATGGAGTCCTGGTGAGGTTCCCGCCTTGGGTATTCTGGTAGGACATTATTCTGACATCATCGGTAGCTGAACTGATATACGCGTCCCTTCATGCCACGCATGCAACGCCATACGATATTGTTAATCTCTTGCGCGCCTGCTATGGAGCCTGTCCTCTCAGCATGGCGCAGCCTCTCCGCCTGTTTGGCGGGCCCATCATTCAGTTTTGGAAGGGTCAGAGGGAAACAGAGACATTTATACGGTACCTCCTCCTTCTAGACCAAGAAGATGTCATGGATTCCCCTGCAGCTGCCTCCGCAGACGAGAAACCAACCGAGTCACAACCAGCTACTGATGCGACCGGCTCACATGCTGCAAGGCGGTTGGTACTCGAGCTCTTCTTCCCGAAAGTTGAAGAAATTAGCCAGATGGCAGAGTCCTGGCAGAAACGTGGAGGGGATGGCGCAGTTCCGGTCTCCACGGAGCGCCTGCAGAGCGTTGTCCTTGCCTACCTGACAGGAGCACTTCTACTTCCAGAACTTGTCAACCTCAACTCTTCCATGTCCAGGGACCTCGAAACAGTCCTGTTTGATGTTGTCGATGCTACATTGAAAGTAGTGCTTGGCGCTGCATCAAATGAAAACTTCTTTGACCTGGTTCTGACATCCTCCGCGCCCTACATACCCCCCTTGGTTGAGCCAGAGCTAGTCTCATTAAAGAAAGAGCAGCCATATCTTCTACGGTTCTTCGGCAAACTTTCGGACGCTCTGCAAGAGAAAGCAAAACGGGATTCGTCAATGCGCAACCCAGATGTCATCGACATCGATGACGAGTTCGAATCCCAGACGAGTCAAAGCAGCACGACATCCAGACTCAGAGTCCTTCCGAGGAGGGATATCTTGCTATGTCATACACCCGAGGCTTTTTACCTTGAGACAAGCTTAAGAATACATTTTCTCGACGTGATACGCGCCGATGACGGTGAAATTGGGCGGGTGCCAGAATCCGTCATTGACCGGCTGCTTGAACTCCCGAAGGAGCAGCTCTTGGCCTGCCGACAGTTCATGCGAGAGATATTCACTTCAGATGCCGTCACCCCACTCGACAGTGCTATGAAAGTCTTGGGAACTGTCGGGCGTGCTATAAGTAAGAATGAATTCTCGTGCTGCGAAGTTGCGCTGTGCACCTGTATCGATGTGATGGATAGTTTCATCAGCATGTGGACCGACGAGGAGCTCGAAATAACTGCTATGGCTGGCGATCTTTACCATTACTTGGTGAAGAACGCCCTGACAAACAACTCGCTCTCCTCGGCCGCGCACAACCGGCTTTCCAGCCTACTCCTACACCTGCTAGAGGTTAAGTCGACTTACGCCTCCACCCTCGACTTGCCGTCTTCGCGGTCTACTCTCATGAACATCCTGCGCGACGGGGCCATGGATGTCAAATACTTCGTTGGGCTCAATCTTCCCAAGATATTCGGATTGTATGTTCTGAAAACGCACGATGACATATTTGTCGATATTCTGCAGAACCTCCCTTCGGATCCCGGCCTGGCCGAGGGCATCGCATACCGCTTATTTGCCTTATCAGAGCTTGCCTGCCGATGGCCAACCCTGCTACGCCGGTGCATCTACCACATCTTCGAGGTCCCAGGGAAGATAGGCGAGTCTGCAAAGTATGCAAGGCGCTGCCTCGGTCGAATCTCTAAGTCGTTGAGACTCAGCGGCCCGCAGGAGCTCTTTCGGCTGTTCGCCCCTCAGTTGCTGTATACATGGCTAGACACAGACCTGATCCAAGACATCCCCTTCCAGATCTTTGGCTTTTCTAGCCTTCATGAACTATTCCGGGAGGCGCAAACGGAGGCCGCAGCTATCATGATCATGCGCGGCCAGGAGAAGGAGGCAGTTGACTTCGCGCAGGCCTTGGGGTTAACACCAAAAGAGTTGGCCGAACAGAGTTTCACGAGGATTATTGCCTACAGCATTGCACACGACATTAGCGTCCCAGGAGGTGCAGATTATATAACCGGAGAAAGCAGGCTCCGTAGGATCCTTGGGAAGGAAGACTTTCTCTCGAGTATCCATCTCAACTTTGCCGACATTATCGCCACTTTCCTCGACATCTTCGACCAGGAAGATCCTCTCGAGAAGGCTTTCCGGAGAGACGAACGATTCGCATATGCCGCCAATATCATGGACGAGATCAAGAAGCTTGGACACTTGCCAACAGCGCTGCCTCCAAATCAGCAGCCGATGTTCAAGGGGAAGTACCTCCCTAGGGAAATAATGCATCTGTGCAGCCGGACACCATACGAGCCCGAGACTCTATGGAGCCCGCCCCTTGTTGTCTTCGTGGCCCGCAAACTGCTCAACACGGTACACCCAGCGCTTGGCCCGCTGCACGCCTGTTCCGTGCTGCGCAAGATTCGTGTACTAATATGCCTAGCCGGCGACCACGCAACATCGGCGTATCCGCTTGAGATGCTTCTTCATTCTATTCGAGCATTCGTGGTTGATCCCGAATGCGCTGACGATGCCCTGGGGATCACCCAGTATCTAATTGTCAAGGGCGATGACCACCTGAAGAAGACGCCCTCATTCCTGGCTGGATATGCTCTGTCAATTTTGGCCGATCTCCGTGTCTTTCTCGAGTCGAGCCAGTCCAGCACGACGCAGGAGAGTCAGTTCAAGGCGACCAAGACCAAAGCACTACTATTTCACGCTTGGTTCGCCAAGTACCTCTCTGGCTACAGCTCTCCAGCCTTCAAGGATGAAGCACAAAAGCGCGCCTTCAAATCCATCACTCAGTCTGCTGCACATATACGCGCCTCGGGCAACGCAGAGAAGGGCACGCACGAGAGCACATTGCTACTGGAGATTCTGGAGGACTGGGACCGCGACAATCAGCTCCTCAATGAGCCAGCACGATGGGTAGCTCTCTCCATGCTTTGCGGCGTCTTCAAGGTTCCTCCCTCTAGCCGACTCGACGTTGTCGAGACAGACGATGACGCGCTAGGCCACAGTACGGTTATCTGGAAGAGCTGCGCGTCCCAGCGATTGAGCGGAGAATACCTCGCCTGGGCTGGCCGCGTCTTGGGCCGCTCGTTTGCGGCCTCTGGCGAGGTTCCTCAGGAGTTGTTGCGCGAGTCCCAACTTCACGAGTACCGTAGACTATCATCCGACATTGGCGGGTCGGAAGAGGGACTTTTGACCTTAATAGCGGCGCTCACTGTCAGTGGTGACTGCTTCACGGCTGGCCTGGCAGAGGCTGCGCTTCGCACAATCCTCTCGGACGCCGTCAGCACTGAGGACCATGACCTCGTCAATGCTTGCCAGCAGAGTTTATCAGAGTCGCTCCTGCTTGCCTCGAACTGGGAAACCTACCACACACCAAAGTCTGACCAGTTCCAAATTGAGCCTCCTGCTGCGGCCGAGGTGTTCTCAGGGAAGCAATTCGAGAGCCCAAGCTGGTCCCAGCGTCTCGCAACCCTCTTGGCGCAATCAGTGCCTGAAATCGTGACGCTGAGAGTCCTGCCTCCGATACTGCTAAATGTCAAGGGCTTCGCAGAACAGGCATTTCCATTCGTTGTCCACCTGGTCCTGGCATACCAGCTTGACAAGCAGCAGGGGGTGAAACGTCATTTCTCAGAGGCGCTCAAGGAATGGCTCAGCTCGACATCGCCCTCAGCCAAGGGCAACCTACAGTTACTACTCAATACCATCCTGTACTTGAGGACCCAGCCACTGCCGGGGGAGACGTCGATCGCCGACCGGGCGCACTGGCTGGATGTTAACTTGTCGACCGCGGCGGCCGCCGCAGCACGATGCGGCATGTTCAAGGTCGCCCTTCTGTTTGCCGAGCTAACCTCTTCCGAATCGTCTCGCGGGTCGCGGCGCTCCTCCGCAGCAAGAGAGCTTGAGGATTCTAGCGAGATCCTGCTAGAAATCTTTGAGAACATCGATGACCCGGATGCATATTATGGGCTCAACCAGGATGCCTCGCTCTCCACTGTCCTCTCTCGCCTGGAATATGAGAACGACGGAAGTAAAAGTCTCGCTTTCCGAGGAGCACAGTATGATAGTCACTTGCGGAGCAGGAACTCGGCATCAAGACAGGATGGCCAAGCGCTCATCAAAGCCTTGAGCAGCCTTGGCCTATCTGGCCTGTCCAACTCTCTTCTCCAAGCGCAGCAGAGCTTGGATGGGTCTTCGGATTCACTAGATGGGACGTTTACAACAGCGAGACGACTCGAGATGTGGAACCTACCAGCACCAGCAAGCAGTGATAACTGGGCCGTCACGGTGTACAAGGCATACCAGAGCATGCACCAAGCTCTTGATGTCGATGGGGTTAGAAATGCAATCCATGACGGGCTGAGGAGTACCGTCAGACACTTGGCTAGCCGCAGCCTCAACACCTCGACCTTGCGGCATCAGCTTGGGGCGCTTGCGGCGTTGACGGAACTCGATGACATCCTGAATGTTACCGACCAGTCCGAACTGCAAAGCGCCCTCGGGCAGTTTGAGAAACGATCAAAGTGGATGATGAGCGGGCGGTAAGTCGCAATCAAACAAGCTCGACGGACGCATAAACTGATAATATATAGATACTCGGACGTCAGCCAGATCCTATCATGCAGGGAAACATCTCTGACCATGTGGAGTCAACACCACAAATTGAGGTCTCCAAGATTGACGCCCGCAGACGCTCGCCTAATGCAGATCCGAGGCATGCTGCTTTCGTCGGATATTTTCCGCTTCCACCGCGCGAACCAGGAGACATTGAATTTGTCGACCGCTCTGACAGATCTCGTTCCGTCGAGTGAAGCGATGGGTCTCAGCATCGATGCCGCAATTGGGATGGAGGCGGCCAATTCTCTATGGGATCACGGGGAAATGATCTCGTCCATCAGAATGTTGCAGAACATCGACAAAGACTCCTCGCTGAAGAAGCAGACGGTCCCCGTGAGCCGCTCCGACCTGCTGACCAAGATTGGCTATCAAGTCTCCGTGGCGAGGCTGGAGAGTCCGGACAGCATCCAGAAGAAGTACCTGGAGCCTGCGCTCAAGGAACTCAGGGGCAAAAACGAAGGCAAAGGGGCCGGTCAGGTGTTCCACCAGTTCGCCATGTTTTGCGACGAACAACTCCAGAACCCGGACAGCCTGGAGGACTTGGAACGCCTCCAGAATCTCAAGAGAGGCAAGGACGAGGAGGTCGCCGAGTTGAAGGCCTTGATTGCCGCCGCCAAGGACTCTCAGCATCGAAACAGATATCAATCCCATCTTGCAAAGGCCAGACAGTGGCAAGAAATGGACCAGCAGGAGCTTCGCAGGGTAGAGCACACTCGATCTGAATTCCTCAGACTGAGCTTGGAGAACTACCTGCTTTCCCTTGCAGCGTCGGATGAGCACAACAACGACGCGTTGCGTTTCATGGCACTCTGGCTGGAGCGGTCCGAAGAAGACGTCACGAACGAGGCTGTGAAGAAGTACATCACCAAGGTGCCAACGCGCAAGTTTGCGCCACTGATGAACCAACTTTCATCCCGTCTGCAAGATCAGACAGTCCTTTTCCAGAAGCTCCTTATAGACCTGGTCTACCGCATCTGTGTTGACCATCCGTACCACGGCATGTATCATATATGGTCAGGAGCCAGGACTCGCGTCAACAAGGACGACGAGGTTGCCGTCTCCCGACAGAAAGCGACTGACAAAGTGGCGAAGGCTCTCGCCAAGTCAGAAACGGTGTCGAGGATCTGGCCAGCAATCGACCAGACCAGTAGGGCCTATCATACCCTTGCCGTAGATCGTGATCAGAACAAGTACAGGGCGGGGCAAAAGATTGCAATCAAGAGCTCGTCGGCCGGACAGAACTTCTTGAGCGTGCTTGCCAAGTACCCGATTCCGCCGCCAACGATGCAGATTGCCCTCTCTGCTAGCTCGGACTATTCGGACGTGCCCATGATCCACAAGTTCGAAGCAGACATGTCCATCGCCTCAGGTGTCAGTGCGCCCAAGATCCTCACGGCCATCGGCACCAACGGCCAGCGGTTCAAACAGCTTGTCAAAGGCGGCCAAGACGACTTGCGGCAGGACGCCATCATGGAGCAAGTGTTTGCCGCCGTCTCGGAGCTTCTCAAGATGCATCGGACGACCAGACAGCGCAACCTCGGCGTCAGAACATACAAGGTGCTGCCGCTGACGGCTTCGTCCGGCATCATCGAGTTCGTCTCCAACACCATCCCCCTGCACGAGTACCTGATGCCGGCGCACGAGCGGTACTACCCGAAAGATCTTAAGGGGTCCCAATGCCGCAAGGAGATTGCCAACGCGCAGGGCAAACCGACTGAGACGCGCATCGCCGTCTACCGCAAGGTGACGGAGCGCTTTCATCCGGTGATGCGCTACTTCTTCATGGAATACTTCCCCGATCCGGACGAGTGGTTCCAGAAGCGGACCGCCTACACCCGGACAACCGCCGCCATCTCCATGCTGGGCCACGTGCTCGGGCTGGGCGACCGGCACGGGCACAACATCTTGCTCGACACCAAGACGGGCGAGGTGGTGCACATCGACCTGGGCGTCGCCTTTGAGATGGGCCGCGTACTGCCCGTGCCCGAGCTCGTGCCCTTCCGCCTGACGCGTGACGTGGTCGACGGTATGGGCATCACCAAAACGGAGGGCGTGTTCCGCCGCTGCTGCGAGTTCACGCTTGACGCGCTGCGCGAAGAGGCCGCCTCCATCCAGACCATCCTCGACAGCCTGCGCCACGACACCCTCTACCAGTGGTCCATCTCGCCCGTTCGCATGGCCAAGCTGCAGAATGCGGCGCGCGGCGGCACCAACACGGCTGCTGCTGCTGCTGCCGCCGAAGTGGCCGGGGGTGATGAGGATGCTGGAGCTGGTGTTGGTGTTGGCGGTGATGAACCAACCGGAGGTGGGGCTGCCGTGGAGAATAATAATAATAACAAGGACAAGAACAACAAGAGCAAAAAGTCGGCTGTCAACGAGCCCAGCGAGGCAGACCGCGCCATCGAGGTGGTCAAGAAGAAGCTCTCCAAGACGCTGAGCGTCATGGCCACGGTCAATGATTTGATCAACCAGGCGACGAGCGTGCAGAATTTGGCGGTTTTGTACTCTGGTAAGTAAACCTACCATCTTCCTCCCTGCCTACTACCTGTTCATGTGGTCGGGTGGACACATGTATACGCTTACTGACCTTCTTTCGTCTTGCAGGCTGGGCGGCGTATGCTTGATCAAATCAAGATGGAAACGAATTTAGTTTCCATGTAGATTATTGTAGAAGAGGTCCGGGGAATACTGTATAGCTGTTGGAGGTTGCGCATGTACTAGTAAATATCGCTCGACTCGCAAACTGTTCCCTGCTGAGATCTATAGATGTGAATCTTGCAAGGGCTTACTTTGCCTCTCTTGTAACGCGGGAACCTGGTGCGTTGCGCTAGAGCTGGAGCGTATTGACCGTCACCCCCTAGCTCACCCTAATGTCAATAATCTGCGCCTGCTTCCCTGTAGTAACTGTAGTACGGTATCGCCAGTACATACACCCCCTCTATCCTTCAACGCTATTTCCTTCCCCCGTTCTCCCATACAATACACCCCTTCTTGTAAAGTAAACAAATGCGTCTCTGAAACGGAACCCCATGATACGCCTGTCAACTGCCATGTTTCCCCTTGGTTATTGTATTGGCCCATTCACAGTTAACCTGACGGAGCCTGGCGGGCACGGCATGGAGATGCTGGGATTTCTCCACAGTTAAAAGCGCAAACCAAACCCGACCTGACACCTTTCTTTCTCCCTGAGCAAAGAAACGCCGTTTGCCTGCTTTCCCGTTGTTCAGCGCCTTTTGACTTTGATTTTGATTGCAGACGTGGGATATTATATCCTTTTGCCCCATTTCGCGACCGTTGTAGCGTTGGCTGATAGATGGAGCCTCCCCAAAAAAGCCGGTTGGCTGAATAAAGTGGACAGGCCGGACTCGCATCCATAACCTAAACATTAGTAGCCGTCCGTCCTTCCGCATCACCATCTTTCTCGCCCCTTCCTTCCGGTGTGTAACTGTCCCAACCAACACCTTCACCTTCACCCCTGCTGCGGCTGCATCCCACCCCCCGGCCCAACCCCCTGTCCAGCAGCTTGCCCCTGGCCCTGGGCCTTCGCAAGCCTCGTCTGGACTCGTTCCAGATGGCCCTTATTCTTGAGGTGGACCTCAAAGTTGGTGACGGTGGTGTCCGGGCCGGCCGTGTACAGCTTGCCGGGGCAGTCGCGGCAGCGGATGCGGGGCAGCCAGGCAAACATGATGTTGGGCGGCGGGGGCGCGCCGCTGGCGTGTTCGGGCAGGGGTAAAGGCACGTGCTCGTTGGTCTCGGTGTTGAGCGCGCAGTAGCGCATGGTGGCCTCGAACGAGTCGTTCGGGTACCGCCTGGAGAGCGCTCTCAGGGCCGCCTGCAGCCATTCTGGGGGCGGGGGCTGGCATTATTACGCGTGTTAGTGGCTATGGAGGGATATGTGTGTATGTGTATGTGGATGGTCAGAAACAAGGGGTAGGGTGGGAGACGTACCGGTGGCTGGTTCGGTTGTGTACCGGTTGGGCCTGGTGGGGGGGCGGGTACACGGCCGAGTTGGCCTTGTAGTGTGGCCGGGGTTGAAGCGTTGTTGTTGCCGTTGCTGTTGGCGGCTGGTCTGGATTGGGGAAGCTGTTGATGAGACGCGGATGGGGTGGTAGGAGGGGGACCCATGGAACCTGGCGGAACGACGCTCGGAGTTCGTTGGTGGGCTGGGGTGGGTGTTGCGGATACGGGTGCCGTTTGTCTCATTCTGAGGTCTCGCATGAGCTTTCTGAGCCTTGCGGGGTTGACGCGGAGGGTTACGAGATGCTGCGACGGCTCTTCGGTTTGCTCCCGAGTGGCCTCGCGGCCAAAGCGGCGGGACGTCCTGGTTTCGTGGTGGTGAATAATGGCCTCGGGCGTTTCGGACCGCCCGAGATTCGCCATGCGCTGAGCGGCTGCGGTAGCGGCTCCGCGCAATCCCCTAGTCCTGGCGGTGCCCTGGAGTTGTGACATGGCCGGTGAGTCAGGGACGGAGTCGTCGCTTTCTTCAGAGTCAGACACGTCGCCGTCGCGGACTGTCCTCTTGCCTCTCCCGGACAAGCCGGCGCCTATGGTTCGCTTGTATAAACGACTGCTTTCGATATCCGGGGCGGCACCCGGAAGCACCGAAGAGACAATCGATGTCCGGATCGTCCTTTGCCTCTCTTTCAGATCTGGGAGTTGCGGGCCACCGCGCCGGTTGATGGACCGTTTTTGCCTCCTCTGCTCGCGTGAAAACATGGTCTCGGTCCTTTCAAGCTCGGCCTCGGTGTTCTCGTATAGGTACGGCGCGTAGTCTTTCGCTTGCTGCTGCGGTCTGAAAACGGAAGGTAATGGTGAGGGGAGGAAAGCAGCGACCAGGTCCGGGTCCTCAATAGGCCGCCCATCAAATGGATGGCCGACGCTGTACAAACTGCGCGTGAAGAGCTGTGCTTGTTCACGTATGCAGTGGGCGATGGCTGTTGTAAACTCGCCCGATAGTGACAGGTCGCGCGCCATAGCAGCGGCGAACTCCTCGGGAGAATTCATGGGGTTGTTGATTTCCCACTCGAATTGGTCTACCAGTGTGTGGGCGCCAATGGTGATGTTGAGCTTCACCAGGATGCGCATCTCATCGTTCTTGTAGGCATAGTACGGAAGCTCGGGGTCGAGGGCGTCCTCCTCGGTGTATGCAAAGGGGTAGAAGTCGTTTAGCTGCTCATGCATCTGCTGCACCACCTGCTCGTAGACGGCCTTGTCGATGTTCGGATTAAGCCCCATGTCCTCGACCAGCTGTGCAGCGAAGAGCTCTACAGATACTAGACGCTCATGTAGGTTGAATGTGAAGGTGTCGCGCAGCTTTATTTTATCCCAGTCAACGTCTATCCGGATGGGCACCAGCTCTTCGTGCTGCTCGGCCTGCTTCTTCATGTCCTTCTTGGAGAATTTCAGGGGCGGCGTAGTCCTCCTGCCGGGTCGCGGTTTCTGTGACGGATAAATGATCTTGGTCGTTGCGCCGTTCTCAGTGTAGCCGTTGCCATAGCCACGATAGCCCTCGCCGTAGAGACGGGCAGGATAGTTTGCGTAGTGGTCTCTGTAGGTGCGGTAGTCGCTGGCGCGTGCGAGCATGTCTTTGGTGTCTCGTTCGAGGCGGATCTGAGCCTCTTTGAGGGCGGCCGAGTGAATCCAATCGTGCGTCTGGAAGCGGTCGACAACGACGCGATTGAGGGCGTCCTTGTCGCGAACGGGAACTGCAGGCGTCGCATCGGATTGCGGAGTAGCGGGTTTTGCAGCGCCGGCAGCAGGTGCAGAGGATGAAGACGCTGCAGGAGCTGCAGAAGTTGAAGCCGTGGCTGAAGTTAAAGAAGGCGCCGTCGCTGCAGAAGAGGCACCATCTCCGTCGCCGCCTGCGGCCGACATCGCTGACACCTGCGACGCTGCCATGATATGTATGTATTATACAATCCCCTACCTAATTGGCAGGGAACGCGCAAGGGATCAAGAGCGGTGCAAGCGACGGGACCCGGGATTCAGTGACGCGCTCGTTTTCATTAATTAGCTGTCGGTCGTCGTGGGTGTCGCGTGTGCTCTGGGCGTGGAATTACTCGCGGTTCGCAACCGGCCGTTTTGGTGTCTTCGCGGCTGACCGCGCTTTCTCATACATCCATTTGCATGGTGTAGGTTCAAAGAGTGTGAGGCTGGGCGTCAGGGCGAGTTCGAAAGGCTAAATCAAAGAAACGGCTTCGTTAAGGCCTCGCCAGTGGCCAATGAGACACAGCGGCCCGCTGTTTTCAGCCGTGTGGAACTGAGGATGAGTATCGGTACCTGATGATGCACCATGGTTCTGCGCTATTTCAAGGTATCAAATCGCCGGAGGGTACCTTCCATCGCTTGGCGTCTCTCGGCCCGGCTCACCCACTGCAGTCGGGTGTGGTTCCAAACCTGAACGTCCGCCTTGACACTGCGACAGAGTGGGGAAGGTAGCGTGAGCACAAACAGAGCAAATCCCCCTCCCCCGCCTTCACAAAATCAAGCTGCCCGTAGCTCAAAATCGTCACTACCCCCCCTTTCTTCCCCCGTTCATCTGTCCCTCTTGTCTTCCTCTCCGAAAGCTCACTGCCGTTTTTGCTAGTTCTTAGTCGGTTATACTAAGAATTCTCTCTTTTTTTGTTTCCATTATAGAGCCCGCTTGCTCAAAATAAAAACAGTTTGCCCAAAATGGCGACCGAAGAGAAAGAAATCGGTTAGTTTGCGAGGATGATTGTGTTTCTGCTCTCGTCTGCTCTCGTCAAGCTGCATCAGTCCAAGCTCCGTTTCCTATTGCGACACCGCCTCTGTTCCAATGCTCCTGTCTGGCTCCGCTCTCAAGACATGCCCATCCTAGACTGCTCCTCCGTGCAACCGATGCTGATCTTCTCCCACTAGACTACACCCTCAACAACCCCGACACGCTCACCAAGTACAAGACGGCCGCCCAGATCTCGGAGAAGGTGCTTGCCGAGGTGTCCAAGCTCTGCGTTGCTGGCAGCAAGATTGTCGACATCTGCGAGAAGGGTGACAAGTTGATTGAGGAGGAGATTGCCAAGGTCTACCGCGGCAAGAAGATTACCAAGGGTGCGTCGTCTTTTAGCTGCTGTCCGCTACCCGGGCCTGCCAGATGACTGACACGCCATGATTCAGGATTTTCGCACCCTACTACCGTCTCTCCTGCCGCATTCGTCACTCCTTACACCCCCCTGAGATCCGACGAGAAGGAGGCCGCGGTGGAGATCCAGCCCGGCGAGCCCATCAAGATTCAGCTGGGAGCTCAGATTGACGGCTTTGGCTCCATCGTTTGCGATACCATTCTGGCCCCGAAGCCCGGCGAGACGCGCGATGTCATTGAAGGGCGTGATGCCGACCTCCTGCTAGCTACGCATTATGCCAATGAGCTTCTCCTGCGGCTGATGCTGCCGCCCGGACTGCTGGCCACTGGCACCGACGAGGAGAAGGCGAAGGCGGCTGCGGCCAAGCCTCCCTCTCAGTCCAAGATCACTAGCCTGCTAGAGAAGGTGGTCAAGTCGTACGACTGCAACCTTGTCGAGAGCACGACTTCGTGGCTCTTTGACAGAAACGAAATCGAGGGGAAGAAGAAGATCGTCATTGCCCCTGGCGAGAATACCAAGGGCGAGGGATCTCCGGAGGTTGGTGAGGTCTGGGGCGTCGAGATAGGCGTCAGTCTTGGATCAGGCAAGATCAAGCAGTTCGAGCAGCGGACCACGTTGCATCGCCGCACCGCCAACACGTATGCTCTGAAACGGCCCACCTCGCGCAAGATTCTGTCCGAGGTGCAGAAGAAGTTCGGCACCTTCCCCTTCAGCTTACGCCAGCTCGAGGACGAGCGTGATGCAAAATCTGGCGTCATTGAGTGCGTCCGCGGCAATGTTTTCCGCCAGTATGAGGTTACAGGCGACAAGGACAACTCTCCTGTAGCCAGGCTACTGACCACCATTGGTAAGATATTTTTCGGACTCTCTAGGGCATGGCATGACTAATGTAATGGGGCAGCCATAACCAAGAACGGCATCACTAAGCTGGGTGGGCCGCCTGCCTTGGATCTGAGCAAGTTGAAGACAGACAAGAAGATTGAGGATGAGGAGATCCTCAAGATCTTGGAGCAGCCGCTCTCCCGCAACACGGGTAAGAGCAAGAACAAGAAAAAAAAGAAGCCAGCCAAGAAAGCAGCAGCGAAGGAGGAGGAGGATGAGGACGATGATGATAGCGATGATGAGTAGGAACGCATCTCTATATACTCGATGAGGCAGGGCGAATAGCGAAAACTCTCACAACAACCGAAGCTGCGACCGAATTGTCCAGTGAATTTATAGAACTGGGCAGCCCTAGAGCGGAAGCAAAGCGAGTACCAGCGAGGCTTGGAGAGGGGCTCGGGGTTGGAGGATTCTCCTGCACTCAGCACTTACCTGCGGTTGGCTTATCGCTCCGTCTTAGCCCCGAGAACATAGTGAGCACACCCCGTCCTGGAAGAAGGGGGAGAGAATACTGGCGGTTATTAGTATAGTTGACGGGCATAAATGAAGAAAAAAATATCGTGGACCAACACGGTGTCCTGTACGTGGAAAGAGAAAATGCAAGCTGCGTGCCGAGTCTTGGTGGTCGCGAGGTCGAGTGCATTCTATTGTCGCTATTGTGCTGGCACTGATGAATACCTGGCCTTGCATAGCAAAATACAAAACCCTCCCCCCTCCCCCCTGAAGCAGGACCGCCTGTAAAGTTTACCTCCCACCATTCTGCAAAACCATCACCCTTTCCACCTTCACTTCTTCAGTCATCACCTTTCTGCTTGTACACTGAAATTTCTTTCAAACATCACGAGCAGACATCAGGAGAAAAAAGGCAAAAATCATCAAGAAACGAAAAACGCGTGGCAACCCTGAATTCTGGCGCAGTCAGGGGTCGCGAGAAATTGATGCGAGTCGCTTCAGGGCTTCCAACATCGACCAAAACACAGAATCCTTCAAAGGAGAAATTCACAAGACCTTTCATTTCTTTCCCCAATAGCTGATTTTAAGAAAGACAGCGTTGAGTCAGCGATTTCGACAACTTTGGTCGAGTGAGTACGGGAAAGTGAGGCACGCTGAAGCTTTAGGAGGTGCAGCCACGGCAACCCCCTGGTCCAGTCTGCCTGACACCCGTCAAGTCCGGAGATCTCGCTCGCTCCCCTACACCTCCTTCCTACGTACCCCCTTCTTCCACAAACACCACCAAAACCACGCGTGATCCAACTGCAAAACGCGATTTTTTCGCCTTGCTACATGTCCTAGAGAGACAGTAAAGTATACGCCCCTGCATTTTATGTTACCGCTTTTTCGTGCAACGACGCTAACTTTTTGGGCAGTCGCGAGAAAGCCGAGTGTTGGCTCAATCAAAGAAGGGGGCGAGCGCGGGCGACTCGGCTGCCGCTGCTTCTGCTGTCGCCTTCAGCACCCCGGGTCCCAACATGTCCGCACCCACGTTTTCCTCCAACACGCGGGCGACCAGATCGCGCTTTTCGAGTCCGCAGACGGCGCCCAACGGTGCGACCGACTCGTCAAGGGGTCAGGCGACGGGAGGCGCTGCGAACGGTATCGAGGGCCAGAAACAATTCATGCAGCGTTGGCTGGAGCCCCCGGTTCAGGTCAAGCCCAGCTATCAGGATGACGGCCTAGTGCGCCACGGTGTGCTCGAGAACATGGCTCCTTTGGGAACACTGCCAAAGGCGGGCTTTTTCAAGAAAACAGTCCCGCCGCCGCCTCCTCCTCCTGCTGCCCCTGAGCGGACACCAGTTCGCAGAATCATTGTCAAGCGACCTGCGCCACCCGTAATGCCTGCTCCCGCTCCCGTGCCTCCTCCCGCGCCAGAAGAAGATGAGACGGAGGAAGAGGAATATGGAGAGACAGATGACGCCGAGGACGGGCCGGACGAGGAGAACCAGGATGCGGAGGATGCAACCGCTGCGACCAACGCCGCTGGGCGAGACAAGGCTTATGCAACGACGTCCTCCTCGCGATCTCGTCGCTCCCTCACCTCGCGGGATGCAGACGACGAGGAATGGGCGCCGGCAAGACCATCACAAAAAGCTGCCAGGCGTCAGAGTTTGTCGAGGGCAAGCGCCGGTCGGCATGGGTCTATAGGGTCGGTGCAACAACCAGCAGCAAACGAGGGCCCAGGTCATGTTGATCTCAAAGATTTCACTGACAAGGTGGTGGAGGCCGCCGTAGATGAGGCGCTTGATCATTTTCGGTACCCCACAGCTTGGGCCCTGCGCACACTCTACGATGAAAATTCATCCAACCCGGATTTTCTCACCATGATCGAGAAGGTGTTCAACCAGACCGCAGGCACTGACACGCTCACAACGTTTGCGCAACTTATCCACGCCAAGAAGAAGGAAGGCAAGAAGGACAACAAAGGTTGCTACTATTTCGTGCCTCCGGCGACCAACAGCCGGTTTACGCCGCATAAGCCGAAGCGGGCGCCTTACGGCAATCTCATCAACTTTGACGTCTCTACTTTGCATCTTGATCAGGGCACCAAATCCCAAAAGGCTGGGCAATCACAGCTCGAGCGAGAAGCTGAGCGTGAGCCCAAAGTCGAGCCCGAAGCTGAGCCCGAGGCCGACTCTCCTCCGCGCAAAAAGCGCAAATCTGCCCGGCAGCCAGACTCTGCTTCCAAAATGTCGGCGTTCAACGAGGTGAATGGCAATGGCAAAGCGAACGGGGCGAGTACGGCGAACGCGGCGAATGCGGAGACGCCCTCGCGGCGGAAGACGCGGGCGCGTTCATTGTCTAGTTCATCTACTCTTTCCAGCGCACTTTCCTTGGCTCCGCCCGACGGAATTCAAGAGGACGAGGAGGGTGATGGCCTTGATGTGCCGCCGTCCTCCCGCAACAGCCCTGTTGGCCGCCAGCCAATCAACAACAAGCGGCGACGGTCCAACGCACCGCGCAAAAGCCGGAACGTGTCACCCTCCCGGCCATCACCCGCTCCCTCAACTGCGCCGCAGCTGGATGCAGCTTCTCGCGGTCAAAACATCACAACATCGCAGCGGCCATCTCCCGCTGACGAGCAGCTTGGCGTCGCAGCCGAGGAACAACCTTATGAAATGCCAGCAGTTGTCGACTCACCATTATTTCCCAACCTCAACCCCAAGAAAGGCAACAAGTCTGGGGCGCCTCTCCCCGTCTTTGCAAGCAAGGTGGGCACAATTGACGAGAACGACGAGAGACTGCGGCTGCGTCAGAAGGCGCGAGGAATTACCAACAATAAGCCGTCGGCTATCAGCAACGCCAGGGGGAGCTCTCTTCGAGATGCATCTCGCCCAGGAGTAACGGATGAGGTTAATAACCCGGCGGCGGCAGCAGTGACGACGCCTGCATCGCGGGTGCAAAAGGTTTCTTCTACTTCCGCTCGCCAGACACCGGCTCCGAGGGAGGGGAGGAGCACCCGCTCGTCGCTCAAGCGACCGCACGATGATATGGAAGAGCAGCTCTCACCTATTGCCGCCACCTTCCCGGGCTCAGAAGCAGCGTCAACGGCTGCGGACTCACGTGCTGGGACTCCGGCACTGCGGGCAACCAGGAAGGCCAGAACTGGCCTCCGCGTCAAGAACTCGTAAGCACATCATTGCATTTGCATCGGCATTCGAGCAGCGAATTAGCTAATGCGATATTTCCTATCTAGACCCATCAAGAAGAAGACGGGCACCTCGGCAGGGATCCCGCGCCCCAGCGGGGAGCGCAGCAGCCCCGTTGGCAATGGCCCGGCCAACAGAGAGGTATGAAGAAAAATGATACCAGTATTCTTTTTAGTCCGAGTGTATCAATTGTTCAGCTGGCCTTCAGGGCCAAATGGACACAAGCGTGTCTGGCTGCCTGGTCCTGGTCAGAATTCCGGGGGCGGACGCACCAAGGCGGCCAGGCCTAGGAAGAGATTTTTACTGGCGAGCTGCCAAGTGGCTTTAGCTACCCTTCCCTTTTTTTTGCCGAAATATGGCGCACTATGGAGCACCCTGGATTGCTGACTTGGCACGGGCACAGGATGACAACGACGATTACTGCTCTTCATGCGGCGGCAACGGCGAGTTGATCTGCTGCGACGGCTGCACTCGCTCATTTCATTTCAGTTGTGTCGACCCTGTGATCATGCAGGACTCGATGCCCGTCGAGTGGTTCTGCAATGTATGCCGCACGAAACGAGACCCTGCTGGCCTCCCCGTGCACAATGGCGCCTTTGCTTTGATCCTCGAAAAGCTCGACGCCAAGAACTCGAGCGCGTTCCGCCTTCCTGTGACTGTCCGCGATGCCTTTGAGGGGGTGCGCACGGGCGCCGACGGCGAGTATGAGGAGATCGTGGCGGCAACCAAGCCGGCTAGGTGAGTTTCCTCTTCCCCCCACTTATCCGCCATCTAGTGTTCGCTGACAACCCCGCCGCAGGAAGAAAAAGAGCGAGGAGGAGCAGACCCCTGATTACTTCCGCCTGCGTGATCAGGACGGCAACCCGGCCATTTGCCACGGTTGCCAGAAGAGCAGCTCCTCAAATCGCGCCATCATCCCGTGCAGCGTGTGTGGCATATTCTGGCATCTCGATTGCCTCGATCCTCCGCTGGCGAATCCACCCGCCGTTGTCCGCCCCTGGAAGTGCCCGTTGCATATCAATGATCTTCTTACCAAGGTCCCAGGAGCGCTGGGCCCGGCGCATCGGTTCCGAAAGCTCAAGAACGTGCAGGTAGTCAGGCCCGCGTTCAGCCGGGGCTTCGCCAACAATGGCTTTGTCGAGATTGATCCCGATGACGACGAAGACCAGAGCGGCTGGAGGAACGTCGAGACTTACGGCCGTGTAGTCCGCTTGCCCGAGAAGGGCATCAAACTGGATTTCCTCTCTCGGTGGGTCCTGCTATGCAGTTCGTGCTGTGCAAATAGCGAGCTGACTCTGTCCCCTAGTTCACGCGAGAATCGTAAAGGAAAGCCCATCCCTCCTTTGAATCATGCCAACGCAGCAACTGTCTCAGCTCCGGCGCCCTTGCCGTTGGAGCAGAGGACACTGGAGGAGCAGCAGGCTGTCCTGAATCTAGCGCAGCTGAGTGGCGACGGATCAGCCGGCATCACTACCCTCATCGATGCCATGATTGTAAGTTCCGTGCACGATCAGTTGTGCCTCAGATGGATGCTGATCGCCCAAAAGTCGCAAGCCGATCCGGTCCTTGTTGACATGATGGCGCGGGCCAATCCCAACCACTTGGTGAACCCTGCCGCGCTCAACACTATGGATCAACAGAGTCTGCGTGCCATCCTGGCTAGCGCAGAGGCGGTGAGTCGACGGGTCCGAGAGCTTCTGGCCGGACCCACGCCAACTCCTGAGCAATCGCCTCCACTCGCCGAGGCATCTTCGTTCAACGTGGCCGAGGACGCACCCACCAAGGTACCGAGTCTTAGCAACTCACAATCCGCCGACGGTGACTCCGATAATGCCGCCAATGTCACGGATGTCGACACCAGTGGACTGGAAACCGATGCCGGGAAGGGCCTTGCGTCTCCGGCCGCTACTGACGACGTCCCGGCCATGACGCAGGGCGAGAAGACGCCCCCACAGGGCGATCAGTCCCCGGCCGCGCCCTTGGAAGAGGACGGGCCTGCGGTTGAAAACGGCGGTCTGCCCGTCACACCGACCAAGGCGACCGCGGGTGCCGGAGAGGAGCCCGTTGTGCTGGAACCCCATGCGGACAGCGAAAAGGCGCTTGTTGAGGATGGGATGGATATTGATTGAGGGGGTGCTGTGGACCATTGGCTTTTGGTCTCTTGAAGATCACTCTGCCTGGACCAACTAGGGCGGGCTTTTCTATCGAGCCAGCGCCGGGACACCCTGCAATCTTCCGCCGCGACTTACACTGCCACCAATTTTCGGCAGCAGAAGAAAGGAGGCATTCGGCGGTAACAATCGCACACAAACATGGCGGTCATCAGCAGCTTTTGATCACCTTTGCAAGGCTGGATATATAACCCGCCCATTAGCGTGGAGATTCATCCCCGCTCCCTTCCACGCTCTAGTGTGATTAGTTGAGCCAGGGTGCTTAACAATATGGATTGATGAGGCCGGTTAGTTGTCTCGTGGGTAGAACAGCCTCCCCCAGCTTTTCAGGAAGCTGAACTGAGCCGGTCCGGGCAAGGCGATAGACATGGGATTGGCTTTGGGGAAATTACCTCTCCGGTGTTTGACGATTCTTATTCTCCTCCCTTTCTCCCTTGTCATTCCTCCTGAGCAATGGGCAATGGCTGAATAGCGATATTCACTTTATTTTGCCTCTTTATGGGAGCCTAGGCGCAGATAATGGGGTTCGGGTTATCTGGGTTTTATCTGGGTTTGGGCGGGATCATCGGGTCTTTTCTGTTAGTGTTAGTAATATGGGACTTTTCCCGCCTTTTGCTATCTTATTTCGCGCTTTCTCTGACTACCTACTCTGCACTTAGGTGTGAGATGGGATGGGTAGGAAGTCCCGGCTGGTTGCTTTCCTCGGCTACTTGTTGCCTGCTTTTCTTCCCCGGGCCTCTTCAGTCTCGAGGCAGCTTAGCCGGACTCAACAAGTGATGCTCTTTCACGTTTCTTATCCAACCATGCACTCCCCGAACAAGGGACTTTGGGGTGCTTCGGCGAGGGACCAGTGAACAACGATGAACATGGGAGAGAAAGAGAGAGAGAGGCATGGTATCGGCCGGGCTGAATGAAGTGCACTCAGTTTAGGAGTGGATGAGAAGCTGGAAAAGGGGATGAGTAAGAGCAAGCGAGGCGAAGATTACAAGGCATTCTTCGATTCGATTCCCCGTTCGTTTGTCCAAGCCATAACAAACATAACTTCAATTGCCACTGCCATCCATCCATTCTGGCAAGCAGGCAGGCAAGGCAGGCAGCAAGGGCAGGAAGGACATCATCCATCCATCCATTCCATCCCACCACATCCCATGGTACGGAGTTACAAGTTACACCCTTCCATCTTAGGAACACATCGCCCGTTTGTATTTTTGTTATTAGACAGAGAGATAGATAAATCACTGGACGGGAAATATGTGACAGGGCTCGGGCGTTCTTAACTCAGTTTCTTTTTCGTGTTTGTTTTCCCTCTCATGAATTGCGGTTTGTGGTTGTGGTCTGTGGTTTGCCGCTATCTTGCAATACTACCTGGTACTTACTGTCAGTGACTACTGCTGCTGGGAGTACTACTGAGTTGGTTGGGGTGTTTGACTGGTATCTGTTTAGCGTTCTCTCCATGATTGACGGACGGATGCTGGGGGTTACCGGTACTAGAGCACCAAGGGCACTTACTTGCTGCTAGTACTTGTATCACATGGGGGTCGAGTGCGGAGGTTTGTCAAAGTTTTACTTGCCTAGCCTCTTATTAGTTTGTACAAGCGGCACACTCTGGCCTACTTTATGCCTACTATTTAGTGAGAAGCGTTGTATGTATAGTACGAGTGGCATGAATGGTGAATTCAGCTTTTCTACTCTTGTCATCATCGACTTGAAGCCTGGTGTTGTTGCTCTGCTTAACGTTAGTGGTAGTTGGTTCAAACAACAGGTGACGTCCTTCTGCTCTGCTCTGCTGGCAAGGTAAGATGAAAATATGGGAGTTCTAAGTACTTACATTGCCTATGAAGAGGAGATGGAGCATGGATGGGTGATTGTGCACTGGTAGGGCGCTTGCTGCTGGTGAATAGGTGGTAGATAGGGAAGCCTATAGCCCTATACTGTATGTGATAGGTGATAGATGATTCAGTCATCCTAGTGTCAGCCTCTGCTGTCCAGGTCAAGGCTTAGAAGGAAGAGAAATAGGTAGTTGTCTTTCCACAACGGTGACAGGGAACTGCCCGAGCCCTTTGCTAGCTGCCCAGCTTTGCTTGGGCGAGGCAGGATGAACAAAATCGCTAGACTCAAGAAGGAAAACATCCGGGCGAAAGCCAACCCAAAGCCAGATTAAACACTTCTCAGGGGTGGTTTAGGTAATCCCAGGCAATCTTCGAGCTACCATTCACTTCTATCTCTACTCGGACACAACAGAGAAATGAGCATCTTTCTACCTACCCTGACTGACTACTGGTACCTCAAGCACTTAGTAGAACCAAACAGTTCAAACAACGTCATGCAACGCTGTCCATTCATACTCAAAATGACCGACTCTAGACAGTCCCTGCCACACTCTCTCTTCGCATCACACTCCCGTCACTGCCATTGTCACTTACTTACACGCCTCCCATCTCAAAAAAGAACCAAAGATCGTTCAACGCCAGCATTCATCCACACCCCTTAAAAGAAAGACAAATGTAAAGTATAAACAATAAAGAATAGAGAATAAGAGATCCAAATCAACATACATAACCCCCTTTCTAGATATCAGGAAACTCAAGTATGTAGTGACATGTCCCTCACCTTACACTGCTCGAACCCGGACTGAACCCGGACTGAACCTCTTTTCAACACAGAGAAAGAAAACAACAAAACCCCCCAACATCATCGTCACAAAAGTATAAGCTAGAGAACCCACGCAATGGATAACAAAAAAGAAAAGAAGAAGACAAAAATAAGCCATATTTCTCTGCCCAATGTTTGCTAAGTTGTATTGTTATTGATGGCGGTCCCGCAGCCGGTTGTGAGGGTGAAGTAGTCAAAACTCGTAGCAGAGAGCACAACTTCAGGTACTCCAACGCCACCATCGCATCCCAACACTGACACTGCCCGACTCGGCTTGCTTGTTTACCAGACCAGACCGGAGTGGTCTCACTGCAAGGTAATCCGTAGGTAAAAACCCGGCCGCTTTCCCCTTCCTTTTGTCCCCCGTCCCCCCTTTCCCATCACCAACCCTCTACCTCCCTCCTCCCTCCAACAAGGAATCAAATGGGAGCAACAACATGGCCCCGGCCCGGATGAAAGAAGCGAAGAGGAATCCCATAACAACACCCAAGATTTGATCAAGGTCCAACCAACCAAACACCCTTTTTCCTTCTTTCCCTCCCATGATCCTCTCTCTCTGTCTGAATGAACGGCGCGTGTCAATTGTCGTACCGTACCGTATCTATGAGAGCAACAAGAAAAAAAGAACAGAGGAGGCGTACGTGCGACTTTAGGTAATCCATGTTCAAGGTGGCCTGCTTCCCTCAGCCAAACCGGACTAAAGCCGAATGCCCAAGTGGAAGCCAAACCAGACCAAACCAAGCCCAAGCCCAGCCGAACAAACCCGAGCCACACACTCCCAGGTCCCTCCCCTTTCGTCAACAAGCCAGCGACCCCAACCCAGGCCGAGAGATCGGCCAGGTATCCATAGGGCCGGCAATGTGCATCGCGTCCATCCGTTCGGCAGCGAGCCATCTCGTTCTGTCTAAATAATCTCTCTTACACAGTCCGCAGCGCACGACCGACACATCTCGACCGGACAAGCCTCGCCAACGGCCCCCAAGAGTTTCTGTCGCCTGGCCCGTTCCCGTCGTATCGACAAAATCTGTCATAACTGCGGGTAACGCAAGAAAACAACTGCGAGCTCCCGGTGCTCACTGCCGTCGCTGCCGGTCAGGCTGAGGGCTACGACCTGCTCGTCCGCGTCTCGGATTGACTTGCTCCGGCATGTATGCTGGATTCTGCATTCCTCCTGCCGGGTTACTATAGCCGAATCCACCGCCCATGCCCATGTTCATGTTGAACCCAGGCGGGGCGAACGGGGCCTGATTTGCCGGAGGCATGTTCGGGAGCTGGGCACCAGGCGGCTGGACGGGGCTGCCGTTTGCAAGGGCCTGGTTCCGGTATTGGTCCATTGACGGGCTCGGGTTCTGAAAACCGCCGTATCCGGCCTGCATGGGCGGGAAGTAGTTGTTCAGCTGCGGCGCACCGCGGGACATCATGCTCTGCTGGTATTGTAGGTGTTGAAGGGCGGCTGGTCCCATGGGCGGATTGGAAGCGTTGAACACAGGGGCTTGAGCGCCGAACGCTGGGAATTGCTGGGGTAAGCCGGCGTCGACGCCTTCACTCCGGGGAATGGTGAAGCCCATCTCGTAGTTCGCTGCGGGTGCAACAGCATTGAGAGGGTTGTAATACTGGGCGCTGCTGTTGCCGCCGTATGGAGCAGCTTGCTGTTGCTGAGCATGTTGTTGCTGCTGCTGCTGAGAGCTGAGGGTGGCTTGGCGAGATGTTGGGCGTTGCCGTTCAGAGCTGTTTCCATGGTCCCGAGAATTGCTGTTCCCACCACCTCCGCCGCTCCTTGTCGACAAACCCACCTCATCCATCAGCCTCTTATAGCCCTGCCCTGGCTGTGCCTTGATGCGGATCAAGACAGCCTTGACATTGTCGACCACTTGGCTCCGGATCGACTCGTCAAAGAACGGGGTCGTCAGTACCTTGAAGATCAGGGTGGCGCCGCAAGCATGATCGCTCAAAATTGCCTCCAACACTTGGTCGTTCGGGGTGAAGAACAGCGCTTTCAGAATGGTGTCTCTTGCATCCGGCTCTGCCTTCTGGTTGATTACCTTCAATACCGTCAGGTACGCGACCTTGTGCGTGCATAAGTGGACCAAATAAGGGACAAGCTGCGGTGATAGAACTGTACGCCGTTGCGGGAACGTGCAGGTGTCGAGGAACCAGGTAAGCAGTAGGGCGCCGTTTGCGTTGGTAGCCAGCTGTACGCTGTGCAAGGCAATCGCGGCCGCCAGCATCCTCTGCTGATCCTTACTGGCATGGTGGCTCTCGAGACAAGCCCGCATGGCACGAGCACCGTAGCGTCCCTGAGCTACCTCCCACATCCTGCTCAGCATGGTCTCAAAAATAAAGTCGTTGTACGGACTGCCGAACTTCAAGCATCCCTGCAGGACATAGTTGCCATACTGGTCGAGGAACAGGGGAATCGTATAGGGGTGCAAATGCTGCACAATAAGGCTCATCTGGTGCGGGGTCTTGCACACATCGATGATCTTCTGGGCAGCCCAAGTGCCATTCTTGTGGACACCAATCTCGGCCATGTGTGGAGCAATCTCGGCCAGCATCGAGTCCCGGACGCTGTCAGAGCAGTGCTCGAAGAGCTTCTGCACTACTGTGTTGCCCAGATAGTCGGATGAGAGCTCGGCGATTTCGGGGAGCATCTCAATGGCAATATTCTCAATCTCCTGCTGGGACAAGGATTGATTGTCGATCCTCTTGCGAATATCGCGCAGTTTCGGGGCGTCATGGACCCTGGTGTGGGCAGGCTCCTTGATGGGAGGGATCTCATCGATGAACGTGTTATACTGTATCGCTCTCTGCAAGCTCATGGAGATGCGGAAGCTGTCCTCGTCGGTTGCCCCAAACTGCTTGACGATGTCCAGGATATCTCCCATCATCTCGTGAAGGGGAGGCACGGTGGGGGTGGCATTGCCTGCAATGGGCGCTGGCGCAGCATCGCCAGACTGGCCGGCAGCAGGCGTTTGGCCATTCTCATGGCCTTTCGCGAATGGATCGGGGCTGGGCGAGGGAACAGCGCTGTCATGACCCGGAGTGCCGGCGCTCGAAGGCGGCTTTGCAAAGTTAATGCGAATTGGACCGGCACCAGGAAAGATTTCCTTCCCGTTCAAGTTAGCCTTCGCTGCGATTGCACTGTCGACCCGCTCAAAGTTCACAAAGCCGCAGTTTTTGTGAGTGAGAACCCTAGCCGAGACAATAGGACCATACGACTTGAACATCTCTGTAAGAGTCGACGTGGTAGTGGACGTCGGAATGCTGCCAAGCCACAGGGCACTAGTGGGCCCTTCCATACCCTGCTCATCCGCACCCAACAGGCCATTGTTGCGGCTATTTGACCTCCCCAGCGACATTCCGGCGACGGCTTGCGGGAGCTCATCAAAGTCCTTCTCGTCGGGTAGCCGAAGCTCGGCGGCAGTGATGGAGCTGTCAAGTCGGGAAGGGGTGGGGAAATAGTTGCGGAGCATGCGGGATCCGGGAGTGTCCAAGACGCCAGCCGTCCTTGCACGGGGCCGGTTGACGGCTGCTTGGCTCACAAAAGCCTGGACAGCCAGGTTATGCTGTTGAATGGCAGCATTTGTTGCCGCAAGCTGGTCTTGGATCTGGGCATACTGGCTTTCCATCATGGACATGGTCTCAGCATCGAACTCATCATCCTCCTCATCCGCGTACTTATCCTTGTTGTTGACTGAGTAGGAACGGAACCGATTTGCAGCCCTAGTGAAATCGGCAAAGTTCGGGGGTATGTATGGGGTAGCAAGCTGGGCTCGCGGAGGCTGGGGCGTCTCGGCTAGCCCAAGGTAATCCAATGTCCTCATATGAACATCATTCTCGGCAGTTCCCTCTCGAGAAAAGTGAGACTGGGCTGGGGAACTAGGCCCATTGGACCCCAAACTAGCAATGCTGGCCAGGGTGTTGCCCCTCTCCCGACCGGGAGGATTCCAGCTGCTGAAGATGGAAGGGCCAAAGGGCGAGCTGGTGCCGGGCACGTGAGCAAAGGGGCTCCGTTGGGGCATCGAGCCGGCGCGCAGCCTCGAGAGTAAAGCGGACGCGCCAGGGAGGTCGCTGGGCGCCTCGAGCCCCGGCGACGGGGACTTGAATGGAGTCTGCGACGGGCTGGGCCGCGAGGTCTTGGAGGCCAGGGTTGGTATGCCTAGCAAGGCATTGCCAGCACCGCCGGGTGAGAACCTAGAAGGTAGGGTACCAGCCCGGGCGCGGCGGGTCTGCGGCAGACTGTCGGGAGTAGGCAGCTGGGTGAAGTCGGGAAACCCATCGGTGGGCGATTCGGGAATGTTTTCGCGGAGCGGCGTCGAGTTTCCGCTCGTCGGAGGTCCGCCCCAGGGATTTAGAGGCAATCCCGGAACCCCTTCCTGTGCCTGGATCTCTCTGGCACTGTAATGGAACGAGCAAATTAGCGTTGAGCGGCACTAGGGGAGCGGGGACACGACTCACCGCTTGGAGAACAGGCGCCCGGACGCCGGCATCTCGTGTGAAGGGGAGCCAGAGCCGGAGCGTGTACCACCCGACATCTTTGAGGTAGGCGTAAGGCCTGGGGACAGCCCAAAAGGCGACCGGAGGGTGCCGGCAGCTGACTGGGGGTCATTGGACGAGGCACTGGTTGGCGACGTTGAGCGGTGTTGAGCCTGCGGCGGGTAGCCGATGGTCAAATGCTCGCCTGGTCTAGAAGTGGACATTATCAATTATCTGATCCCGACCCTCATGAGAATATTCGTATTTTGGTTCCGGTCGGAACAAGCGTAACGTTCCGGGCCCCGATGAAGGCCCCAGGGACGAAATCGTCGGCCGGCTGTGGAACCACAAAGGTAATGTAATCGTACAACGACGTGCGCTGCGCGTCGATGAAAATCGATCTAGGAAGGAAACGGGTCGTGGGCCGTCTAGGGAATTGCGATTAATCAGGGATCGAGACGAAGACGGGTAGCAGCCAAGGTCGAAGGAGGGTTGACGCTGGTGCAGCCGTCTTGCTCTCGAGGAGGTTTGTTGCAAGCTGGCAACAGCAATTAACTACAAGTTTTTGATGTGACGACGGCCCTTCAAGGCGCCGGCAGGCGGTGAGTGCTGGAAGAGGCTAGCTCGCCAACTTCAAAAAGGAACGTTGTCGACGGCGGCGCGGGGAGGCGCGGAGTATCGAGTCACGGCACGATGTTCGAGATCGACGTTGGATGCCGAGGATATAAGAGATGTTGGAGATGCTCGGAAATGCTTGACTGTCACTGCACAGATGCAGGTCGCAGGAGGAATGCTGGGGATGCTCCCGCACGGATTTGGCTTGGCTTTCCCTGTGACGAGGCTACCGGCGAAAAAAAACTTGACCTCGTCTCGTGTTCGGCCTGCAGCTCCCACGACTAAACGCGAGATGAAATCCAGAGCTCTGTTCAATATACAGGCGGCATCAATTGCGCCTGGAGAAGGGATAAAGCAAACTCGAAAAGGAGGAGTGATATCGGAGGGGGACGCCCAGAGGAGACAAGATTCGGGGGTTGGTAAGAGGGTCGAGGGTTGCGGTGGAGGAGTAAAGAGGGGAGAAAGCAAACTTGGCCCCAAGATGAAACAAGCGAATTACTGTGATGGGCCTATGGTAGGGCACCTACGGGGGAGGGGTGAGCTGCCTTACGTAGGTACCTGGGTCCTGTAAAAAGCGTAAGGCAGGGGGAGGGTAGCGGCTGCTGCGAGGGCTGAAAGTGGCCTGGGCGTTTAACGTTAAACGTACGAAGTACAATACAACACAAAACGTTAATTACGTCGGTGCATGGAATTTTCCTGCTCTTCCAAGCTTCCAACCTGGAAGCTCCATCTCAGCTCGAAGGCTGCGCTGCGTCTGCACCTCTGCTTCAGACTCTCAAAACCCGGCACTGCCCATTCATGCACCTGACTTGCACTGCTTGACAGCCTCCCATGTGTTGGCGCAATCTGAAAGCCGTCAATTAAGGCGGGTCAAAGGGCGTCGCATCGCATCACACCCGACCGGGGCAACGAGTCGTCCGTTTCGTTTTCTTTTCTCCCTTGCTCACACACAATGCTTGCTACGCACTTGACGTTAGGTATACAAATACTTAGAGGACAAAGGGTTGTCTCAATGTTACTACCTTGGTGCCTACCATATGAAGGCAGGTTCATCTCACAGTAGGTGATACCACCTTCGACCCAGCAGCCTCCTTGTGGAATTCGCTCGGTGTTGCGTCCAGATCTGTTTCCTGTGCCACCAAACACCTGCAGTCAACGTTAGCCATCAACATCCAGTCGTTCGGACTCGGGCGGCTGTCTGAATCGGACACAGATGGATGTTAGTGGAGGGTTTGAGAACCCGTTGTTGCAGCGGCACTGCACTTGACTAACCTCAGCTCAGTTACTATTTCTGATCTCTGACGGCGTACATACATTCACAGGACTCCATTTGCATGTCCTCTTCGCCCTATCGGTCGTGGTAAAGCAATTGACTGCTCAGGTGTCTCTTTTATATACAGTATACACCCACCCAAACCGTACACAGCCCGTTTATCTCGAGGGCAGAAAGTGGCTCCCGATGCCCCTCGACGGCGTAGATCCCTTTTGCACGACCATGGCCTTGTTTGCCGAACCCCTTTTCCCCCTTTTCCTCGTTCGTTCATTCGCCTGTCACACCATTCAGGGGAGTTCGCATCAATGCCATTCATGAACCGCTCTAACGTTACGTGCAGGACCAGCGAATGACTCCAGCCAAACAAAAAAAGAGAAGCAGGAACGGAGAGCACGCTAATGACGACTGATCAGACAAGGGACGGCGCCTGTCACCCGGGGATATCCCTTACTAGGTGCATGACCTGGGCAACGGCAGGCTTAAAAATGTGTTCTAAGCTGCTAACTACCGGTAAATCATGCCGCATCCACCCAGAACCCAGACCCAAGCACACCAATCAGGGCCCAGAGGATCGACTGCGCGGCACTCCAAATTCTGAAACGTCGCGTCTGGCTGCCTCATCTGTCTGCTTCCTACAGGTGTCTTCTGTGATTGTCATCATTCTCATCAACAACTTGCCTTGTGCAGTCAAAACTGCTGGATCCAAGATGAAAATATATCAGGCCGTCGTGGTTGAAGCATATCACTCATCAAGACTAACCATGGATTTTCCCAATATTCGAACCCAAGCGGATTGCACGCTTTACACAGATCTCTCAAGCCTGCAGTCTCTTGCTCTGTGAGACCGGAGAGGCCGGTGCTGAGTCCCTGCGGGCCCGGAAATAAGAGAACTGGCGGTGCACGAGTGCAATGCGAGCGAGTTTGCCGACTGAGTCACCTCTTTGAACATTGAGAATGACTCGCTGACCGAGATACTTATACTCTGCCTGGCAGCAACTGATGAGGCCGGGGGGGGGGGGGGGGGGGGGGGGGGGGGGGGGGGGGCGCCACAACATGGGCCCGACGGAGACGGAAACGAGAATTCACCGGCTTGGACCTCCGGCATCGTGGCCGACGGGAGATAGCCACACCGCCGCTGCCGCTACCGCTACGGGCTGCCGTTGCCGTGGCCAGTTATTGACTCTCGTGGTCGCCGGCTACGTACTCCACCCCCCGCCGCCGTCTCTCTGCTATCCTGATCTGGACAAATATTGAATCCCCAACCGCCGCACAACACGCGTCCACGGCTCGGAACGAGGAGCCAAGGCCCAACGCACGCCATGGAAATGAAGGACGCATTTCGTATGTTGAGGGCATCTCGCTCTGGATGCGTGCGGCTGCCCTGAGCCAAGCCAACAAATGCAGTTAAGGGCTTACGAGGCTTACGTATGTAGTACACAAAACTATTTCAGGGGGCTGTGCTGTGAGCCAGGCCTGAACCACGAATCTCTACCAGACTAAGAGGCAAAGCCGTAAGACGGCATGCTAATTTGTTTTCTTTTTTCTTGGGGTCGGAAAGGTAAGGTAACTCAGATCCTCGAATACTTATCTCCTGTCGAAGCCCACAAATCATGTAAATATTGACCTTCAAGTGCTTCAAGTGAGCTACATCACAACCCACAGAGACAGACCCAATCTAACATTCGACTTCCCCTGAGTCCAACCAGGCTTCCGACAACATGGTTTGCCCGACGGGGGAGCCCGACTGGAGCGGCGTCACGCTCGAGACGTTCAACGTGACGCTGCTCACGAATCCGCGCCTGTGCAACTCGTGCATATGCCCCCTCAAGATTGGCGACGACTACTTTCTCGGCTTCATGGACTACTACCCGTCGCTGGCCGGCAACGCTCTCTTCGCCGCCATCTTCGGCCTCTTGTTGCTTCTCCAGCTCTTCTTCGGCATCCGGTATAAGACATGGGGCTTCATGATTGGCATGGCCGGCGGCTTGGTCCTCGAAGTTCTTGGGTATATTGCCCGCATTCTGATGCGCGACAATATGTTTACCGACACTTACTTTATAATGTGCGTATTCTTCTTCGCAATATGTTGTCTATCTACCGGGGTTCTGGGCGTGTGCTTCACTACGATATCCCTGGTGGGCAGATGCTGTTTACCCAACCCCTGAAAGAGACACTCGCGACAACGGTGGATGACCCCCCCTGTGATCTCCGCCGGTGTATTGATCATTCCCAAACCCATCATCCCATCCAAAACAAACCCATTAAGCACGACGACGTCCTAAGTAGTAACTGTAATACAACCGCTAACCTGATCCCAGGTACCTCGTCTGTCTGACCATCGGACCCGCCTTTTTATCCGCCGCCATCTACCTGACACTCTCACGGCTGGTGGTCATTTACGGGGCCGAGCACGCGCGCCTGCGGCCGCAGATGTACACGTACGTCTTCATCGGGTGTGACGTGGTAGCCCTCATCCTGCAAGCGGCCGGCGGCGCCATTGCGTCGACGGCGCCGCCCTTTTCCCAAATGCAGCGTTCGGGCATCAACACCATGGTTGCCGGTGTGGCATGGCAGGTGGCTGCTCTGCTGCTCTTCGCGGGCGCAAGCCTCGACTTTTGGCTGCGCGCCCGCTCCGGGGGTGGTCGGACGGTTAACGATGACGACCCGGCTTGGGCACAGCTCCGCTCTCGCCGGCTGTTCCAGCCCGCCTATATCGTCGCTGTTTTTCTCGCGGCTCTCTTCGTCTTTGTCCGCTCCGTCTTCCGCTGCGCTGAGTTGTCGGAAGGGTTTGGGGGTCCCCTGGCTAACGATGAGGTCACCTTCATGGTGCTCGAGGGCACTATGATTATCCTGGCCTGCGCGCTCCTGACGGGATTTCACCCGGGCATCGTTCTCGGTGGCAAGGCGTGGTCGGTTGCGAGCTGGAAGAGCAGCAACAACAACAACAACGGGTCAAATGTGGTGGTCGACGGGCAGCAAGTCGTTGACCAGTCGGCACGGTTTGGGTCCGAAAAGGGGTTCTCCACGGATAAGACTGCCAGTGTGAGGGGTGTGTAGGAAAGGGGCTTGGCTGTGAACGGGCTACGGTCATCACTCTCTTGTGTTGGTTTCTCCTGCGGTTTGGAGTATCAAGGCTTGCTTGCCTAAGCGTGTCATGTTTGTTGGAATATCCATAGACTTAGATTGATATCCAGGGCTAATCCCCACTTCTACTAGTTTGTGTACTGTACTTCTAGTACGGAGCCCCTTATCGTGTAGGTCAACTGTTCCAGTCCTACGTTGCGAATGACAATGGAGTAACGCTAGGTTGATGTGACCTGCGTTGATACTATACCCACCTTGACCTGTATAGGTAGTCTAGATCTGCGTAGGGTGAGAACGACCCCCCCGTTGTGATCCGCCTACTCGGAGAGCGATACTTCCATCCAGTACTGTGTCCATTGGTATACATGGTATAGGACCATTATACTGTACCCCTGCTGTAAGTATGGATTCTGACCATCCAGTACTTGATTTATGCTTGCAAAGGTCATGGATATGTAGGTAACTACACTAACAACCCTCAATACCATAGTCTGATCCAACATCTACCCTACCAGTTCAACACCACAACACCAGCATGGCCTTGTTACGCCCAAGAACCACAGCATATTCAGGTCCCGATCGGATGGTATGCAGCCTTATCACCAGGCCCAGACATCGCCTCACCTCACGGCCAACCAGAAACCACAGACCCAACTCACTAGTACCTACTTACAACCCAAGTCGATTGCAAGAGACACCCCTCAGTGCCACTTAGGACCGAAACGCCAACCAAGCCCAGGAATCCGTCCCTGTCAGACGACGAGTGGAAACTACAACGCGACGAGCCATGAACAATTATTCATTGAATTCACAGTGTAGGAAGTAAAACCCCTTTTACCTCCCGTATTGTTCCCATGCTGGGAGGGGTATGTATGTGTATGAAACAGAGCAACAAGTCAGGTTATACAACGCAGCCGACATGAAAGAGCTGCAACCCACAATATTAACAAGAACCAACCATAAACATGAGGCTAAATGCCTTGAGAATCAGGTAACCAAGGCCGGGGGGATGAAGAAGAAGGTGAGTACTGAGGTGCCCAGAGCCGTGATGCCATGCCATGCCATGCCACACCATGCATTTAGCTATGTGACTGCCTGCCCGGGCCTTTCCTTTGTTTCGCCTTCGTTCGCCCTCCTTCCCAGTCCCCTAATAGCTGGCCGGGCTCAATGAGTTTCCTCCTTCTCCTTCCCGTCAGCAGAAAAAGGAAGACATCTTTGACTGTCTTCTTCCCTGCCGCCTTTCCTTTGCCAAGGGGCGCGCCGCTGAATCATGACAATACTCCCTATCACTTCCCAAACCACCCATCCTCGCTCCAACCGATCGGCCTCCTATTTAGGAACCCTCTTAAAAGCCAGCAACTCAGCCAAGCTAGCCAGCGGACAACCATGTTTCAGGAAGTCATGCTGGAGCAGCTCCTGTGCCGATGCACGGCTCTTCACATCGACGCAGAGGCAGACCGACAAGAAGGCCTTGAGCTCCTTGCTCAGCTTCTCGGGCTTCTTCAGGCGCGGCGTGCCGTTAGTAGCGATGAGGTACAGCGCCTTTAGTGGCTCCTCGTTGAGGTAAGGGGGCTCCGATTCGATCATCTCGATGGCCATAATGCCGAGCGACCAGATGTCCACTTTCGGCCCGTACTCCTTTTGCTTGACCACCTCAGGCGCCATCCAGTACGGCGTACCCACCATTGTCGCCCGCTTCGATTTGGTCTCGGTCAGCTTGGCACAGAAGCCAAAGTCGGCTGCGTTGGAACGAGGTTAGCACAAGTCCTTCAGTCAGAAAATAGTCCAGGTCGGGTGGGTTTGACGAACTAATCTTGACATTGCCCCGGGCGTCCAAAAGAACGTTGTCGCTCTTGATGTCGCGGTGGATAATGTTCTGTGAGTGAAGGTGCTCGAGGCCTTGGCATGTCTAATCCAACAAGTTAGCGAATGAACAAGAAGCCAATCATGTCCAACGATACGAACCTCAAGGCAAATGGTCGAAATCTGCTCCTCCGTAATGACGGGATTATTCTCAATAACATCAGTCAGGGCGCCACCTTCCATGTACTCCATTACCACCCAAAGTTCCTTGTCGTTATCCATGAGGAAGGCATCGAGGAAGTTGACAATGTTGGCATGCTTGTTTTCCCGCATGACCAGAATCTCGTTCACGATGAGCTCCTTGCGTGGCTGATGGGCGAGGTCCATCTGCTTAATCGCAACCCGGTCGTTGGGGCGCGGCTTCGCCGGAGCGCCCGGTCTCGTGGCCATGACCTTGGCAACGTAGACCGAGCCGGACGCGCCTTGGCCGATCTTCTTCTGCTTCGCGTACAGTCTGTTGGGATCGTCCTTGGACACAACCTCCCTCAGTTTCGCCATCACCTCGTTCTCCGACATGGTCGACATGCGCACATCCTGCTTGCGCTCTTGCGCCGGCTTAGACAAGGCTGCTTCGGCAGCTTTGACGCCACCATCCTGCTGGGGCTTGGTTACGTTCAGCGGCTTGACCGGCGCTGGCAACCGTGACGGCTGCTGTGTCTGAGTCTGACCGTTCGGGCCCCGCATCGCCGGTGACCCATTGGGATAACGGGCGGCAGCCGAGGGACCGTTAGCTTGATCGGGCCGCTGGGTTCTCTGTGGCTGGGCGGCGGGGTCCCGGGCCGGGGAGGAGCTGGATTGTTGTGCTTGAGGGGCATTGCGGCTGGGAATGGATGACCCGGCTGGCGCAGGAGGTGCTGGCCGCTGCGCTCTCAGGGACTGAGCTGGAGGAGCCTTGGGCGCTGCCCGTGTGGGGTTAAACCTATCGGCAGAAGGTGGAGAAGGACTGCTGTAGCCGCCGCCAATCTCCTGCTGGGCCAGTGGGACTTTGGTCTTAGGGAGCGAAGCGTTATAAGCCTCGAGCTCCCGGCGCGCCTGTTCCTCCCTCTCGGCACGTTGCCGCTCCAGCTCCCGAGCGCGCTGCTCCTCCCGCATGCGATCTGCGGAGATGTAGTTAGGCGACACATTCTGCAGCTGTTGGGTCTGCGAGGCTTGTGGTTCGCCCGGTGAAGATCGAGCCGATGGACTGGGTCCGGGAGCGGGAGATGGTGTCGTTGGGTAGGATGCGGGGCCACGCTGAATGGGCTTCACCTGCCGCGGCGGCGCAACGGAGTTTCCGCTCGAGTAGCCGAATTGCTCACTTTGAACGGTGTTTGACGAAGGCGTGGCCATAGGCTTGCCGTACATTTCTTGTTCCTCGTTGCGCCTTGTCAGGGTGTAAAAATCAAGGACTTCGTAGACGGCCCGAGGGTTCTTCTCGACATCCTCCTTGGTGATGGCTGATGAATTAAGCAATCTAGTCCACTCTTCCGGCAGTCCTGTAAACTGCCCTGTTTGGGGGTTGAAGCCCACATGAACGGCGTGCGAGAAGTTGGTGGGGTTGCCGACACCGCTCGGACAGCGGGCATAGATGCAGTCGATCCACTCATACAGCTCGTCATCGGTTTTGACGCAGATCCGTAGAGATCTTATGCCATCGTCATCATCGCCGGGAGGCCCCGGATACGAATTGTTGAGATGTCTCCTGATCTCGAAAACTGGGTCCCCGTTATCGTCTGGGACGCGGTCGACGCTCACTACATCCGAGAGCTGGATCTTGTATAGTAGTTTGCCGTTCTCATTCTTGTGAAAATCCAGGATATCCTTGCGCAAAATCAAATATCTGGTCTTCCACTGCTGGAATGGGTTTTTACTCGGCAGGCCTACAGGGCCCTGCTTGATGATGGCAAGCCCTCCTGAGCCATCCATGTTGTTAGACCCTTGCCGCGAAATCGGCAAAGCTATGGTCGATCCGCTGTAGGTGCTCGAGACAGGCGAGGATATGCTCAGGTTCGACATGCTGCCTGGAAGGTTGACATTGGGCATCAGGCCAAGACGAGGCTTGTCTGTAGGAGGGCGAGGCGCGGGCCCGGGGTTCATGAATTGCCCGGACGAGTAAACGCTGAAGTACAGAGGAGAATTAGCACCAACTGAGCTTCTGGCGGGGCACCATCGGAGCGGCTGATAAAGAGCGGACCGCTTGTAGGATCACGTTGCACCGATGTCTCCAGAGAAGGGGTCTGACGAGGTTGTCGACCGTGATCGTCATCGGGGATTAGCGTTGTGAAGTACACATACCTGTTAGACATTGTGACTCGATTTCCGTGGGCAAATTACTCTATCAGGAGGGTATCAGTTAGAGACGATGGGTTGCAACTGTTGGAGTCGACAATCGACTCTGGCAGATTGCCGGACAGCCTTCTCTGTTGCCATGCGTTAGCAAACATGAGGTAGCAAGATAGCCAGACTTGTGGCGAACTGACAAGAACCAGGTCGGGAATAACTTCTGGCCCAGGCCGAGATAGTCCACTCTGCGATGGCACGAGGATAGACGACCTCACTGAGCGCGCAACTCGAAGCGGAGGTTGAGACAGCGCAGGACAGCGTGCCGGGGCACCAACCGACGACCGAAGCGATCTCGATATCGAGATTGATCAGTCGCAGGATCGCGGTGTAGACGCAACCAACAGTCGGGTTCAGCGAAGAACGCACGGTTGGCGAGGAAGCGAAGCTACCATGTGTCGAATTTGAGGACGGGTAGTCAATGTAGGCCTTGTGGACTTGGCCGGACTCCTCGTTGAATGAGGTGGGGAGAGCGGTCAATCCAATGTCTGCAGCCAGAAATGTGCGGCGCCGCTGGACGGTTACCTGCCTGGGTCGCAGTACTGTGCTCGATGATGGGAACGTAACAAACGGCGACGAGGAAGAATGGCCCGGGAATGAAAGCAAGGGTTTCGAAGTCACGGTAGGCTAGGATGGGAAGAAGAGATGCGAACGGGAACACCACCGGCCTCAAAGGTTGGCTGGTCTTTTGGACGGACAAAGCGACAATGGGTTGCTTCTCCTGAGTCCTGAGAGGGCCGGGTGCCTGTGGATCAGTTCAAGAATGGAACCCGGAAAAAAGGCTGGGCAACACCAGCGCAAGGGCCCACCTCCGCTGAAAGGAGGGGTAAGCGCACTGGACCGCGGATCAGGGCCCGCTGTTAGGGTCTCCGCTTTGCCCCTGATAGCGCAAACGAGGCTTCTATTAAGGAAGTACGGAGCAGCCGTGTAGCATTACCTAGATATAACTACGATATGCTGCGGTACTTCGTTATCTAAATTCAGGGTGCAACAGCCCAGCCCTCAACACAAAACGCCAGGGGCTGCGCAACCTCAAGACGTCCACTCGTCCAAAGCGAGGCGGCCCACACACCTGAACGTGCAACAGCCTCGGGCCGCAACTGGAAATCGGCTCGGTTTTGGACAAAGAACCACTGAAATACTGATATGTCAAGTGTGATTCTAGGAGTTCTGGAACATTTAAGCCTTAGGTATTATCAATGAGATGCTCGTGAATATGACGAAATTCTGCGATGATAAGATGCCCTTGGAGATTTCTTGTGAAGAGAGATCAAGTCACGGCTCAGAAGCCTCGAGTATAACGTGAACCATATCCGTACTGAGCTGCTCGTATATTACACACTATTTGTAACTTACTAGTCATTGTCCAAACTGTCCGTGGGGTTTTGTTGCCGGACAGACTCGGCAAGAGCTTGCCATTCTGCCTGATCAAGACATTTTCCTGCTTCCGTTTCAGGCGGCGCGAATTCCATTCCGGGACGTCGGGATATGTGATTGTGAGCAGTCTTCTTCGCCTACATATTTCAATGCCTTAATTCATGACGAGGAGGCATTAAGATTGTAAAAAAAACGGGGTGGTCAAGCATGTCAATTGCTGGCAACAGGGAGGTGCATTGGTGTAGCACTGTAGCCGCTGTGCAAAGTTGTATCGACTGGTTTAGCCGCGCCGACTCGCGACAGCAACGTACTGTACCGGCACCAATGTCGTCGCAATGCAAATGCAAAAGCAACCCCCGTAAAGCTCGGCGATATGTCCTTTGGTTGGACCGTGAAGCAACTCAAGCAAGCAGCCATCGTCCCGGGGCAAGATGATCGACGGGGAACATGTGGGAGTTGCCGCTGTCTCTGGCGGTCGCTAATCCTCAATCTCACAGCCCCCTTTTAGGATATCCACCAGTTTTGTTTCTGAAATGCGGATCTGTCGCAGGATAAAGGCTGCTGAGCCCAGATTGCAACACTTGATACGGCTGCTCTCCAGCTTGTGCTCCATGAGCAGGACAAACCGTCATAGCTACCTCGACTACCTAGGTACTTACTTGTATTGTACAGTACAGAATTAGGGATTCTCTTAATACCCTGGCATACGACCGCATCTGTCCCTCTCCATCGATGCCTACTTGTTCGTTTGCTTAAGATCCTGGAGCCAAATTGAACCTCCTTGGTGGGCATCATGGACCCTCAATAACTTCTTCATATGATGCCCAAGGAGCCCCATTGGAAACATGGGCTCGACCCTTTTCAGAACCATTGCGGTGGTGTTGCCGAGTAGTTCTTGATTGCCACTCCTACTCGTCTCAACTGTTGTAGGAAAAAAACATCGAGCCCAGATATCCACGTTTAAGCCTCACAGGTCTTGCGCCCGGGCGGGTAGAGGCGGCTTGGCTTGCAGAAATGGGCGCATCGAAAAACGGCGTGTTGCTGCATCTCTACCTTGGCACTGTGTAAGGCCAACCCTGGCACATGTCTGACACGATACATACCTGTATCCATGTCTTGGGGCTGGTAGATGAGCTCATCAGCGAAACAAACAAACAAGAACATGGTGCCGACACACTGGTGACCAAGCGGTGAAACAATGCCCTTGGTTTGCGACGGTCAGGGGAAACGGGTATAGCCAAACAACTGTCTATCACAGAGCTTTCTATTCTTGTATCAAACGCTGAAGCTGCTCGCTCAAGCACAAGAGTAAGAGCTAGGATATATCCACCTTTTCATTTATTTCGACATCTCCTCCTAGCCTGCCTTAACAGTCAGCGAACCGGGACCTCAACCTCCTGGCCCTCAAAACGGGGCAACTCCGACTCGATATCCTGCCATGTCTTGGTATCGTTGACAAGCGATCGGATAGCGTCGATAATCTTATCCTCATCGGCGCGGACCTGCCGTGTGCTGTCCCGCTCTCTGAGGGTTATTGTGCCGTCCTTGATGGTCTGGAAGTCGACGGTAACACCAAACGGAGTGCCCAGCTCGTCGTTCCTGCTGTACCGCTTGCCAATGCTAGCCGACGAATCGTCCACACGACTGGAGATGCCAGCGGCCCTAAGCTTTTGCGAAAGCCGACGCACGGCTGGTGTGAAATCCTTGTTGGATGAGAGGGGTACAATCAGAACCTTGGTGGGAGCGACCAAAGGAGGGAAAGAGAGAACCTGGCGAAGAAAGTCAGCTTCATCCACCTTGGCGTCAACAGCTGGGTAGACTTACACCCCGCGCTTCGTCACCACCGTCGCTGGCCCTGGTCCAGTAGTTGTGCTCGATCAGGGCGTACAATATCCGCCCAATACCGAATGACGGCTCGATGACATTGGGCGTATATTCCCGGGTATTCTCGACCCTCTTCTGCCACTTAATGGCGAGCAAGTCTTTGCTTACTTCAACCTTGCCGTCGCCAACGCCCGGCACGTTGATGATGACCTTACCATTTTCCTCCATCTCCTTGACGAGCCTGCCGCGCTCCTCCTGCGTAGTGGCTAAGATGGCGGCCTCAATGGCCTTGCCGTCCTTCTTGTAGAAGGGACCAAACTTCTTCTTCTCAATGTCAACCTCCCACTCCTCGATGATCTTGGGCTCATCTAGCCGCTGGCGCACGACGAGCGGTGCACCAGTCTTCTTGGCGTGGACGGACAGATCATAGGCGCTCCGGTCGGCGCAGCCAACGCACTCCACCCAGCCAGAAGACGTGAGAAGCTCAGCATCCCAGCAGTCGCAGGCGTAGTGGGCCATTTCATTCGCCATGTGTTGTCGGAAGCGGATCTTGGACTGGTCAATACCAATCTTCTTGAGGAAAAGATGGATCCGGGCAAGGAAGTAGCCCAGTGTCTCGTTGTCGACCATGCCATCCCTGACAGCTTGCCCAATAGACATCTTCTTGGTCGTCGTCTGGCCAGACAGCTGGGTGTGGCGGTCGAGAAGAGCCAGCTCGATATCCTCAACCTCGTGGAACCGGTGGTGCTTCTTGTGGCTCTCCGGGTCGACAAAGTGTTCGATCTCAGCCATCAAGAACTCGCGGACACGAAGCAGACCACCTCTAGGCGAAATCTCGTTGCGGTAGGACTTGCCGATAGAGGCAGAGGCGAAGGGCATCTGGCCCGTGTTGAATTCGAGAAGCTTTGCAAAGTTTAGGAACTGGCCCTGGGCGGTCTCTGGCCGAAGGTAGCCGGGGAGATTGCTGCTGGGGCCAATGGAGGTCTGGAACATGAGATTGAACGCTACCGGTGGGCTGGGCTGAACGCCGGTCGCAGGATTCCTAAGGTCGTACTTCTTGATAAGCTCGCCGAGCTGCTCCCCGTTGTAGTTGTCGATTTGAGCGAGCACCTCCTCGTACTCCTTGACGACAGCGTCGTCCAGCTTGACTGCTTCCAGACCCTTAGTCTTCTTCTTTTTCTTCTTTGGGTCCTCCTCCTTCTCTTCTACTTTTTGACCGCGAGCCTCCTTGTCGCCCTTGAGCCTGGCCTCCAAAATATCCTCCACAAAGTGGTCGGCACGAAGGATGTCGCCGTTCTTGGGGTCCTTGCACATCCAGTCCGCGAACTTGTCGACGTGGCCGCTGGTCTTGAGGACGTCGTGAGGGGTCAGAACAGTGCAGTCGACCTCAAGCATGTCCTCCTCGAGAATGAAGTGCTTGCGCCAAACATCGATGATGTTTGCCTGTAGGGCGCAACCAGGCGGGCCATAGTCGTAGAGGCCCGAAACACCCCCGTAAATCTCAAACGAGGGAGTGTAGAACATGCGCCGGCGCAACATGGCGTCGAGGCTGGCCTTGTCAAGAGGCTCACCCTTGAGGGTGGTGGCAGTGGTGGTCATGTTGGGCTGCTTTTTCTTGGACGTGTACTTTTGAAATGCGTATCTGCGCGGATCCGAGACTGTAAAAGCAGCAAATCTGCGAACTGGAAAGACCCTTGAGGTCGAGGCGACTTTGCGGAGGTTGAAAGTAATACCAGCGAGTGGTGAAAGGAGAGTGGGGGGGAGAAAAGGCTTCATCAATTGTATCGAGTGTGGCCCAATCCAGGTGAGTCACGGCCCTTATTCCCCTTCACAACCTAATCCTCGTTTTTTGCGACGGCCGATTGCGCTTGTGAAGCGGCTTCGCTGCACGGATAAAGGCTACTTTTGTGACTCGCATCTCCACACCCAACCTGCTGGAAGAGATCGCGTAACGTTATACCACTGTCGGAAAATTCAATTAACCGCTAAAACTGCCCCTCATTGATGTCCTTGGTCACTGGGCGTTTTGGCTCAGCGAGGGGCAACTTCTGCCAGCCGCTATCTGAGACCCCTGCTACCTGCAGCTACAAGGGTCCCTGGACCGGCTGCAGATGCAAAGAAGCCGCAACAAAAAATTTGGAGTAACAGCTGTAGATTCAACCAGACGATACGGAGGTATTGCCTTATAGACCGCAGCAACGGGCCAAACACAACAGAAATGGCTCCTTCAAAGAAATCGAGGGCTTCGGCAGGGGCCTCGCTATCTCTCAAGACTTCAAACAAGCTCAAGCGGCAACAACTCTATGTCGCACATAAGAAGACGACCGGCAAAGCCCGTCACGAGGAGAGGCATCGAAGACGCAAGGAAGAGGCCAAGGACCCCGAGCTGAGGAGAAAGCGGCTCGAAAGCAACCAACCTGCGAGTCTTGACAAGAAGAGGATATGGGACGACGTTGACGATGACAGCCTGGGTGCTGTGGTGGATGTCGTTCAGTTGAAGCGCCGGCGTCTAGCAGCGGAGGAGGCTGCTGCAGCCGCAGAGGCGGATGGCGTGACGGAAGGGGCTATGGAAAGAGATGACGATGTTGACAGCATGCTTGGATCAGATGAGGAGGAGGACGACGAGGAGCGGATGGAAAAGTTACAGAGGCAGCGTGCACAGAGGAACCCCAGCATCGCTCCTTCGACAACATCCACGAATCTAGACCTGACCCCAGACGCCCTCGCAGCTCAATTCAAGCATCTATTCAGTGATGAACCACCATCGATGCCAAAAGTCCTCGTGACAACCTCCCTCAACGCAACAATACACAGGGAGGCGCAGGAAATTGCCGCGGTTCTTCCGAATGGTGTGTACTCTGCTTTCGCTTGAGGAATTATCGTGTCTCTACTTACACTATACTGCCAGCCACCTACATCAGACGCAGCGCCCACCGCTACGGACACAAGTACAGCGTGCGGGAGATTGCAAAGTTTGCGAAGAGTCAGTATACTCAGTTCCATGATACCCCCAGCCTAGCGGTGTCTAACAGCCTACAAAGACCGAGGATATACCGCCTTGCTGGTAGTCCACGAAGACCAGAAGCGGCCAAGCCAGCTCAGCGTTTGCCACTTAAATGGCGAGGATGCGGCGCCTGGCCCGACACTCACCTACACCATTCGGAACTACCAGCCTGGCAAAGTAATACCCGGCCACGGCAATGCCACCAATCACTATGTAAGAAGGTCCTTTCAAGTATGCACCTTTTAACCTGCTGACGCGGATCAAGCCGGAACTGCTCCTCAACGGCTTCAAGACTCCTTTGGGTCTACTGACAGCCAAGTCGATGCACACGCTCTTCCCCTCCAAGCCGGAACTGTCCGGCAGGCAGGTTGTGACACTGCACAATCAGCGTGGTGCGTGAACCACGCCCTTGCTTGGGTGAATTCTTGTTCTAACGTCAATTCCAGATTACATCTTCTTCCGTCGGCACCGGTATATCTTCCGAGAAGCGCGGCCCACAGAGAAGAATGTTGTGGGCGCCGATGGCAAGGAGATGGAGGGAGTGAAAGGTATCCGCGCCGGGTTGCAGGAGATTGGGCCAAGTAAGTACCTCTGTATACGCCAACTACGCAAACGGTTTCTGACTGATCGTCACAGGAATGACCCTGAAGCTGCGGAGAGTGGACAAAGGGATAGGGAGAGCGGGCAGCGAGGGTGAGGATGCCCTGAAGTGGGAGTGGAAGGCCAAGATGGAAAAAAAGCGAACTCGGTTCAACCTGTAAGGAGAGTGAGACAATGTGATACCCTGGCTGTCAGTCATCACACAGCTGAATCCCAGCCTTCAGATAAGCAAGTAGGCTTCTCAGGTGGTACTCCAGTATCTTGGAGATATGTGATAAAGACTACCTAGGTACTGTCCAGCAACCGACATCGTCACCCTAACCCCACTGACCCTACCTCACCGCCGCCGCCGTCTGCCTCCGTTTGCTGCTCTCCACCCTCCCGCTTTCCCTCAACATGGCCGCCGAATACGCGATAATCCCCGCAAGCGCCATCAACACCCCAGCCGCAACCCTGTCGGTAACCGCCCGGCCCGAGACCAGCCAGCCCAGGGCGACAATGGCACAGGTCTTGACGTGGCCCACGACGGTGCTCGACACGGGCCCCGCGCGGGCGACGATGAAGAACTGCGAGATGTTGATCAGCGCAGCGAAAACCCCGCTCAGCAGCACTAGCATCCCCCTCCCGGACAACAATAGCAGCTTGAAGGCTTCTCGCCAGCTGGTGGTGGTGGTGGCGGTGGTGGCACTCCCCGGAAAGACGTCGACGAAGGGGATCACGTAGAGTAGCAGTAGGGCGGAAATGGGCGCTTGATTGTGCAAGAGCTGCATGCTGGATACTTTTAGGCGGCGCTGGTAGGCGCTGATCCAGACTGTGTACAGCGACGAGGCGAGGATGCCGGCTAGTGCGAAGGCGATGCCTATTGGGGAGGTAGTTTTTACGGCTGTGATTGTGGTGGTGGTGGTGGTGGTGGTGGTGGTGGGCGTCGTCGTGATGATGCTGCTGCTGGGAGAGGATGGTGGCGGCAGGGAGTCGTAGTACGAGACCATGCCCACGCCGAGACAAGCGGGGATGAGGGCCAGCAGGGCGCCGCGCGGGAGGGTGGCGCCGTAGAGAAGGTAGTTCAGGGCTGCGACGGTCGGCGTCAACAGGATGCGGGCTACCTGGTAGAAGGTGACGGTGGAGAAGGCGAGGGAGAGGTTGGGGAGGATGACGTTGAGCGACATGGCGACGGACAGGGGGAAGATATCCCGCAGAGGGATGTGCCGTGGCGCGAATAGGGCAAAGCGAGGGCGCGAGACGGTGAAGAGGGTAAGGTAGGTGAGGCAGAAGTGGAATGCGGCAAAGGAGAGTTGTGCGAATTTCAGAGAGGGTTCGGAGAAGATGGCTTTGTTGGTGAAGACCTGGTGATGGGTGGTCAGTGGTGGGTGGTGAAAAAGGGGGGTGGGTCATACAATGCCTATTGTTGCCAGAGTATTGACGGTCATCCACATCAGGGCTGAGGTAAATGAGCCGTTAAATGCGTGTTGATGCTTCTCTGTCCCATTCTCTGGAAGGAGGCCAAGCCTGCTGTCGTTTCCTGTCTCTAGACTTGACTTCTCCTCGTCTTCCCCTGCCCGAGTATGCTCCTTCTCTGCCCCGACCCTCGATGGCGGCCATGGCGATGAAGAGTACGGGGAAACAGCCCGTCGCTTTCCCATAAACGACATAGTTAATCACAAGAAAATCAACTCAAATCGTTCCAAAGAAGTGCAAAACTACATGGCAGTCCAGTCCAGGTAAGTCGTGATACAACAAACCAGCATAGTAGAATCGGGAGGGTTGATCTGGTTTTACCGAATCATCCATCTCCTCAATCACCAGGGGCACAAAGTACTACATACTCTCTTGGTTGAATCTGGGGTGAAGTCTGGGTATAGCGTCGGGCCACATAGCCGAGCCTGTCGAATTGGTGCAATATACACTCCCATCGGTACCATCCCGTCCGTCTTGGCTCGATGGCGGCCATGTACGCTCTGCAACTTGCCGGATAGGGTACAATCAATAACCTACCGCTGCTGCTTGCGACCAACGTATGTGTCGAGCAGCAAATTGAATGATACCAGTAGAATCATAATCTCACAAACGGAGACTCACGTTTAATCTTCTCCGTCGAAGGCCAGGGACAAGTTCGGGCACGCATTCTGTCAAGAGTGATGAGCAGTCCGGTGCCGTACTACCCCCGTTCTCCTTTCGCATCTTCGGAACGTCGGCTCGAAAGGAATCCGTGCTCACTTCAAGGAACAAGTCCATAGATGGACGGCGTATGTTACCTGAAGGAGATGCCTCCTTTACCTAACGTTGGTGTGAATGTCTTGGTTGTGGTAGGCACGTAGGGTACTAGGTGCGGAATGTTTTGTATTTCCACAGACGGGAGGATTCATGAGTGTGGCCGAGTGGTCCAGTCAAAGGGCAGCACCGACCTTCCCGTCGTTCTCACTGCAGTGCTCAACGTTTTTGTACAGTGCCAATTGGGAACTTCCTACTAACGTTAGCGCTAAATTGCCCCCTAGCAGATCAAGTGGGGAACCATGACGGCACCTGGAACACGAGATCCAGGGCCCTGATTCCTCTGAATCTGGATGGCGGGATCCTTCAGGCCCGCCAGGCACAGGCCAAATCGGACCGCTGGCCGGGCTATCAAGACAATCGTTAACGTTTTGTACTGAGTGAATGAAAATGGCAATTGGCCGTGTTATACGAACCCAGATCCGACACGAACCGCGCCGTTGGTATAATAGCGCGACTCAGGGATATAATAAGGCTTTGCGCAACGTTGCCTCTCAAGCGAGACGGACCGGCGACTGTACTCATTTACCTCTTTGGGCGAGCCTCCGTGCCTGATTTATGATTTATATACGATGCTTGACGAACATCACTGCGCATCTCTCCACCTCCGACGAGCCAATGCCCCTAACGTTGAATCCTTCGCTTACCTTCGAAATCGAGGCCGAGTATGTGATCCTTTCCCGACGACATCTCCATCACCGCAGTCGCGTGCGAGCTGTTCAACTGAGAACCGCGGCGTTGGCAATCTCACCTCAAACTGACTTCAATCGCCCGCTCAGGGTGCTGGTGCCGCTACTTCAGGCCAGCAGGCCACCTTGCCCCGTTTTCTGGATGGCGACACTGAAAACCGGCGACTTCGCGACGCAGGGAGTACAATGACAATCAAATCAGGGCCGGCATCCCCCAATGGGGTATCTAACACCAGTGAGTCTCTCTACAGACACATCGAACTGCCCGATCATGCTAATTTCAAATTTGCTGTTGTCAAAGGCTTCCGCGAAACCAATGGTTTTCTCGAGGACTATGCTGTCTGGAACGAGGCCCCGGTGCTCATAGGCACCACTAAATTCGAGCCCCTGCCAGATGTGAAGAACATCATGATTACGGGCGGGGCCGGCTTCATGTATGTCATCTAGGGGCTCAGGTTTCACAGCAGAAGAACTAGCATGAGCTGACTGGACTGTGTCTGCGTCAGAGCTAGTTGGCTCGTCCGGCATCTGACCCTCACATATCCGCATGCTTACAACATCATATCGTTTGACAAGCTGGACTACTGCTCGTCACTGCACAATACCAGGATACTCAACGACCGGCGGAACTTCTCCTTTTATCAAGGCGATGTGACCAACCCGTCCGAGGTTGTAGACTGCCTCGAGCGGTACAACATCGACACCATCTTCCACTTTGCCGCCCAATCGCACGTTGACCTCAGCTTTGGCAACTCGTACGCCTTCACGCACACCAACGTGTACGGGACGCACGTGCTGCTAGAGAGCGCAAAGCGAGTGGGCATCAAGCGCTTCATCCACGTCTCCACCGACGAGGTCTACGGCGAGGTCAAGGACGACGACGACGACCTGCTGGAGAGCAGCATCCTGGCTCCGACCAACCCCTATGCCGCCAGCAAGGCGGCTGCAGAGATGCTCGTGCACTCGTACCAAAAGAGTTTCAAGCTGCCGGCAATCATTGTGCGGAGTAATAATGTCTACGGCCCTCACCAGTATCCCGAGAGTAAGTTTGTGCCCTTGATGCTTCAGTCGCAGCGCCAAGAACCCCCCGTAGCTTCGCCATCGGAGCCCTTCAGACTCACCGTACTAAAACCCCTGGCAACGGCAGAAATAATCCCCAAATTCATCTGTCTCCTTGACCGCAGTAAGCCAGTGGTCCTGCATGGTGACGGCTCGCCCACCAGGCGGTATTTGTACGCGGGGGACGCGGCCGATGCCTTTGACACGATTCTGCACAAGGGCCAGCTGGGGCAGATCTACAATGTGGGTTCGCTCGACGAGATCAGCAACCTCTCGCTGTGTCACAAGCTCCTCGTCGAGATGGACATAATCACAGCTGAAGCTGGCTCGGCCGACTTGGCCCGCTGGATCAAGTACACCCATGACCGACCCTTTAATGACCACCGTTACGCCATCGACAACACGAAGCTGCGCCAGTTGGGCTGGGAGCAAAAGACAAGCTTCGCCGAGGGCCTGCGCGTCACGGTCGACTGGTACAGGAAGTACGGGCACCGGTGGTGGGGGGACATCACCAAGGTGCTGAGCCCGTTCCCGGTGCTCGCTGGCAGGGAGGTCATCTCCGACCATGAGCCCGTGTCGGACCACCCGCAAGGCGGTAGTGACGGCCAGCGCAAGAAGCGGAGGATAGGAGAGGTCAGTAATGACCGGGCCAACGAATGAACGCGCTCTTTGGGGCTATCAATCACCGCCAATACCGCGAGGTGTAGATGTTGGCTGTCTTGCAATCTTCGAGAGCACCGACCGAGGGGTGAGGGCATCGTTCAGGAAGAGCTTGCCTAGGTAGGTCTCCTAGGTTTCTCTCGTTTACGGTTAAGCGCACATGGGCTTACACGTTTAGTAGGAGCTTTGGTCTGGTTGCGCATAGCTCGGCCCAAATCGGTTTTACCAGCCGGCGTGGTCAGCATGCGCCCACAACATTCATCCCACATGCATTTACCGCGTCTGACATAAGTCCCGCTGCGGTAGACGACTTCCCACATGCAGCAAAGCGGTATTACATAACCTTACTCTCAGGGGCTCAGGGGCAACAAACAAGTTAGCCCCAGCAAACGGTATCAATGTCAAATACTTCAGAAAGGTATTTTTTGAACTTATACCCGGCATGCAGGCCCTGCATTCCAAACCCGTGCTTCAAAACGGAACACCATGGAGTCATGAATAGCACCGTGGCAGTATCCATTTGCCTTATCCTTCTCAACCTCTGCTCCGTGAGATCACACACTCCCTGAGTTAAGCTCTATGCGGAAGGCGTCACGTCATGGAAGTCTTAACTCCAACGGCTAGAGACCAACTTCAGGAGGACACCCCAGACAAAAACACGCCGCCAGATTCCTCGGTCAACACGACTCTCGACAACGTTCTCCCCAGTCAACACACCGAGCTACCACCCTCCATGCTCATCAATCCCAGCCCATCACACACCAACAACGACCGAGACGGTCCCATGAACGGCAGCAGCAGCAGCAGCAGCAGCGGGCCCAATCCGTCCGCAACCGCAACCCACGAGACCGTCTTCCTAGTCCTATTCACCCTCACACAGCTGGTCCAATCCATCCCTCTCGGCGCGGGCATCAATTCCGGGCTCGCCATCGGCTCCTCACTCGGCTCTCCACCGTCTTCCGCGGCGTGGATCGTGGCGTCGTACCCGCTCACACAGGGCGCCTTTGTGCTCATCGGCGGGCGCCTGGGCGAAGTCTACGGGCACAAGGCCGTGCTGGCTGCGGGAGCCCTCTGGTGAACCGTCTGGGCCTTTGCGGGCGGGTATGCGACCAATTTGGTATCGATGTGTCTCCTGCGCGGGCTGTGCGGGATCGGCGGGGGGTTGGTGGTTCCTAATGTTGTGGGGTTGATTGGGGTGGCGTGTCCGCCGGGAAGGAAGAGAAATTCGGGCATGGCGCTGTTTGGTGCCATGGCTCCGGTGGGTGCGGCGGGCGGGTCGCTTGTTGCGGCCGTGGTTGTGCAGTTGGCGGGGTGGAGGTGGTTGTTTTTTATGCTGTGAGTTGAGATGTGGTGAATTTTGTCTGTTCTTGTTGCTGACGTGTTTGAAAGGGGTGTTCTGGGCTCGGTGGTGTATGGTATCACTATTGCTTTCGTCCCCGCGGACGAACCTCTTGATCCCAGGGGCAGCATTGATTATGGCGGAGCATATTTCGGTGTCGGTGGGCTTATCCTGTTCAACTTTGCTTGGAAGTAAGTACAGCAACTCTAGGGACAAATTCAGTTCTGCGGTCTGACAGTCCCGTTCATTAGTCAAGCCCCTCTCGCCGGCTGGTCCGAGCCGTACGAGATCGTGCTGCTCGTCGTTTCCGTCCTGCACCTTTTGGCCTTTTGCTACTGGGAACTGAAGGTGGCCAAGGAGCCAATCCTTCCCTTCAACATCTGGAACAGCCCGTCGTTTGGCACGCTGATGCTCACCATCTTCTTCTCCTTCATGAGCCTGGGCATCTACTTCTGGTACATGAACGTCTACATGCAAACAATCCGAGGGGACAACCTGATCCAAAGGGGCTGCAATACCTGCCCCTGACCATCGTCGGGGCCATCAACTCGTTCTTTGCCGCTTGGCTGGTCCCGCGGGTCCCTGCGCAGGCCATCATCGGCGCGGGCTGTTTGGCCATGGTGACGATCAACGTCCTCCTCGCAACCATACCCGCCGACCTCACATACTGGGCCATGGCGTTCCCGGCAATGTTCGTCTCCGCCTTCACCATCGACCTGATCACGACGAGCGCCCAAATCATTGCCACCAACACGGTGCCCAGGAAGCACCAGGGAGTTGCCGGGTCGCTCGTCGGCACGCTGCTCAGCTACGGCATGAGCACCGGTCTCGGGTTCGCGGGTACGGTGGAAGTCTACACGTCTGAGGGCGGGGCTGACTTGCTGAAGGGGTACCATTCAGCTGCCTACCTTGCTGTGGGGATGTCGGGGTTTGCGCTGGTTCTGTGCTTCTTCATCCGGATACCGAGGGATACGAGGGAGGGTTGGGCTCCGGGGGATGAGATGGCAGTGAAGAGGGAGCAGGTCTAGTTAAGTAGGTTAGTGCTGTTTAAGAAGTTATAGAGACTACCTACGGTATCATGCCTTGAAATCTCCTGCTTGTTGCATGTCATGCAATTTGCGTCCCCCCTATAGGCTATAGCTTCAATAGCTCAGTACTATGATCAACGAAGAATGACCTGGTCTGTCTGACTTTGAACGATGGTGACACAAACCGTGATGTCTCAATTGTGAGCTCCTACTAGTATATCAGTATGCACTCAATAGTAGCTGTCTAGTAACAATCATCATGGTGTAGTTTGTCGCCTGAAGGCATAGGCATGGCAAAGAGACGCCGAAGGACGCGTCTGTATAACTTCTGCCACGGCACCGGAGTCTAGATGTCAACTGCACGGGGAATAGAACCAGAATCTCATGGCGCGTATGTGTGCCGGGGTTCAAATCTATCCAGTTTACTAGATATCACGTCTATACTCAACCAACCCTCCAACCCTAAGCATAGCGATTGACAATCGCCTGCACCTCATCGTCGGTCAGTTCCTTGATGCCGAGGAGCTCATTATTCGTCTTGTCAAAGTGTGCTCCGTAACCATCGCCCCAGATTGCAGCAGCAATGAACTTCATCACATAGTCTGTCTGTGATGGATCCTTGTCAAAATCGAGCACCTCCCAGGCCTCGGCTACGAGCTTATCGGTATCTACCACCTCCTCCGTCCACACCTCTCCGGGCGTCGCTTTCTTGCCCATCTCGTACAGCTTCTTCAGCGTAATCGCCGTGTCCTGCACGTAGACGGGCCTGTTCCTGGTCTCGTCGGGCTTGCTCAGCACGGCGGCGACAGCCTTGCCCACGGTGGCAAGCGTCGTCGTACTGAAGACACGCTCGCCGCCGTCGTAGAGCTTCACATGCCGGTCCTTGAGGCCCAGCACGAAGCCCACCTTGATGCCCCAGTCCAGGAACGGCCCGTTCAGCACGAGCGTGTACGTCATGCCGCCATCACCCGCCGCCTTCTCCCGGAGGGCTTTCTGCACAGCCGTCTTCTCGGCGTACGCGGGCAACGCGGCGGTTTTCGGGACCACCGTGTTGGAGCCGAACTCGCTCGGGATGAAGCGCTTCACGCCGGCCCGCGAGGCGGCTTCCACCAGAACTTCCTGCGTGGTGAAGGGGGAGGGTGGGAGTGTAGACACGACGGCGTCCTGGCCGCGCAGCGCGGCTACAAGCGAGTCGAGAGAGTTGTAGTCGACCTGCGAGACGCGCACCGAGGCTGGGAAGCTGTGCGCGGTGCCGCCGCTGCGGGTCAAGACGGTAACTTGGAAGCCCGCAGCCACCAGCTGTTCCAGGACGGCGGGCCCGAGGTTACCGGTGGCCTATGAGTTACACGGAGGGATTCACGTTAGTTGTCTGTCCATGACAGTATCAGTAGATGAGTGGCTTTGGGGTTGATCTTTACCCCAGCAAGTGCAACGTTGACGATTTTACCACTCATTGCTGTAGTCTGCCTAGTTGAGGTACGCTAGAGGCAAGTCTTTGCTGGCTTATATCTGCTCAAGCAGTACAAAGGATACAAGTGAGGTGAAGGGGTGGTAAGGGCACTCATGATGACGGATGATACAGATGGTGAGGAAAGTTCCTTATATAAAGGTGGGCAAGCGGATACTTGAAAAGCGTCAAAACTTGGCTCATTGTCCCTTCGGGTTTAATCATAACACCTCTGTAAGGTGGGTACAGAACCAAGTTGCGATTGCCGAGTTTCTCTTTTCCATAGGGAAGCATCGGTATAGTAACCACTTTGGTTCACAGGGCGAGGCAGGAGCTAGGTGCGTATGTAATCATCCCACATCCCACATGCCGCATCTCGGTCCATCCACATCCCTCGATATAAGGTAATGTTGCGATACCCATAACACAATCCCCAATGGCGTCACTCCCTTAAACGGCCCATCCCACATATGCTGCCGGACCCCTTATCCCACATCAACCAGGAATTCATGATACTGCAGAGAACTACACACGTAGAGGACTCCGTCGGTTCGCAATCTGCCCCTCCCGGTCACACCCTTGATGACCGGATTTCAACTGGATTTGTATCATGCTAGGTACTGCCGGTTGCTGAAGTGCCTCCCTGATGGATGTTTATACATTTTCTCCACATGCCGATGCCGATGCGGACGCAAATGCCCATCTCGATGCTGGTGCGGATGCGGATATGCATGGTGATGGCGGCCAGGCAACTCCGGTTTCACAGCTAGCGCAATCCAGGGAACCGGTCGGTAGGAACGCTACCGCCGCAGTGTCGTCAAAGCGGTTTGAATGCAGTGCCCCGGGTTGTGGCAGACATTTCACAAGGAAAGAGCACTTGACGCGCCATGCCAAATCTCACAACTCCCAGTTTCAGCATCAATGCCCCATCTGCGGGCGCCGATATGCGAGGAGGTGAGCAAAATTCTTGCCTTTTACTCTCATTCCCATGGGTGCTCATTCCTCAGCAGTCGGCCACTGGATCTTGGACTGATGCGCTGAGGTCTCGACTAGCGATGTTTTAAAGCGGCACATCGAATTCCACCCGCAACAGTCGAGTCCAAGGAGAAGGCTCGTCGACTGCGTCTCATGTCACGAGCGGAAAGCAAGATGCGATCGGAATTCCCCGTGCCAGTCTTGTACTCAGAATGGTGTGCCCTGTCTCCGCCCGGGATCGAGCCAGCACACAGCGCCAGATAGTACCCTTACCAACGCAGGCGTCAACGGGTCCGCGAATCTCGATGCAGGCACGACGACAACTGCAGGTATTGATGGCAGCTGTTACCCAGAAGACACTTCTGTACTGCCCGATGCCAGAGCTGGTCACTCAGACATCGTCGGCTCTTCCTGGCCTGGCTCAGTCCACCATCGTCAATCCTTGATTCACCATGAACTGCCCCAGTATGACTGGCCACTGTCGTCATTGTCATCACTTCCTTCGACTTCAACCCTCGTATCGCCGCCCCCTCTCTTGTGCGAGACCCCACACCAGCAACCCCTGGGTCGCTGGCAAATAGTTTCTGGCGGACTCAGCCCACATCCCAGGAGTCCGGATGAACTGCAAACGAGCGCCGCTGTGCATGATCATGGCTTCAACATCGTGTCGCCAGACTCGGCAAATCCCCTGACCCCATCGACGTCGCCGGGTAGGGAGAATGGCAGCACGAACCAGGCGCTGCACCGTTTGATTCGAGAGGATCTCCCAGATATCCCCCAGCCTCGTCCACGTGTTCTTCTCAAATATTCATCCATACTGGCCGATCCTGCATGTGCCAACCTATGACAAGGAAAATACATCGGATCTGTTGCTGGGATCAATCATCATGCTTTCCAGCTGGCTCGTTGGACGGCATGAACACAAGGAGATTGCGCCTATTGTCTTTAAGGAGGTGGTGGCTGGAACTGGCCTCGTATGCCTCATCGTATTTTTGTAGAATTTCCCAGATATGACTGACAGAACTCGAACAGGAGCCACAGTCCATCCCGTCGCTGAACACGTTACAAGCTCTGTTGTTGTGCATCGTATATGCCGTATCTTGTAGGGTCAGTCATACAAGGCCATTCCAGTCACGAACGCTTACTCATAAGCACCGTACAGAGTGAGGAAAGCATGTTAGCGAAGGCAGTTCGTCTCAATGACATTCTAGTCTCCAGCTGCCGGTGCCTGGACATCTTCAGCGGCCATTATGTCCTACCCGAACGGATGGAGGAATGCGCATTCACCTTCTGGCTCGCAAGGGAGCAAGTACATCGGTATAGCCTTCATCACCCGCGCCCTGTCTCGGCCATGTCCCGTTCTGAAAGCTTTCTCTTACTGACCCACTGGCTGGAAATGGGCTAGACTTGCCTTTTCAGTTCTCCGCGTTGATACTTACCTCAGTATTCTCCTCGACCACCCACCGTCCGTGCGGTACCAGGAGCTTTGCATCCCGCTACCGAAGTCGTCGCAACTGTGGGCATGCGTAACCGAGGAGGAGCGGCGCAAGCTGCAATGGGACGAGCCTGCCGGGCGCGAAAAGACCCTGTTCTGTCATCTCATCCGCGACGCCCTCCTCGGAAGCGGCGACGCCACCAAACTGTTCCGCCTACCCTACCGCTTCACAGAGGCGGATTATCACCTCGGCTTGTGCGCGTTGCAGGCCGGGATATGGGAAGCGGCTCGCGAGGCGCACGGTTCCGCATCTGACGAGGTTGTGAATAAGCTGATGCCCGGTAGCCCCATCCAGCTCTGGCGGGCCCATCTTGAGCAGTGGCCGGTGAAGATGCCAGTTGTGAAGAAGGACCACCGCCACCAGATGATAGACGAGCAACAGCTCTTCACGGATGATCATGACGACTCAGCGGTCTTTGCACCCCTCAGCCTTACGCTATGGCACATATCGACCATCAAGATGCATGCTCCCTTGACCCTTCTCCGTCTCCATAGCAGCAGCAACAGCCTCTTTGGCGGCCGCGCTGCTGCTGCCCCCACCGCCACCACCATGGCAGCAGCAGCAGCAGCCGTGCTGCAAAAGCCAAAGGCCCGCCTCCGGACCTGGATGGCATCGGACTGTCCCCGGACCGCAGTGTGGAGCGCAGCGCAGATCGCCCGCGTGGTGATGGTCACAAGTAGCTCTGGCGCTCCGGCGGACCCGGACTCTGATTCGGCTGCCCGACGTCGTCGTCTCCTGCTCCTTAACCCGCTCGCGATCTTCGGGCTGCTGATGAGTGCCATAGTGACCTGCTCGTATGCTGCCTCCCACACAAGCGGTGCCTGCCCGGGCTGCTCGCCAGGTCTTAGCCAAAATGCGAATGCGGGGGCGGTTGTGGACCTCTTTGTTACAGACGCGGACGGGGAGACGGCGCCGGAGCTGCTAAGGTGGAAGGTGTACGGCGAGGGCCGGGCGGTTTGGGGACCGAGCGGGATCCCGGTTTGCCGGTGCGGACTGCCGGCCCTGGCTGGGTGGTTTTCTGCGGCTTTGGCGGCGTGGGATGATGGGGCGCAAAGGGAGTTTGAGGTCTTCCTTAGTGGGTTGGCCTAGGCCCTTGGGGACAAGGGACAAGTTTCTTGCTACAGATTTTGCCAGGAGTCGAAGGTGGGCTCGGTGATGATACAGCGGTTTCCCCTTCTGGTCATCACGGCATCGGCCCATCTGCTAATTGCAGTGCGAGTCGCTTTGCGGTGATCAACCTCTCGACGTAGCTGCATAATCACGGTTCAAATTCCGAATTGCAGAGCTGAAGCGTCCGAGGTCAATTTAGATCTGTTTCCGCACCCGCGTGCTCTGAGCCCTGATAAGTCGAAGCACCTAGATCGTGGGATTGTCGGCAAGATGCATCATCGTACGAGTGTCTATGTATAATAGCCATCGGTAAGAGGTGATGTGTGTTATCACACTGCACTAGGAGAACGCTAGACGTGTTGAGAATCTCAAGTCTTTCTTTTGCTCGCAATGGACTTGGTGGAAAGCCGAATAGGTGGACACCGGGCCGTGGTGTGAGATCCGAGACAGCGCACCCATCCCGCACAATTTACGGATACCTCTGTCGGTATGTACTCGGTAATGATCCGAGTCCTCCACAACTCCACACGCGCCGAGATTGCGTTTCAAATCACGTTTCCCTCCTCCCCTGTAGGTAGTTACAGTAACGTTAACGTTAACTTTACCGACATGCTAGTGTAATTGTATCGCGAGGGCTGAGCTTCGGTAATTCGGGCTGGAGTCGCCTTGGAAATCAGGGGAATGAGAAACGTGCTGCCAGACCTCCATGCACTACTCGTAAAAAGACCATGGCATGACTCAAAAGCAAGAGCATATCATTGAGTTGGCATATCAGATTCTTATTGATATAGAAATCGACTGATTTTTCCTGTCCACCACCGCCCGTGTTGCCCTTTGATGCAACCGAAAAAAAATGCCCGGTCGGCAATAGGCGCTGCCTGTTATAGGACCAGCATGAGAGCCCGGCCGTCGGAAACGAGCCGGCACAAGTGAGCCTTCAGCCGCGGATATTAAGCCGTGTCCCATGGGCTACATAGCAATGCAGAAACATTGCTAGGTAAGGATGCAGTGCAGCGCAGCACTGCAGAAAAACGGGCGATTGGGACTCGGTTCCCGGGTTCCAGATTCCTCTACTAATCAATCACGCTGAGTTCCAGCCTGTCGGAAACAGCTTGGGACTTGGAAGGGCGACATGAGGTGTTGTGTTTGTTCTCGTGGCATGCTTTGATTAGGTGGACTGAACCCATCTGATCTCATCCCTTCGGGTGGAGATGTGTCTCGCCCGCAGCGTTCCAGTTCCACGGGTCCGCGAGCTTGGGACGCCACGGCCCACGGCGGCGACCGGGACGGGCCCTTGTATGAAAAAGGGTGTGCGTTATCCAGGTCCCGTCCCCACCTAGATTTAATTGCACTTCTCAGGGTGCACGAGCCACACGCCACAAAGCCGGGAAAGCCCACTGTTAGTGCAAATCCAGGACTTTCCAAGTGCAGACTCGCAGCGCAGCGCCTATGCAAATTGAATGTGCAATTAAGTACACAAAAAACTCTATACTACATGCTCTTGTCCGGAAAATTTATATGCGTTTTGATCAAGATTGTTCACTTAGTTTAGATGATTTACAGGAAAGTTGCGTTGTTTCTGCGCAGCCGTGAAGTTGGTGTAAATCGAGGTCAGTAACAGGTGGCTTGAGCGTTGAATGTGGTGGCTTGAGGGCGGGTAGCCCCACATACCCAAATATGGGGGTGATCAGCGGGACCTGGATAATGCAGGCCATGAAAAGGCATTCCAAATCATGCCACATTCGTCGTCGGGTCCCAATTGCGGGCTCCATGTGGATCTTGAAACGGCCCAGCAGCGGCAGTTGTGCTGGCAGTTGAACAACAGACCACGTATGTCGTCTATCTCGGCGAATTTCTCAGCCGCACAATCGCTGTTGCGTTCCATGCGCTGGCTGATCTGGAAATCTTGCTCTTCCCGGTGTGCCCTGACATGCGTATGCTACAATACTTTGCGCTTCCGCACGGTCGGGTCGTGATCGTCGCCCGTAATGTAATTTACGCTTTACGCGTGAAAAATACCAGAGTGTCTCTGCTTGGAACAGTGGGGTGTCGCGGGACGTGGGAGGCGCAGGATTCCCGATATTCCATGCAGTTGCAACGTTGACTGGCAGGCAAGGTTCAACTCGCTCTATCAATCCCCTTTCCATCCTTACAGTACATACATATGTGTATGACACATGTATTGCACAGTAACTACAGTTCGGACACTACCTAAATATGTATGTGCATACATACATACTTGTTGGACGTTGGAGGGGTTGCAGCAGTGGGGGTGCTGCATCTGTTTGCTTGCGGCCTGAGCTTGGTTGGGGCCGGTGGTATTATGGACACGGGTGCTTCAAGTGTTCTATGAGAGTGTCCGCTTTCATCTCGGTGAGCAAAATGTGATCCAAGATATGCTTCATAAAAGCTTATGTACTAAAAGGAGACGAATGTGCCGGGGCCCTGTTCGGGCTTCGGAACGGCAGTTGCTTCGACTCCGATGAGATGAGATCGGAAGGCTTCAAGGCTGCTCCTTCTCCTTTTCAACTGGCGGCCATGGCTGGAGGGTCGGCTCGACTGACGGAATCCCTGCCGCATGCCGTCCCCCGCTGACCAGGGCCCGCGGAAGCTGTGCCGTGCGCGTCGGACGCCTCCCACCGGCGGTTTTCCTGTATTGGTAGCGAGGGTTTAGGAATGGCGCAAAGTACCTAGGGAGAGGGATTCCATTGCATTTGCGAGACTCTACTGTGAGTCTGGGACAGTGCTAGCAACTCTTAGGCAGATAAAGAATGCTATGGTTCAAGGAATGCCTAAATCCTCAAAACCCAGAATTCGTCTTAAGGTTATTTCCTGTACCGTTAGCGTAACGTTATTATACATACCAGAAGTACAAACTAGTGTAAAATACAAATATGTAACTGGGTAATAAACCTCCCGTTACAGCCAGGGGCTCAGCTAGCGGCCCCGCATGCTCTCAGGCACCTGTGGATTGTCGAGCAGGGAGAGCCTGGGCTGCCAACGTTAATGATGGTAATTACGCACTGTATCGATAGTGCACAGTGTAGATGCTTGTAAGTACTCGCATCCGCCGACGGGCTGCAGTGCTGCGCACTCAATCCAATGTCGGGTTTAGCTTCCTGCTTGACATTACTAACTCATTGCGACTTTTTAACTAATTAGCCCAGAACTTCCCTCGTCTGCCACCCCCCTATTTCCCTTTTCCCCCCAACGAACGATGTGGGTGTGACAGATCCAGATATCTCACATTCAGCTGTCATCTGCGCCGGCAACGGGTCGTACAAGCGGCCCTTGCGCCCACCTTCACAATCGAACATCGGCCTCGCAATCTGATCGGCGCGGCTGATCTTGGCGCCTATTGAGGGCGCGTTCGGAGGGCGCTTTGTGACCCGCGGCCCATTGTAAAGCCCATTTCACACCATCGAGACTGAACCACAAAGGGTGTTACATACAACGATATCGAACAAGCACAATCTCTCCCATGCCTCGCCGCCGCTAAACATCGATTCTATTTTTCAACGCCTCTTGCAGAAAAATCTAATGGGGAGGCGAAAGCGTCGAGCGAGCAATTATCGAGCTACAGGGCGTCCGTCAAAGTAGGGAAGCAATGAATCCCGGCCAGGCTGGGCGGCGCTTCGGAACGCTGGACGCGCAGTGGAGGGAGGAACCAGACTCCAAATCTTTAGGCGAGACCCGCATCGAGGCTGACGCTGAGTGCCCTTCGCCCGAAATTCGCGAGTTACTCGAGCAGGTGTCCGAGGTGGCAGATTTGGAGGTGGACGAGGACGACGAGATGGACGAGGACGGCGAAGGACTGGCTGAAGAAGAGAGCACGGGGTCGGCTTACGCAACGAGCACTTACCCCCGTCTTCACCTTGCCTACGACCACGAATATCACAATGAGAATGCGCAAGATTCTGCCACCATGTGCGTTGCTTCTCAATAATTCACTGCCGTTCACTGCCGAGACCGTACTAACCGCTGGGCAGAGATTCTTCTCGATCGCTGTATGCCGAGGACATCGATTTCGTTGTGGAACATGGGCGGCAGTACTGCGGCGACTACTTTATGCCGGTCGACCAAACTGAGCAAACACGGCAATACGTGATTCACCAGGTCTACCTGAAGCTGTTCGACCTCGAACTAACGACGGTACCACTGGAGGATCCCCGCTACATCTTGGACATTGGCACAGGTATCGGAGAATGGGCGATTGGCATGGCCGAGAAATACCCGCGATGCGAGGTCTTTGGCACCGACATTGCACCCATCCAGCCGACACACCAGGTTCCCTTCAACATCGAGTTCCACATCGAGAATGCCGAAGAAGAATGGATCCGGCCAGCCAACACGGTCGATCTCGTGCACATTCGGAACCTGGAGGGTGCTTTCTCGGACTGGCGCTTCATCTACAACCAGGCGTTCGCCTGCATACGACCCGGCGGCTGGATTGAGGTGGTGGACTGGGAGGACTGGCTTGCCGACAAGAACTTCCTCTCGCTCTACCCCGAGGGCTCCGCAATGGGGTTCCTGGTCAAGGCGGTTCTCGAAGCGGCCGAGATAGCCGGGAAGCCGAGGGGTTCGCACCACCTGGACAGGAATCTCCTGATCGAGGCCGGTTTCGTGGACATCAAGGAGACGGTGTATGACCTGGGGATCGGCACGCGCGAGAACAGCAGCTACGGCAGATTCTGGCTGTTCTCGTGCGTCACGGGCATCGAGCCGTCGTGCATGCGCCTGCTGACGAGGCACCTGGGGTGGGACGAGGAGGTCGTGCGGGACCTATGTGACCAGGCCGCGCGCGAGACCAAGATGATGGCCGAGGATCCCAACAGGGTCGAGGCCTTTGTCGTCAAGCTGCGCGTCGTGGTGGGGAGGAAGCCGCTGATGGCCGGTCAGTGGACGGCCAAGACGCTGAACGAGGACGGCGAGATTAAGGAGTATAGCGGCGACGAGAGCACCATTGGCGATCGCACGATACTCTCAGACGAGGCCAAGTGATGTGACACTGTGCCCTTTCGTTTCTTGGATACTTTGGTGTAAGGACGTGACTGGGGATTTCGGCTGGCCGTCGGGCGGGCGAGGGGCGAGGGGCGTTTCAAAGGTGTGTTTGGGGGAAGGCAGAATTGCCATTAACTCCCCCATTGCCAATGTTCTTCTGGCAAGCATTCTCTTCTCTTTCTCTTGTACCATGTAGATACCCGATTCGTTTGTAACGTATATACTTGTCCCGGCTTATGCCTGCATGACCTGGTAGATGGCTTTGCACAGCGTAATGATCAATGAAGCAATTGATTTGGGCTAGTACCCTTCTCTCCAGCGTTGGCATGAGGTTGTAAGATTCACTTACGATGCGGTCTGAGTTGGGCCTTGGGCCTTATAACGTCGGGCAGCGGTGTGGTCCATGTGGGGGACCGTAGGTCGTTTTGGCCCCCAAATGACGCAGTGGCATTGTGCTGCTGTGGGGACCCTGGTGAGCTTCTGCAGTGAAGATGCACCGATGGAGCTCTGTAATGCACCCGACACCACCAACCTCTCTGTGATACAACGAGTCCACCTGGGCCACGAACCTGTTCAGGCAGCGGCTGTTTCCCGGCCACGCCGATCTCTAAGCCAACGCGCATCATGCGGACGACATAGACTACATCTTCACCATGGCGTTCGATTCCTCCAGCGGCTTCGTGGCGGCTGACGCAGTGGCAGGCCTCGCAGACACAGCGCTGCCCATCTTCGAGGTCCTTCCGGTGCAGCTGGTCCCTTCCATCGCCGCCGATTTTGTCGCCGGCCAGGCTGCCAATAATGTCCTTGTCATTGGCCTGTCGAACGGGGGGATCATGCGCATCGACCTCAACAGGCCAGAGGATATCGAGGGTAAACTCATATCCGTTCCTGTTCTGCCACCTCCAAGCGGTTGCTAACATCCCTATCCAGACATCGACCTCCCGAAGAAGAGCTCGGAGGTGGGCGTTATCCGGCGCATGTTTTTAGACCCGACCGCCTCGCACCTCATCATCTGCACGTCTCTCGGGGAGAACTTTTACCTGCATTCGCAGTCACGCCATCCGCGCCCCCTCGCCCGTCTCCGTGGCGTCACTATTGAGAGCATCGCCTGGAGTCCTGCTCTCCCCACGTCCTCAACGCGTGAAATCCTCATTGGCGCAGCCGACGGAAATTTATACGAAGGCTTCATCGAGACCTCGACCGAGTTCTACCGCAAGGAGGACAAATACATCAAGCTACTGCAGAAATTCCCCGACGGACCGATCACGGGTATCTGGGCGGATTCACTACCCGGCGGGCAGGACACTCGCCGGATTCTTCTAAGCACGCCGGGCAGGCTGTTCCACTGGGCGGGCAAGGTGGGCCGCGGGCATGATGGGAGCGCCTCCATCTATTCGAGACTGTTCGAGTCTGAGAAGCCCGTCATCCACGAGCTTCCACGAACATCAGCGGCCGCTGCTTCGGCCCTTGTCGTGTCTCCGGATGCCGAGCCAAAGTTCCATGGTGACGATGTACCAGAGCGCGCGTTTGCGTGGTTGTCATCTCACGGCGTGTACCATGGGAAACTGCTCGTCAATGGCACTGGTCAGGAACTGGGGAACAAGGTCTTTGCGGAATCAAAGCTGATCCCGCGACCACAACTAGCCAATCCGGAGGGCGCAAACCGGAGGCAGATATCTACTGAATATATTGAGGCAATCGCGCTCACGCAGTGGCATGTCATCAGCCTGGTCGGGAGCCGGATCGTGATCGCCAATCGGCTTACTGGGTCGATTGTATACGATCAAACAATCTTGGACCCCGGGCAAAAGGCGGTCGGGCTATGCGTCGATCTTCAGAAACACACCTTCTGGCTGGTAACATCACCCAAGGAGATACTCGAAATTGTTCCGCGAGATGAGGACAGGGACATCTGGAAAATCATGCTGCAGATGCAACAGTTTGACGCCGCGCTGCGGTATGCCCATACACCGGCCCAGAGAGATGCTGTTGCTATTGCTTCGGGAGATTACCTCGTAAGCAAGGGTCAACACAGCGAGGCCGCCGGCGTCTATGGGAAGAGCAGCAAACCGTTTGAGGAAGTTGCACTCACTTTTATTGACAACGACCAGCCGGATGCCTTGCGGAAGTACCTCTTGGCTAAACTAAGCACGTACAAGAAGTCCTCTGTCATGCAACGGATGATGATCGCGGCCTGGCTGATGGAGATATTCATGGCCAAGCTTAATTCGCTGGACGATACCATCATTACAGGAGCGGAGCTATCAGAGACGCTGAATCCGACTCAGACTAGAGAGCAGCTCGATGCCGTTCGGGCCGAGTACCAGGAGTTTGTGAACAGGCACAAGTCGGATCTCGATAGGAAAACCGTTTACGACGTCATCAGCAGCCACGGCCGGGAAGATGAGCTCCTTTACTACGCCAACGCGGTGAACGATTACAACTTTGTCCTATCATACTGGGTCCAGCGAGAGAGGTGGTCCGAGGCACTGAAGGTGCTCCAAAGGCAAACAGACGCCGACGTGTTTTACCGATACAGCAGCGTGCTTATGACGCACGCGGCGACGGAGCTGGTTGAAATCCTGATGCGCCAGAGCAACCTCAAGCCTCGCAACCTCATTCCCGCGCTGCTCGAGTACGACCAGAACTACAAGGGGCCGCTATCCCAGAACCAAGCGATCCGATACCTCCTACACGTTGTCAACCAGCTCGGCTCGACCGACTCGGCAGTGCACAACACGCTGGTCTCCATGTACGCGTCCCATCCGTCCAAAGACGAGTCGGCCCTCCTGGCCTACATCGAATCGCAGGGCGACGAGCCCAAATTTGACCCAGATTTTGCCCTGCGCCTCTGCATCCAGCACCACCGGGTGCTGTCATGCGCGCACATCTACACGAGCATGGGCCAGTACGTGCAGGCGGTCGACCTGGCCTTGTCGCACGACGAGGTGGACCTGGCCTCCATCATCGCGAACCGCGCCATGTCCAACCCGCCGCTGCGCAAGAAGCTGTGGCTGGCCATCGCGAAAAAGGTCATCTCCCAGTCCAACGGCATCAAGAGCGCCATCCAGACGCTGAAGCAGTGCGAGCTGCTCCGCATCGAGGACCTGATCCCCTTTTTCCCGGACTTTGTAGTCATTGACGACTTCAAAGAAGAGATTTGCGCCGCGCTCGAGGCCTACAGCCGCGACATTGACGCGCTGCGCAGGGAGATGGACGAGTCGAGCCTCACGGCGGCCAACATCAAGACGGACATTGCCGCGCTCGATCGCAGGTACGCCATTGTGGAGCCCGGCGAAAAGTGCTTCGCGTGCGGCCTGCCGCTGCTCAGCAGGCAGTTCTTTGTGTTCCCCTGCCAGCACGCTTTTCACTCGGACTGTCTGGGCAGAAAGGTGCTCGAGCAGAGCGGGCCGGCCAAGAGCAAGAGGATCAGAGAGTGCCAGGTGCAGATTAGTAAAGGGTTGGTGAGCGGGGAGAAGAGGGAGAAGATGATTGCTGAGTTGGACGGGTTGGTTGCGTCGGCTTGGTGAGTGTTGAGCAAAGAAAGTCTTTTGATTTCGATGTGGGAATGCTGGGTGTGATTGCTGACTTCTCCGGATGTTGCAGTATCTTGTGCAGCGATTATGCGATAAAGTGGATCAATGAGCCGTTTATCAAGGAGGATGAGGATATGGAGGAATGGGCGCTGTAGGGTTTTGCATGGTAAGAAGAGTATGTGGTCGACGGAGATGAGCGGATACCCAATATTACACACTTGAGCATCACCGTTTTCGACTGAGTTTGTTTACTTGTATCATGCTAGGTGTCAACCCTCTTCGCACCGTCCTCAACAGTCTGGACAAGTTTTATATACAAATCCGGTCTTGTCTAGGTTACTAGTACGGACACTGGGTGACTCCCAGCGTTGACTTGCTCAGCATCAAGATGGAGACAATGACGCCGTACAAGCCCAGCACCTCGGCGAAGATGAGGATGAGCACCATGCCGATGTACAAGCGGGGCTGTTGCGTGCTGGCTCGGACTGTGGATCTGTTAGGAGCTTTGTTTGCCGTGTGTGCACCTCGGGAAAGTTGGTTGGTGGGGAAAAGGGGGGAGTGAAGGGGAGGAAGGGGAAGGGATAAAACGAACCGCCTGCGTCTCCGACGATACCAATGGCGAAGCCGGCCGCCAACCCACACAAGCCCACGGCCAGGCCGGCGCCAAGCTGCATAAAGCCCGTGTGCAGGGCCATCTTCTCGACCAGGTTGTTGGATATGATCACCGAGGCGACGAGGCCGTAAATGGATATGATTTGGGCCATGATGGCGCAGAGGCTTTTTGGCTCATGTCAGTACCACCTTGGGTCGAAGTTGGTTTCTTCATGTCCCCAATTCAATATGGAGGAGGTACATGGTTAGACGGAAGGGGAAAACAAGTAGAAAGGGGGCCAAGCCATACGTGTTTTGCATCATCCGGTCCGGGCGGATGACTCCGGACGAGAAGATGGCGCCGGCCGATTTGGCGGTGCCATAGCTCGCGCCGATGACGGTGAAGACGATGGAAAAGGCGCAACCGAGTGCTCCAAAGAAGGACTGGTTCGTGGGAAGCGGGTTAGTTGGGGTGGGAAGGATGTGGATGGGTGAGGGAAAAGGGGACGGACGGCGTAGATCGGGCTGTTTTAGGGGATTAATCACATTGTTAGTTTGGCGGTGGATATGTCGTAGGACTCTGGAGTAGAGTTGATGGTTCCAACGTACCACCGATCAAGGTTTACGACATCCATCCCGACGGTTGCGGTATGTTAACTGGTGAGAGAGAGTCTGTGGTAGAGAAGACTGTGTGAAATGCGTCGGCAGATGTGCTATGTCAAGATCTCGGGCTAGTTGAGAGAAACAGACACGACGAACAGTTTGAACCAGCCATCGGTCTTACGAGCCATCAGCAACAGAATGGACTCTACGGATACATACACTACATTGTTACGGCTGAGAGCCAAAGGGGGCGCATTGGGGCTGACGACTGACGAGTCCCAAGTCTCGGCGAAGCGCTGGTTACGAAGGGGCTCACTCTCTCCTCTCAAAATGATTGGTGATGTTGCGGTGTGAGCGTACTCGACGAAGACGGGATTGAAAGCCTGGTGCTGGCCGCCATCCTCGAGGGAAAGCAGCCGCAATAGACCACAAGGAGAGGACTTTGATGAGTCCATTGTGCGAAGTAAACCACCGCAGCTTGGCGCGCTGCAAATAGAACCAGGCCTCATGCTTGCCATGAGTGAGTTGGACAGCCAGCCAAATAGGAACTGTAGGTGGTCTCGGGTAGTGTAATTAGATGGCAGTGCAGTCAGTGCACTGGTGGTGAGGTTAGTGAGGTTGTCGACGCTGGTAGCCTGGTGCCTGGTTTCGTGGCGGAAGAACCCGGCAGTTCGGTCCCTGCAGTCATGAGCGCAGCCGTGCGAATTCCGACAGGACAGCCTGGACTGGACATTCTGTTAAGAGGGGTAGTCGAGAGGATGATTTCTACACACAAAATTTTAGCTGCACTAACAGATCT